TATAATTAACTCGGTTAGTTCCTACTTATTATCTCTACTTCTACTATATTATACCTATCCGACGAGTGCCTACGAGAATACAATTCAATAGTACCTAATAATATTAATAGTTCTATTATAATATTAGTGAAGTTATTAGCTTATAAATCAATTCCGTAGTTACCGGCTTAGCTAATCCTTAACAGCATCGACGCGTGTTGGCAGAGACCACTTAGGTCGCGACTCTCTTGCTCCGAACATAATCAACCAAACGACGACCATCTTCGACTTTTCTGGTCCCGAAAAGTGCTACGAACCACCAGGAAGCAATTATGAGCAAAGGTCGCGTGGGGCATCGGCGAGAAGGCAGTATAAACAGCTCGCTGAACAGAAGACTGGATCTTGGGAGGTCTTCCAAAGAAATATGCAAAGGCGTGCCGAAGGCACGTAGAACAGAAAAGGTCCAACCCAGCGGTATGGTCTCCATAATCGTATTCCTTGCAAATCTACGCAATAAAACATCGTATCTTTAGAGCGCCCTACCATAGTAGTAGGGCCTCGAGAACTCAACCACATCGGCTTCCTCCAAGGTCACGTCCGAATACCATGTTTCTCTGGACGTCTCTCTCGACGTTTGGCCGCGATCTTCACTGGGGCCTCGTTGAGCTTCTGCCTCCCATGTTTGATCGCTAGCTTCCGAATACCACGTTTCTGACTTCGCCTTCTTCACAAGATTGACTTGACTACACGGCGCGGCCAATGTAGTAGCGCCAGAGAATTCCGAGTGGATCGGACTCGCGAGCTCTGCCGGCTGGTGCGACATTTCACACTCTCGGCCAGAATCGCGCTTCCAGGATGTGGCGAAAGGACCGCGAGGCTCTTCCACGACTGTTTTGGTCACGCTGATTCTCCACCTGCGCTTCCCGCGTCGCGCGTTCTTCGAAAGTGCGAAACAAAAGACGGGGTGGAAGATTGTAAAGGCCAGTGTGGCAATCAGAATCATGCTAAATCGTGGTCAGGTATGCACTTCGCTACGACATTGCCATTGTACTTACCAACTCTCGCACAAGATGAAGGCCACCTGGCTACGCATAGGACCACGAGGCCACAAACCCGACAGCTCTACCAACCGAAATATGCATCGCACAAGAACCCCAGTATACGCTACCACGACTCCAGCAGCAAATAGCTTGAACTTGAGCGTATCAAGCAGCTTTGTTGCTGCAAATGGTACGTTGTGCCAAGCTCGTCGTGTGCGATAAAGATAGTCCAGCACCAGTCCGGCGAATATGACGAGCGTCAAGATCTGCAGAATGATTCCACATAGGACCAGGATATAACCTGATATTCCAACGCCCAAGTTCACGCCCAGGTGAGGAGACAATGCACTTCCCGTGGCCAGCAGTACCAGACAGAACATGTCCAAAGCGATGAAGATCCAGGTGTACATGGGCGGCGGCAAGATACTTGTCGTTGCGCCAAAAGTGAGAGTGATCTAAAAACAACAAGTCAACAGGTGGTTACACTGTCAACTATGCACCTCAACTTACATGTTTCAGAGTCGCATGCACCGCTGCAGCCAGGAAACTTGGTGCAAAGTCCAGACAGCAGATGCTCAAATACAAACCCGGAACATTGAACGGATTGTCGTGAAGCAAGGCACGTCCAGCATATCCGCCCACCTCACCCAGACAGCTCAACGTGAGCAACGCACCGAAAAAGTACGTCTTCTTCCAGAGTGCCAGATATACTTGTATGACGGTGAGGCATCCGAAAGCGATGAGCAGAGAAGCATTGATCTCGAAGCTGGGATAGTATCCGTATACGCTTTCTTCTACCGGACAATCTGGGCCGACATCTGTACAGGTGGAATTGAAGTAGTTCCTTGGGCCAGCCATACTTCTTCCAGGCGATCGCCACTCGAGTCCAGTTTAGTCGTGTCCTGTTCAGCGTGCACTGCACGAGATGAGAAGACACGTCTTCAACAATGAGAGTAAGACAGAACCTGCTGAGTGGAGTGGCGAGACCTGCAAACCCTCTGAAAAGGACACATGGGTGGACATCGCGTGTGCTTCAATAAACAAAGCCACTCCCCTCGTCAACCTCTGTATCAAGATCGCTGCACAGCAGAAACCCCATCACGGCTCTCGATTCCCAGGAACCAACATCTTTTTGGCCTGCATGCCAATCATGTACCTCCCTCGGGTTGGTTTCGTCCAGTTCACCCAGATTTTCACTAGAGCGGATCCACAGCTGCGTGTCGCCCGACGACTCCGCTGTATAGCCAGCGAGTCTGATGAGACGTTGTGGAATCTGCGAACGGTACGAGATCGGAGTATATCTGGAACTTAGTGAGCTGGACAAGGATCGGGGTGGAAGATCTGGCAAGGGGAGGCAAAGTTTAACACCATCGCATGATCATCATCAGCGAACACATCGGCTCGGCGGAAGCGAAGACAATGTGTTTGTTCCTGTCTAGCGGCTGGTCGAGACTGTGTGAACGTTCCAGGAACGTGGTGAGACAAGGATGAAGGCAGCAAAAGGAGGTCTGACAGAACGCATTAATTGTTTGCAGCTTCTCGATTGTGTAGGCAATGCTTCACGGAGCCCGAGATCCCAGTCCGCCATGCTATGCTTCCCGTGCTCAGGACTTTCACGCCGATGTTGTCCTGAGGCAGAGCGCATCAGGCTCGGGAAAATAAGCTGAGTGATATGCTTTCCGGCGTTCTTGGCCAAAGATCAAGCTCCTTCCTGCCGAGCACAATTCCGACTTCACAGCTCACCAGCAAGCCAGATACTTCTGCGTTTTCCATCGCCGGCGAGGTACTGGTAGCCGACGCCCACAGCTTCTCCTTCTCCATCTTGAAAGATCTGCCACAGTGTCTCTTGGAGGAACTCTTCGATGTCTTCGCATTCTTTAGGTGGGTGTTGTCTGACGAGGACTTCCATGTGGTCGACTGCGTCTCCGGGAAGATCGAACATTGCTGAGATGTTACAAAGAGGATGTGTTGCTTGTTTGGGTCGCAGGTGTGCGTCATGACGATGAAGATTGGCGCAGGCTGAGCGCGTCCAGTATCGACGTCGTCCGGACTCGAGGATGGCGGCGATGCTGAGAGATGCGGACTCATGCCTGGAGCTGGCGTGCTTTTGCCATCTTGAGAAACGGTGTTGCCCATCTGAACGATGTTGCTGTGCTTCGTGTAGACGTGATAACTTGATTGGCGAGCCGTATTGCAGTGATGTTGCCCAGCTTTGTCGCTCGTGCAAGCGTTGGGCAGAGTGGTATCTGAGCTGGATCTTAAAGCGCTGGCACACGCGCAAGTGAATAGATGCAGAGTGGCGCAGGGGACAAACCATTTCGTTAATGCTGTGAATACAGATGCACCGATATGATCACTCTCCTTCCACCGCAGCGGCTGAGGTCATTTTCTAAATTCTTTGCGCGTCGTCATCAACCAGGAAAGCCACCTCGTGCCATCTTCCTCGCACGCTGATCACGGCGGTTGTGATTTGCGCGACTCGATTTGTTTGCCTCCTTCTTCCGCTGTGCATTCGCAGTACTGGGGTCACTCGATGGTCCTGCAACACTTCCTCCTCGGCCTCTACCTCTCCCTCCACGACCTCCTCTACCACGTCCTTGGAACCCGCCTCGCCCTCCCGGTGCAGCATCTGAGTCCTCGGTCTCAGTATTTCCCGCACTGCCATGGTAAGCCGTGCTTGTAAGCTCTGTCTGCCTTCCAGTGAATGTGCTGGTCTGCGCTTCCAAGCGCTTCAGTCGCTTAGGATCACGTTGAAGCATGACTGCCCAGCCCTCAATTTGTTCGTCGGACATTCCAGTTTCTTTCTTTAATGCCGATCGTGCTTGTCCCCGGCGTACATCGAATGATCGACCAAACATCTCGGGAGACGACCTGTATGCGCTGAAGAGAGCCATGTCATTCTCTTCTTGCGTTACCTTTGCGGCGGTCCCGGGTTCTCCGTCTGGAGCTGTAGTATCGACAGTACCGCCCACGTCTTCGAAATCGTATGTATCATCGCGCTCATCATCGTCAGAATCGAATGCGGCCAATGCAGATAATATGGCCGCCTTATTTGGCTGATCTTCCGCCGACAGGCTCTTGTTTCTTTTGCCAATGTGAAGGCGACTAGTATCAAAGTCTAAGCGATCGAGCTCATCGTCATCGAATGCGTTCCTTCTATCAGGTAGGTGTGATTCCGAGGCTGGGGGCGTTGATCGCGGTACCAATTGGTCAACTGCGGCTTGCTGACTGTCATCGTGCACGTTCGCCTCCTTGCTGCGATCCAGAGACGCTAGATGGGGAGGCAAAGAGTCATCGAGTAGATGTGCTGTTACCTGTTCAACGTTGTCTGCGTATTCATCGAGCAATTTCATCACAAAGCCCGAGCCGAGATCCGGAAAGAGATCTTGCACTTGTGTGACTAGGCTCATTTGATGTACATTGAGCTCAGCCTTTGCCGCGGGCTGTTTACCCTTCGCTGGTTTGCGGCTACTGCGCGCTCGACGTTTCTGCCTCGCCAGACTCGGCGTGCGGTATGTCTCTAGCGTATCAAGGAGCTTGTACACTCTCTCCGGAGCCTTCTCTCCAAGCGAATGCCGCAACTTCAGGAGAATAGAAGTGTTGGTGATAACATCGGCCAAGAGTGACTGGTTTGGCGGGGATTTGTCACCATGGCTCTTCAGCGTATAAAGGTGGTCTGAGAGCAGTGAATATTTTGGAGGCTCTGTGGTGGGTAGTGACGTGAGACCAAGGAACAGAACTGTAGATACAGCTTTCTTTTGCTCATCGTTGGCGGCATGGCTGTAAGCTGACACCAAAGAGTCCAGAAAGTCTGAACCAGTCATGAAAAGAGAGGCAATATCGATCGATGCATGCATCACGGGTGCAAGCTGGGTGAGAAGTCGGATTCCATCCTCCGGATTCCTTGACTCTAATGCTGCGGTGACCAAATCCTTCTGCTTCTGTAATCGCGGTGCTAGTAGATCGCCCTTCTTCTTCCATACTCGCGTCAGAAGCTTCTGAAGTGCCAGAGCTTTGAGATTGGCATGGCAGAAGTTGGAGAGGAAGCCGAAGTCGAGTAGCGAGAGTGGTATCGGTGCATCGCCAAGATACACGCGAGACACGATCTTGAAGGCTGCTTTTCTCAACAACCCTGCTTTCGCTGAGCTCAAGGTCTGGTCGGCCGGTTGCAGATTCGAAAGCTCTCTATAGAAAGTGGACAGAAACGAAGGTAGAGTGCCATGATCGCTGGCGTTCAAGCTGAAGTCAGAGGGAGCCAGTCGCAAGATCGACTCAGTCAAGGTCAGCCAAGCATCCACACAGACTTCCCACTCCTCGGGTCCCAGGCTGAGGCGGAGATCCGCTGATGGGACCGGCGCGAAAATTGGGGTGGACATGTTGATGGAGGGAAATCGTCGATGCAGTGGGCGGTACCTCGACTGCAAAGGACGTCCAGCGCCCGCTAATGAAAAGTGCCTGACTGGAAATGCAAGTGAAGTCCAAACGTCACCGCAGTACCGCTTCTGGCAGCAGCTGATGCCAAGATTTTGGAGCGGCCCCGGCAGAACTAAACGCCGACGCGGCACCACATGAATTATCGAATTCGCGCTCTAACGAAGACTTTCGCTCCCCACGATCATCACTTTGCCGATTCGAAAGAACGAGGTTTGTTGGAGCGAAAATGATCAGCTGAGCGCAGCGATTCTAACGGTATCATAGTCGTGATCGCATTCCGCACCGGACACCTCAACCGCACCGAATCACCCACCACCTCCAAATCTTCCGCCATGTCTTTCCAGGACCCAAAGAAGACGTCGCAGCTCGACGCACCAAAGATCCACAAGATCCGTATCACCCTCACCAGCCGCAAGGTGCAGTCGCTCGAGAAGGTCTGCAGCGAGCTCATCGAGCGTGCCAAGAGCAAGGAGCTTCGTGTCAAGGGCCCAGTCCGCATGCCCACCAAGAACCTCAAGATCTCTACCCGTAAGACTCCTTGCGGTGAGGGCTCCAAGACCTGGGACATGTACGAGATGAGGTAAGGATCATCCAGACATACTTGCGCTTTCTGGGACGAGATGCTGACCCGGTTTGCAGAATCCACAAGCGTCTGATCGACTTGAACGCCCCAACCGAGGTCGTCAAGCAGATCATCATCAACATCGAGGCTGGTGTCGAGGTTGAGGTCACCATCGCTGCCTAAGCGAGCGCACGAGGTGCACGATTGAAGGAGGAGCAAGAAAAGATGAACACATCATCCGCTATATCAACGCAATCCACTTGAGCTGTGGTGCAGTCGCAAAGCGACGACAAGCTCCCAATATACGTCGTCTGCCGTTCTTGTCGTCCCATGTCCATCGCCTGAAATTGAGTTCCGCGTTATCCCATTGATGAGAAAGGCACTCATACATGACTCTTGAGAGTACATGAAGAACAGCTTCCTGCGTCCTCGTCATGCCATTCCTTGTACAATATGCCATCGATCCCAATTCGCTGGGCAGAAGTCACCTCGTGCGAGATGTGAACCTTTCGGAATACACAGTGTAAGACAGCTGGAAGATCATGGGGCTTCATCGAAGTAGTCCTTTCTTGAATGCTCGAATATGCTGCCATCATTGGCCATGCCAAGTCTCGATACCGATCTGGTCCATTGCGATGTAAGGAATAGTGAGTAGAAGCATGCAGTTCAAGGCTGAGGTGCTAAGGTAAATGGACATTGCTTACTCAGCCCACCCGTCGTGACGACAACGCTTGCAGGGAATGGAACGAGCGCAACGACCATCACTAACACACGACCGACTTTCGAGAAATGTCATCAGAACGCCATCGATTGAGCCAGGCGACACTTGAGCGAAGAGAACAGGACACTTTTTCAGCTGACAGCAGCCAGCTCGCTGCAAAGCTGAGCCCATGAAACCGCTTTCAAGTCGCGCACCACCGATCAATCCGATAGAGCCGCCATCGAGCGACGACTCAACATCGCGCACACGAAGACTCTCGAGCGAAAGAACCGCGGAGATGCATTGCCCTCGAGTCTTTCTATAAGATATCATCCTCTCTCGATATCAACACGCGCTGCCGTGTGTGCCTTATCTCTCAAGACTGGGGTCGCGAAATCGGATCGGGAATAGCCCCCGTGCATCGCACAGAAGCCATCCTGTGACTGCTGATAAGCCACATTCCCACCGTTTGACTGGTCTAATCCGGTCGCTCCAACACGCCTCTGTGTCCGGAAAGTCAGTCAGCTGCGCTCTGCTCTGCCGGTTCAACCATGTTGTCTGAGGGAAGGCGCAGATGGACATTTCTAGGTCTCCTGTTGAATGTTTGAATCAACTGAGACACCAAGCCATCTAGGCTACATCCTTCGCTACGCCATGTGCCAGCCATGCGACCTGCACGTTGTTGCACAAGGAAGATAGGAGAAGCACAAGAACGCCCTATAAGCTGCGCGATTCCTCCCTCCCTGGCGGGTGAGGAAAAGCTCTTATCAGCAGCCATATCGACGTTCCAGTAATGGCTAGCATCCCTGCACTCCATATCTCTGCACGTCTCGTCAGCGTCCACCGTCGAGCGACACCACTGGCACGATACGCTCCGCAGAATCCTCGCATGCTGGTGTTCCGCGATCTGGGGTTTCCTAAACAGTGGAGTTTGTTCATTGTGAAGTACTGACGACCGGAGAAGCAAGTTTTGGGCTTCTGTGACAGACTGGCTGATCAGGAGCCTTATAACATCTAAGATGTGAACAGTGTCTTGTGCTGATGCTCTGGACGACATCAGAAGCTCGATCAACATAGCGCTTGATTGCTCTCGTGCCAACCACCTCGACCGCCCCTTGTTTCGCGGATCACTCGTGCTGTCTACAGTATGGGTTTCAATGCCTCGCTGATGTGGAGGAGCCCGGAGGTCAACCCTATCAATCACAAAGCTCGATCGATACCAGTTCTCAACCCCATCGACCAATATGGCCGTGTCTTCTTCTTCTCGTGGTTTGGCTTTCTGGTAGCATTCTGGTCTTGGTGAGCACCTGCCAAGCGTGGTCATCGCCGCGAGCAAGGATCTATCCCGTTTTCATGCTGACATTTGGACAGGTACGCGTTTCCACCTCTTCTGCACGATATCATCAAAGCGGACCTCAACCTCACTCAGGCACAAGTGAGCAATTCGAATATCGTCGCGCTATGTGCTACACTCGTGGTACGACTCATCGCTGGCCCGGCGTGTGATCGTTTTGGACCTCGAAAGACATTTGCAGGATGTCTGCTCATCGGCGCCATCCCGACCTTCCTCGCAGGGACAGCCTACAATGTGCATCAGCTGTATGCCGTACGCTTCTTCATCGGAATTCTTGGTGGAAGTTTCGTGCCTTGCCAGGTCTGGACAACGGGCTTCTACGACAAGAATGTTGTCGGCACTGCCAATGCTCTGACCGCCGGGCTGGGTAACGCTGGTGGTGGTATCACATACTTCCTCATGCCCGCCATATACGAGAGCCTCGTGAAAGATGGACTATCAGGACATGTCGCTTGGCGAGTAGCATTCGTCGTGCCGGGCATTGTCATCGTCGTCGTGGCCCTCGCCCTCCTACTGCTGTGCCAGGATTCGCCAACAGGACACTGGTCTACACGCCTGCAAGCAACCCCGACGACCAAGTTTGAACAACCCATGATCGTCAATGTTCCAGGAACCATCACTCCAACACCTAAGACTCCAGCTTCCGCTCGATCTGCGAACATCAAGGACGAGAAATCCCAACAATCGTCCCGCCGACCCTCCCACGATATCGAAGCCGGAGCTCAATTCAACCTCACCGCGGTCAACGAAATCATTCAAAAGCCATCACTCAGCCAAATCGCTCGTATAGCGCTCTCGCCGCAGACCCTCGTCCTCGGCGCAGCTTACTTCTCCACCTTCGGCGGCGAACTCGCCATCAACAGCATTTTGGGAACCTACTACGGAAAGCAATTCCCAGATCTCAACCTCCAAACCTCATCCAACTGGGCCGCAATGTTCGGTCTCATGAACGTTGTCTTCCGCCCCCTTGGCGGCGTTGTCTCCGATTACGCTTACCGCTACACAAATCAAAGTGTCTGGTCGAAGAAGATTCTACTGCACAGCTACTGCATCATTGCAGGAGCCTTCCTGGTCGCCATCGGATTGACAGATCAGCATTCTCTCGGTTCGTTAGTCTGCCTCGTGGGCATCGGAATGGCATTCTTCCTGGAAGGTGCAAACGGCCTAAATTTCTCCCTTGTGCCACACGTCTTTCCGCAATCGAACGGTGTGGTGTCAGGGTTCACGGGCGCAGCAGGAAACCTGGGAGGTGTGATCTTCGCGATCATTTTTAGATACAGTGGGACAGATTACGGGCGGGCGATTTGGACTATTGGAGTGATTATTATGAGCTTGAACGTGGCAACGTGCTGGATTAAGCCTGTGCCGAGGGAGTCCGAAGAAGCGGGCAAATGAGCATATACAATTCGTGGAACAAAAGTTCATTGCGGGTTTCGGTTATTGTTTTGGAGTTTGAGCGTAGCAAGAGATACCATGATAGAATGATGGGCTGTGATGAGTACACGAAAATGCTACGATAGTTATGAGGCGAATCTAAAATTTGCTCTCGTAGATGGCAAAGGTTTTCTCGGAAGACTCCATTCTTTCCTTCCCCGGTGCAAAGCAGCCGCTCTCGAGGAGGAACTCTGGCTTTCTGGGCTGAGCGACGCTCTTGCCCTCAGAGACGGCTCGAGGTGATCCGGAGATCGTCTTTGAGCACGGAGAAGGCAGAACCACGTGTGGAGCATCAGTCGTGCTGATACGTGCTGGTCCACTTGACATCGGTGAACAAGGACAAATTCGTTCGCTCCATGCATCGTATCAGTGGCGATCGGAATAGCCATGCGTGCAGAAATGTGAGTTGTCCGATGTTGTCGCGGTTCGTTGAGAACTGGGCTTGTTCCGGTATCAAGTGGGTCGTCTGATATGCACCACTGTCCCGCGGAGAAGAGTGAAAGAGCTTGCCTTTCACATGCATTTCGCAGCCTTAGGCATTCCAGCAATTGCTTAGAGACCTTCGGCATCTGCAGCTGCAGCAGCAGCCCGGATGCTCTGTGGGGTGTCGAACATGCGACATATCGCAGAAGGGCAATTGCAATAGCCAGTACGCTTGTGCGTTCGACCGGCAGCCTTTTCTCCTTCAAACCATCGCAATGTAGCTTTGATCCACCCTTTTCTTCTTAACCACTCATCAAAACTCAAGTCGGCCAGGTCTGGGTGGTCGCAATAGCAATCGTAGACGGCTTCCCACACTTTCTCGGGGACCTTCGACAATTCCTCCAATTCTTCAGCCAAGTTCCGGTGGACGTATGGATCTTCGTCGGGATCGGGGCGACCGATCACAGCCTTTACAACAGTCTTCGGGCTGGGAAAGCGCGGGCAGTCCGATACATCGATACACATGAAATCGTCAATGAAGATGCTTACGTCTCTGAGCTTGGGCATGTTGTTGAAGTCTTTCGCCGGATGCGCAGTGGCGTAGTAGCGATTGTCTACGACGTAGTCTTCGAAGAGGACGATTGAGCGCAACGCTCGCTTCTGTCGTCTGTGAAGGGCCAAATCGAGAAATTGAAGGGCATCCTTCTCACGCAAGAAAGAGAATGTGTTGTCGTTATACAACATCAGCGCAGCTTCCTGGTGAATTTGGCGACATGTGCGGAGGAGCTGCAGGTGCAACTTGTACTGCGATGGACCGCTCGTGAAAGGACCCAGGTGCTTGAAGCATGTGGCATGACGGCTCCGGTACGGTGCGACAGCGTTTAGGTGCTGGCCATTCTTGTCGATTCGAGGGGTACAACTCTGCTTGTAGGCTTCATCATCGTCATGCGGTACATCGCAGAGCGTGTAGAAGAATCGAACACGCTGGTCTCTGGCCAGAAATCGCTGAGCGTTGTCCCTGTAGGTATACCCATAGGATGGCGAATTCATGACTTCCAGATCCTCTGCAAGGATCATGTGTGAGCTGATGTGGATGTTCTGACCGCCGATAACATAGTGGTAGATTCGCGTTCGCAGCTCTGGAGGAAGAGCGAGCAACGGTGATTCTGGTGTCGCCTCGCTCTCGGTAGGCGTACGCATCTCTTCTACAGCCTGGAGGTCCATTGAGCGCCCGATCAGCGATCAAGGTGCCAGGCTTCAGGTTCAGTGAAGCGGTGCTCGATGTTTGCCACACGCAGAGCACGAACGTGAAGAATATTGGCGAGAGACGCGTGCTTGACGCGTCGAGCACATGCACTGTGGAGTGAGACCCTGAGAGAGCCGTGACGTCACGGGAAGGTGCAGCGCTGCCATCCCTGTGCCATTGCATGAATCGCTGAACAAAACCACCACACTTCCTCGAGATCCAACAAGAAATGGCCGAAGCAGCAGCAGTTGGAGGTGTTGTCGCCTACGAAGTCGCGGAAACAGCGGTGCAGGCTGGCGCAGCCGGGTATGCCATAGCCAAGCCGACTCAGCCATTGAAGGCTAGCTTTCACCAAATCGCAACTGCAAAGGACGATGAAACGAGGTGAGTTACTACCAGGATCCTAGCAGTATTTCTGACCTGACAACGATCTGAACAGAACTTCAGTAGTCCGCTCGGATCACTCTGTTACCGTCGTCAAGAACAAAGCATATATCTTTGGCGGCGAAACTGCGTCCGGACAGCTAGCCAGCAATGACATTCACGCTGTGACGCTGGACAAGCCGGCAGAGGAGAAGTCTGAGCATGAGCCAGAATATTCCATACTACCCGCGGTGCCCGATGCAGAAGGTCAGCCAGTGCCTAAGGCTCGAACCAAGCATGCAGCCACTCACTTCAACATCTGCGTGGCCGTCTTTGGAGGTCTCAATGAAGCTGGGAAATTGGTCGATGAAGAGCCAGTCATCTGGCTTTACGTGACCGGGAAATCTGCCTGGGAGAGTCTGAAGTCTGACCACGGACCTGCGCCCGCCCAGAGAAGTGGTGCCAGGTTGTTCAACTTCAACAACAATCTGGTGCTGTACGGAGGTGTCGATGCCAAAGGAGAACCCCTTCGTGATATCTGGCACTTCTCTTACACCCAGAAGACCTGGACTCAGCTACCGACCGCCCCTGTCTCCACTAGGAATGCAGCACTTGTGGACGGCGTTCTGTACCTGATCTCGGGGACAGACAACATGAGCAGCGACGTGCACTCGTTACATTTGCATCCCAATGAAAATGCCGAGGAGAGCTTGCACGTCAACTCCGATCCGCAGACAGAGTGGCACACGGCGTCTTTCCCGACGAATCCTCTAACTCCAGGCCCTCGGCCTCGAGTCGGAGGTGGTCTTCTTCCGATCTCAACAGGCTACGGGCGCAACTACTTGCTGTACTTTTTCGGAGCCCGGCAGAATCCCAACACAACAGAGGCCGTTTCTCCCGAGGACACCGAAGACCCATCACAATGGAGCGATAGCTGGACTTATCAGATTCCCTCGAGCAGTCCAGAAGTAAAACCAACTCTTAGCATCTCGGAGGCGATCAAACCTGCTAGGATCAAAGATGCGATTCGCGAGAAGCTTGGATATAGCTCTGGTGAACAGAGCTGGGCAGAGGTCGAGGTGCTGCCTCCAGGAGACTTGGTCGTCGGCACTGGTAAGATCCATCCCGGACCTCGCGCATTCTTCGGATACGATATTATGCCAGATGGGCATGGAGTGGTCGTTTGGGGAGGCCTGAACGCGAAGGGAGAGCGTGAAGGCGATGGCTGGATCATCAAGTTCCAATGAGAGGCTACACGCGTTTCGCGGTAGCAATGCATATCGACAGGACTGCGAAATTGATCAGCAGTATCAAGAACAAGAACCATGACTCGGCACATGGTCGAGTTGCCGATAGATGATACCCATGCATGGCAGATCAAGATACTCTGCCACCTAGCAATGGCAACACAGATATCACCTCTCCGTTCCACGCACTCTTTCCTATCATACTTACTCTCAGCAGATGGGGCACACAGTGAAAGCAAGTTTGGCGTTGAGGAGGTCGGTGATTTCCAGCTACGTGCAATGTGGTCAGTAGTACGAATCCACACACTGCCCAGGATGGCTGTAAAGTCTTAGGTCAACAAGGATGCTCTCCAATCGCACGATGCCAGTAGAGAACTCGTCCGCACAGGTTGAATCGTGTTGTTGTGAAGTGAGAGTCAAGTCATGCCATCCTGGAGCTGCGTTTGTCCTCACACAATGATGATTTGAGTGTTTGTGAGATGTGACTTGTATTGGCAGAGAGGAGGTGGAGACAGCATCTCTAACCTCCGATTAAGGTCTAGCAGTGCAACGATCCCGGTCGGTGGTCACCCAGCGGGCGTCCACCATCCAGCAGCACTAGCACCATCTTGCAGTTTCCTGCCACTGCTGGCGCAATACCATCGCTAGCACCAGCACTCGCTCGCCCCGCCACTGCGTTGACGTGTCACCACCCCCCGACAATCCTCCGCCCTCCGAACGCGCGCGTGTGGGAAAGCCGAGTCGCGACGTGAGCGGGCGGCGCACATGCTCCGCAGAACCTCGAGCCGGCCGAGTGCGTGACGGCGGAGCCAGTAGAGTCGGCGGGGAAGCAGAATCACCGACAGCAACGTACGGCGTCTTAAGGAACCTGCTCGCAACGCGAACGAAGAGCAGGAGCAGGCCAGCAGATGGACACGCTACCGGCAACGGCTACAACAGCCGGTCCCAGCACTGAAGTCTCTACCCCAGCCGCATATGAGGACGACGTCCGCCATGGCCACTTCGCCGTCACTGCTTCATCGCAGATCCCAAAGGCCACCAGCAGCATGTCGCCTCTCCCAGTGAACGCGTCGTCGCCTGACATCACTCTCAAAGACGCGAAGCACATCGGCACCCGCCTTCACGATGACGGCCACGAGATCGAGCTTCCCAGTCCCCGGCTGCGCTCCAGTCGCCTGTTCAAAGGCAAGGGGAAGGAGGCGGTAGCGATTGAGAAACCTAGGAAGAAGCCGCTGAAGCTGCTCGACCTGCCGCTGGACATCCTCAAGGACATCGTCAAGGAGGTGACCCACACCAACGACCTGACCTCTCTCGCGCTCTGCCACAGTGCTCTTCACGAGCTCACGATTCCGCACATCTACTCGCGCTTTGACATCGTTTGGCCGGACAGCAGTACACAGTCTGACAACAGGTCGGGCGTCGATGCTCTCACATATGGACTGTCAACGCTGGTCATGGCGGAGGAGGTGTTCGGTGAGGCGCCCGAGCAACGGGCGCATGCGCAAAGCAACAGGTTCAGCATAACGGAGGGAAAAGCGACAGAGATGGCGATAAGGAGGAGAAGAGGTAACCACTATGCGCACTTCACCAAAAAGTTCTCGCTCGGCAATGGGCCGGCAGACTGGGTACAAGAGTATCTGATCACAAAAGAGGGTGGAAAGATGCTTGGGACCTTGGTTGCGCTGGCTGTAGCACGCATGCGATCGCTCGAGACATTCATCTGGGACATGCCGACGGGCGTCCTCCGCGACGTTTGGCTCGCTCTCTCCTCACTAGGGGATCGGGCCACAGAGCAGAATCCGTGCAAGCTGGAGAAGGTCTGGGTGAGATGGCATAACAACTCCCTCAGACTTGCCGAGGTCGCGACTCCGATGCCTCCTCCACCACCGCCCATCAACGTCAACACGATGCACGCCTCGCAGTTTCACACCGCGATTCCTGGACCAATCCCGACACCTCAAATGCATCCCGCTGCACTAGATCGAGTCGAGCATCCCAACTTTTCCGTACTTCCAGCATTAAAAAGCTTGAGCGTGCTGGACATTGACGAGCTGGCATATCTGGACGAGATGGCTGTGCTGATCGGCAAGTCGCTTGACAAGCTACGTGAACTGCGTGTGGGCATCGCGAGACACGCAATGACAAAGGACTGGGTTACGGTGTGGGAAGGCGAGCAGTTGCGTCAGGTCGATCCCGACTATCCCACAGCTGGATCTCTCACAATTGGAGAAAAACGATTGGGCGGCGTCATGGGCATTCTGACTGGTTTCGTGTGCGACATGCGCAAGCCGAGAATCGTTTTGCCTGAGCGGAGGCGCCACCGACGAACATCGAGTAGAACGAGCGCGAGCGCGACGATTCCGGAGTCACCTGTGACCGCCTCGGCCGAGATGCCTTCTGCTTTGACCCAAACTGCTGGCATCGCGAGTCTAGGCGATGTCATCGCTGAAACAGCGGATGAGGACTCCATGGTTATGACTGATGAGACGACACCATTGCACGTGGATTCATCGCACGAGCTGCAATCAGAACCGAGCAGTGATCCTGCAATAGAGACTGCGCTACAAGCTATTGCACCTACGACCGAGCCGACAAACATGTCCCTACTCGACCAGGAGCCGGTCACACTGGACTCACTGGAAGATGTACAGCAGCCCTGGCTCGAGAACGTGCTCAAGTTGGAAAGCCTGGAACTGGAGAGGGTGCCCATCTCAGTCCCGGTCCTTCAAAAGGCTATCAACTGGACTACTCTGACATCACTGACACTTCTGCATTGTGGCAATCATGAGCAGTTATGGAAGACGCTTCGAAAGCAGTTCGCGCCAACGCCCAAGTCGCCTGTGTATCCAACACCACGACGAACAGCAGCCCCTTCACCCAAGAAGGGCGGCAAGCCTTCACTGCCCGACGCAGATCTTGTCTACCATCTCAACCTCAGGAAGGTGCATACCAACACTGTTTCGCCTGCACTTGTAAGTTTCCTGAAAGAAACTCTTGCGCCAAACAGCCTGGAAGTGCTCTTCTTGCAGGAAGCTCGAAGCTACAATTCACCTGTCGCTGTGGAGGCAATATATCGCGGTCCGCTTAGGAGACATCGCAACAGCATCAAGAAGTTGCTAATCGACAGTTCCGAAAAGGGCGTGGACGGAATGCCAACCAACTCCAACAGATGGCGACGATGGATATTGTCTCGCGATATTCTGGCCTTTGTTTGCAGCGGAAAGATGCCAGCGCTGCGAGAGCTCGGTATGGCCATCGACTACCGCGACTGGCATTTCTTCCTCCAGCACCTGCCTAGCGTCCCTCAGCTGCGGTCCTTGTACCTTCCATTCTTGGCAAATCACGTCTCAGGACCCAACGTGGACCCACGTGAGCTTGCGCTGCAAATTGTGGACATCGTCGCGCTGAGATCGGAAGTCGAGCTGTGCTACATGGGTATCGCGAACAAGTGCTTCGAGATTCTCGAAAACCGTAAGGAGGATGCTCTTAAGAGCGAATGGGATGTTCTGCCCTCAGGCTTCGTCGATCCTGACGCTGTCCCAAGCGATGCCGATGAAGACGATGACGAAGATGACGATGCGGACGATGAGGATGAAGTCGAAGACCTCGACGATGAAGCAGAAGAAGAGACCGAGAGCGACGAAGACGACATTGACGACGACACTGATTCCGAGGCCGATGGCGCCGAGTTCGGCAGACACGCTGCTAGACTGAGGCTCAGGGAGATCTTGTTTTATGATGACAAGGTCGCCATCTTCAAAGCCAGACATGGAAGACTGTAGATGACTAAAAACAACAAAATGCACAGAAGGGGGCACGGTATGAACGTAACGCGGCATTGGGGCGTTGCAGGGGACCTGGATTGGAACTCGGGCTTCTTTTTTATTCTTTAACACGTGGGATCCACGGAGCAGCAAGATGATTCCCCCCAGCCATGACCGCGAATCGCGGGCGGCAACATTGTTTTGCATTGTGTTACTACCGATCATTGTTATCTTCACGAAACGATAAGGAAAGGTGATGTTCTTCATACCATCCATATGCAAGAATTTGATATGGATATGGACATACAGCTTGTATACAATACAACACTGACATCATCATATGTTTCCCAGGTTTCACTTCGCTCTCGTGCTGTCGTGCTGTGCCTCGTCGCTACCACAGTGTTGTTTCGAAAAGCTTACTTGTGACTGTGACAGCTTTGGCAAAAGAATAGATCCTGGTCGTTTCTCCACGTTCTGGTATGAACCTGGCGGTGTACACCAAGCTTGTTTCCAAGATTTTGACTTCCCGCACGACATGGTATGCTGGAGGGTGACGACGCATTTGCAATCTCCTCCAGTCACTTTGCGGGAAGGTCATCTGAGTTGGCGGGAAATTCTTGTGACTTCATTCGAAACACCGTGCACGATGTAGGCGACCGCGTTCTTTCCTTCACTTGACTTCATCACATACGCGGCAGAACCGACTTCGCAAAGTAAACGGCTCACCTAGGCCAGAGAAGGACCAAGCCACCGACGGGGCAGCGGACAGCCTTTCGCCAACGGCAACGCAAAATGCATCCTCACATCAAACCCGCCGTCTTCCTCGCGACCAACTACCTCTTCTTCCAGTCAACAACCGCCCTCGCCCAAGAACACCAAGCCATCGCCATCCCTCAACTCCAAACCGACATCAACCAAATCCAAGAACAAAACGTGACCGACACAAACAACAACGACAACCCCATCCAAGTCGTCGACCCCTCCGACCAAACCAGCTACATTTCTCCCAACAGTCCCACAGCGATCCCTACTGCCTCATCTTCTACATTAGGTCAATTGGTAATTTGCACGACACTTACGGGCGAGAATGAAGCGCTTTATGGAGCGAGTAGTGAATGTCGAACATATGCGGCTTTGACGAGTTTTGCGAGTTTGACGGGGACGGCGGCTACGGCGGGCATTTTGACTGCTAGTGAGACGAGGAGTGGGATCGGTGGGGTGAGGACGACAATGGTTAGTGAGACGATGGTGACGGGGACGAGGACTGCAACTGCTACAGAGGAGACGGGAACGGCGAGGCCGACAGAAACGGGACAAGCAGAGAGTGGTGCGGAAAGGGGAGTGGGAAGTTATGGGGTGTGGAAAATGATATTTGCAAGCGGCGTGGTGGTTGTTGGTGTGGTGGGAATGTAGGCATGGTTGAGTGGAATGGGGTGTGTGGTTGGTACTGTAATGGGAGGAGACAAGACTGCTTGTGTCAGGCAAAGGCAGAAAAGGAGGTTGCCTTGATTATATAGGCGAATGAGGCCGCCCACAAGGTAATGTCGAAGTTCAAAGGCTTGGCTGTGGCAGTGCTCAAGGCGGTGCTTCTTCCTTCAGCCTTGTGTAAAACTGTCTCTCCAGCTCTGTCTGGCTTTGTTTCGGTTCACGTTAATTCATGTATTATACACATCAATCGCATTAGCATATCTGCATCGATTCCAGGCGCAATGCCCTTCAACACGACACCATTGCACAAAAACTGGCTGGAGTACTGGAGCGGCCATATCACTTGGGAGCAATACCTTGACAATTTGTTAGACCTTTGCGTCCAGAACAATGATGACCCGAGCGACCGCGATTTGGAAAACGTGCGATTCCAAGATCCTTTCAGCTATATGACTGCATCATGGTACAAGAAGATATATCCAATCGAAGAGCCTCAAGTTCAAGCCGTGAAGGCAGTGTTCAAAACATATCGCCAGGACACAGCAAACGAACCTCGTTTTGGCTCAGTAGAAGAGGTTGAAGACAAGCTCGTCCTACTCGAACGGAGTGGATTACCCGAGGAAGGTATCCTGGGTGTCAAGAAGCCTCTCGCGTGGAGAGCATGTTATGATAAACAAGCCAAGATGCTGGAGTTTCTCTTGGAGCGTGGTGGTTTTCCAATCGAGTGGCCTCTTCTAGATAAGACAAAGTGGTTCCTCAACTCGTCCCAAGATCCGGAGATGACGAAGGTGGTCAGCGAGTCTCGTGTTCTGAAGCAAGCTCGTGATCATATGCCTCCTAAGCAGATCGAAGATATGTCACCGGCAGAGATTTTCGATGAGGGTGGGCCGCTTCCGGTGAAGTGGTAATGCTTGCTTTATAGCTCATGCCAGAATACACTTTGCTACTTTGTCAGATGCTCATTACATTCCTCCCTCTCTTCATTTTACAACGTAGATGACATTTTCTCAGCAGCTCTGCCTCTACATCGACAACCCCTCTAATTCCCAATCCACCAAGCCCCATTATTCGTCTCCTCGGGTGTATCAATCACCAACTCACTCGAGCTATTTGCCGGTCTCTGGGGCCAAACATTCTTCGTTCCATCCCAGGCCTCAACCTTTCCGAACTCCGCCTCCGAATCCTCTCCCACAAACACACCCCATCCCGTCGAGCAAGTCTTGCTAGGATAAATTCTCGCCGAAAGAGCGAAACGCTCGTTGACGTAGATTTCCACTGCGGAGCCATCAACCCAGACGTCGAAGGAAATTTCTTCGGTTTCGTTGGTGCTGAGGAGCTTGTAGGGTTGAAAATAGCCGGTGATGGTCTCGCGGTTGAAGAGGTCCATGGTTGTGCTTTGGCGGCGGTCGACGAGGATTGTGTAGTTGGAGGGCTCGTAGATGATGTTTGTGAATTCTTCTCCGTCGGGAGAGGCGCCGATTGTGAGGCCTACTGGTCCTGTGGCGTTCTTTACTGTTGCCTTGATGTTGACGTGCGATGTGGTGTTCGATTGGAGAATAGTGGATCTGTCGTAGGTCCTGGGGGCGAAGTCAGAGTATGCTGCGACCTCACGAAGACCGTCGGCGACGTCCTCGACTGGTCGAACGCCCAGGGTGAAAGCCGTGCCGTTCTTGACTGTTACGAACTTGGCCTCAGTAAGTTCGGTCGTGTTGGTAACTCCGTCAACCTCGTGAACAAAGAGCTCACGCGGGATAGTGAGAGCACCTTGGAAACCTTGCTGAGGAGCAGAGAACAAAGCTTGGTCACCAAGATTGTCCTCCTTTATCCAGGCATACTGCACACGCCTGTTGTTCTTGGTGTCGTTGAAGCTGGTTGCTGCATAACCCAAACCCCAATCGCCAGCGCCACCGATGGTAGGGATGAACTCGACGCTGCCGTTCTGGCGACGAACAACTTCGCCCTCGTTCCAGAGCTGCCATTGAGCGTTGGTATGGAAGGGAACGTCCGGACCACCTCCACCCTCAGTACCCATGTTGGTGTACCAGTGATCCTCTCCAGCACGGTCCTTGAGGCGGAAGAAGCCCGACAGCTCAAAGTTGTAAGCATACTGACCAGTGCTGAGAATTGGTCCAAGCGATGTGTTCTGAGCTGGCTCCCAAAGAGAGCCAAGGAAAGTCCAGTTGGTCAGGTCATTAGCTGGAGCGGCCCACAGAGGCATACGTGGACCGACACCCTTGATACCAGAACCCCAGACGGAATAGAAGTGCTTCTCAACGCCGCGAAGGGCATCGAGCTCCGGGTTAGGCTCGATGAATGGGTCACGGAAACCAGTCAGGTCCCAATTCATTGGTGGCTCGTTAGTAGAGGCATTGATGACTGGGTTGTTCTCAAGCCTCTCCCAAGTCTTGCCTCCGTCAGTGCTGAGAGCCATGGACTGGGACTCAGTGCCACGTGTGTACGGGAACAGCCACTTTGTTGGCAGGAACTGTGCTCCAGTGTAGAACAGGAGCAGCGTGCCATCCTGTTCACCTTGAAGGTTAACAGACAGAGCAGAGCCAGAGAAGATTCCCAAGCCATCGTGGCTACCGTTTCCAGTAGGTCCGAGAGCGAGAGCCTCTGCATCCCGCCAACCACCTTGGTCTTCCCAGTTGATCAAGTCCTTGCTAACAGCACCTCCCCAACTGATGTTACCCCAGTTGATGTGGTTAGGGTGCCATTGGTAGTGGCCATGGTACTCGTCTCGAACAGGGTCGTACATGAAACCGGCGGGATCGTTCATCCAACCTGCTGGAGCAATGAAGTGGCTCTGTGACCTCCATCGAGTGAACAGCGCATTATTTGGCAGATTCTTGATCTCTTCCGTAGTGATGGTATCGCATTGATCGTTCTGGCGCTTGAACACGTTGGGCAAGTTCCACCCATAAGCCAGAGGGGCAGCGGCAAGGACTGCTGCTGCGGTGGTGGTAGACCGCATATTGAAGGAGTGACTATGGGGTCAAGAACGAGTGGAAGGTCGCAGTGAGGAGAAAAGCGACAACCTATTGAGGTCTCAACAGCATATAACTCACCTTCTGTGCATGTATGAGTGTCACTTCGGAACTTTCCTATGCCATTAGGTCAAAGACAATGCCGCTCACGCACGGCGCTTTCTGCGTGATGGCCCTGACTAGTAAGGATCTGTCCAGGTAGGTGGGCCTTCGGTGATCGCGCGATGCACGATGGCGACGTGTGGTGCGAAGTGAGCCAAGTCCGCACTTCCCCAGGCTGGAGATATGTCTGGGGAGAACCACCGGTGTGCCCGGTTCTCTCCATCTGACAAGCATTCTCCCGCCATCTACGAGGCCTTCTGCTGCCTCGTCAAGACGCGTTCAGCACGAAAGGCTTCTAATGTCGATGGTGGCGATCAAACGCGACAATTCGCGTGTGTAGATCTGCGCGGCATTCTCGTTCGTCATTCTGTTGATCCCTTGGCCGCTAGAGCATAGGAACCGGTCGACTTTGGCCTCTTTAGTCTTCGGTGTAATGGGGTGCAAAGAGGAAAAGCTCCTTGAGGTTAAGAGAGGTACCAGTACAAGAAGTGGTGCGCGGCGTCATGTCGGAGCGATCGGTCTTGGGCTGGTCAACTTCAACCCTGGCGGCTTTTTGATCAATTGCAAGGCATGAAGTTATGCCGCAGTATGCTGTGAATTTTCTTTTGTCGCAGGCAGAGTAATTCGCGCGAGGCCGGTGATCTGGTCACAGAGGTCAACAATGTGTGTTTGTATAGCTGAAGCAACGAACAGCAACGCGGAAATTCAGACTCCGCAAACATCTCCCTTGCCAGCACCATGCCGACATTAGCCAAGCTGACAGTCCGGCCAGGGGGTGAACCTCTAGTACCTGGCCGCATCGGGGCTCCCATCACAGTCCCTATTGCTCCTTTCGGTAGCGCCCCAGCACCTAGAAGCCGCTATAATGTTGACTGATGGATAAGGCAATAAAATCTCATGTCTCAGCCGTTAAATGAAGATCTACGGGACGAAAGAGAAACTACAGTGTTAGCTGTCGGTGTAATAGCACAAGGCATCGAACCATCAAGCCAGAGAGCGACTGCGAGTGCTCCATACCAGAGCAGCAATTCCGTTGATGATTCGTAGCCAAGTGGTGCCGGACTTTAGACCTTGAACATTGCACGTCACCTTCCGTCCGCTCGGATCTGTCGTATCGTTCTCATCGTCTTCTTTATGCTGGCTGAAGCTGCAGACACAGTCTCTCGGCGATTCGGAAACTGCAATCGCAAGTGCGGGTATCGCAAAAGGCGGCCACGCTGATTCAGCACCAGGAACTGCAGCACGTGGTCTTCAACTTCGAGGCAAACCCGGCTCGGGCTATTCGCAACCCACGTGGTGCGTCCAGTAAGTCTCACTCAGCCCCTCCATTACACTGCCACAATGTACGTCTTTTCACCTCTATGCAGCTCTCTGACCTTGCCCCTTCTTCTGCCATAATCCAGCTATGGTCTGCTGTGTTCTACGCTGTTGCTCTTCAATCTGCTCATACGTCTGTCCTTTGGCATTCCCTCGGGGATCGACTATTACTTCGGCGCCTTGACCAGCATCCTGCATGTCTACATCCTCATCCTTTGGCTTCATACGATCCGGGTTCAAGGCCAGGGCGCCATCCATCATGCCCATGCCACCTGCACGAAGCTGATTGATCGCCCTAACGGTATCAATGGCTTTGTGAAGAGTGCGTCTGGCATTGAAGTTCTTCTTGACAGTCGGCAACAAATCTTCTTCTCCACGTCCGCTGTCTGGTCCAGCAATCCATTCGTGGGAGAGTGCCTCGTGCGCCGTCATGCGTTTGGTCGGATCGATAGTCAGACAACGCTTGATGAACTGCCTGGCAGTTGAGCTAACGCCACGCCAATATTCGAGAGGTGTAAAACTGTAGTCCGCGACCAAGATGGCCTGCATCTCTTCCAGGTTGCTATCCCGATCAAAGGGTGTGTATCCGCATAGCAAGAAGTATGTAATGACGCCAATCGCCCAGACATCTACTGGCTTTCCGTGGCCGCTCTTTTTGAAAATCTCCGGCGCCATGTATCCCGGGGTTCCGCAGGTTGTGGTCAGTACATGGAATTGCTCTTCATCCATAATTCTCGACAGACCAAAGTCCGCGATGAGCAAGTCTGCATTGTCCTCGGGTGTGCGGAACAGTAAATTCTCCGGCTTCAGATCGCGGTGTACAATGCCATGGTCGTGCAGATAGGCCACAGCGGAAAGGGTCGCTCGAATGAGGTCGGCGGCATCAGATTCGTAGTATGAGCCTTTACGGCATATGCGATCGAACAGCTCACCACCGAGAGCAAGATCTGTCACAAGATATACTGTGCAACCCTAGTCAGCTTCCTGGCACTGATAGCTCTTGTCAGTGCCCGCCTACAATTGTTCATGGTTTCAAAGTAATCCACCAGTGTCAAAATGTTCTGATGTCCCATCGACACCCTCTTCAGCACGGCAATCTCGTTTCTAACCATATGCTCTCTCCCCGCCATGAGTCGCTTATTGATGACCTTGGCTGCAAAGTATCTTCCCGTATCGATATGCACACATTCTTTCACGACACTGTACGAGCCGGCTCCGAGCGTCTTGCCAGTCTTGTACCTGCAAGGCTGGACTTGGGCTTGCGCTTGCGCTGGTTGCGCCATCCTGGGCGGCGGGGTGGGGAATTGTATACGAATGCGACAGTCGTCGACGACACGAATGAAATGTTGCAAGGAGGCAGCGAGCGGCGATACCGGGCGGCGGTGCGGGCGTTTATCTGGTCGGCGCGGGTGGTGGTGTGAGGAGTGTTGGTGGTTCTCAGCTCGTGTTGAAGGCATGGCGACCGGTTCTCAGCTTCGAGAAAGTGGGGCATGCAGCCCGACGCTAACTAGCACCACCAATAGAACAGAGATTCGTACTTCGGCCACTCGCATGAGCGCGTCTGGACTTCTGGGCATATATCGGGTCTTCCATTGAGTGTATATTTGCGACGACATGGACGTCAGCGGTCAACCAGAACTTGCTGAAGCCGGAGCCGTTGTGGCCTGAGACGGAGCATCAAACATCCCAGGGACCAACCACGAGACATACACAACACATCCAGAGTTTGGAGCAGTACAGTCCGGTTCTCGAACACAGCAACTTGAGGACCCGGCGCGTGAGGACGTATCTCCCGGACTATGGCATTCGGTTTACTGGGCACACAGAATTCGAGCACTTTGTCGCACGTCCAGACATTCTCAAGCCAGCTCTTGACGCACCCCGGCAGTCCTCCACATGTCCGCGATGAAGTCTCCTTTGCTGTTCTTGACTCTAGAGTATGTATAACTGGAGATGGCCATGCCAAGCCTCCATCCAGACTTCAAACCGGCCATTGGGCATGATCACCACAACCTCATTAGACTGGCCCATCGAACATCAGCAACGACGATACGAACGAGGTCCCGACCACGTCAATAATACAGAACGAAAACGCGGTCTGACAGGACCTGGCGACTCAGGGCCCGTCTTCGGTACCTCCGAGCTCCACCATGCCCTAGCATGTCCAATCACGTTCCAAGCTTTACTGCTAGCTCCAAGGGCAAGATTTGGGTCATTATATACGCGATTTGCGGAATGAGCTCATCCAATAGAGTTGCTCGTAAGTCTGGACCAAGCAAGGCGTCTCTCGGAACAAATGCTTACAATTTCATAGCTCTAGCTCAGTGGTAGAGCGTGGGATTGCAGTCCGCAATCATCCTAAGGTTCGTGCACACACCTGTCACCGCCCACCTAGTATCAACTAACCGCGAACAGGTCACTTGTTCGATCCAGGTGGGGAGCTTGGCATTACTGCCATTCTTTTTGCCATTCGTTGATGGCATCTGTGGTGGAAAGGGTTGAAAAGGCGGTTTCAGGTGAAGCGAAATATTTTTGGGCTCCAGGAGCCAATTGCTCGCTCAGCAACAATTCGGAACTGCAATAATGCAGCTGAGCTGGGGGTCGTACAAGCGCCAAGCCTGGTCAAGAAGAAGTAAAGAATGTGATTGGACAATCTTTGCACTGGTGGGACCCCTTGACCCCAGACCGGGCGACTGTTGCAGTGCAGTCCCTAAACCAACATCCTATCGACCTTCTTCTGCCTCAGCAAGGTGCCGACATCTTCTTCCGGTACCGTTTCTCGAACGTCTACAAGTCCGAGCTCCTTTCAAAGCTGTATAATCTCTCGTCATTGCAATACAAGGCGGCAGTGTTCACCGCACATCTCAAGACTTCTGAACGGCACGGCTAGTTACATGAGGATTCGGAACGGGTCAAAATAGTAGGTAGCACAGGCTCGGGGATACGCTGAAGAAGGCCTCGCGGCAGAATGTCAGCGGGCGTACAACGGTTGTGCCATGTGCATTGTGCTACGACGCCCCGCCATGGTGTAAAGCCTGTTCCGAAATCACTCGAGCCATGTGGGCATTTGCAATACCCAGAGCGTCAAGAGCCAGGCGGGTGTTGGCCCGTGAACCAGCAGAAAGTGTCGTTGCCTTCCATTGTGCGATCTTCAATGGCTGTGCATCGCTACGACCGTACCGACTGCACGAAGGACAGCCACTCATAGGGACCGCGCAAGCGTGTCGCCAGCCTTTGCCGCATTTGTGCCGTCGGGGAACTGCATGATCTCTGAGTCTGGATTCCTAGGTCCTGCTGCGCTACTACGGACTGCCGCGAAAAAGTATCCGTCACATATCTATGGTCTTGACTGCATCAGGGCTTCGTTCCTGGCGCGACATCTACCAGACATGCAAGTTCCGGCCGTTCTGGACACTGGCTGATTCCAGATATCGGTGTTTCATTGCATTCTCTCTGCCACTCAAGCTCCCAGCTTGGCTCTCTGTGTCTTGCAATAGGTGCAAGATATATCTTGGCATATGCAACCGCCCATACGAGCATTCATCATACTGACAATTCGGAGCTTGCCACTCGAAGGAGAGAAGATGACCCCATGATCCCCAATGACGAGACCCTCGTGGAACTGCATTATCGCGTGTGTGCTCAACAAAGAAACAGGATATCCGCTGGTCCCTAGCATGGGGCCACCTGCCCTGACATCTCCAGTTCATCTTCGATGCCATGGCGTCCTCGAGGGCGTCCTTTGGTAGTCTCATAGACTACTATACATCATGCAAGTTGCCGACAGCAGTCACAAAGATCGACATTCCGTGATCAGCCGCTTTCAATCCCGCTGCCACTCTGCAAGAGCTCGCGTTGACCGCCTGTCCTCTGAAAGATCTGCATTAGCATCCATATGCTTCTAGCTGCTGGTAGCCGATGCATTTGCCCGCAGCAATCTCTCTACGCCGCCGTCAATGGATTGAGCAAGCCGGGAAAGGTGGGATATGTTCTCAACGATCTGGCCTGCTGCTCAGCCTTCTCAGCCTTCTCAATCTTCTTGGCCTGTGCCTTCTTCAAGAGTTCGAAGTGAGCTTTGGCGGCTGTCTTGTTGGCTTGATACTGTAGTAGAGATTAGTCGATGGTAAATGGCAACGACTGGTGGCTCGACTCACGATGAGTCGCGTGAAGGCAAGGTCAGCGAGGACATTGGTCTGCTGGCTCAGAGCATGACCCATGATGCCATCCTTAGTCTCGTCATTTGGCCAGCCGATCCAGTGCTTCGAGATACGGTATGCGGTCGGTACGTCGGCGGGATCGGGCAAAAGATGGCGCCTCGGGGTGGCTGTGAGATCACGTAGGTCTCCCCTGATGACCGACTTTCGTTAGCTGAAAGTGCCGCTTTTGTTTCTGGAAATTGCGAGGCGATGAGGGATGATGTGGTTCGTGTGCATGGGAGATGGATGTTCAATGGGGATTCTTTACCAGAGTCCGGCAGACATGATACCGATCAACAAAGTCTTCAGCTCGTGGTCGAGGTAGGAAGTACGCTTGGCATCCTTCGGCATCGAGATGACTGGGAACTTGTTGTCACGGCGATCATCGATGAGCTGGAGAGCCTTCTCGAACAATTCGGTGTCGGGGACATCGGTTCTGCCAGCAACGGCCGACATGATGGAGTGGGCTGTGGGAGCGTGGAAGGTGGAGCGTTGGATATCGATGAAGCTGTGTGAGATGTGGTGCAGGAAAAAAAGTCTGACAAGTGCACCGAACGAAGCAGATGCCAGTGATCGATGAAGATATGGGCCTGCTGCAACTGAAGGCGAAGAAGAACAGAAAACGCTGGCTCGGCTCTTCCTTACCGGAGGAGCTGCATGTGTTGTTTTGCCACTGCCCATGAACCTGGTGATTGCATGCTGTTTCCAGGAGATGCTCCGTGTCTCTGGAGAAAAGCGTTTTCACTGGCGGGTAGGTGCGAGATCACCTCGTCAAACAGCACTGGTGGTCGACTACGCAAGCCAGCGTCAAGTCGGGCCATCATCGCCGAACGGATATTCCACCATTGCTGCATGAGCACGGCCAATGCAGGCCACTTCAGTCCCGGCCTGCACATGGCACCTCGCAGCAAGGTCACGCTCATGCGATTCAACATGTAGCGTTTGTGGGTGCACCGATGCGTCCCCCGATAGCGCGAGCGCGGTGGTAGGAGACAATTCCTGCAGGTGTCAACATGAATGAGGGAGTCCGGGGCCCAGCAACCCTGGTACCTCGAGCTCTGCGTTCAATGTTGAAAAGTCGCGAGTGTGCTGGTACTGTGCAAAGATGCTTCATGGCTGCACCCGGCCCTAGCTTCGCTCACACGGGAAGCGCGCGTCGCTGTAACCCTTTGCAAGTAGATGGTAAACGAGATATCGATGCGTCACTGCGGGCTGCCATGTTCAGCGGATCTTTGCCGGTGAACGAAAACTGTGATCACAAACACAACATGCAGTTCAACCTGAGCTGCTGCGCTTGGTAAAGTCCGTTCGTTTCTGCAATCGATCAATGACTTTATGTGTTGGTAATTCGACGCTTATCGTGGTTGAGCTGCCGTGGCTGCGTTGAAAGTCGTGTTGTCGCCTCTGCTGCTACCGGCAAATGCTCCATTCGTCCTGGGGCGACTGTTCCTGACATGTTGTACGTATACTAGCGAAGCAAACGGCCATCTCTGCGCAGAAGAGGCTCCCTGCACTAACGAGCTGCGTGACGGTCAAGGGCGTGTGCTGCAAACGCGTTGCAGCGGAACCCTATGAAATTTGGAAGGCTTCGATCAACGACAGTCAGATTCTTCGCCAAGAGGAAAAGAATTCGCAAACCTGCTGGTGAGCAACGACTTGTAATCGAGACACTGCCACCGGCGACTCGGTGTGGTAGATACAGCTCGCTGAGCAATTGGGAAAGCAGCCGATTCAAACCTGTTCGTCCTGATCACCTGTGTTGCATGTGTCCCGGCTTTTGGCATCTGTAGTGACAGGTCCAGGTGGACCATGTTCACCGGGTTGTTGCACGAGCCCTGCAGCAGGCCACCGGTGGCATGTCCGCGTCCCGCACCAACCTCAAACAGGTCATCAGGATTGCGATTCTGCCGACACCGTTGGCGACACTGTAGAGCGATCCGAGCACTACTGGCATAGGCGTGCATTTGGTGCTTCTGAACGCAAAACGAGGGTATATCGCAGCTGCTCATGGAGCGCTTCCCGTGTACCGTCTCTTCCAGGCGATGCTGATGCGTCCCAATCCACTTGCTGTTCGCAATCGCACTGCGTAAACATTTTCAGGCGGCGTTTTGCGGATTTCGCGTGTTCATCAAGCTGCTCCGACGAGTCCGAGACGCGTTTAGGGAGACATTGCGGGAACGCGCATTGGCGGCGAGTTCCATGGTACGTGCTCGCTTGCGTCACGATATCGCGATATGTCGGAAGTGCAGGGTGGTGTTCGTGTCGATGTTCATGCTGGGTTCGGAAGACGCGATCCTGACGCGCAGTGCAAGTGGCCGACGCAGGCTGACGATGCATATTGACGCATTTGAAGACGTTCACGTCAAGTTTTGAGTAGTACTTGTCAATTGCCTCCCCGGCGGCTCTTCGAGGACCCTCCGGGGGCCACTGCGTGGAGCTCTTTCTTTGCGCCTGCGGCGAGCTGTCTGGGCTGTTGTTGCCTATCGATGAACGACAACTCCTTCCTTCTCCTCCTCAATGTTGTTGCCCGCTAAGGGACTTGGGAACTTCAATCTCCAAGAGACATGTTTGTATGCGCTACATGCAAAAAATTGTTCGGATCGTGAAGCTGAGCGGTGCATTTTCATCGTAGAACCTGTCTCTTCACTTCGCGCCCTTTTCGCAGCCCCCCTGTGACATGCCCGCTGGCGCGGACATGCCATTACAGGTGGCCTGCTGGAAGGTCACTTGTTCGATCCAGTGAGACATCCCGCACGGTAGTCGTTGTTACGAACAATTGCTAACATTAAGAAGGGTGGGGAGCTTCTTCAAGCTATGACTTTTTGCATATTTGTCCATCGCGCAGGTTCCCGGGTTCCGGAGACTTGCAACAGCAGTGTCTACTTCTGTTCGGTAAGCTTCGCATTGTTGCCGTCCTTTTTTGCCATTTGTTGATGGTATTTATGGCGGAAATGGTCGCCAATGCGTTTTTGGGCGGAGGGGAGCTTTTGCGCTTCGGAGGCCGTTTTTCGGTCTCCGAGCCTTCCGACACGACTACACACAGCTCTCTGTTGTCTTCTCGACGAGAAGATTCATCGCCGCAATTCGTTTCAGCTCACCGGTACAGGTTTCGCTGACTTACTGTTTTGGGCCGACGCACGGACGCTATAAAAAGTGGGTTCTGCCAAGTGAATCCTTGGAGCAGAACAGAAGTTGGAAAAACACAACCACAGCGCGTAGTCGTGTATATTCTGGCTATCATTCGAGTCCTCTTCCCACCGAGATGCCAACTGGCTGAATTTCATGCGACGATCCAGAGGTTGCATGCCACGACGTCGTCCCGAAGTTCCTCCTCGGCACCGCTTGCAGATCATGCAACCACTGAACATCCTACAACATCGTGACACCAAAGTTCTCCAATGCAAGCATGCCACGCTCCCAGCAGCAAACGCATATCACCAAACATTTCCGAAACTCCGACACCTTACGGACTTCACACAACAAAGTGGGGGCGGTGTGTTTATCAAGCCCTCACCCTTGCGGTGCTAGACTAGCCAGCGGTGCTGCGCTGCACATCTTCGTTCGTCTCGTATGCACAGCATGCATACGAGCAGTCTTTCACATGAAAACATCCTACCCTTTCCATGTTCTATCCGACAGTCTTCATACAATTGGACCAAGAACCCTACCACTCTAGTTCATGTTCTTCTCATGCGGTGCTCGTTCTGCATGGTGAAGAAAGTGAGAGGTAGGAATTGCCGCGCTGAGAGGTTAGGGTTACGTGCGCAGATATCTTGGTCGAATGTGATTTGGTGCTTCGAATAGATCGTATGCAGGGCAACATCAATGCTCGTACCTGGGAACGATGCACTATAGCTCTTTGTTATTGCGCGTGCGATACTGCTTGTTATGAGGTGTGCGGTGCAATGCATTGTCGTCGGAGCCAAGTCAGGCTCCGCTGTGAAGTCTTAGGGTTACGTCCGCAACAACCTGTGGGACGGCGGTGTAGCGACGACAATGTGTGTTCTCGGTGCTTCATACTTCAAGTTTCTCTTCTTTGGCTCATTGGAAATATTTTCACCAGTTCTCGCGTCATTTGGCCGCGATCTGCGAGTGTTGTGATGAAATACTCGATTTATCGACTTTCACAAAATATCGGAAGTTCGTGAACGTGGCTTTCGCTGCGACGCATGCAACTCGCTCTTGCAACAAAGCCCGAAACATCTGCTCGGACGAGTACACTCGACAGCGAGGAAACGATGACGGGATCGATGGGGAAGGATACTGAGGAGAAGCGAACCGAGAGATGAAATTAGACGAATGATAAGAAAGGGTATATCTTCGTGTATCGTGACTCCGCAAGCCTGTGGTCCACATGCATAACATCCACAGTTACGGAACTCCCTAAGCCAACCACATCACTACCACGACCAAGTCTTCAAGACATTCAATTCCGGTCCGTCATGAATACTGTCGAATTCCCGTTAGCGTTCTGTGGTGCCCCCAGTACTGGTCAAAAAAATCGAGCGATGCGAAATGCAGCACAACGCAGCGCAGCGACCAAAGCCGGAACAATAGAACGCATCAAGCTGCAACAGAAGATCAAGTAGGCCCGCCCGGAGCAATACTCACTAACGTCCCTGCTGGTGCTGAAGGACATCGACTCGCTCGGCCAGTTCCGCAGGATCTTCAAAGACATGCCATAAGCTAGGATCCAATCCCTCGAAAGCCTTCTGGAATCGCTCATTGCTGTTCTTGTCCTTTTCGTCCATTTCCGCGATCCCCTGTACGCGCCGAATATAGATGGCTCGAATCCAGCCGGGAAACTTCCTCGCGATTTCGCCATAGCTCTCGGGATCCTTCTGCGTGCTGTCGCCAATGCAGACCATTCGTCGATGAGGAAACCAGGAGTGGATCTTGACCATGCGGTCGACCTTGTACTCCTGTGTATTCTGATTAAGGGATGCAATCAAGCCACCGAGGTTCTGCCAAGAGGCGTCTCGGAGGATGATGGTTCCCTGTGGGTAATGGGCCTCGCGGAACCGGCGCAGGAAAGGATATAGGTTGTAAGGTGAAGCCGAAAGGTAAAAGAAGGGCGGCATTTGTAGAGTCGCCTGAATGTGCGCATACAAAGCCGGCATGCCCGGGACTGGGTTAGGGTCCTCGACGATGAAAGTGCTGTGCAGGATGCCGAGCGGAGACGGCGTCTGGGTGATCTTGATGGTATCATCGATATCGGATATAACAGCCCAGCCACGTTCCTCGGCAGGTATCGTAACAGCCGGCAGAGAGAAAGGTGGCGGCACATTCACGGCGTTGCTAACAAAAGGGGACATCTGTCCATCCGGCGAAAAGTGTAGCTGGTGCAGACCAGAGGAGATTCCACTGTAGCCAGAAGGTCCGAGGGTCTGCTGCTCCTTGTCATCGATAGAGATGCGCAATGTTCGTTTGGGTAGGATAGTATCCACAAACGGTTGCACACGCTCTGCAATGCGCTTCTTGGTGGCGATATCGTCGTCGCTGATTTGAAGTTCGTGGGCGATTCCAGCTACAACGCGAGATAGGTCTCGTCCCGAATTCTTCAAGAAGTAGCACGCCACGAACTCCACCTCCCATCCACTGCCACCGCGAACCGACTCAGGTCTACCACCATCTACAGACACCCTCGAGGGCTTCGTATCCTTTGTACTCTTGGGTTTAGCGAGATCTGGTCTTTTATCACCAGGCTGCGGAGTCCTGAAAGCTGTGTTGTCCAGGATCCAAACGGTGTCCAAAGCTGGATCTACTGGTATAGACTTGGTCCATGGCCAGACGATCGGAAAACGGTCGAATAGATCAGGCATGAATGCGCGTAGTTCTTCGGGTACTTCGGGGCTGTGAGGAGCGTCGTGGTTGATGCTGGCGCTCTCCAAAACATCGACAGCGGCGCGCCGGCCCACGTCGAATACATCTTTGACGAACGACGACATGTTGTCGCGTGACTCTTGACCCGTGAAGGCAGCAGAGGAGGCTGTGTTTTGCCCAGGCGTCCAGGTGCGGCCTGAAGATGATTCGAGCGTGCAAACACTGCTCAGTCTGCCGCTTCTCGTGTGCCTCTATTCGACGTGACTAAGCTCGATCTTCTTGGCTTCGGGTAGTGTGATGAGAACGCGTGCGGATCCGAATTAGCAAGAGCGCCCCACGATCAAACAGTCATGGTGGCGAACAGATCAGCTCAGGTGAGAAATGTAAGCAGCGTGCGAATGTGATTGAGGTCATGGACAAAGGAGCGGGCACGAGGGAATGTGTTCCACCAGGTCGAAGGTGCGTTACCTGGTGGCGGGTAACCTGCAGTAGCTCCTGCCTATCTCGAACTTCATCGTGGCGTCACTTCCTCAGCTTACCGTCGTTCTGCTCTTGTAGAAGTGAATTGGCACATGTTTGCCGTGAGCGATAGTTGATCTTGACGCGTGAACAGATGGGAGAGTGGTGGGAGAAACACGAAGATGCCATGTCAGACGTGGATATCATGTCTACAAAGTTGTGGGACAAACCAGCCACATGATGCTCAGGCGCAAAAGTAGACGCCAGATTGTCGAACTATATTCCGCTGCTGACAATGTCCAGCACGCTCACAGCACCGGACGTGGACAGTTTTCGTCATACCACAGCGCCGCGTTCTCGCTCGGTGTCAGGAAAAGCCCCATAACCGCAGGATCGGTGGTGGGCTTGTCCGCTCTTCCACAAACCAGGAGACAGTACGCGTCTTGCTGAGGCTTCTTGGGCACACCAAAGATCAGACACGAACCGAAAGAGTTGGATGGAGGAGTAGCGTTCGCGAGACACTCTGCCTTGCAAGTCGCGAACCCACGTGGCTCTCACGGAGTGTCCGTCAACATTCATCAGCCACGTCCTGTACTGGCTCAAGGTCATTAGCACAGACTCCCCTATCTTCTCGGAGGAAGCTCTGCCAATGGTTCTACCTCCACTAGAGATCTCAAAGCAAATCCTGCCTCAGGTCAAGCTCATTGGCAGAGATGGTTACAACTTCTCAGAGACAGCGGTGCCCTATGCTAATCGCACAGACAGATGATGTTCTATTCATGATCTCTTTATGACTCTAATTCCCTTGGACTGGTGTCGAACTTACAAGTCTAAGCCTTGCGCTTCCGCTGAAGAAGTGAGTGGCCGGTCATCTCCTCGGGCTGGTCAAGACCCATAATGTCGAGCACTGTTGGCGCAACATCACCAAGGACGCCGTCTTCTTTCTTTAGGGAGTATCCTTCTGGCGCATTGGCCATGACAAAAGGCACTTTATTCGTGGTATGCGAAGTCTTTGGAGTCTTCTCCTCCGTGAGCATCTCCTCAGCGTTTCTGCAAACGGTCAGTATTATTTCCAACTTGTAGCGTCATTTCGCACTCACCCGTGATCAGCTGTGATAAAGAGGGTATAGCCATGTTTCTTGCAAGCCTCATACACGACACCGATAGCCTTGTCAGTCTCGGCACAACCAATGACTGCGGCATCATAAACGCCGGTGTGGCCCACCATGTCAGGAGGAGCAAAGTTGTTCATGACGAATTCGTACTTGCCATCGCCAATCTTCTCGGCCATGCGCTCAGCAACGCCCATCGCACTCATCTTTGGTGCTTGATCGTACGTGGCGACGGACTTGGGTGAATCGATGAGCTCCCGATCCTCGTTCTCATACTGAACTTCTTGCCCGCCGTTGAAGAAGAACGTGACGTGGGCGAATTTCTCAGTCTCTGCGATGTGCGTCTGCTTGCAGCCCTTCTTGCTCAGCCAGTCTGCCAGAACGTTGTCCATGACTTGAGGTGCGAAAGCAATCGGCAAATTGAAGTCGGTCTTGTATCGGGTCATTGTCGTGATGTTGATGTTCTTAGGATATGGGAAGTCTGGTTTTGGTGAGCGGTCCTGGTCGCCGAGCAGCTGGACGAATTCGCGAACGCGATCTGAGCGGTAGTTGAAGACGAAGACTGTGTCATCGTCCTGGATGCGACCCGCTTTGCCATTGATGATAATTGGCTTCAAGAATTCGTCGTTCTCGCCAGCATCATAACGTTTTTGGAATGTCGCGACCGGATCATCAGTCTCCTCGCCCTCGCCCTCTACCATACCCTTGAGACCAATCTCGACACGGTCCCAGCGCTTGTCACGGTCCATGATGTAGTAGCGGCCGACAATGGTTGCAAGCTTGCCGATTTGTTCTTCCTTGAGGAAAGCGAGCAGGTCCTCCAAATGTCCCTTGCCGCTCTTGGGGTCGGTGTCGCGCCCATCGCCAAAGAAGTGTATGTAGACCTTTGGCACACCAATTTCCTTTGCGACCTTCAGGAGAGACTTCAGATGGTTGATGTGTGAGTGGACACCGCCGTCACTGACAAGACCGCACAAGTGCAGACGGCCATTGCCCTCCTTCGCACGTGTAAAGCTCTTGACAATGTTTTCCACCTTGTTCATCTCGCCCTTCTTGATTGTCTGGTCGATGCGCACGACATCCTGCCATACGACTCTGCCCGCACCAATGTTCAAGTGTCCGACTTCACTGTTTCCCATCAACCCTTCGGGCAGTCCGACAGCCAACGACGAGGCCTCTAGCTCTGTATATCCTTGAGCTTCCTTGCTGCCCTCTTTAGCGAACTCGTCCATCCATGGTGTCTCTGCATTCAGAATCGCGTTTCCCTCTGGAGCCGAGCTCTCGGAGGGAATGCCCCACCCGTCAATGCATATGAGGGCGACTTTTTGCTTCACCTGGACCATGATGGCTGCTGACCCCTCTCTCTGCTGTCAGCACTGCTGCGTTCTTTTGTGTGGGGTCAAGCTGACGAGCAGGGACCGTTGTTGTTTTCCGGAGAGACTCTTACCTTTTGAGTGAAAAAGCCCAAATGTAGTGCAATGTGGTTGTGGTTGTGGTAAATCTGAACGTCGACTCAGCGCTTTCTGCCAATCGCTCCGAAAAGTCCCCACCATCCCACCTGCCGCCTTGATGACATCGGTTGGCGCGCGATTGCAGGGGTCCACGGAGCTATTCACTGCCAAAGCTGTCACTTGCCTTGCCGCATCTACTTACTTTTTAATCACGAGCATCTCCGAACGGAAACGCGAATATGCGCGCCTGACTTATCTGACGCATCGCCTGTGATTGAGAAGATCCCCACGATGGCTCTCAAACAGCCCATCAAGACGACGACCAACGCGCCGCCCGCTGCGGAACAACGCGCTCAACTGCACCTTCCTGACCCAAGCACCTTCGACTTGCTTCCGAAACTTCACGAGCTCCTCGCACGCGTCGATGCCCACCAGAATGCAAACTCACTTCAGACCGACGACCTCAGTCTCCAGGACGCAGAACACACCGACATCGCGACTGCCTACGATCGCGTGCCGGAGTTTCAGCCGCTGAACGCCAAAGACCTTCCTACTGCACTTCTCGGATACTCGAAGAAGGGCTCCAAGATAGACGATAAGGATGTCTTCGTCAAGGGCATAAAAGACGATGTCAGGGACGCGGTAAGGAGTGTGGAGAGACTGCCTGACGTGGACAGGACGGTTGAGGAGCAGGAGGAAGAGATTGAGGAATTGGAGGAGAGAATCAGGCAGCAGAGGCAGTTGCTGCATAGCTTGGCTGGTATTGCGAAGGAGCTAGAGGGGCGAGTGCAGGGCGCCAGCTGATGATGCCGATGATGGAACGAAGGATCAAGTCTGGACTGCGCAATTCACGGACAGTGTCCTACCATGCAGCACGAGCACTTGGAACTATCATGATTGGAAAAGTCCCCTGTGTTGCAGATTGCAACACGGCGGGACAGACGTGTACAATGGAGCCAGCCAATACACGAACATATTGCGACTACAAGAAGATTGCCAGGAGACACCAGCCCGCCTCGAGATGGCTACTAGCGAGGGACGATACGAGCGAGCATGAAGCAAGCATTTGAAGCTCAGACAAGCCAGCAGGGGCTCTTCATCACACCGCTATGTTGCAGATGCTTGGATTGATCATCATAGTGCAGAAGACCATGCGCACAGGAGTGACAGGACTCTGCTGAGACGACCCTTCAGTCCACATGTCGAGGACATTGGTGTGTGCACGCAAGCGACATGCTGGAGCACTCCCTCGCAACGCTCGCCGAGGACAGCTGGAAAGTACATCCTGGCACTGGCCTTGAACGGGCGTGTGGCACCACTCCTCATCCTTAATATGCGACTCTCCAAGGAGACAGTGTGAGGAGTTACTTTATAGGAGCCATCTGACGAGTGGGCATAGTCATCTCCTCAGGGTTCAATAGTCACGGACGGCTGAGTGCCGGACAGACACGTGCCCTATGTAGCGTGCGGAATGCGGACTGTGCGGCTGAACGATCGCCAACAAGGTGCAACACAAACCAATGCGCCGTGCCTTGGCTCTCCGCTGATTCAGCATGAGTAAGGGGAGTACTTCGTAACAACACATCGCTAAAGGCTTTCATACTTGTAGGATTGTGGATGAATCGGTTCCAGCAGCTGAAATGCATGCCAGAGGATGGATTGACCTTCATAGAAGTGCCAGCATCAGGAATTGCATAACTTTGAGTTTGCATAGCGATTGTAATCACAACAAACGTTGAGCGATGGTCTAACGTGTACCTGCTAGTCTTCCACACCCCGCGTATTCTTGTAGTGTTGCTAGACACGAACAGCAGAGCGAGACACGCAGATCTTTGGTTGAGAAAACATGAGGTCCACTATCTACGTGGATGGCAGCTGCCAATGCGTGCTGCACGGAGAGTTGAAGTCCCCAGACCGGAACGGAAGGCGAGCACAACCGACGCCGACTCCGTCTGCAGCTCTTTTGACTTTCGCACGTTCTGGGCGGTGTCATCATTGCCATTCTTTTCCACACGCATTTTCGAGAACCTCCCGGCGGAGGTCTGGACCCAACCCATTCACTTCACTACGCCCTGCGGTGTGGAACGCACTGGCTCTCAAGTCGTTCCGTACGAAGGAAGTGAAGCTCACAACAAGACCAGCAAGAGTCTGCCTGGATCTTGTGCAAAGACGAGGCCCGTTCCGCATCCTGCACAAATGGCTTATTCATGCTGCAACGTGCAGCTCGCTGCTTGGTGCTGCGACATCACGTAGGAGGCTCCCATTTCCGCCGCGGAGTGCGCGCTCTTCGCCAACGACAGGAAGCTTGGTGGGACGACTACGACCACGCAGACCACCATCAGTGAGCATGTGTCTCGAGCGCCACGGTGAGGAAAGCCAATTTCGTACTGGGGAGCATTGCTCCAACGAACTCTAAAAGCCAAGCGCCGTCGCAGCTGTTGTGATCTGTGATGCGGTCATTTCGAACCAGTTCATTTGTGGAGACCAACGCAAAGGATCAACGGTCGCCGCGCGCATCCGCAGAAACAATTCAATGACCAGCAAATAGAGGCAGCACGTCGTCCGGAGTCTGAAATCCTCACTTCCCTCCTTCGTTCCACACAGGCAGCATCCAGCGTGCCGTTCAAGGACCACTTCATCCCGAGAACCGGGGACTCCTGTCGTCGGCACTGCAGGACCGACCGCTCGCCGTTCTACGTTCTGGTCAAAGCGCCAAGCTCGTGTGCTTCCGAGGATAGTCACTAGTTGTGCCTAGGGCTGTGCTTTGTGCGTACAGACGGAGCCTGGGTGTTCCTGACGGCTGTGACGAAATAGCAGCACACGGCCTACGGTGTCCGGACTTTGGTGTGTTGTTCTCGCCGCCCATGACCATGGCGTCAAGCGGAGAACAGGATCGTATAAGTGATAATGCGCCCACCGTGCCTGGCTATGATCCATCAAGGCTCGAAGATATCCTCGCATTGCCCCCCGGCCGCACCACCACGCAATCTGAAGACAGGTGCGAGACGTTCACACAAGAAGTTATTGCAACGTCTGAGGCAACTGGAGCACCAATGATGCAGTCAACTGGTGGCGCCGTCAACAGCCACCAGGATTCAACTGCGACAACTTCACCAGTCCACCAGAATTCCACAACTACAACATCAACACTTCACCACGACGCGTCACAAGCGGATAGTCGCGACAATGCTTTCATCACAGCAGAGGGAAAGGAGGCTGCCGAGGAGCCGGCTGACTACGAGATTGATCGCAAGTACAGCTCCGATACAAGTGACGAACGACCAGGAGCATTCAACCCTAGAGCCGAAGCAGCGCTTCGCAGGATCGCGACACAGACAGGGCGATCCTTCGTGACGCAGCGAAGCCAGAGTTACGCTTCGGCAGCGGCAGGTGATGATCTCGAACGCAAAGCAACAGTCGATCTAGATTACAACGACGAACAGCTTGACCCAAAGAGCGAGAAATTCGATCTCTACAAATGGACGAAAAAGACACTCCGACTCGTTGACGAGGAGGGCATCAAGCTGAAACGTGCCGGCATTGTCTTCAAAGACCTCAATGTCAGTGGCTCAGGCGCTGCACTGAACCTGCAGAAGGACGTCGGCTCGATGTTCATGGCGCCACTGCGTTTTCGCGAAACTTTCAACATGAAGAAGACTCCGCGTCACATTCTGCACAACTTCGATGGTATCATGAAGAGTGGAGAATTGTTGATTGTCCTCGGACGACCAGGCTCAGGCTGCAGCACTCTGCTCAAATCGATGACTGGACAATTGCATGGCCTCCATCTCGACGATGGCTCGGACATCAATTACAATGGCATTCCTCAGAAGCAGATGATCAAGGAATTCCAAGGAGAAGTCATCTACAACCAAGAGGTTGACAAGCACTTCCCGCATCTCACTGTCGGCGAGACCCTAGAGCATGCCGCCGCTTTACGAATGCCGCAAGCCCGACCAGGACAGGTTTCACGACAGGATGCGGTCAAACACATCACACAGGTTGTCATGGCTGTTTTCGGTCTTTCCCACACGTACAACACGAAGGTCGGCAACGATTTCGTGCGTGGAGTGTCTGGTGGAGAGCGGAAGCGAGTGTCCATCGCTGAAATGGCTCTGGCTGGAGCTGCACTGGCCGCTTGGGATAACTCGACAAGAGGACTCGACTCAGCGACAGCTCTGACATTCGTCAAGTCGCTGAGACTTGCTGCTGATATGGAGGGCTCTGCACATGCTGTCGCCATCTACCAAGCTTCACAAGCAATTTACGATCTGTTCGATAAGGCCATTGTCCTGTACGAAGGTCGCGAAATCTTCTTCGGCAAGGCAAGCGAGGCGAAATCGTACTTTGAAGAAATGGGATGGTACTGCCCAGCTCGACAGACGACCGGCGACTTCCTTACCAGCGTAACCAACCCCGCCGAGCGACAGACAAGAGAAGGCTTTGATAAGAGGGTGCCGAGAACGCCAGAAGAGTTTGAGAAGTACTGGAAGAACAGCCCACAGTACAAAGCTCTTCATCAAGAAATTGAGGAGTATCAGGCCAGCCTTGCTGCTAGCGGCGGCGAACTCCAGCAGTTCCGCGACTACAAGAATCAGGCCCAGGCACAACACGTTCGTCCCAAGTCACCATACGTCGTCAGCGTCTTTATGCAGGTCAAGCTCAACACCAAGAGACAAGCCCAGCGAATCTGGAACGACAAAGCCTCGACCTTCACTCCGATCATCTCGAACATCATCATGGCGCTCATTCTCGGTTCAGTCTTCTATGGTACGCCAGATGCGACTGTGGGGTTTCAGTCCAAAGGTGCCACGCTCTTCTTCGCCGTTCTCCTCAACGCCCTCACTGCCATCTCCGAGATCAACAGCTTGTACGATCAGCGCCCCATTGTGGAAAAGCATAAATCTTACGCGTTCTATCATCCTGCTACTGAGGCGATCTCCGGAATCGTATTGGACTTACCACTGAAATTCATGTTCGCTACTGGTTTCAACATTATTCTGTACTTCATGGCTGGTCTTCGACGAGAACCCGGACAATTCTTCCTCTTCTTCCTGATCAACTTCGTGACGATGTTCGTGATGGCGGCAGTTTTCCGTACCATGGCAGCCCTCACGAAGACGATCTCGCAAGCGATGGCTCTATCCGGTGTTCTCATTCTCGCTATTGTGGTCTACACTGGTTTCGTGGTGCCTATTCCATACATGAAAGATTGGTTCGGCTGGATCAGATGGATTAACCCTGTGTTCTACGCCTTTGAGATCTTGATTGCCAACGAGTTCCACGGACGACGCTTTCCATGCTCGCAGCTCGTTCCACAGTACCCAGGTCTTGCAGGAACTGGTCCAAATTTCATCTGCGCAACTACTGGAGCTGTTGCTGGCGAAACGTCAGTGTCAGGCGATGCCTATATCCAGGAAATGTACAACTACTCCTATTCGCATGTATGGCGCAACTTCGGCATCCTGTTGGGCTTCCTCTTCGCCTTCATGATCATGTACTTCGTTGCGGTCGAGTTGAATTCCGAGACGACTTCGACCGCGGAGGTCTTGGTTTTCCGCCGCGGCCAAGTTCCTGACTACATGGAGGGCATGGCAAAGGGCAAGGCCAACGATGAGGAGCAGAAGGCACCAGAAAAGGTCGCTAGCCAGGACGAAGAGGGAGCTGGCGATGTCAATGTCATTCCACCTCAAACTGATATTTTCACCTGGAAGGACGTGTCGTACGACATTGAAATCAAGGGGGAGCCGCGACGACTTTTGGACGAGGTTTCTGGATTCGTTAAGCCAGGTACTTTGACAGCTCTGATGGGGACTTCCGGAGCTGGCAAAACCACTCTGCTTGATGTGAGTATTCTCTTGTGATATACATTGACAGACCAAGCTGACTTTCAATTCAGGTTCTTGCACAGCGTACGACAATGGGCGTGGTGACCGGCAACATGTTTGTGAATGGAGCACCTTTGGACTCGTCCTTCCAACGAAAGACTGGCTACGTTCAACAGCAAGATCTCCATCTCGAAACTTCTACCGTCCGTGAATCGCTCCGGTTCTCCGCCATGCTTCGCCAGCCGAAGAGTGTAAGCAAGGAGGAGAAGTATGCATATGTCGAAGATGTCATCAAGATGCTTAACATGGAAGATTTTGCCGAAGCTGTCGTCGGTGTACCTGGAGAAGGTTTGAATGTCGAGCAGCGCAAGCTCTTGACGATCGGCACGGAATTGGCGGCCAAACCGAAACTCCTGCTCTTCTTGGACGAGCCTACCTCTGGTCTCGACTCGCAGTCTTCTTGGGCTATCTGTGCATTCCTTCGCAAACTTGCCGACAGTGGACAAGCCGTGCTCTGTACTATCCATCAGCCTTCCGCTATCCTCTTCCAGGAATTCGAACGACTCCTCTTCCTGCGCAAAGGTGGTAAGACAGTTTACTTTGGCGACATCGGCAAGAACTCGAGAACACTTCTGGACTACTTTGAAGCCAATGGCGCCCGCAAGTGCGGCGACGACGAGAACCCGGCTGAGTACATGCTGGAGATTGTAGGCGATTTCAGCACCGACTGGTTCCAAATCTGGAAAGACAGCCAGCAAGCTCGTGGAGTACAAGAAGAGATCGAACGCATTCACAAAGACCGCTTCGGCGCAGTGGACTCTGATGAAGACGAATCTGCTCACAACGAATTCGCTATGCCATTCATGACCCAGCTTGCCGAGGTCACGAAGCGTGTCTTTTCTCAATACTGGCGCATGCCTTCCTACATTATGGCGAAACTTGTCCTGAGTGCTGCTTCCGGTCTCTTCATTGGCTTCTCTTTCTACCAGGCCGATGCCACACTCCAGGGCATGCAAAACGTTATTTACGGACTTTTCATGGTAACGACCATCTTTTCGACACTTGTCCAGCAGATCATGCCACTGTTCGTCACCCAGAGATCCCTCTACGAAGTGCGCGAGCGACCAAGTAAGGCATACAGCTGGGTCGCCTTTATCATCGCCAACATCGTGGTCGAGATACCCTACCAGATCATCTCGGGTCTGATCGTCTACGCGACATTCTACTACCCGATCGTTGGCATTCAGAGCTCGGAGCGCCAAGTACTGGTGATGCTGTTCTGCGTTACTCTCTTCGTGTACGCTGGAACTTTCGCCCACATGTGTATTTCGGCTCTTCCTGATGCACAAACCGCTGGAGCAATCGTCACATTCCTCTTCGCCATGTCGCTCATCTTCAACGGTGTTATGCAAGCACCTGATGCGCTCCCCGGTTTCTGGATTTTCATGTACCGGGTATCGTTCTTCACGTACTGGGTTGCAGGTATGGCGGCCACAATGTTACACGCCCGACAAGTGACCTGCTCCGATGTTGAACTGAGCGTTTTCCAACCACCTTCGGGGCAGACATGCGGAGAATACATGGCTCCATATCTGACTCAGGCACCCGGCACCCTGACCAACCCAGATGCCACCTCTGACTGTGGTTACTGTCAAGTCAGTGTGGCAGACACGTTCCTCGCAGGCGTCAGGATCGAGTGGGGTGACCGCTGGAGGAACTTTGGCCTGCTCTTCGTGTACATCTTCTTCAATATCGCCGTTGCGGTGCTCTTGTACTACTTCTTCCGGGTGCGAACAAGCAGTAAGAACAGCAAGACGAGCAAAAAGTCGAAGAAGAACAACAAGAATGAGACATCTGGCCAGAACAGCGAGACTCGCCCTCAAGGTCCACCAAACGAGGTCGAACCTACCGAGTCTAACGAAGATGACGACGAGGCAAATGCCCGCGCCCCAGAAGCGAACCAGGCGAGGAGGAGGAGTATGGTCAGGACACCAACGTTCACTGGTGTGGCTAGTGACTATCTCACACACAATCTTGGCCGAGTGCATACGAACAAGAGGAATGCTGCTATTTATTAGCGCTTACGATTCATGATGGATATATAGAACATTTTACGAAACTTAGCAAGCATAATCAAGCAACATTTACAGACTTCAGTTGCTTTCAAGCATCATCTCATGTTCTACAGCAGTCTCCTCCTCTCGTCATGATGTCTTTACTGACCTCATCGGAAGCACTTCCGGGGCACACAGGCATGACGTTAGAATGGCGACAAGCATACGATAGATGACAGTACTTTACATGACTGAACAACATTCACAAGTCAGCGACACACAGAAAGACGGGAAGAAAAGAACTCAATCGAATCGCCAACATGACTACTGCAAAGTACACTGTTCAGCTCGACCCTTCGAAGCCAAAGGCTCCTACTCGGGATGATGCCGACTTTCCAGAATCAATTCCTGAAGCAAAAGATACCAAGACGCATCCCAGCAAAGCAGGTGACGAGAATGCCAGCATCTACTTCATCGGCACAGCAACGACTGTGATCGAATGGGAAGGCATTCGAATCCTGACAGATCCCAATTTCCTCCATGCCGGTGATCACGTCCATCTCGGACCAGGAGTGCAAGGCACTCGGCGAACCAACCCAGCAATCGATTTGCACGAGTTACCGCACGTAGATCTCATTCTACTGAGCCATTACCACGCAGACCACTTTGATCAGAAAGTCGAACAGAGTCTGAGACGAGATTTACCCATCATCACAACACCTCACGCCAAAGAATGTCTTACGGAGAAGAAATCCGAAGAGGAGAGATTCACTCAAGTTTATGATTTGGATCATTTCGAATCTGCGATTCTTGATATCAAGCAAAAGAAGAAGAATGAAGAGGATCATTTCGATTCTGCGGTCCTCAACGACAAGGATAAAACAACCGCATCTGAAGAAGGAGCAGGAAACAACGGCAAGAAAGAAGAAAAGAACTCCACCCCCTCAATCCAAATCACCGGAATGCCAGGCAAACATGTCCCCCCCGGTCCCCTCTCCATCGCAAACGACATCCTCTCCGCCGTGCCCCCAACAAACGGCTGGATGCTCGAATTCGGCCACACTTCCTCCTCCCCACAATCCTCCACCTTCTCCTCAGGCTACAGAATCTACATCTCAGGGGACACCCTCCTCGTTCCCGAACTCAGCACCATAACCGAAAAATACCGCGACCAAAACATCGACCTCATGCTCCTGCACCTCGGCGGCACAACAATTCCCAGCCCGAGTGTTCCATTACTAATGGTGACCATGGATGCGAAACAAGGAGTTAAGTTGATGCAGTTGATTAAACCAGATGTGACGATTCCGATACATTATGATGATTATGATGTTTTTTTGAGTCCGTTGGAGGATTTTCGGAAGGAGGTTGAGAAAGAAGGACTAGGAGGGAAAGTTGTGTATTTGGATCGGGCGGAGGAGTATAGGTTTCGGGTTGGAGGGGTGGGGGAGGGAGTGAGCGAGAATTGAAGATGGAATGTTGTGTGCTGAGTATATTGGTGATCGAAAGGAAGCAGAGTGAAGAAACAAAGTTCTTTTGTATTCGTGTCATTGTTGAAGACTGAAGTTAAAAGTTGTTGCGAAGCAAAATAGCAGAAGAAGTTGGAACGACACGCTCATAATAACGAACAAAACAAACGCTCAATAGAACCACGGGACGGTTTTCATGCCTTCATATCAATAACGCCTCGCCCAGCTGCTGACTGTCACCATTTCGCCATTTCTCGTTGAGAGGCTTCTATCCTGTCGTCTCGCAGCACTTTCATGAGACCCACACTATCTCCTTCGACCCGATCGATCGAGTCCACGTATGCCACAGCAGCATCTTGTGTAGGCCACGCCGAGAGCCATAACAAATTTCTCTCGCTTTGGTATACCGCAGAATCGACCAGTCCCTTCAACACTTGTATACACGAGCCTGAAGCATGGGTATCGGTTTCACCATCTTCAATAGGTCCCAGAAGGACTGGAATGTCTTGGTATCGCATCGGAGTTGTTCGGTCTGACAGTGCTTGTTCGTATATCACCAAATATCGACCCTCGCTGCGGGTAAGCGAGGGGATCTCATGCTTGTCGATGTCGTGAGGTCGGGGGACGGGTGAGCCGAGACGCAGTCGATGTGATTCGCCAGGTCTCTGTCTGGTTTGAGTTCGAAGGTCTCGTAGTCGCCATTGTTCGACATCGTCCTCGCTCCAGAGCTTCGCGAAGCAGAGTTGTCGAGTCGGATCCCAAGGGCATTTGTAATGGAGTGGCGTTGCTTCGGACGTATGAGAGGAAGCGGTTGGTGTCAAAGATTGCTCGGCTCTTGATTCGTCGGCGGCATTGAGGTTGTTGTTCGAACTCAAACGATCTGCAGATATTGTCTGCTCCAGGACAGCGTAGAACATGTTGGGTCGGTGAGTGTGTTATCAATAGTGGTAGTAGTAAGGCAGCGCCGCCATCTTCAGCCGTACAGCAGTGGGGTGCAGCTGATACTTGTACTTGCAGAGCGCAGGAAATCTGCAAGCCATGCAATGCACACACCCCTAAAGTACGTGCATGATAGCGCAAGAAAACGGTCACACGCCGCCCGCAACGTAGGCTGAGGAGCGCGAGAGACAAATCGGTAAGGTTGTTCGGAAGAGTGGTAGCAATGACCACGGCTTCCCAGCAGCACACTCCCAGCATCCACCGCTCAGGTAGGCTTCAATTCGTTTATCAGACCCGCGTCCACGGCGTCGGGTCTGCGTGAGCGGAGGCGTATACGAGAAGGGCTGGGATACATCTGGTGGAACATCAAAGGACTTCCTCTGGCGGGCTGGGATCATGGGTGGCAGGCTGTCCAGCGAACCACAGGGCTGCGCTGCTCGGCGACAGCGTGCTACACGTCTTTCGCGTAGTCACCACCACCGCAAGGTGAAACAGAAGGCGTGGGCGGGCGCTCTGCGGCAGTTTCCCACTGCAGTGGCTCTTGGGAAAGCATCTCGCGTCGTGCTGGCCGGTGCCCAATGTTCCCGCGCCCGGGTTTGAAGTAGAATCTTCGCGACCTTTTCGGCTGTCTGGAGGCGCATGTCGTGCTACTGCACCGCGATCCTGTGAGAAGTTACGGTGGCATCCGGGAAGTACTGTGAGGTAGGGAAACAGGTCGAAGAGATGGGCCAGGAAGGGGCAAAAGGTCTTTCATCGCATTCCTCGTCGACAGAACTCATCGCGTACACCGGAGTCGGAATTGTCGAGAGTATTCCGAGAGCGCATGCGTCGACGAATCTGTCCCAGCGCGCGGAACCATGTCACCGTCCTGCAGTCCGGCTCCCGCGGGTGCGCAACCCAGGAACTTGGCGAGTACTGTAGACGTAGCATTACATCCGAACCTGCGGCGAAGTAGCGGTCCTCCTGGCTGCGCAAGTGACGGAAAGAGCAATTGCTACGACTTACGTACCTCTTTGCTGTGCCTCCCGATGAGAAGAGACAAAGAGACAGTTCCGCACGGTGAGCATATCGAGCGTGAGCGGGAGACTCGTCTGGCCAGAAGCGTCAGCTCCGAACCGCACGCGAGCTCTGGCATTCTCCACCTCCACATCGACGCCCAATGTCCAAAGCAGCACCGACGGGTGATAATATCACATCGAAGATATAGCTACCGTAACGATGCCATCAAGCTGACGTCCAAAAAGCCAAAAGCCTCCACGCGGCAATCGGCAACAGGAAGCAGGCGAAAACCTTCCCAAGACCACCAGAACCTGTCCTTCAATTGACCACGAAACTCTTCTTCGCTGCCAGCCCTAGGGCATTCCCTAGCAAACTTCCGAAGGAAGAAAGGATAAAAGGACAATTGGAAACGCAATACAGCGGTAGCATGTGCATGTCAGCTTCCGCCGCCGCACGCCAACAGCATTGGAAAAGCCAAAAACCAACAAAGCTTGTCCATACTAATCCAACTTTTCCCCCCAGCATTATCGCTGACTTGCTCTTCACTCGTGCAGACGTAAAACTGTGCCTCCTCCTCACCTCTGAAAGCCCTCGATGAGTATTTTGTGCTAGAAGGACATGCCTCTACTGCTGACGACGCCGTCCTCGTCATCGAGCATCACCGGCAAACAGTAACGGCAGAAACGACACATCAGTCTCTGTTCACAGCATCGTCCGCATCAAGTACCTCCTAGAGCAGCGGTGCCTGTCTCCTCTTCTGCCGCAGCCTGCAGTCTTACATACCAGGACTCGGAGAAATGCAGTTGCCTTTTTCAGCCTGCAGCAGCATTCCCCTAGCCGTTGCCACACTCTCGGAGATATACGATCTCGCAAGCAGAAAGCTGCCGAAAGCCGTTGTGCAACGTCAAACAAGCGACTCTGCAGAAAGGGAGGTATCTATCTGAAATCATTCCAGCCGCCATGGCCAGCAACCACAGTAGCACAGAGCTACCACCCTAAGTTGCAGATAGATCAAAAGTGGCAAAGTTTCCCGCGGCGAGACAAACGATTCGTTTCTCTGCGAGACGGACTCGTTATGCCTCGTGCATAGCTCCGGACTCGAGACCGCAGACTGCAGACTGGCGAAAGAGACACTACTGTCTTGTCCATACTACATGAAACAAGCCCAATTTTCACAATTCTCCAGCCTAGGTAACACAAAGTCTCGAACATGTGAACCCGCGAAACAACCCACATTACCGCCACATCCCGATATTTCCATCAATGCTCTCCGCGTCCGCGCCCGCCACAATGTCCAGCGGCCGCGCCTACCTGACCACGGCAAAGCCTCTCTTTATAGAGAAATATTCCGCTGAGTCAGAGAGAGCAGTGAAGCGGAAAAGTATCACCAGATAAACAAGTGAGATGATAAATGACGAGTCTCTCCGCACCTGGCACACGTCGCGGCCTCTAGCGGCCGCACCTACAACGCCACGGCCTCTAGCGGCCGCACCTACAACGCCACGGCAACGAGGCCCAGTCATGGAGTAATAGTTGAACGAATCGAGCACGATGAACTCACCGCACTTTCCCCCCATTATCGCCTACCTGAGTGCTCTTACTGCACAAAAGGAAAGATCGATCAATGTCTCTTCAAATCTGATTCGCAGCTTCTCTACACCTTCCCTCCCCATGCTACCTCCCTTCCCTTCCAGTATTCAGAGACACACAAAATCAAAACCTCTCGCAAGAGCGACCCAGCTGATGGGCCCTGTTCATGACATGAGTATTGTAGAAAACGAGCAGTATCGGACATATAAACAAAACACACAAGTACAACCAAAAGAAAAGGAGACTTCTAGGTTCCAAGAGTATCACTCCTTCCTTGATTCCATTCGATTTCGCTCGCTCGCAATTCCCAGGTAGGTTCCATTCCATTCCCATTCCCATTCCCATCCGTGATTAACAAAAAAGAAAAGAAAATGCAAGAAACACCCCGAAAAAGGAGATCCCAAAGAGACAGTTTGATGGAAACGCGGACTTTGGCTGTTTAGTCCCGTGCGTTCCAATCCCGTCCATCTATGCAGTAGGTAGAGGTGTAGAAGCAGTAGTAGAGTCCTGTTGTACTCCACCACCTCCAAGCTTCCACCACGAAAGTCGTCGGCGAAGCGACTCCCAACTCTTTCTCACGTTGAGATCAATCAAACTTCGCTTTGGGCGGAGGTCGACGAGACTTTTCTTCGCGCTCAAGCCCTTCTCACGGAAGGTCTCCTAGCTCTGCCTTCGGAAGATCCCAGAGTGCTTCTCGTCGTTGTCGTACCCAGCGGGTGACAGATCTGCCGGGCTCGCGCTGAATTGTTTCTGCGCCGGGACCATCGTCGGTGGTAACGGCAATTCCTTGTCTTGGAACCCGTGGATCTTGGTGGTCCGAGGGAGTTCGAAGCAGCCGACGTCCGTATAGCTGTCATCTGTCGCGTTCGCCATGCGGCGCGACTCCTTTGGTGGTGTTGGCGGCGGAAGACCACCGCTCTGCCAGCTTCGCCTCTCTTCCTCACTACGGCGATCCGTAGAGCCATCCATTTTCGGTGGTGTGGGAGGAGGAATCTCACCAATTGCCTCCGCTGGCATGTTGGCATTGCCAATGATCGGCGTGCCGTTGTTCCAGAGCTTCTCTTCACTCTGCTGCGGCGTCACCCGCGATGGTGTGCGCGAGACATTGCTCGAGTTCTCAGCCGCCTCGCCAATAACGGGCAGTGTGACTTGATCATTCTGCGCATCTCCAGGGCTTCTGACTGCCATGATACTCCGATCGGGTACGTCCTCCTCAGACGAGCCCTTGCGGCGTGACTTCTCAGCCTGGTGCTCTGCCTTCCGGATGACCTTTTCGGTCCCAGGAGGGTTGGTACTATCGCGCGGTGGGAGGTTCATGCCACCGAGGCGCTCGTCTCGAACGGTGCCCTCGATCCCTGCGGGTATTGTTATGCCCGCATTGGCCTCCAATGTCGTCGAGAGCCGTTCCTGCTCCGCACGTTCTCTTGACATTGTGATGCCAGAGATAAATCTGATGAATCGGTCGCCATAGCGTTCCGGCGGAATAGGCGATATCTGTGACTCGTGTCCGCCCATACCTTTCCAGGCATGCTCAATCCTTTTGAGCAGCGTGTACTGCGAATGTGTTAGCTTATAGTCTGTCGATCTCGTACTGACCTGTACTCACTCTCGTCAAGCAATCAATGATGCCGAGATAGTATATTTCCTCACCAGGAGCGTCATCCTCGTGAGTTGCGCGGAAGCCACCATCGTCAGCATAAAAGAAGAAAGGACTTCGATGCGCCTCATCTGGCATCTTGTCCAAAGTCTGTGAAATGGGAACAGGTCTCTGTCTCTTGACCGCCTCCCGCATCTCCTTGACTCTTTTCGCGTTCTCCATTTTGCTTGGTGTTCTGTCCAATTGCGTGTGATTCCCATCATCCTTCGGCTCTCCCTCAGGCTGGAAGACACGCAAAGTCTTGTCGCGCAAGTTCTCTTCATTACCACGTTCCAAATCATGAATGCCAACCAGCATAGAATAATCCATGATTTTCAGACGCTGCAGTAAAGCAACATCCTTTTGCATCTGCGCTACAAATGCTTCTTTCTTCGTGGGCCCGAACTCGAGGTGTAGATTGCGACGCAACCAATTCAGATCTTTGAGTGTTGCACGAGGATTCTTCTCTAAATCTTCTTCTTTGAAATCTCGGCCAATCGTGCTGCCCTTCAGATCGAATGTGCGATGTATGTCGCGATGTGGCGGGAAGAGGTTGTTCATCACCACAAAGTGGATTTTCCTCCCATAGGGAATCTTCACTCGGTGAAGTCCATAAAATTGTGAGAGCAGAGTGTTAGGGTTCTCGGTGACATGATTGTAGTAGTCCCGAAGAATCATCCGCAAGAATTTGTGCTCTCCATGATGTATCGTCTTGATAATATATTTGTAATCTCGTGAGAAGTAGAAGAATGATCCACTCTTTCCGGGTGAGCCCAGCTCAGAGAGGATATACTTCGAGGTCAAGGACATGAGGTAGTCGGCAGGATCCAACTGGAAGTTAGCCCGGAGCTTCCTGAAGACAAACGGTGCATAGTCCTTGAACTTGAAGTCGTATTTGGAGCTGGGTGTCAGCTCGCTCCCGCTAATGTCGAAGCTGAATTTGTGCTTCGTCTCAAAGTCGGCGTCCGTGAGATCTCTATCGAGTTTCGCGTTCGTGCGGCTAACACAGCAACGGATACCGGTAAGCATGTTATACGCGGTGACGAAGTTGACATGGTTCTGGTCGACCTTGGTGCCCACAACCACTCTGTCATCGTCGGTGTCCGCTCGCTGCTTCTTGGATGCGCGCTTCGCTCTGATGTGCTCTGCCCACCTGGCCGCATCCTCATCTTGAGGAATGTCATCCAGGTGCATATCTGAGTGCACGGACCGCGTGTTACGCCTTCCCAGCTGTAGAGATGCTCTACGTCTCGTCGGCGTATTCGGCGAAAAGCGGCCCGTGGACAGGACTGCGCCGTCAAGCTGTGACGAGGGATCCGACCCATCTTTTGAAGTACGTGTCGCGCTCGGTACCTCCAGCGTATGCCGCTGAGTTAACCGATCTGGCCTTGTGGCAGTCGGAACTAAGCTCTGGCTGGGGTCGAAAGCTGGTGGTGAAGATGCACGATGTTTTGAGGGTTTGGCGCTCGGCGGCCTCAATAGTCCATCTGTAGTAGTCTGCGGTGAGCTCTCCTCTACTGGCGGGAGAGCGGAGCTGGGCGTCATCGGAACCTGTCCATGGCTGACGCTTCGTATTGGGTGTTGTGATGTGATTGGCTCCCCGTTCGAGATGCTGACAGGCTTGCCCAGCGGACTTTTGGTCGCTGAAATGGCAGGCTTGCCGTTCGCATGTGGGACAGCAGTGAAGTAGCCTTCTTCGGCTGCTCCTAGACGTGTTGTGGCCTCTTTGACAGCTTCGCCCGATCTCCGCTCACCGCCGTCAGATACGGAGAGGTTTGTTGCGCTGAGATTGTTCATGCTCCGCCGGCTTTTCATGCTCAGCGCAATGCTCTTAGCACTGGGCGCCCTGTCACTACCGGGGGCATTTGGTACGCTCAGCACACTGCCTTCTTTTCCACCGAAGCCCTCCTTGACGCTTGTGCTGCGTCTTGGCGCGGCATTGGCGTTTGACGTAGGCGGGTAGGCCTCTGCCAGAGCGTCCGCGGTAAATGGTGTGAGCTGCTCTGAGCCTGGTGTCTTATGGTGGTCATTTGGAAGGACTCGGGGGGATGTGCCGTTCGTAGTGGAGGTCGTGTAGCCATCCGCAGCACCCACCGACATGTCCCTGCCAGCCCCAGCGCTCAAGTTGCCGTGAACCATGAAGGCATGGGCGTAGGACAGCTCGGTGGACTTCCTGCTCAGCGGCGCCGTCGTGGATGGTGGTGGGTCTGAAGGCGGCGCATCGTCCCCTGATCTGAAGGCCGTGGTGGTCGCCAGCGCGAAGAAGTCCGGGTCGGCGTTGCGGTGGGCCACCGCGGTGGTAGGAGTCGACTGACGCTGTCCTATCGCGTCTGAAGGTCCTGCGGAGAGTTCGTGTAATGTGTTGCGGTATTCGTTATGCTGGGTGAGCAATAGCCGTCGCTGCAAAGTGTTATGGGCGCGCGGATGTGGTGTGTTGTATGTTGGCTGGCACGGAAAGCCGCTCAGAGCAGAAGAGAGGTCGGGCAGTCGGCTAACGGCCACGTCCGTACGAGGCTTGGCGGGGAGATCAGCCCGTCGTCATTGTTGATTTCGCCTTGACTCGCACGCGTTGGTAGACGGTCCAAAATTATCTATACCGTCTTCTGCTATTCTTGAGCTGACAAAACACGTGCAGCCTCATCAGCAGCCCAGCAGCCCAGCAGCTGCGTTGTGCAATGGGACTCGGCGGATGAACGTGTTCCCTGCATGAGCTCCGGAAGCTCTGCTTTCCGCCCATTGTTTGGCGTCGAATCACTGCTGCACACGCGTCGCTCTCACTTCCCAGCATTGGCCATCACAGTACACTTCAAGACCACTCGGGTCGCATCAATCAGTGAGACATGGTAGACAAGTCAAGTTCAAAATAAAATGCATGTCAGGCTATGTACTCTGTTCGCGCTGCATAGCATTGTGACATCTCTCGTAGCAGTAGCAGTACCCTCGGCCGTGCTCTCTCCCCATAACGCCAGTCATAAACATCCCCCAAAGCAAAATAAGAAGTCCCCGAGAAGCCGGTCCCAATACGAGAAGGTCGGCGGGAGAACAAACGCGTCCTCACACAAACCGCGAGCTGGTATCACACATACATATATCCATGGACCTTTCATCTGACGCCGAACACCTTGCATCGCCGACCGCGACCACCATCGACGCGCTTCTTCGACAACTGCGTATCCGATAACATGGTGCGTCAGGCATCAGTCCCCATTACGGAAGGTCGCAACGTCGTCAGATCGGACAGAAGAAGAAAAGAGACGCTTATGCCTTCTTGGGCGTCGCGCTCTTCTTTGGGGTTGCCTTCCTCGCGGCGGCCTTCTTGGGAGCGGTGGTCTTTCGGACGGCCTGTGGGGCGGTAGACTTGGTTACGCGCCCTGACTTGGTCTTGCCGAGGACAACTGGAGCCTTCTCCTCAACGGCTGGAGCCTACAAAATCGTCAGCATGGGCCTAGTGCAACATGTCACAAGGTTATTCCTTACAGCAGCAGGTGTCTTGCGCTTGGTGCCAGTGTTTGCCTTTGTCTTGGTTGCCGCCTTCTTCGCTGGTGCCTTTGCCTTTGTGGTTGTGGTCTTCTTAGTAGCAGCAGCCTTCTTTGGGGCAGCGGCCTTCTTGGTTGTGGTGGTCTTCTTGGTGGCAGCGGCGGTCTTCTTTGGTGCAGCAGCCTTCGTGGTCTTCGCAGCGGCGGTCTTAGTGGAAGCAGCGGCCTTGGACGTTGGCGCAGCGAGCTTCACTGTTCCAGAGGTACCTGTTGGCGGCAGCGAGGTCAGCAGCGTGCTCGGGACAGCTTCGATATTTGGACTGAAAGCGATGGGACGGTGTGCTCATCGATACCGAGAAGCACGACACGTCCATTGTCGCGTTGTGCGTGTGTTCGAACGTGGATGTGATCGATCGGTCTGACGTACCCTTTGGTCGCGCGAAGACACCGCTGTCGGAGCCCTTCTGGAGGGCGCGGTTGAATTGTGCGGTGAAGACAGCATCGCTGACGCCAGTGAGGTTGTTGTTGGCCTGGACGTACTTCTTAATGGCCTGGCGACTGTAGAAAGGGAGCAATGTCAGTCAGAGCTCAAGGCTGTGTCACACTGCGCTACTTCCAAAATGGGTAACAACGGCGACGACGAGGTGAGGTTTTTGACTTACGAAGAACCATTTCGCTCCTTGAGCTGTATACCAAGACGCGTCAGCCCAATTCTCAAGTCGCAGCAGTGGTTGTGGGGTGCGTGGTGCGATCAGACGTGTCGCCTGTCGCAATCTGATCATCCCGAAGACGACCACACCAAATGCGCCGGGAAAGCTCAACTTACGCTGACAATGGCCTCCTTGATCATGTCTAGAGTAAAGACGCGTCAGCAACTGGCGAACACGATAAAAGCTGTCCCGCATCGCCGCGACAGAGCGTGCGATCAGGTCGTCGTCGCAAACGTACCTTGGTAAGTGCCGTGCTGGGAGGCGCCAGCAGGCTTGCTAGCCTTCTTGGTTGCGGCTTTTGGAGGCATGTTGCTTGGAATGTGATTGATTGTGCTTGAAGCGGATTGCCTGGAGCGTCGACTGATGTATTGAATACGGGTGGGCGAGGTTGTGGTCGAGAGCGTGGTGGATGGGAAGCAACAGGTAGAGCAGTAAAAGGCCGCAGTCGCGCGTGCGGCGGGGAAAGGGCCCTATTTATTGTAGAGCTAGCACGCTGCGCAGCACTTGGATCAAACCCATCGCTACCCTGCACCTCTTCCACGAGCTAAGCTCCATTCTCTCTTTTACTCTTCTGATTCTTTTCTCTGATAGGACCGGATCTCACCATCTTGTCTCGGTCGCTTCGAGCCTTTCCTGAGCGCACTTCGACTTCCCTCGACGCCCTCCCTTCTTTGTTATGATCTTGGCACGACTCCACGCGCCTCATGGCTGTCGCGTTTCTCCTCCCAACTCTGCACCATTTCTCTTTTTCGAGAAGCAGTTCGTCTTCTGTCCCATGCTATGATTCGTTCAACGCCGGTGACAATACATCATACTGTTCGTTTATCCCTCGTCTAGTTCCGTACAAGGTCCCGTGATGCCTGGCTGTCCCGCACCTGCTCACGCTTCCTCTGTTGCCATCGTGATTTCCAGCTTACTGCATCATATCTCTACATTGTTATTCAGGCTTTGCACAACACATGATAGTACTACACGTGAGTCAGTCGCCTTCACTGTATCTGTAACGCGATACTATCGTGTTCGTCCTGTTGAGACTTCTCCACGCGGCGCGCCACCGCCTGAACCGGATGTGATACAACACCACACGCGTAAACATCTCACTTTTCGACAACAAGGTGTCTTCTGACTGCCTGCGCGATATTCGATGATCCATTCACGTCGCACGAGATTGATCGAGAGTGTAGGCACCTGTGGCAAACTGGTCACGCGGTCAGCGAATCGAGATCACGCCACCCACCCATACACCTTGGCGCATCCCAACGACAAGCGGCTAGAGAAGTAATCAATATAGAGATAGTAGTGGCACGGGTGGTGAGAGGACGAAAAGCTTATCATTGAGCGCTCTATCGAGTATCGTGGCGCATCATAGGATCCTCCCAAAGTGTTTTCTGCGCAATTTCTCTTTCTTCCAGACATCTGCCATCTCCCTCGTTGTGCAAAAGCTGAGGTTTGCCGTGCTTCATGTTCGTGGCCGCACGCGTGTTGAAGAAAACATGGTTTTATCTGAACTGATCCGGCATCTTCTGAGCGAGTGAAGAAAATGTGATCAACGTGGTCTGCTGAGCTGAAACTGTCGCACTCAGACATAATTGGTGCGGGAAGGTAGCCTCGTCCAAGTCAGAGGACTAGTCCCGGAGTTACCAGTGATTTCTGGAATCTGACAGCAACATCCAATGGCAGTCGCTGTATCCAGTGTAGTCGAAAAGTTCTGTGGGTCGGCAGAACTGAGAATGTCGTGTATTGATACCTCATAAAATGTCGGTGTCGAATCGTGCTGAGAGATGAGATGAGAACTGTCCATAGCAAAACTGCCAGGTCTGTAGTAGTGCTTGAGGTTCAAAGTGTCGGAAGAGTCGAGGCCAGAAAAAGAGTGTAGCGCTGCAGTCGTCTTTGGCCAAATCGTGCAGGCCATGCAACAACCGCTTCGTGGTAAACGTCAATCCGGAGCATAAGAACCGGAATATCATCAAGTCATGCCCATTAAGAAAAACGCCCGTCGGCACGCCGGCCAACATACCGCATGCCTCCCTTTCTGGCGGCACTCCCACCCAAACGCCTTTCCTACTCCTACAGATTGCGCTAGCTTTGTCGACCAAAAGTCCAATGCCACTAGGCCTGGGCTAAAGGTGGACCCGCCGGTGCCATCTGTTGCTGTGGTGGTGGTCGCTGCTGGAAGCCACCTTGTCTCTGCTGTCCTTGGAAGCCATTTTGGTCATTTCGTGGTCCACCACGACCTCGACCATAGCCGCCACCACGGCCTCCACGGTAGCCTCCGGTACGGTTTGCGGGGTTGAGCAGATCCTGTCCGCTGCCCTGCTGTCTGCCTGCTTGTTGCCCCTGCTGCTGTTGTTGCTGTGGCGGCGCAGTGTTGATCGGGCGGGGAATGTTCTCTGGTGCGTCGTATACATACAATTTCTTGTCAATAGTGCCAGGAATGGGTTGAATCTCAGTACCAAGTTCCTGCTCGATACGGTACAAATTGAAGCGATCTTCCCAGTTGATCAGGTTGATGGCCAGACCAAGATGACCAAATCGTCCGGATCGACCGATACGGTGAAGATACGTCTCCGCGTTCTTGGGGAAGTCAAAATTGATAACGACATTCACGGCTTGAATATCGATACCGCGAGTGAGAAGATCGGAACAGACCAGGTTGCGCATTGCGCCGTTGCGGAAATCGTGGAAAACGCGGTTACGATGCTGCTGCAACATCTTCGCATGCGAGTAGAAACACGAGTACCCAAGCTCGGTGATCTTCTTGGCTAACAGCTCGACACGAGTTGTGCTGTTGCAGAAGATGATAGACTGGTTGATTTGCAGTCTGCTGAAAAGTGTGTTAAGGCAGTGGACCTTTTGCTTCTCCTCAACGAATGCGTAATATTGTGTGATACCACGCAGAGTGAGCTCGTCCATCAAGTTGATCTCGTGGGGATCATTCATGTGCTTGTCTTTGAAGTCTTTCACTACGACTGGGAAAGTTGCGGAGAACAACATGACTTGTCTGTCCTTAGGGTGGAACTTGAGGAGCTGCTCAATCGTTACAGTGAACTCAGGTGAGAGCAGCTTGTCAGCCTCGTCCATGACAAACGTCTTCGCCTCGGATAAATCGGCGACACCCTTGCCGGCCAGATCCAAAATACGTCCAGGCGTACCGACAACGATGTGCACAGGATCATTCAATCGTATAATGTCATCGCGCAGTCCGGTTCCACCAGTGGTGACCATGACATTGATGCCAAGGTGCTTGCCAAGCGTCTTGCAGACTTGCGATGTTTGCAGTGCCAATTCTCGGGTGGGCACGAGAAGAAGTGCCTGAATCTTGTCCAACTTGGGGTTGATGCGCTCTAGCGTAGGAATGACGAACGCTGCGGTCTTGCCTGTGCCGTTCTTCGCTCGTGCAAGTATATCGCGCCCAGATAATGCGACTGGAATCGTCTCTTCTTGAATGGGCGAAGGCTTCTCAAACCCTGCTTCATAGATACCCATCAATAGCTCGCGCTTGAGATAGAACTCCTCAAAATCCAGGCCCTTCGTCGCTGTAACATCCTCTGTTTGCTGTCTGCCATCTTTCGGAGGTGCTTTTAGCCCTGACTTCCAATCGCCCTCCGCAGCTTCGTTCAGTGACGTCTTCTCGAGCTTGTTGGCTAGCCCGTCCGCCATTGCAATGTTATGTGTGCTGTGCTAAGTGCCAGCGCCCTGTGATCTGGTTGTATGAATGTCCGGAGGAAGCCAGACGGTGCCTGCGCGGCAGTGGTGCTCCCGCGAGCGATGCGGCTGACCTGAAGCTGACAGAAAGTCGCTAGCGGAAGTGGTGCAGCAATCTGCTATAGAAACCGCGCGTCTTTTTCAGGCGATTCTAAGGCCGTAGATCGGGATGCAAGCTATTTGGAGACGGCCTATAGAGCAGACTGGTTAGTCTCTGAAAGTGTCTGCAGTGCACGACGCGGCGTGGCAGGCAAGGCGGCAGTACGGCGGATCTGGCTCTGGTATGGCGTGGCAAGCGGTTGCGCGTGTGGTTCGGAGTGGTCGGAGGAGGTGTGGTGGTGGTTGGGTAGACTGTGAAGGTGTCTGAAGAGTCGGACTTCACAGGACTTCGAAGAATGAAGTCGGCGAGAGGCCCAAAAGCTTGGCGTTCATTGGTGCCATTGAGCTGCATCGCAGTGTTGCACAAGCCGACCGAGTATCCACCCGAGCATTACTAACATCCCTCTCGCGTCGCGCTTAGTTGATCTGTACATAGAAGCATCTGACATGAGCAGTGAATTGATCTCGTGTCTTCTGACTGAAATCTGATACGCGTGCGACATCCGCCGCAGCAAACGCTGCCATCCATTGCTTCTGTGTTCACGCAACTCGGCGAGCGTTCCGAGATTGACCACTGCCAGCATGTCTACCTTGTGAGTCGCCCTTTCTCACAACAAATGCCAGAGTCGATCATAAGACATCTCGAAATCATCTCTCAGACCAGAGATCATTGGCCCGAAATTGATACATCAAGCTTCGTTGACTTCTAACATGAAGGCAGTCACTATATGCTACGATTCGCCACGCGATCATGTCCCGCACTACGACAAAGTACAAATACCATCCGGCCTTCGCTGAACATCAACTCTCCGAGACTCTACGCAACCGGATCAACTAAGCGGCTGATAGACGCGAAATCCCTATCCTTCGCGCGGCCGACCCCTTTCGCCCACCGTCTCAACAAGCTCATAGCCCAATCCAAACCATTCCGAAGATCGTACAGCAGTCCCAACGGCCATGGCAATATGCCCGCGTCCTACAAGTCCGCCAAACGCGCTGTCCGGACACTAATACTCATCAACACTGGAGTCTTCCTTACCTGGGCCTATGCAGGCGGCCAAGCTCGTCAAACCAACGACACCAAACTTCTGCAATCACTCGTCCGAAACTTCATGCTTACCGAAGAGAATCTCGCGCAGGGGCGCTACCACACCCTGATCACATCAGCCTTCTCCCACAGCAACTTCTGGCATTTTGGTATCAGTAAGTCTGCCACACTCCAACCTGTCTATCACCATCGTTGCAAGAAAATCGAAGCTAAGACCACACAGACATGTTCGCGCTCTGGACCTTCGGCGGCCTACTCGCCTACATGCCAGCCATTGGCGCAAGACATATTTACCTCCTCGCGCTGACCAGCAGCTTCGCCTCTTCCTCAGCATGGCTCATCCACCGACGCTCCAAGGCAGCCCCGGCGCCAACGACCACCACCAAATCCTGGAATCCCTTCTCCTCCGCTTCTTCGCAAAGGCAGACACGAACCATCGAGGCGCTCCTGGGGGCGTCCGGGTTTGTAATGGCAACCGCTTCATTGTCAGCCTGCATCATGCCATTCGCGCCGATGATGATGATGGGCGTCGTGCCCATGCCACTATATGCCGTGGCATTGGCGTACGCCGCACTGGATTTGTATATGTTAGATAGTGGAACTAGTCGGACGGCCCATTCGGCGCATTTGGGTGGCCTCGCATTTGGCATTGTGTATTACTTGGTGTTGCTGAGGAAGAAAGGTGGAGTCTGGCAGTTGATTAGTAGCAGGAGAAGGTAAGAGGAGAAACGAGTATAGCAATCCCCAGTATTTGCTTGGTATGGCACCGTGAGAGGTGAGATGGTGGTGGTTATGTGACACTAAGATATGTCTGATGTACAAATGCATGCATGGAATACACATGACATGCGGAAACCCATACAGTCATTTGGTGCGCCTTTGCGCTTGTGACGTGCTTCCTCCTCCCTGTAATGCTGGCGTCACATTGGCTCCTTCGTGCCCCGTCTCTTGACTTCTCCACTGGAAGTGCCATCTTCGAGAACATCGACCGGTCTCCGGCACGATTCGATCTCTCTCAGGCATTACTTGTGTCTCCCTTCGCAACTTCTCTTTTCATCGACTCTTGAATTTACTCAACGAAGTCCTTGACTCTTTCTAACCAACCAAGGTATTCCTTCTGCTCCTTCACATCGATGTAGTCCGGCACGGCCTGAGCGAGGTACTCTGAGACACCTCGTGCGTTGAGGTAGCTCTCCAAGATGCCCTGAACTTCCTCGTCAAGCTGCTGGAATGGTGGTCCAGCGTAGAGCGACTCTGGGTGGTCGCGGATCAAAGCCTTAGCATCGCCCTCGATCTCCTTTGGCAGCTGCACAAGTTGGTTGATGATGAAGTCGCCATCAGCTGCGGTCAGGTAGAATTTGAGGGCGCCCTTGTTCGGTCTCTGAACCAGGACCGTCACGGCGACTGGGAACTGTTGTGGAGCACCTTCGGAGTCCTGTATTTGAATTGTCAGTCAATGTCGTGGGTATTTCATGTTCTCGGTCTCAATTCTCACCTCATCAGCCAATTCCTCACGATCAGCTGGGGCGACCGAGTCTTCTGGCGCAACCTTGAAGTTGCCATCTGCCTTGCCGCCCTTGTTGATAGCGCCCTTGGTATTGGCACCTCCTGACTGTACGTCCATGCCCTCCTCGCCAAGTGCCATGTCCTCCTCGCCGTAGCCCTCATCAATCTCCGAATTGAAGTCTGCTATCGAGAAGTGGACGGTGATCTGCTCGTCCTCGTACTTGCGGGTCAAGTAGACATCTTGCTCGCCTGGAACGTCCTTAACATCCCAGTCGGGGTTCTCCGCCTTGAACTGCTCAATGTTCTGGTCTGAACCGGCTTGTGTCGCCGACTCCTCCTTCTCGATGCTGATCTCGCTCTCGAGCTTGGCAGCAAGTTGTTGCGAGTGTTCATCGAAGCGTGCGCGTGTTGTGGAGAATAGGGCGCTGCGTGGAGCTTGTTGGCTGATGCGTGATCGAAGGGTTGATGTGAAAGAAGGTTTGATCGAAGTCGTGGCGAAGCGAGACGCTGTGCGTGGCGCGCTGCGGGCGAGAGCACGGAGGGACAACATTGTGAGTGATGTGTGGAGGGAAAAGGTATTAAACAGTCGATATCGAACAGATGGGATGATCAATGGACGCAAAGGGTCGGGAGTGGACAAGAAATGTTCGAATGTTCTTCGCGCGGAGGAGCTTGGACTCCAGTCGCGGAGACACGTGAAGGAGGCCGATTCGCTGCGCGATGACGAGCCGAACACCTCACTCGTGCTGCACAATTAATTCCGCGACGACGACCGGACCGTCTCGGGGCCGCTTCGAGGACATCGACGACGCTGCGGGATTCCGAGCGAGGGGAGCTGTGCATTGAGGTTCCGTCACCCAAAATCACGAATCGACAGACGCGACCATGAGCACCGTTCCCAGCACGAAAGGCATCGCTTCTGGCCCCAATGCCAGCCAGACGCCCACAGCCTCCGAGACGAAGAAGGAGAAGCCCTCGCCCCTTCGATCAATCATCGCAGGATCAACAGCAGGCGCAGTCGAAATCGCCATCACATACCCCGCCGAATTCGCCAAAACAAGAACGCAACTGAACTCACGACTTGCTCCTGGCCAAAAAGTTGCCTTCCCTCCCTTCGGGCCCCAATGGTATGCAGGATGCACGACTCTCATCATTGGAAACAGCATCAAAGCCGGAGTACGATTTGTGGCATTCGATCAATATAAGAGCATGTTGAGCAGTCCTGATGGGACAATATCTGGGCCCATGACTGTTGTTTCTGGTTTCTTAGCAGGAGCCACAGAGTCTCTGTTAGCCGTCACACCGTTTGAGAGCATAAAGACACAATTGATCGATGATCGAAAACGAGAGAAGCCGCGGATGCGAGGTTTTCTACATGGTTCGGGCATGATCTTCAGAGAGCAGGGCGTGAGAGGGTTCTTCAAGGGCTTCGTGCCCACCACTGCGCGACAGGCTGCCAATAGTGCTGTCCGCTTCTCATCATACACCTCGTTGAAACAACTCGCGCAATCTTATGTCGCGCCAGGAGAAAAGCTCGGGACAATATCGACATTCGGAATTGGTGCTGTCGCGGGGACGATCACGGTGTATGCGACACAGCCGATTGACACTGTGAAGACGAGAATGCAGAGCATTGACTCCAGGGGGCAATACAAGAACAGTATAGATTGTGCTGTCAAGATTTTCAGACAAGAGGGCTTCTTCAAGCTGTGGTCCGGAGCAGTGCCGAGACTGGGGAGGTTAATGTTCAGCGGTGGAATTGTGTTTGCCATGTATGAGAAGACTATGGACCTTCTGGAGACACTGGACCCGGATAAGAAGTACATTTAGCATGACATTTTTGACACAGCGAACAATGCAGGAAGCTTCGACTTTCACGGGAACGATCTCGAAGAGTGTGCTTGGGAACAGTATGCGAATGCGCAGGCGCTACACAAAATGCGATCACCCGCACTGTGCACTCGATGTGGTGAGGCAAGGCCTCGTGTCCCAAAGATACCTCAAGATAAGGACGCAGATTAACACTGTGGAGGATATGCCCATGAGCACAAGACCTTCCGTCAGTGGTTCGGAATCGTTGCAGCTTCAGCACATGATCAATAAATCTAGAGCTGAAAAGATGACAACCTGAGACACTATCCCACACGTTCTCAATAGCCATTCCTCAAGCGGGCCGCCCGTTTCGCGAACACTGTACTCGGAATACACTGGCCGCTTGGAGCGATAAGTAGCTGGTTACATTTTTGTCCGCCGAGCGACCACTTTTTAATATAAATTAACGGCACGTTGCAGGCTAAAAGCTTGGCGAACTAGAACATACCCACAATGACCAGCTTCCACGAGCAAACGCGCCATCCATCTCCTTGTGACTTCCAACCTCTCATTCTAGCAAGTTCTCGACTATAGAGAAAGCAGAGAAGACGAGTCGGGCCTTGGTCGACAGCTGCATCGTTGCACACACTTGACCACCGAAGCTATCACCTCCGACCAGCCAAAGCACACGAACGTGTTGCGTTCACTAGCCATGTCCAATAGCTATTTCGGTCAACCACGGACAGGTGGATTGTTTGACTCTTCAAGCACAAGTACCACCCCTGCTTCAGGTTCTGGTGGCTTTGGTTCAACAGCGCCTGCTGCAAGTTCAAAACTCTTTGGCCATGCGAATACCGGCACATCAAGTTCGAGTCGTGGACTCTTTGGCTCTGCGAATACCGGCACATCAGCTTCGAGTCCTGGTCTCTTTGGCCCTTCGAATACAGGCCCGTCAACTTCGAGTCGTGGCCTCTTTGGCTCCACAAATCCAAGCACCTCTGGCCCTGCGAATACCGGCACGTCAACTTCGAGCCGTAGTAGCTTCTTTGGCTCCACAAGCCCAAGCGTCACTCCTCCTATCTCGAGCTCTGGTACTCCTGCGACTTCTAGTGCCAATGCGAACAACCAATCAGCGAAGCCTCTGTCACGCGAGCCTGAAGACCTGAAGCCTTATCGTATAGCCGAGCCGTTCGAGTAAGTTGGGTTGGCGTCTCGGACGCTGCAATCAAGTAGAAACTAACAAACGAATAGCCCCAGCAGTCCGGTCATCACTGTGAAAGTGGGAACATCAGCAACAGGCACTGCCACTTTCCACGTACATCAAGAGATTCTGCGTCGTACCTCCGACTTCTTACGGGCGAAGAGCAAGGAGGTCTGGTCTGAGCCTGGTCGCGCGGTCGAAATTCCGAACCACTCACCAGCAATCTTCAGACTGTACGTGAACTGGGCATACTCTGGCTTGATACATCTCGCCAAGAAGCCGGAAGAATCAGCGGATAGGTCTGAAGCTCAATCCGATTCCAAGCGACCCACAGTAGAAGAGGTTATCGATGAGTCTCAGACTGAAACTGAATCAAACTCCGTCAAGGACAGCGAATTCACCGAGAAGTCACCCGAGAAGTGTCAAGCCAAGCCTCAATCGGTCATGCAAGACGATGACAACGCTTGGATTATCCTCGCGAAGGCATACGTTCTAGGAGAGGAACTAATTGATGCCAAGTTCAAAAATGACATCCTGGCCACCATGAGATTCAAGCAGTGGTCCGTCGATAACGAAACCATCAAGCCTTTGATGGGCAGATTGTCGAACATCATCTACAGTGGGACGACGGGGGGCTCTGACGCACGTAAATTTCTTGTGGATCTTTACTATGCTCGTGTCACGAAGGCAGAGCTGATGCACAAGAAGGGCTCCTTGATTCAGGACTTTGCGTTCGATGTGCTGATCGCTAAAATTCCTTGAGGTGGCGAGAGAGAAGGCTTGTAACGTCGCGGAGTCCAGTCAAATGCGCCTCGAGGGGCAATGGAGAACTGACAGCTGATGGGTTGACTGTTGGGAACCACTCGCATGTCGAAAGCTTTGGAGGCAAAGAAGCCTGAGACTTGGTCGAGCTTGCTTGGTGTGCAATATTATCAAGAAGTAGTCATTCAGCCCACCCACTTAGAAAGCTTTGACGCTAGTGAAGGATTGAATATTTGTCCAATGATAATCGATACCAGGGGTGTAGAGCTCTAACGTTTCACGAGCAGTCAAGATGATGACGAAAGTAACGTGCTCGATTACAGGAGCCAGATCCTCTCCTTTCCAGAAGCATCTCTTACACCACCTGCATTCATCTGCCCATAAAGTATCCTCAACCCTAACGCCAACGCAGCCGTAGCAAAACTACACGCCGCACAAACAAAATTTCCCGTCGGATATCCACTCGCCGCCTCCCTGGGCAACCAAATCCACTGCGCAATAATCTGACTCACACCAGCCATACTATTGTTCATCGCCGTCGCAACCGCCATTGTCGTGATCGCTGGAACATTACACGTCACCCAAGCGCTCAACGGGCCCGAAGATGGGAAGGCTCCGGCAGCACAAAGCATCAAACACCCGTACCGGGCTGTGTAAGCGTCTGCGGGCAGAAGGCCAGCTGTGAGCCAGCCGATTCCACCGAGAGTGGAGGAGATTCCGATGTGTAGGCCTCGTTTGTTGGTGCGGTCGGCGGACCATCCGAGGAAGAGACAGATTATGTAGCCTACGACCCAAGGTGGAACGGTCATGAGTTGGGCGGAGATACTGGTGTAGCCCAGGCCAGAGACGATGGTTGGTGTGAAGAAGGTTAGAGAGCCGAGGGGGACGCAGTTGGTCGCCTTAATTGATGTGTCAGTTGTAGAAGCTAATGCGACTTTGGCGAAGACTTACGTAGGCGAAGTAGTGCGTCAACATCCTTGGGCTGAAAGCTGTGGCCATAATTTCCTGCTTCGTGGACTTTTGCTGCGTGAAACCACCACCTTTGACAGCAATGCGGTCTTGAATGTATTTCTTGTCATCGTTGTTCAGCCACTTGGCACGACTGGGATAATCAGGCAAGAAGAGTAGGACGGGAATGACCATAATGACGGTAATGATGCCTTCGATGATGAACAACCATCGGAAACCTTCGAGTCCTGCTGTGTTGTTCATATTTCCCACACCGTAGGCTATGCATCCGCCAAAGGCTCCGGCAGCAGTCGCTGATGCGAGGACGAAAGCAATTCGCACGCTGCGTTCTTCGACAGGATACCAGAATGTGATGAGGTAAACGATACCTGGAAAGAAGCCCTGCGTATATTGTCAGCTTCAATATATTGAAGTGTCGGGACGAAAATGCTTACAGCTTCGAAGACACCAATGAAAAACCTCAGAACTACTACAGTCGCGTAGTTCTGCACTCCAGCGAAACCGATAGTAAACACACCCCACGCTCCAAGCAATGTCGCAAGCCAAACGCTCGGACGAACATATCTCTTCATGATCCAATTGCTGGGTACTTCGAACAATGCGTATGCGAGCGAAAAGAGCGAAACCGCCACGGCGTAATTTGTGTTAGTCATATTCGTAGCTTGCAAGAGAGAGTCGCCAGTCTCTTGGTTCAGTACTTTGGAATTGCCGATGTTGCCTCTGTCGAGATAGTTGAGAAGGTAGACCCAAGCGCAAAGCGGTAAGATGTGGAGGTCCATGCGACGGACGAGCTTTCGTGCTCGTTGCTTGTCTTCAACGAACGGTATGTGTTTGATAGGATCTTCTTCCGGGCCCTGCTGATTTGTTAGCTCGGAGAATCTGTTTGTGACAGGCCATGTCCATTACCGCTGCAGTTTCGATAGCATCTTCGGCATGGATTGCTCCATGCTCCTCTTTTTCGGTCCCAGCCATTATGTTCGGCTTTAGCGTGTAATTCGCAAGTGCTTGTTGGGAGAGTGAAGATCAGAACTCAACACATTGATGTGAGTGATACAAGTGGCATATGAGGAGCAGAAGTGGCGTGAAAGGAATCTGGCAGAAAGATGGTCATTGCGGAAGACTTGCCTTGTTGCCGCTCTGGTGTTTCCACTCTGTGTAGATCTTGCCCGCTCGTGGGAAGCCATGTTGCATGCCCGCCACGCGATCATGCAGATCAATATGGGGTTTCGCGGAGAAGAGCGTGCGGAGAAGTGTGCCCCATTTGCATGCAGAAGAGCTGTCACGACTTTGGAGTGCTTTTTGATGACGATGCACGACGGATATTGGTACCAAGTACATGCATGCATGTAGCATGGTTATATTTCTATTAGTTGCTTCGCTCCAATGCAAGATTTGTGCTTGGGAGAAAGTCAGGCGAGCTTGTTATTGATCACTTCACTTGTGCGCGGGTAGAAAGCACTGCATAGCTACCTATGGTAGTCATACACCAGGGCTTGCCAGAGATCCGCCAACTCGCATCCGCCGAAGAATTGACATGCATATGTGCAGCGCATCGGAATGGGATGCCATACCTGGCGGTTGCTAGATCCGTCGGGTTGCCGCTTTCGTCATCGCATCTGTCTGTGTGTAGTATATTCGAGCCTGAGGGCGGTATGTGATGACCCGTCTTCTAGTGCTTAAGATGTTTGCGAACAGACATCACAGAGGCTGCCTTCCTGCACTCGAAGGGTGTCGCTTTTGTACAGGCTGCAAGGATCGGTTCGGATAGACGTCATCAATGCCAAGCCGGCTCAAAGCTGTGAGTGTGCAAAGGTACCGGCCCGTGGTGTTGGTTGTTGAATCAATGGCAAGAGCTTTGCATCTGCTTCATTCTCTGTGACAATTTCAGTCCCAATCTCCTGTGACCTGCCCAGACATCAAGATATTGACCAAGAAGATAAGCGGAGCAAAATGCCATTCGCCACAGTCAATGGCCATGCTATCCAGTATGTCGAAAGCGGGCAGGTAGGGTACAACGTGCAAGAAGACAAGCTACCGATTGTCTGCATACACGGATTGGGAAGCTCGCAGAATTATTACATGCCAGTCGTGCCGTACCTGGAAGGTCACAGAGTCGTCGCGCTCACCACATATGGAGCGGCGGAATCGAAGTCGAAAGGAGAGAAATTGAGCTTGGTGGATATGGCGGAAGACGTGATAAGCTTGATGGACCATCTTAAGATTCCAAAAGCTATCGTGGCTGGACATTCCATGGGCGGACCAATGGCACTGACTGTTGCGGCGCGGCATCCAGACAGAGTCGTCGGCGTTGTCGCGATCGGACCTGTAAACCCATCCTCTATCAAAGCAGAGATGTTTACTGCGAGGATCGAGACTGTCACTAAAGGTACGCATTTGAGAGTCAAGATCGATCTCTGCTAGAACAACGTGCTGATAATCCGAAGATGGCATGGAGCCATTAGCAAACACTGTTCCGAAGGCTGCCACGGGCTCAAACAGCACGCCTCTCCAGCGAGCTTTCATTCGCGAACTCATCCTTGGCCAAGAACCCAAGTCGTACGCGATGCACTGTGAAGCTATCATCAACATGAAGGATCCCGGATTCTCTTCCATGACTACGCCTGTCGTTATCCTGGCAGGCGAGGAGGACCAGTCCGCACCATTGGCTGGTTGTCAGTTCATCCACGATAACCTTGGCAGCAAGCAGAAGGAGCTCAAAGTGTATAGCAAGGTGGGACATTGGCATTGTATTGAGGTTCCTGAGCAGGTCGGCAAGGACATTCTTGAATTTGCGGCGAAGCTCGCGTGAAGATGATCGGAATTGGGGAGAGCAGAAGATCGGATGCAGCGCTATGCGAGTCGACCTGTCTACCGATCATTCACCTCTCGGCAAGGTTTTCGAAGAGAAGATCTCGCTTTGCAGTGAGCTGCCTAAGCTGCTCACGAGCTTCTTCAAGCCTGTTGCGGGAAGACCGCGCGTCTGAAGGTAGCTCCCTAAACTCCTTCAGCTCGTTCTCGAGTTCACGCAGTCGTGACTTCTGCTTCTCCAGCTCATTTGATTTGTGATATATGTGTTCCAGACTTGTCGACGAAGAAGGTGGCCGGGTAGCACTCAGTCGCTCGTCATACTCCGCGATCTTGGCTTTGAGAGTCTTGGTGGTTCTTGCCCACTCTGTTGCGTTGTCCACCACATCAGCAGGTGCTTCAAAATCAGGACCAGATAATTCGTCGAGCAAGGTCCGCATTCGCTTGGTTTCCTGCTTCATATTGGCCAATTGCTGTTGCACTCGTGCAAGCTGCTGCTTCATCTCGAACTCGGTAGTGTTCAACGTGATGATTTCACGCGCAATCTCTTGGACGTTGATGTGCGGGCAGTCCAGTGCTACCGCTACTTCGGCAAGCGTGTCTAATTGGGTTTCATTTGCCAGCTCGGCTTGCAATACTTGCATAATCTCATCGTGAAGACTACCTTGTTTGCGAGTGAGACTTGAATGTGCCGCCTTTTCGATGCGCTCAGCTTGACTTCGCTGCTCGTCCGCACTCTCGTTCAGATTGGCCAGGGTGAGAAGGGCTTGCAGGGTGTCTTCATTTCTCTCGAAAGGGGGCACGCGAGAACCGTATTTCTTGACGAGCCAGGCTTCGACGGCGGCCCAGTCCTTTGCTTGTGCTTGCTGTACTCTGGCTTTCGATGGCGAGAAGAGTGCCGATGCGGTCCACTCTGCGTCCATGTTCTTGGGATGAGCTGCGTTGATGAAGTGGAGTTTGATGAGCGCGTGTTGCTGGAAGTCGCGTTTCAGATCGGGGAAACTTCGGCCGTGGATTTCACAGTGACGCGCACAACAGTCGAGTTGCTACCAGAAATGCAACATCAAACGCCAACTTCCAGAAGACGCCGAGCCGCTGAACATACGCAGATTACAGACAAAATATTGAGGACACCTGCTGACCGGAGCTCAATGACGGATCATGTTGGCCAAGGCTGCGCTCAAAGCAGCAAAACTTGCGCTCGACAACAAGCAGTATGACCTGGCAATCGAGCACGCAAACTCGGTGCTTTGTTCGGATCCTCAAAACCACTTTGCACGGCTCTTCTTGGGTCGAGCCCTCGAGAAGCAGGGCAAATATGATGAGGCCGCGAGCATATACCACTCAGCTGCCAAGGCAAAGCCAGACGATTCCCAGGCGTGGCAAGGGCTCGTGAGTGTCTACAAAGCTCAAGGCTCAAAAAAGGTAGACGATTATCGCGAAGCAGCAGTCAAGGTTGCGGAGCATTTCATCAATTCCGATGACATCAACCGGGCACAGTCGACTGTGGATGAGCTCACGGCTTTTACCAAGCAGTATGGCACTTCAGCACATAACAAAAAAGTGCTTGAGGTGATGCTGCCAGGAAGCTCAATTTACGATGCTTTGGAGGGACGTATACCTCGTGCTTCGCACACGCTGACGCGGCTCATCGAAATCACCGAGACGGAAGAGGCAGAACGCATCAAGAAGGAGATTAACGAACGCCGGACACGAATAGGCGCAAAAGTTGGTCAAGTCACTGTTGAAGTGAAGCGAGAAGTCTTCACAAACAGCGATCTTGAAAACCTGTACCAGCAACTGATAAACTGGTCAACTGACGATGAGGTCCGGCGGGAATACGAAGAAAAGTTGCTACAGCGTGCGTATGATACGCTCGTTGTGCTGCCACTCGACCAGAAAGCCGCCAAGCTTGACCAGGTCTTGACGCTCGCAGAGGGCATGGTCATCATACATCATCCTTTTCGCCTTGCTTGGGATCTGGTGCTCGAATCGCGAGACATGGATGATCTGAAAGACCTGGATGCGGGTATATTGCGCGAATATGTTGCACTCTTCGAGAAATCTGGACTCGCACGAATTTTCGAAGGATGGTTGACGAGTGAACTTTCGCCATTTCCACCGGCACCAAAAGCCGAAGGAGACGAACCTGTGAAAGAGATCGCTCCTGAAGATCGACTTTTGCTGTTCACGGAGGGTCTATCAGATGCCGAGCAATCGCCTTTCGCGCACCGACTTGTGGGTGACTATTACCTGCATTTGGAGGAGCATGCAAGTGCTGCGGATACAGCCAGGAACGGGCTTAAGGTCGCTCAGATTGAGAGCAATAAGCTTGGTCTTGGTTTGCAAAACACACGCGACGCTCTCAATGCTGTGCTCGGGACCTCTCTTGTTCATCATCAAGCGCCACGAAATCATCCGGAGGCAAAGCGACTGTTCGAGGACATTCTTCAACGGAAGCCCAAGTTCACTTCAGCACTCATTGGTCTGGGCCTGATTCTTGAGGAGACCGAGGACTACCAGGATGCCATCAATTTCTTTTTGCGAGCTCTTGAAGAAGACAAGGGCAACGTGCGCGTGGGTACGGAACTTGCTTGGTGTAGGGCACTAAGCAGCGACTATGCACAGGCGCTCAAGGAACTTGAGGACTTCCTGCAGATGATGAGGGCTGATGACCCGCGAACAAGAGACCTCCGTGCACTGACAATATATCGGATTGGCGTTTGTCTTTGGGAGTCGGACACATCCAAAGCTGCACGCAAGGACCGTAATCGTGGCTACAGCCGTTTTCTGTCCGCGATCAAGACGAATGTCAACTTCGCGCCTGCGTACACAAAGCTCGGCATATATTACAACGATTATGCCAAAGATAGGAAACGTGCCCGCCAGTGCTTCCAGAAGGCATTCGAGCTCTTTGCGGGAGAAGTCGAAGCCGCGGAACGACTGGCACAACTGTTCGCCGACCAAGGAGATTGGGATATCGTGGAGGTGGTTGCACAGCGCGTCGTTGACTCAGGGAAGGCACGGCCGCCGCCAGGGTCGAAGAAGAAGGGCATCAGCTGGCCGTATTCTGCACTTGGTGTCGTGCAAATGAACAAGCAAGAATACCAGCAAGCTATCGTATCTTTCCTCGCTGCGCTACGAATTAGTCCCGACGATTACCAGTCCTATGTCGGACTGGGTGAAAGTTACCACAACTCCGGCAGATACAACTCCGCGTTGAGGACCTTCACGTATGCACTCGATCCGCATGATGACACGAAGCTCAAAATCAATGGAGAGACATGGTTCGCCCGATACATGCTGGCCAATGTTCACAGAGAACTTGGAGAGTTTGAAGAAGCAGAATCTGGGCTGAAGAGTGTGCTGGAGGAACGCCCCTCAGAATTTGGTGTGCTCATGTCTTTGCTTCAATGCTACACTGAGCATGCATGGAGATGTGTAGAAACGGGTCTCTTCGGCCAAGCAGTGCGTTGCGCCATCAGTGCTGTTGAAACGGCCGTGAGAGTGGGCAAGATTTCACCGCAGGCCTTCAACATGTGGAAGTCGGTGGGAGATGCATGCTCAATCTTTACTTGGGTACAAAACAGCATCAACGACTTCCCCTCGGCCGAAGTGCAGGAATTGCTCAACACATCTGCTGAGCAAAGCATGTTTGAAGTTCTTGCCGACGTTGATCTGGTGTCTCTGGGTTCGCTCGATACCGACGGCACAAATGACCCGGCATCGCCTCCGGAGCCTCTCGTAGCAGCGATTTTGGCATACAAGAGAGCAGTTCGCTCGGCATCTCACGATGTACACGCCCAGGCAGTGGCTTGGTACAACCTGGGCTGGGCGGAGCAGCGAGCTCATGCCAGCAGTGCTGCAAAGGCCGCGAAGCGCTACCTGACCACCGCTGTCAGGTGTTTCAAACGCGCCATCGAGCTTGAGGCCGGGAACCCCGAACTGTGGAATGCCCTTGGTGTGGTCACTACAACACTGAATCCAAAGGTAGCACAGCACTCGTTCGTGCGATCTCTCCACCTTAATGAGCTCAACGCCAAAGTGTGGGCGAATCTGGGAGTTCTGTATCTGCTACAGAATGACATTGAACTCGCTCATCAATCATTCGGCCGAGCACAGAGTACTGATCCGGAGTATGCTCACGCATGGGTCGGCGAGGGAATCATTGCTCTCATGACCGGCAACACAAAAGAAGCATTGAACCACTTCACACACGCTGCCGAGATCTCAGATTCAGCTTCGCTCATCACTAAGCGCCAGTATTCTGTGTCCAGCTTCGACTACCTGCTCTCAGCAGAGGGTGCGTCGAACGACCTCACAAAAATCATACAGCCCATTTTCGCACTCGAGCAGCTACGGAACCAAGCTCCTAAGGACCTCCCTTACCGTCATCTCGCAACTTTGTTCCTGGAACGAGTTAGTAACCACGTTGCCGCCATCGAGACATTGACAGAACTCAGCGATACCGCAGAAGCAGACTATGAAGCCAGTGAATCACTCTCGGCACTGGCACGATACGCGCTCGCGAAATCCGATCTTTCAAGGAATCAATTAGCCACTTCAGACTTTTCCAATGCAGCAGAGAACGCCGCAACAGCCCTCGACCTCTCCTCCGATGCCGATAGCAGCGGCCTCGATGCAGAGGCCAGGCGCAAATTGCGACTCTCTTGCCACTTGACAGCAGGTCTTGCACAGTACTACCTCAAAGACATGCCTGAAAGCGTTACGATGTTCAAAGCCGCTCTCCTAGAAAGCGAAAACGACCCAGACGTCGTCTGCTCTCTCGTCCAAGTCCTCTGGGCGCAAGGCGGACAAGATGAAAAAGACGTTGCGCGCCAGCAGCTCTTCGATGCGGCGGAGCGTCATCCCGAACACATCGGAGTCATTACACTCCTCGGTGCCATAGCTGCGCTTGATAACGATACTGACACGGCGAATGCTGTGCGAGATGATTTACTACACCTCCGCACGAAAGAAGGTGTTTCAAGTACCAGCAAAGATTTACAAGGCATTGAATCTTTGCTGGCCGCCATCGCTGGTCTGTTTGGAGGGCAGAACTCAGAAGAGGCACTTGTGACCGAGGCCCAGACAGCTATTCTGCTCAAACCTGATGATTCCCAAGCTTGGTCGCAACTTGCTGCTTTGTCTGGAGAAGACCATGCTGCACAGATGGCTTTAAAGACAGCTATGCAGGCTGTGCCGCCATACGGAGAGCTAGAGGCGGGTGGTTTGGCTCAAGCTTTTGCTGGAACAGGGACTGTGGGAGATGCACAGCGAGCGATGTTCTTGGCGCCCTGGGAGAAAGAAGGTTGGGAGGCGATGAGGAGAGCTTTGGAGTGAACGGCGAGGAGGACAAATGAGAAGTTTTGTAGAAATGGTTGATACGAGTGATGAGCTCAATGTTGGTCTCATGATCAACCTTTGATCAAGCAGATGACAGACTGCTTTAAAAGCAAGAAGAGAAATCCCCATCACACATGTCTTCTCCTTGCCCACTTTGTCAAATACTCCCGACCTTCTAGCCGATATGTATCTTCCTCCACATAATTCCCGCCTTGAGACTCACTCTGCAAGACCAAATTCTGTCCCGCCTGACTTTCATTATACAATGGCCAATGCGGCAACCCCTCTCCATTCGGATGTCCACACCACGCAAAATTGATCCACTGCGCGCTGATCTGCTCACTTAGCGCCTGATATTCCGGGTAGGGGCCTACGAAATCTGGATTATTGAACACGAAAGCCACTTCGCTGAAGTGCTGGACGCCTTTATGCGGTAGAGCCAACGTGCCGGTGCTCTTGAGCCAGGGACGGGTATTGAAACGGTAAATGTAGGTGGGAGAGTGCTGAGCATAGTATTGGGCATCGGACAAACGAGGAGCGTGATAGAAGACGTCGCCGATTATGGCGGCGGCGCGTTTGTATTGTTGGCCGTACTCCGCGAAACGTTCGGTGCCGGTGTTGATGGGCACGCCTTGAGTTGGATCGTCTGGGTACAGGTCTAGGATTCGGGAGACTGTGGAGTTGGGAAATTGGAAGCCTGTGTTGTACAGGAGGTGGTAGCGGAGTTCTTCGTCTGTGTCGATGCCAGGAATACTGGTCGAGATTAGTGGGAGCTCGGTTTGCCATCGCCGCACAACATTTTTGCCCTCAGACGGTCCTCGGAGATTAGGAAAGAGGAAACAGCGACTTACACGTTATCGGTACCTTCATCTGAAGTGCTTCCGTATAAGTGTGGAACGTGGGCAAAGCGCCCCTCCTCAAGCAAGATTGTTGGGAAGTTAGGAATCACATCACCATCCACAGTGGGATACCAGCCAGGACCTGCGACATTGGAGTTGTTCAGAAAGGGAAAGATCTTATCGTATTCCAAAGTTCGCAAGCAAGCCAATGTATCAGGCGCATCAGTGCAATTCGTGTTGTCCACGAGATCATTGTAGATCGGTTGATACCAATCAGTTCCATTATACCAAGCAGTTGTAGCGGAACCCGATTCTTGTATCGAGCGATGGAATAGGCCATCGGTCTTGCCACCATAACTGAGCAGGAGCTGACCTACAGCGAAGGAGCCAGAGCTCTCGCCCCATATCGTGACAGAGTCCTTGTTGCCTCCAAAAGCGGCAATATTCTCAGAGATCCAGCTGAGGCCTTTGCGCATGTCCCGAAGCGCGAGATTCGCGTTTCCCGAGCCTTGAATTTCGATGCTGTACTGGTTTCCCCAGCCGCCTTTTCGATAATTGATGGAAGCTCCAATAATTGGTTTGCCGATCTGAATTGACTTCTCCACGATGAAGGTGAGATTGTAATCAGGACGTCCTGTCGTACCGACTTGATAACTTCCTCCGTGAATCCAGAGCATGACTGGTAAGTTTTGATCTTCAGGTATGCCATGAGGGCGAACGATATTGATGCTCAGGCAGTTCTCACTCATGCCGTAGATGGCATCGTTGGGATCGTAGCTGGGACAGGCATGGCTGTAGGATGTGGCCGGGCGAACGTCTTGCCATGTTTCGTTCAGTGTTTGAGGTACAAGGAACCTATTCTGACCTCCTGTGTCTTGGGCGTATGGTATGCCGAGAAAGATGTCTTGTTGGTACTGTGGAAGGTATATGCCGGAATATGAGCCATTCAGAACTTTGACTACGGGCTCTGTGGCGAGGGCTGTGGTGCCCAGGAGGGCTACGGGCAATGCAGACGCTCGCATGATATTGGTGAGAGCGTCAAGGAGAAGCCTCAGCTTCAGCGATAGGTACCAGGCTAATATACTACCTTTCATGGCGGCAGAATAGAGCTGCAGTCACACAACAGGCGGATTCTGCTCTACGGCGATCATCTTGGCCTATCTGACGTCAATTGCAGGACGAGCATGGCTGAACCTGTTGGCAGGGCAAATACGCCGGATCGCATAGTTGCTGCCGGTGAAGAGTCAGATCTTCGCTAGGTCGATGGCCGGGAGTGGACGCATGAGGAGATGCATGTGAATGGGAACTGAGTGATTCCTCGGCGATGGGCGTCGCGGAAGATGTTGTCAAGGGCCGTTGGTGCCTGAGGCAGCATATTTCGCGGAGCTTGTTCGACGCGAGGACCGCGATTTTCTGAAGCTCGAAGAAACATATCGCCGCAGTTGCCCGTCCCACCCATCCGCCCACGAGACCCACGACACCTTCGAGACGCACGAATACGGATTGTCATTGGGAGTACGCTTGAGGAGAATCGCCCAAAATGTCCTTCGGCGGGCAGACGCCGACCATCATCGTCCTGAAAGAGGGTATGTCACAGGCAGAAAGCGCAGAATGTACAACAGAGGACTGACAGTTTCCAGGAACGGACCAATCCCAAGGACGAGGACAGATTATCTCCAACATCAACGCATGTCTGGCAGTACAGTCGACCATCAAGAGCACATTGGGTCCATATGGCGGTGATCTGTTGCTGGTCGACGAGAATGGCAAGCAGACAATCACGAACGACGGCGCAACAGTCATGAAACTCCTCGATATCGTCCACCCAGCCGCACGAGTACTCACCGATATTGCGCGATCACAGGATGCCGAAGTGGGAGACGGAACCACTTCAGTGGTGGTTTTGGCTGGTGAGATCTTGAAAGAAATCAAAGAGCACGTGGAGCAGGGCGTCAGCAGTCAGGTCATCATCAAGGGTCTGCGAAGAGCGGGCACTATGGCTGTGAACAAGGTCAAGGAGATTGCGGTGAGCACAACAGAGGGCAACCAGCGTGAAACACTGCGAAAGCTGGCGAGGACGGCGATGAGCAGTAAACTCATTTACCGCAACGAGCAATTTTTCACCAAGAGTGAGTGTCGGGCAGAACATTCGGCGCAGTGGACATACTGACATGGTGATAGTGGTTGTGGATGCCGTGTTATCTCTGGACCAGGATGATCTGAACGAGAAGCTCATTGGCGTGAAGAAGATCACAGGCGGTGCGCTCCAAGATTCGCTGTTCGTGAACGGAGTAGCTTTCAAGAAGACCTTCTCATACGCCGGTTTCGAGCAACAACCCAAATCTTTCAAGGACCCGAAGATAGTCTGCTTGAACGTCGAACTGGAGTTGAAGAGTGAAAAGGACAATGCCGAAGTCCGTGTGGAGCAGGTCTCAGAATATCAGGCGATTGTGGATGCAGAATGGAAGATCATTTACGACAAGATGGAGGCACTTTACAACACAGGCGCCAAGGTTGTCCTTTCAAAACTCCCGATCGGAGATCTGGCAACACAATACTTCGCTGATCGAGATGTCTTCTGCGCTGGCCGCGTATCATCCGACGACCTCGAGCGTGTCTGCCAAGCGACTGGCGCTTCGGTACAATCAACATGTTCAGATATCCAGCCACACCATCTCGGAACCTGCGAAACATTCGAGGAGCGACAAATTGGAGGCGAACGCTACAACTTCTTCGAGGGCTGCCCTGGTGCCAAGACTTGCACACTGGTACTCCGTGGAGGCGCAGAGCAATTTATTGCAGAAGTCGAGCGCAGTTTGCACGACGCCATCATGATTGTCAAGCGTGCGATCAAGAACCAGACTATCGTGGCGGGTGGCGGTGCCTGCGAGATGGAGATCTCAGCATACCTACACAGCTTCGCGGACAAGAACGTGCCGCACAAGCAGCAAAGCATTATCAAATCCTTCGCAAAGGCACTCGAGGTCATTCCTCGGCAACTGTGCGATAATGCCGGTTTCGATGCGACGGACATCCTCAACCGCCTACGTGTTGAGCACAGGAAGGGCAACACATGGGCAGGCGTGGACTTCGATAACGAAGGCATCCGTGACAATCTGGAAGCATTCGTGTGGGAGCCTGCATTGGTCAAGATCAATGCTATTCAGGCTGCCATTGAAGCCAGTTGCTTGATCTTGAGTGTGGACGAAACTATCAAGAACCAGGAATCTCAGCAACCGCAGGCACCGACGAGAGGGCTGCCTCCCGGCGCCGCACAGAGAGCGATGAGAGGAAGAGGACGTGGCATGCCTAGACGGTAGAGAAATCATCGATGAGCAGCTCCTGATGTGACACGCAATAGAGAGCATGATGTCGACACGGAATGTATGTGTGAATGCATGATGCTATGCAGGCAAAAGCTGTAGACGATGAATGCGCAACAAGGAGTTGTGCTCAGCTCGCACAGAGCAGCCACCAAAGATGGGCCCTTCGCACGACCGCGTAACCATCGAAGTCACCGCATAAACTATGGCCAGGGGTGCATGCGCTTGCAAAGAACAATCGTCAATGGCCGACAGTAGTCTAGATCAAATACAGCTGAAAGACACGCTCATCGCGCGGAGCCACCATGGAGAATAATCGTTGTCCTCATTCATTTATTGCTCTACTTCTTTAATTCATTATCTTCATCTCTAGTAAGCGTACCTCAGCACTCTCTCATCCCCATCCATTCTGATCTTGCGATTCATTCTCATTAACCAGAACTTCATCACCCATGCGCTTCCAGCACAGACAATACTGAAGCCCGCGCTTGAGATCATCGCTGGACGGAAAGCCGGAGCATCGCTCGAAGGCCACAAATAAGGCGTCCATACGAAAGCCACGTTGGAAATCGTTGAGACGAGAGCTAGTGCTGAAGCCTTTTTCTCGACAGTCTGCCCGCAGGTGGAAGCGGTCCAGGCGTAGATTATGCTGTTGGCGCAGTAGGTTCCTATGCAGAAGAGGACTGGAGCGGAAGGTCAGTATCTGGGAAGCTGAATGGGAAGGAAGGAGAAAGGAGAACTTACTCATGGAGAAGTATCGTGCTCCAGTGTTGAGTGTGACGGTTCCAATGATGAAGCCCACGACTGCGATGCCTTTGGCGATGGTAAGATGCCAAGTTCGTTCATTGAAACGGCCGGAACTGGCAGCCCAGAAGATGGAGATTACGCCGGCCAGGAAATATGGTGGTGTTACGAGTGCGCTGCGTATGTGGTCAGCACTGTTTCCATCATGATTTAGCACTTTATGAAGACTCACAGCGTAACCTTCTGATCCTCGAAGCCCAAAGTCTCTACGACAGTAGGCAAGAAGTTCTTGAATCCGTTCGCGGCAAGGTGCATATGCTGCATGAAAACGAATAGCCAGACGCGAGGATCTTTCATGGCAACGAGCAGGCCTTGGATACTTCCAGTCGATGAAGAAGCGTGTACTGTGTCGCGGGTGACGCGGTTATGTGCTAGTTGCTTTTCTTCTTCTGTGAGCCACCAGGTATCGAGTGGCTGATTGGGCAAGACGAAAGCGGAGGCGACTGCGACGACGAAGGTCAAGGCTCCTTGGATGCTGCGGGTGATGAGTTAGTGTTTGCTTGAAGAGAATCCTGTGTTGGGTTGCGTGCGTACATGAAGAGCCATTGCCAGCCAGAAACTCCGGCCATTCCATGCATATCGAAGACTCCGATGGCAATGAGACCAGCAGAGCACATGGCGAACATGTTGGCTGAGTAGAGGATGGAGATCCTTGTTGCGATCTCTTTTCTTGTGTAAAAGATACCGAGCAACCAAATTGCTCCTGGGTAAAATGGTGCCTCAACCTGTTTGCAATCCGTCAGCGGACATCGTAGTCGTATCGGGTGTCTCTGCAGCTTACAATTCCGAGAAGGAAGCGTGTAACGAGACTGTGCACATGTTAGTTGAATATCGACTCCAATGATCCCAACTTGCCCAACATACAGCGAAGTATAGCTATTCGCCAGCGCAGTGAGAGCACTGACGATCGCCCACAAGGCCATCGCACCCGCCATATACCATGAAGGGCGGACTCTCGTGATAAGCATATTGCTTGGCACTTGCGCAACAATGTACCCGACGAATAGAATGCTGACGCACGTCAGGTACTGCGTGCTGGTGATGTTGGTATCCTCCTCTAAGGTGTTGAGCTTCGCTAATGTGATGGCATTGCGATCGAGGTAGTTGAGCCAGTACATCAACCAGAGCATGGGCATTATCCAAAGATCCAGCTTTCTCACAAGTTTGATCTCTCGCGGGTCGGTCTTTGCCGCTGCACCGCTGTAGTCGAGTTTTGCGACTGGGTGAAGCTTTTCTCCGGTCTCTGGGTCTTGGACATATTCGGTCATGACGACCTCGTCGTTCTTGGATTTCTCCATACTGCCTATGATATTGAGAGTAGTCGAGAAAGGAAGAGTACGAAAAGGGAACGCAAACCCGCAGAGGAGGCGATCAGTGACCTACCATTTATACTTATCATCTCAGCCGAAGATGATCTTCGATACCTGTGCATATGGGGACCTCAAGCCAGGTCTGCCGTGCTCGCAAGGCAAACTTGCCACGAAGGACTCAACCCCGCCTATACCAAGGCTCTAAAGCAGAAGCTGCAAACCAAGCACGTTCTTGCCACGCGCATTGGCGTGTCTTTTCTCCGCGATTACCCCAGAAATTGCTGTGGATACCAAGATGCCAATACTGTCCGCCAGCCTCTAGGAGTGGCGATTTCTTCTTGCTTTGTAGATCTCTTTCCCATATCGTGTAGGTGAGTCGACTATCGGACCCGTATTGCTGCCGGGTGAATGTTTTCTCTCCACCAAAACGCTGGCGGGACGCGTACAGACTGGCTTGATCTTTCATGCATACTTTGCAGCCGCTTTTGAGCCGGCGAAGCAATGTGATATAGTGCATGCAGATGCTCCGGGGCCGTTGATCTTCCAGCTGCTCGTCGGGCGATAAGACGCACGTGAACTCGCTATGCTGCGAGAGAAGTCCTTCGCGACTCCTATTCACCAGATTGGGTCAAGCTGTCGTGGCCGTGAAGTCCGCGATTCCAGCTTGAAGAGTCCACTATCGTAGTGAACGCGCCGCTCTGATGGTGCAAGACTTCGCGTAGATCGCTCTCATGAGCGCCTCGGACCGTAGTGGGCATGATAACGCGACATTCATCATGTAGTCGTCAGGACTTGTGCATGCTTGCACCCGCGGCAGATTGTCATCAGAAGTCGAGTGTACGTGTATGTGGAGGTGACACGGTTGTAGAGCTGGCAGACGGGATGCCGAATCGGCCGGTTAGTCAGCAACGCGTTCCTGCCAGTCCCTCAGCATTCACCTCAAGAACTTCAACAACTCCCACCTCAACACATCTCAACAACGGCGGTTCAAATACCATCCAGCATTCAAGAACGCGGATTCGCAGTCGCCACAAGATGAGATTTCCGGAGTCGACATCCGATGCGTTCACCGTCCGCAGCATCATCGTCCAGACGCGCCAGTAAGGGAATCATCAACACTCAACGGAGCACAAGACCCGCACGACTATGCTTCTCGGCCGTCGTCCCATGCAGCCGGTAAATCGTCGGGACTCTTTTGTGGGTCTTCATATTGTTTGAGATTTAATGTATGGTAGCCAATCAAAGCACGCTATCCGATGTTCAAACATCGTCACTCTCGATAGCTCAGCTGGAAGAGCGCAAGACTGTAATGGACAAACCTGTCATCTTGAGGCCCGCGGTTCGATCCCGCGTCGGGAGACACTTCTTTTGCTCGTCGTCGTCGTCTTTGGCGACCTGGTTGCCCACGTTGTGGGAAGCTTCATTTTTTTGGGCCCAAGCACCTATCTATATCCGGGCCTTGTATCCTACCACAGTAGCATTGTGACGAGGGCAACGACACAATAGTTTCGTTCTGGCTAAGTTCGTAATTATGTTTACTTTTCGGATCGATTCAATTGTGCTATTCTTGGCCGAAGGATTCAATCGCCACCCCCCACCGTACAAACATGGCGCACGCGCTCTTGCTCGCGTTTTTCACGCGACCTGAAGGACTGGGAATGATTGCCGAAGACTGAGATGCATTTGAAGCGACTTCTGATCGCGTTGCCGATTCTTGTCTCAGCCGAAGTCCATCGACTAACCCAAGCTACGTTCGCGCCACTCATCGAGCAGCATGACACGGTGCTTGTAAATTGCAAGTGCTATCCATCAATACAACAGAAAGCTATACACTGACTGATCACAGTCGGCGTACCATGGTGTGGGCATTGCAAACTCCTTGAGCCACACTATGAAATAGCTGCCGCGTTTCTCGCGGACCACAATGTTGTCCTGGCCAAGGTCGACTGCACAACCAGGCTATTCGAACAAGTCGATCTATGCCACGACATCAAGGTGTACCCGACCTTGCGACTCTATCATGGTACCACAAAATCATTTGAGCCTTATGAAGGTCAGAGGAAATCATCTGATGAGTACGAGAGCGCTATCGTGCACCTGATTGAATGTTAGCTGACCTGACACAGCATCATCTCTGCAATGACCAACGGCGCGTTTCCAACCTCGTCTAGCCGATTTGCCGCGGATACGGAGATTTACAAGGAGAGACCTGCAATTTATGATACGCCTCTGGACCTTCCACCAGATTCCACTGCTCCTAATGCCATTCTCACCGCAGAAGACTCTCTGTCTGCTCTTGTCAAGGTCGCAGTTCCCGGCCTTCCCATACCTCTTTCATCCTCCGCAGACTCGAGCTATTCAAGCTCACTTCTCCTCAACTTCTCCGTGTCGGATAATGGCAAGCATCTTCTTCTCAATGGCGAATTGCTAGCCCTCCGAGTACCCGATCCATCTCGACCTCGCCTCATTTCTGCTCCTCAAGTACCTCTGACCTCCAACATCACCGAGCAGGAAGACGAGACTTCCACAAACTATGTCGAGCTCGACTACGAATTCTGGGCGAACAATCGCGATGACCCAAACATCATTTACTATAACTACTATCCCAAAATCTACTTGAACCTTATCGGAGCTAGAGCATCCGAACCAAAGAACGCCTTCCATGACATACTTCTCGACTCTCTGGACCAGAAGTATGTGGAGATTCAACTCCATGATCCTGAAGCAAGATCGTCTGGTGACCCGAACGTCTCTTACAAGATTGTAAATGTCAAGTTACTAGATCGCGCCGCGGACTACGTTCCTCCTTATCCTAATAGCAAGTCTTGCAGTCGCTGGTCATGGCGATGCGCAGATTATGGAGATCCGCCTTGGTATCGCTATATTTGGCGCCAGAATTTTGATGAGTATGGGAGAATAGGAAGTATGCGCTGGAATGTGCTGATGCGGTGGAAGAGGATCAAAGGAATGGTGTGGAATTTGCCGTGGACGATTCAAGCGATCTGCGTTCTGGCAGTTGGCTACAAAGTTCACTCGATTTGGTGGAGCAAAGGCAGGCGACAACTCTTGCTGCCTCTGTGGCAGACCAAGGAGGCGCAAGCCAAGGAGTGTGTGAAGTGAAGTGGTGGTAATTCCGGCGGAACGCTCTTTGCACTGCCGATTGTTTGCGACTGCCCGATCTTGGGGCACCACACATGGCGACAATCCCCGTGCTTCAGGGACTGTCTTTGGACCCGGCACGACATGTTCGAAAACTCTGCTCGTCGTCCACAAGGCGCCTATCGCGAAACGCAAGGTTTGAGCAATTCATCATCATGACATTTCGTAAACTACAGAATTTTGCTCCTACAGCGAAAGATTAGCGCAGCTGAATGCTGGCTTTGTTCCTCCCGTATAATCAGCAATGATCGCCTTCACCGCGGCATAAAGACCCGGACCGAGCAAGAACAAGCCGCAAATCATGACCACAACGTGCACGACAGACATGACCGATCGAGTAGGGGTGCTGAACAGCTTGCCCTTGTACAGCTGCCAGTACGCGACCGCAAAGAAGATGAATCCGAAGAAGGAATCGAATGCCGCGCCAAGTAGAGACAGGAAGTCTCCCATGGAAGGAATGACCTCTGCGAAGACGAATGCCACGACCCAGATGGCGACCATGACCGCCACCCAGGTACCCCAGCCGACGATTGTGTTGCTGTGCGCATGACGAGACGTCCCCATGATGCGACCAAAGGCGAACTTGGCCGTGACGTTCGCGTAAATAACACCGATGATTAGTGTAGGAACGATAACAAATGCGAAGGAACCCTTCTTGAACACATCTGTGCCCAGGGATCCGAAAGCTGGCGCGGTCGCGTATTGTCCGAGGTAGTGGAAGCCGATGGCTGGCGGAATAATGAAGAGGATACCAGAAATACCAGCAAGGACGGTCAGCGCCTTGGGGAAATCTTGCGGCTTCTCCATCTCGGCGATGAAGGTAGGGAACAGGATCTGCGGCACCCAGAGGAAGGTAATGTTGAGCATGCAGCACGTCAGCAATTCATCTCTCCAAGTACAGTGCACGGCGTATACTCACACAGCATTCATGCAATCCACCCATGTCGTTCCTTCCCTCGGGAACGCATAAGTCTTCACCTCGCCCAATTTCGGATACGCCCCTCCATATCCCGCTCCAGGATGATCTTCAATTCCAGCAAAGACCAAGAACAACAAGATCGCGATACCCATAGCTGCAGCGGAGAACATCGACATGAAGCTCACATGCTTCAGCGTCCTGGGCAAAGATAACACAATCCCCATCACCATCGCAATGACACTAAACAGCACAGTGCAAAGCGAATGATCAGAGAGTGTGTTCAACACCTTGGCTCCGGTCAACACATGGAAACCGATGAGAAGGATGTTGTTGGCCAGCAGCATGAAAGCCGTAAACCCATAAGCGACATTCGACTTCCCGAAAGCATAATACCCAAAATCGCAAATATCGCGAATCTGCGGATTCTTCATGATGAATTTATGCATCGTGAGGGATGTGATGTAGAACAGAACACCGGAGATGATCATGGTCAGAAGGCCAGGAAGCCAACCGAGGACGGATAAGGACCAGGATTGTGCCATGATGGCGAGACAGACTTGGTCACCGGCGAGGAGCCAGGCGGCTTTTTGCCAGGACATGGTGCGGAGTTTGATGGCATGTTGGTGGTCTTCGGTGACGAGGGCTGTGATGAGTTCTTTGTTGATTGAGGAGCTGCTGTCTCCGTCGTCGCTGGAAGGAGTTTGGTCGCCGGGAATGTGAGTGTGGGTGACGACGGGTTCGAGTTTTGCGTCGGCTTCGACATCGTAGTGCCAGGTTTGGGATGCCATCTTTGCTTCTCTGGTTTGAGAATACCAAGATTGTGATACGGATAGCAATATGGACCAGCTTTTTCTCTAGGACATAAGTGGAGTTCACGACGAAGTGTCGAAGACTATATAGAACCGAACATTTCTGACCTCAAAAATATACTTCTGAGGTCGCATTCACATGGTTCGCAGAATAAGGCGTGATCAATCCAGACCTGGTCGACGGGCTTGATAGTGCGCCCCAGCAAGATCGGAGCCGCCGTTGTAAGAAAGCATCGTTCAGCCTTGCCGCAATCTTCAGCCAGTCTGCGAGGAGGGAAATACAAACGAGGTTTATGCATGCCAGGTTCCACGTGGAAGAGAACCAATTGTGTGATCAAGCCTAGGCTGATCTTGGGTAAGCGCGGGAAGCTTGGGAGAGCTTTTCGACGCCTGGCGTGAGCTCGGTTCCAGGGCTTGATTCAGAGAAGCCTGGGCCATGTTCTGTGCATGTGGCGCTTGTGTGAATTGCGTGGCCGCGGGTCAGCTTTTGGAGACATTTGGATGGCATTCGTCGACCTCGTCGGGTATTTGCACAGAATCTGCTTCGTTCAGAACAGGTCGCTCACGCGCTGTCTCTGTCCGCCATGCCCTCCTTCCTCCATATCTTGTCAACAACACTCAATAGATCGCCCATCTGAAATGGCTTCGTTACCACAGCGTCCATTCCAGCATCAAGAGCTTGCGTTTGTTGCTCGCCTCTTGCATTTGCTGTTATAGCCACGATCGGCATATGCCGTGCGATCTCCCCACGCAACTCCATGCTTCGAATTCGTTTCGTGCAGTCCAGGCCACCCATGACTGGCATTTCGATATCCATGAGCACAACGTCCAGCTCAACGCCGTCGTTGCGACAGTATTTGGAGCGACGGATGTGCTCCAGGGCTTCGCCACCATGATTGGAGACATGTACGACATAGCCGGCTTTCCTCAGCTGCCGGAACATGACTTTTTGATTGACGAGCTATGTCAAAGAGATCTCTGTCAGCGTTACTCGCAATGAAAGGGCGGATGCGCACACTCACGTTATCTTCAACCAGAAGGATATGTGTAGGATGTTCAGCGTGACTCTGCGGGACATAGCTTTTCCGTCGAACGGGTTGGCCAACCTGCTGACTCTCGTCATCCTGATCCGCTTCTTCAAGCGTAGACTTCGGTGCATTGCATTTGCGCGTCTTAATGTAGAACTCGAATGTTGAGCCTTGTCCGTGTTGCGAATGAACTCCGATCTGGCCACCCTGAAGTCTTGCTAGCTCGCGAGAAATGAAGAGACCGAGCCCGGAACCGCCATATTCGATATGAGTCTTGTGACTACTTTGCTGAAAGCGTAGGAAGATGCGCTCCAGCTCGTCTGGTTTCATGCCACAGCCGGTGTCCGAGACCGCAATAAGAAGGTAGACACTGTCGTCTAGTTGATTCTCCTCTTCAGTCGCGGAAGGCGCATTTGGCTGATTCAGATAGTGGATGCCTGCCACCGAGCTTTTAGGCCGTGTATCGCTCGCTGCAAGTGTTACAGTGATGTTCCGCTCTGGCGCGTTCTTGGTAAACCGTATGGCATTCGTAACGAGATTGATCAAAATTTGCAGCAGTCTGCTAGGATCAAGCATAACCCATTCGATGCCCAGGTCTCGATAGGTCTTGTCGATCACACAACTTAGCTGTGTATCAGCGACTTGAACCTCTGCTTCAAAAAGCCGCAGTGACTGCGCAATTAGGTCTACCGGTTTCGTTTCGCAAGGCGTGATGACGAGCAAGTTTGAATCCAGCTTGCTCAAGGTGAGGATGTCGTCGATGATTCGTTTCTGATGTTGTATGCATGTCGTGATGATCTCTGTGTTCTCGATCTGCGTCTGTATCGTTTCCTTGTCTATCGTGATTGTTTCTGTCGTGTCTTTCAATGTCGTGTTCTTGAGTAAGTCTTCCAAAGTCCCTTGTATTGAGCTTGCGCACAGGCTGGTCGCAGAAAGAGGATTGCGGATTTCGTGACCGACGAAGTCCTAATGCAAGATTGAGTCAGTATCGATCGCACCTTCCGCTAAATGATGAATCTTTCGGGCCTTCCATATCCATTTTTCTTTCTCTCAGCTGACTGGCTTGGGCCGGGGCAAGTCTGCGGAATAGAGAACTGTCTGAGATACGATCTCCTTCCGATGACTCTGGATCATAGCGCCCTGGGCACTACTGTCGGCCCAAGCTGTGCCCCAACTCAAACGCAGGGTCGAGTAAGGGAACGACTTACCATGAAGTGTTCTTGCTGCCTCTTCAGCTCAATTGCCTCATCCAGCCGTTTCGCAAGGAATGCCTCCAACAGCTTCTGCCTTGAGATGTCAATTAGTGTCCCCTGTATACACTGAACGGTCCCATCATCCGACTTGACGCAGAAAGCAGCAGAGAGGAACCACGTCTCGCCTTCTATTGTTTCTCCACTCAAGGCGTCGCCTGCAACATATTTCCGATTGAGCCTCACTTCGAAACGCACGGACTCTCCGGCCATCAGTTGATTGATTTTCTGTTGATGCATGACTTTGTCGTCGATATGGATGTAGTCCTCCCATATATAGGGATACATTTCGTGAGGAGCAACACCGAGCAACTCATAGTATGAGTCGTTGGCGTATACTATCTCCCCCGATGGACTCAATTCGTACATAGCCATAGGCATGTGAGCAGCGATGGACCGGAAACGTCGCTCATTATCTCGGGCTTGCTGCTCAGTCAGAGCAAGTTTCTCTGACAGCAAGATCCGGTCCAATGCTGCCAGCTCTGCTTGCATGTTTGCTTTCCTAGCATCCTCTTCCGATTGCCGGACTGCCGACAGTGTGCTTACGAGCTGCCGCGCGAGCAGACGAACGAACTGTTTGTAGTTGAGGTCATAATGCCGTCGACTGCTGATTCCAAGGATGAGAAAGCCAACTCCATCGCCTTCCTGAGCTCTGCCAAGTGGTATTAGCATCGCCGAGGTGCATTGATCGCCATATGCACGACTTTTGGCGGCGGGATACATGTGCGAGTCCGGCAGAATCGTGATAACTTGGGGCTGACCTGTTAAGACGGCGTCTTTGAAAGAAGGGGTGATATGTTGCACCGCCCACTCGGTGTTGATCTGGCTTGGAAAGACTTCACTAATGGCGGAAATCCCAAGCGTGCCCTCTAGACTCCAGTGGCGTGTAGGCAAGAGCGAGCTTGCTTCCATGAGCCCACTCGAGCTTGATACTGATGGGGCGCGCGAGCTGTGCGCCTGTCCTCGTGGTACGGCGGAGTAAAGTGCCACGAAAGGAGCTTCTTCGCGATTGACCTCCAATCCGTCAATAATGGCAGGCCAGAATTCGTGAAGGCCCTTTGCATCGGCGGTCTGCCTCTCAAGCTTCAGGAGAGTTGCCATCTGCCGCTCCTCGTGAACGCGTTCGGTCAAGTCCAGTACGTTGTTGTAAAAGCCTAAGATGCCTGTCCCGCCGACAACAGGTAACATGGACCAAGAGCCGTACATTTCTTCGGCGAAGCCGCGCCTGTTCAGGAAGAAAACCTCACGATCACCTCTGCTCGACTGCCCAGTCGCTTCAGCCTTGGCGAAAGCATCTGAGAGCTCTCGATGACCCTCTGGCCAGACTTGGTCCGCAGTCTTTCCCAAGGCCCACGGATGCCTCTCGGCCAGGACCGACTGATAGGGCTCATTGTAGATTAATGTCTTACTGGGGCCCCAATACAGCGCAGCAGCTCTCGGATCGACCAGCAGGAAATTCACACTCCGTCGAAGTTGTGCAGACCATGTTGACATAGGTCCCAACTCGGTTGACGACCAGTCCAGGGAACGCAAGGTTGCCACATGACTAGAAACAACTTGCCTGGGCCTCAGAGATGCTGCTGTCAGGTCAAACGGACCAATCTCGGCGCGATCATAATGTAGCTCCGCATCTTCTGCAGACTCGTCCGTGGACTCCCGCTTGTGCTTGAGACTTCTCGTGTGACGCTTAAGAGGCGTTTCGTAAGCCGCTTTCAGCACGCTCAGCCGCTTCTGGAGAGTCGCTTGCAGCCAGTCCCTGTCGCGAAGTTTGAGAATAGAAAAGATGTCGTCCAGCGTCGACGCGTCCTGCTCTGGCCACATGGCATGCGCGACATCTAGATAGTCAGTGGTATAGGTAGTGGAAAAGATACACACATGTCTCCATTCTGAGTGGCTGTACGGTTGTCCTACGTAGCTGCTGCCGATCTATCCGCCAAGGAGCTCCAGACCGTCTGAGGCTCTACTTGACTGCAAACGGGGAGAACTCTAATGACGTGAGTGGAAAAGCGTGCCGCGGCGCCATCGTGGGCCGCTAGAGTCGTCTTCGACTGCCTGCGAAGATACGGCCATCAGGTCTGGAATATATGTGCGAGCCTTGATGGACAGACCGTGCAACTTATCAGTATGGTGTTGAGGAATTGGAGAGCTTGATGAGGAGAGAAGTAGAGACGCGAAGAACAAAGGCCGACATCATCTTGCTCGGCGCGTCGGCGCCGGATCGCCGAAGCGACGCGACGCGAGTGGGCCACACTTGAACATTTGTCAAGAATAATGAATCCGCCACGAGACTTACCGTTGCAAAGCAGAATAGCAACGAGAAATTCATTGATAGTTTTCGATACCTTGGCTCATGTAACTCCGAAGTTTTCTGCGATTGTCGTATCTCTGCCTCATGCAACACATCTAAGGGCATTCAGTCTGCCCCAGGGTAACAACCGGAAACTCGAGGTCGAATGCAGATGTCTCAGAAGCATGTTGATCCCAGGGTAGTTGGCCTCGCTCTGTTTCTCGAGTATAGTAATTAAAGTAGCCAAGCTTGCAGTGGTGCCCGAGCATCGAATCAGAAAAGTAAAGCTTGCGTGAATCCAGGAAGTGATTATGATGCGTAGCGCACGATGAGACTCTGAGGCGACTTCATAGTCAAGGAAGGCAGCCTTATTAGAGTACTACATCTCGTAGGCGGGCCAGATGTGAGCCGCCTTACCAAGGAATGGATTTAAACTGATTGATAGTTGAAGCAGAGCATTCGCTTAGCATTGCTGGTGCCGGTGAATGCACGGGATCCCACTTGACTTGTATCTTGGAGGCACTGCGCTCGCGTCTGAGCTAGAAGCAGTCACAGCTTAGCATAGGTTCGGTAAGGTGGTGACTGAAGATGAGGTGCAAGAGGGGAGAGGAGAACGGATGCATCTTCACAAGATCGGCCGGTGTTGTCGGCCTCGGAACAAGGAAGCAGCTCCTCGCGTGCTTTCGCGCCAGCATCCGCACCGCGGGAGAAACTGCTCGCATGATGTCGTACATTATTCCTCCACCACCACCCACTCTTGGATAACTTGATCGCCAGACGCAGCGACAGTAACATCTTGCGCATACCAATTGTAGATTGGAACGAGGCCGCTGCCTCACGAAAGCCAGCTGCATGGCGACCTATTCACAATACCTTCCCGATGCGCGCCGAATACGATCTTTCTTCTTGCGAATGCCTCTGGCGACGAGAGGCTTTTTGCTGGTCATCATAATATTCTACCTTGTACACTTGCGCATGCAAGGTGCTTTGGACTTTTGGGGCGCTCTCATACCGAAGGAGATCAACATCAAGTCATGTAAGACACTTCACCCAAAACCAGCCCTCTTACCACTTCTCGTCACGCGCCCATTCCTCAATGCCTTGCTGACAGTATCTTTCTCTCTACAAACAGTATATCGCCTCAACACCTTCCCTCTCATCCACAAATCCTTCTTCCACCTCCTCCTGAACCTCATCACGCTTCTCCCACTCCTCGAACGCTTCGAAGCCGAACACGGCACCATCACGACCTTCATCCTCTTCACCGGTCCCTTCGGCCTGATTCCAGGTCTCATCTACACCTTTCTCGAACGCTTCATCTTCAACCTCAACACGGGAATCGTCGGATCCTCCATCTGGGTCTTCCTCCTCCTCGCCAACGAATCAATAAAACTCTACAAATCCAACCCCGAATTCGTCATTTCAGGTTTCGGTATCCCAACCTGGGTAACACCACTTTTCGCGTTACTGTTGGTATGGTTTTTGGTTCCGGGGACAAGTCTACTGGGACATTTGTGTGGTGCAGCAGTAGGATATCTATGGGGATTGGGCTGGATACGGTTTTTGGCACCGCCTGATAAGATTTTGAGATGGGTGGAGGGGAAGTTGAATTTGCTGGGGAGGTTGCCGCATTATGTGAGTGTGGATCAGAAGACGTATGGGAGGTATGGAGTTTTGCCGAGTACGGCGGGGAGTAATGGAGGGCCGGTGGGGAGTACGCAGAGGTTAGGGCCGTAGAGGAGGTGTGTAATGAATGTGTTGCTGCGTGAGACCGTATCATACTGGTACGAGAGGGCGGAGACTGGGGCAGTTCAGGTGACGCCCATCCACATTGCGAGATGTCCCAATTGCACAGGCCGCTACACACATGGACAGCGTGGAATCGAACGACGTGGGCACCGAGCTTCTATCGCGACTCTGGAAGTTTGCAGGCGACGGGTACATAATTCACAAGGAGGCGTTCATTTGATTGCCAACACGCCAGCCCTCACAGCTGTTTGACCGCGATGCTGGCAGGGTGTCTCAAGTTGCGGTGAAGCACAAAAGAAGGGCGGAAGAAAGGCGCCAGAAGAGCGGCGCGAGAGGAGGACAAGCGCTGGCACGCAGGATCGACAAGCCACGCACGTTGTAACGAAGAGTCGAAGATGGTTCATGTACGAGCGTTTGCTCGCCAGCAAACCAGTAATAGAGAATCACTATAATGAACAGTATTACAAGCACCGCATGCTCAGTTGCAAGCAACGTGGGATCCATGCGAAGATGTCTGTCTGCCGTACAAGAATCGTAGCCCGACACGTACGACATCGTGTTGCTATGCGAACAGCAGCCAGCGCATATTCTCATGACCGCGTGTCGATGGTGAAACGGCGCTGGCAATCAAGGTTGCCGTGCCTGGCAGCGCGGCAAGCGGCGTTCGCAGAGCCGCATGACGTCGGCGCGTTGCCCCGTTGACGGCAGCGAGAGTAAACAGCGGAGGCTGGGGCGCTTCCAGCCACGTCCAACCTCGATGATTTCGCTGCAGCACCACTTTGCGCCGCAGGGGACGTCGAGACAGCACGAAGGGGGATCTCGCAGAGGGAATTCAGCACTGCTGCAGCTAAGCTTACTCTTCTCCATTCCACACCTCCAGACAAAGCCATTGTTGCTCGCGCACAAGTTGACCATCGCCCCAGCGCATACCACATCCCGAACTATTACCACCACTACCTCCTCCACCACCTCGCGCCTTCCCATCTTGTCCGAGACATTTGGACGCACCGACATCCTACACACTCGCTCTCGACACAAACGCATCCCACCGACATCTTAGCCACTGCGACAAAGCACTCGTTCGGCGGTTGCATTCCACACCTTCCCAACTCCACGGCCTCTGGGCCGCTGGAGCTCATCGAACAAAGACACCACCCAGACAGCTGGTAGACCGTCTCTACCGACGCCATGGCGAACGTACGATTCGCCGTCGGCATCCAGCGGCTGATACCCTTCCTGGGATACCATCATGTCTTGATGATATTGATCGCAATCGCTATTGTGCTCTTATGTGAGTCGCAAGCACCAGAATATTCTCAACGATCATGGATACAAATACTGACGTGACACGATAGCACTTCTCCTCGCAGGCTGTTCATCATCATCGCCCGCAATCCCCAGCATCTTTCTCATCACATTCTACTACGAATCTTACACGCCGACATACGATCCCACACAAGTCAACCCCGCCGTGACAAACGCCATTGCGAATCTGGTTGGCGATGCAGGACTAGAAGTTCGAGTGGGATACTTTGGAATTTGCGTCAACCAAGACTCAGGCGACAGCTACCTGTGTTCGAACAATGCGACACTCCTGGCCGAACAAGTCTCGATCGATCAAGATCCGTTGAATTTGATCTGGGTCGCGAACACGTTCAAGAATAGCGTGGTGTTTCCATACTTACTGTGAGTACACCCCAGCCCTTAAATCCGATCAGCGAAAATGTGCTGTTACTAACGCAACACCCAGCATCATCGCCATCGTCCTCGCCTTCATCACCTTCCTCCTCCTCGCTACGTTCCCCGGCTGGCACGAAGAACACGACGCCCGCACAGGCTCCGACATCGACATCAAACCCTTCCCCTCCCGACCCGTCTCCCAAGTCGCCCTCGCCCTCATCTTCATCGCTTCCATTTTCGTGCTCGTCAGCGTCCTATGGCAACACACAGCCTCCGTCGCAGCAGCACAAGTCGCTCAAGATTTCGGAAATGGTTCTGTAAGAAGTGGTGTGGGGACGAGTGCGATGGTTTTGGGTTGGTTTGGATTTGCGTTGCTGATTATCGTGACGATTGGATTGCTCGTTATGATTTTGAGTATTCATTTGTTGGATAAGTTGACGGATGAGTGATGATGATAGGAAAGAGAACAGATGGGTATGGATATGGATATGGATATGAGAGATGAAAGAATGAGGATGAGGATGATAATGAGGGAAGAATGACAGTCTTGTCGAGGTCCAAGCGATAGCTCGACTGTGAGCTCATCCTTGGAAAGGCCTGGCCTCTTCAGCGGACCTCGACAGACAGCTTCTTGTACAAGACGGGAACTTTCTCACTTGGCGGATCGGAACGGTCTCGAAAGACTGAGCCTTCCGCCAACGAGGTTGAGAAGACTGCATTTGTTCGGTTTTTGCTTTTTTGCTTGTTTCTGCTGTTTGGATCAGCGGCATTTTGGATGACCGAGGACTGCTGGTCATCAATGAGGGCGTTTCTGGTATATGGAACATGATCATTGAAAGGGTAAAGGAAGTTCAAAGGCTTCAATAGCTTTATTTCGTCTGCACGACAGCGAACTGGAAGCAAGCAGAGGACTTGTGTAAATACATGATTCGGAAGAGAAAAGATGCAGTTCTGGGGATGGAGGGAAAGGAGACTGGGGATAGAATGTATGCAACGGCGATGATGAAAAATGAAAAGTTGCAAAGCATCGCAGTTTCAATGTTCAATGTTGTCTCAATTGGTTTTGATATACGTCGTCTTTCGTATTTGCCTCTTTGCTCCCCATGTGCTTCAGTAGAGGACTGAATTATTGTATCCCATGTGCCTCGTTGCCGCCCTTGTGCTTCAGTAAGAACTGAATGTTGATTTCCCTGTGCCTCGCTTTGCCTCCTTGCATAGTTCTGCTCTTAATGTGCAGACACCTAGCAGGAAGTTCCTACTCGGTCCTTTCACTCGCGTCTTCATACAGGTTGGCTGGATCATAAGCTTTTTCCCGATTGTTCTCTCTCACTTTGTCTTTCTTGCACGGAGGTGCCATGCTATGTGCAGTGCTTTGCGACTGTGAAGTTTCCAGGTCGCAGTGGCGCGGATACATCGAACGACATCGATGCTGGGCATGTTTTTGGTCGGCTGTCCGCAGTGATGACCCGTAGAAGGGGAATGGCCATAAGTTTGGCATGCTTTCGGCCCCCAGTAGGAGGAATCAATGACTCAGTCTCCATTGTTTCACGTCCCTCGTTCTCTAACCTCCTCGCTGGAGCAGACTTCTTGATCTTTCAGTAGCCGGCTAGCTCTCTCGTCCCTCAATGCTTGATGTTCACTGACGGTCCCACCCATCGCGGCCTCGCGCTGCCGCATGAAGAAATCAATTCGGTCCCGTCTGTTCGACAAACCTTTCACCTCTTTCCTCACTTGTCGCAGATTCTTCGATGCTCGATCATGCACCAGATCTCGAGACTCCACAATATAATTCCCATTCTCTTGTGCTCTCTGCACATTTAAGCTGCTACCCATGATCGCCAGCGCAATCACCACAGCCAGGAAGTAGGAATTCTTCATGTACACAGGCGCCTTTTTCGTGGGATTTGACTTGTTATCGTGATATCTCTCCCAATCTTCCCAAGTAGCATTTTGCCACACAGGATCTGATGGGTCATGCCAGCTCTGACTGAAAGGTCCAGCCGGATGGAAAGGTGAAGGTTGTGCCCAGGTATCTCGATTTCCAACTTCTGCTTTCCCGTTCCAGCCAGCTCCAAATCGGTCGTATGCGCTGCGTTTGACAGGATCTGAAAGAATCGTATGTGCAGCTACGATCAACCGGTATCGCTCCATTTTTGCTGCGTTTGAGACTTCATTGTTGCCCCTTGTGCTTCCAACACTATGAACTTGTAGATCTGGATGGTACAGCTTGACGAGCTTGTAGTATCCTGCTTTGGAGTACTTCGCATCATGCTTCATGTCAAAGATCTGGTATGGCGTTGGATGTTTCTGGCCTTTCGGCGCGTCCGGCCATTTGTGTTCCCATTGTCGCCCTTCTGGCTGTTCTCCGATATCTCTTGCATCACCGGCCAGCGTGGCATACCCGCCCACGCGACATGTTGCTGGTCGTGTGCCTGCTCGTTGGCCTCGAGACGATGACGTCGACGATATTGAGATGGACGGAAGGCTATGGGCGGTCGCGAGGAGAGCACTGCAGCTACGGGTTGTCAAGACCATTGAGATATGTACAGCAGCTCATGGTAGGAGCATGAGCCGTGTGAAAAGAGTAAGAATACAGTATGAGTGAGGTAGAGGTAAGTCATGGGCAATGCGCACGTTTGAGATGGTTCGAGATGCGATATCGCTTATCTCGGACAGACGGTCCGAGGCGCGAGATCTCTTGGCGACATGTTATTTCCACGAAACGCGACGCGACGCGACTGCAATCGACATGGACAACCACAACACGAGTTGAAGTCCACAAAGACGCATTGCCGATGCGCCTCTATTTAGACCACCATTGAAGCATCAGGTCTTCTCATTGATGCTTGCTGACACGAGGCTAACGAAGCTGATCACAGACATATGAGAAAGATGCCCTTCGACCGGGAGAACGGACTAGTCTACACCGAGAGGGTCATGAAGGCGAATGGCCATAGAAGATGCTTCTATGATAAGCACCACATGCCTTCACTCGAATTACCCAAACATCCAGATCGTGGTGCCAGGTCGCTAGTCGACATGGCGAAAGGAACACTCTTCCGAAACACGGACATGCTCGACGCTAGCTCTTTGCAAGGTCTGACACAAGGAGTAATCGAACAACTATGGAGATGGGCGAACGATTGCAATGCAGTATCCCTTCATGTCTGGCAAGTTTTCGCACGCACCAATCGTTTGATGGTGCACGACATGAAAAAACGCCGCATCCCGTGTATGAGGCCAGCATGTCTTGCATCAATTGCAAATGATGCCAACATGGCTTGGCTCGTTCGTCTTACGATCAAGGATTTGGCCATCGACATGGACGATGCCATCTCGATAAGGAAAATACCGAACCTTCAAACGTTCTACATTCGAGGATCAGGTGCTAGACAGGAAGGCGTCTCTGACCGAATCTTGCGGGCCTGGGCGTCTGCAGCGAAGGATTTAGGAGCGATGTCCAAGCTCGAGCTGATGTTCCTTGGCGCACAATGGGACCTCACTCCGCACTCTCTGCAGTACCTGAGCCATTTCCCTGCTCTACAGGTGTTCACTGTGTTTAGATGTGGAGGATACTGGGAGGAAGCTATTCGCAAAGGACAAGGCGTAGCAGGCTGGAGTCTCTGCAATCCGTGAGTACCAGTTCGACTTCTCTTCCAGCCCTTCGCGAAATGCGTTTGGTCGAATTGATTCAACAAGGCTTCCTTGCGAAGACAGTCGTGTTCAACTGAGCTGATCGATTGTAGCAATCCTGTACAGCAGCTGATCAGAAGTAACACCCGTGCTGGGTGCGACCTCGCGACCATATGGGCAGAGTTCGCCAAGAATTTCATAGCCAATGCCAAAGGCATTGCTTCAAGCAACAAGCCGGTGCTGCAATTGATCGGCTCCTATAACCCTCGCAATGGGCGCAAGAAACCCCGACATAGAGACTGGAAAGACCCGATTTTCTCGTTCCAGCGAGACACAAAGTTTCAAGCTGTGGCACCTGAAGCGACTGCACAGCCTGTGGCGAAGCGGCGGAAGCTCAATAACAACGTAGGAGCCGCGAACTATGAGCTGATGACTGGCAATGTTTGACAACAGCACAAAGCGACCCTGAGAATTCCTCACCCGAGCTTTTGGGCATCTCACATACAACGGCATTAGTGGTTGCGGTACGTATCTGCGGCAAGGTCCAACGAGCGCCAGACATTGGACTAACTACTCCTGCCAGCGCATGTTGTGGCTTGCAAAGCTGCCGCTGCGTTTCCGATACCATGCTCGGCTGCGTTTTTCGTATACCAGATGTAAACGTCCGCATGACGACACTTGGCTCCAATTTCCATGCTGCTGCATTGCACGCCGCTACTGGGCTCAACGTGAGACTATCGGAATATCCACATGTACTATCATGGGATTATGTTGTGCAACATTGACTTGGCCAACGGAAAAGCCACACGACTACCGCATAGGCGGATACGCTACGGAGTATAGCGTGGTTCTTTCGCAAGGGAGATCTTGGTTCCACGATGGCTCCGATCTTGGTGCGACGACGGCTTGGACACTAAAACATCCCTGGCACAATCATAAGCACGTAAGGAGTGTTCGTTCGGAGACAGGTCCAGCGATTGATTGTCGACTAGCATCTCACGATCCGGCATTCGCCACGCCAGTGTGGCTCTTCATATGACAACTCCATTATGTATTGTCAGAATGCAGTATGATCATCATGACTTCCCAGCAGTAACTCACTAACTACTAAACGGCATACCACGGGTCGCTTGCAAGTGTTGTTCTTGGCTGCCACACTTGTGGAGGTGGGCTGGAGGGGCAACGGTGTACTCTCCGACGACAGTTCTCCATTATTGAGTGCATTGCGGCACAAAGTCCGGTTGACATGAGCATCGTTTGAATTCGCTACCTGGATATCTACCTCGCGCACAAGCCGATTGAAACCGGATCTATGCATACGCTAAAAGTCGGGCAAAGATTCGATTGAGAGCTTTACATGCAAGCGGCACCGTCAATGCCAATGACCTTGCCGTTGACCCACTCGCCGTCTTGAGAGGCCAAAAAGCCAACAACACGTGCAATGTCGACTGGCTGGCCAACGCGAGCCATTGGGGACCATGTCTTTGCGTACTGCGAGGACTGTTAGCACACGTTCAAGGACAGGATCTTGATCGGAACTCACCTCATCAACCTCGTCATCGCTCAGCTTCTCTCCATCTGGGATGTACTCTCTGCACACGGCGTGGTACATGTCGGTCTTGATACCACCAGGTGCGACACAGTTCACGGTGATCTTCTTGTCACCGCAGTCGATAGCCATGCATCGCACGAATGTCTCGATGGCACCCTTGGATCCAGAGTATACTGCGTGCTTTGGCACACCCTTTGCCTGACCAGTGATGGAACCCATCATGATGATTCTGCCGCCCACAGACAGGTGCTTGTATGCTTCTCTTGCAACGAAGAATTGTCCACGAGTGTTGATTCTCATAACGCGGTCGTACTCCTCTTCTGTCACATCCTTCAAGTGTCCGAATGACACAACACCGGAGTTCGAGCAGACAATGTCGAGTTGGCCGAAGTGCTCGACGGCTTGGTCCATGAGCTTGATGGTTTGTGAGACATCGCCAACATCTGCTTGGAGGGCAATGGCATCTCCGCCGTGCTCCTTGATAGCACCAACGACCTTTTCGGCGGCGTCGGATGAGTTGGCGTAGTTCACAACAACTTTCGCTCCTCGTCGAGCGAGTTCTTGTGCGATGGCAGCTCCGATACCACGGCCGGATCCTGTGACGAGAGCGACCTTGCCGTCGAGACGAGAGGTCTCAATGCCCCATGGGAAAGCTGAAGACATTTTGCTTGGGTTGGCTAATAGAGAGAGATAGTGATTGGAGAGTGCGTTCGATTTCGATATAGCGCCTAGAGGATCGAGTGAAAGGCGATCGTTCTTGGTGTTGGGAGTTTCTGATGATGATGCAGGAGTAGTTGACATCTTCTGAGGGAGAACGATGGGCCTGGAAACATATATATGTTTCGGACATAAACTCAGGAAAAGGCGGCCTGGTTACTATTCACGCTTCGCTGTGTGTGCCTGGACGACCAACCTTGCAACAACGAACCGACGGACTCGGTATCGTCTGCCGAGCAAGAGTTGCTCGAGCGACCTACGCAAGAGAATATCGGCTTTCTCCATCTTCGCACTGCGTTGCTATGTGCGAGAGAGCGAAAGCGCGAAGTGTCACAGACCGCTGCGTATCATCGATACAGTACCGTTGCCAAAAGCGAATGCCTGGCCAACGAAGGACAAATCGCGGAGAAACGATTCGCTTACCCCTCTCGGCTCCGATCTTGCAACGTCCACGCTACCACTCTGCAAAATCGCCGCCCGTTGAAACGACAAAAATGTGGTTCGGCGTCATCGTCGAAGGCCGAGAGCGCGAGCTCTTGGCAAGTGTTGTAGAGGAACGACATCCTGGCAATTTATGTTTCTATTTTGACTTTTCGCGGACTCAACAGCTTCCCTGCAGGAACCGCTTTCTCGCGAGCATCCTGCCAGCGAATAAGACACAAAACGGGGAAAGCTGCAGAGGATTACGCAAGCCGGAACGTCGTCTCCGCTCCGGACATTCGTGTGGGGTGCCATGTCGGACTTTGCGACGAAATTCGTGTTCTCTTTCGGCGATGTGGTATTCGTGTTGCTGTAAATACCTCATCAGTGCTGGAAGGAACCTCATCTCACGCGATAGTGAAACTTTCTGTTTTGCATTTTGAAGGCAGTTTTGGGGCTCTTGTAGGAGAATTGCCCGATTAACATTTTTCTAAGTGTAGGAAGCTGAGCGGTCAAACCAAGCATTTCTGGGTGGGATGCCGTCTCAAGCAGCCTTGAACCTTGTGAAGTCTATCTGAACAACTAGGTGGTACTGACTTCAGGCGGTAACGTCGGTACCGATTCGTGTTGCGGTGTGAAGTTTTTACAGTTACAGTTGATCCTCCATCGATCAGAGTTGCATTCAACGTGATTTGTGCAACAAGTGCTTGAATCAAATTGTTCCCTGCGTTGGGCCGTTGTGAACGACAATATGGTTTGTTCGATGGTTTCCGATGGAAACCAACGTCTTTTCGCATGGACCGAGCAGCACCAACAAACAATGTTGGAAAGCTGCAGTATTGCTCAGGCACTCATTAATTTGGATTTGTCCTCGAATACAGCCCCGGAACTCGATGCATATCTTTCCGCAGTACCTGTTTCAGGTTCATCGCCGGGCATCGATGGCTGCCAATGGGCACTGACGGAACGACTGCACGATGCAAAGCAGCTCGCAGAAATTGTCTGTCAACAGCGTTCAAGTGCTGCACCTACAGCTGTCTGCTGCAGGCACGTCAGGGACAGAAAACCATTCTCCGACGATTCAAAAGCTTGCCGTGATCACGAGAGACCTCGTTCTTGGAAGTTTGAAGATCTACACTGCGTCTTGTCGGACTTCTTCACGCGGCTGCGGACAAAGTTCTCCTGAAAAAACACGAAGCCAAGAACACACATTTAGAGAGCCGTTGATGTTTCAGCATCTCGACAAAGGCGGTATTGCGCGTCAGTAGCAATGACTGCTGCAGCTTAGGCCGCGAGAGGACAGTGGCTTGCCTGCTCAGGTCGTCATAGTCAGTACACAGCCTCGCAACTCGTCATGCCAATGCAGTAAGTAAGTGCTGAAGAGTCCGGATCCTTTACTTGGGGTAGTCTTTGTTGTGATCACCGCAGGGAACTTGTCCGACGGACGCGACCGCTGTCTGCAGGAGCGAAATAGCACGGGCATATCCAACGTGTGGACATGGTAGCAACACACCTTGCTTTGCCAATGGAGTAGTGCGGAGAACCGTGGTCTCTGGCCAAAATCGGTGCATTAATAACGGTCGCATAGGAAATCCCGAAGGAAGCGCAGATTGCTTAGGGAGCAACACAAATAATAGCTAGCTTTCTCGTAGCCCGCGGAACTTTCCCTTGAGCATTCGTTGTATATAGGAGCGATGTCCGCTGCGAGCAGCAGTTCCTCTGCGCCCATCGCTTTTGTTCATGTTCCTGATCCTTAGCCTGCCTTCCTTCATTTCAAACATTACCGAAGAGGAGCTTGGAACTCTCTCCAAATGACATGACATCGTTTGTTCCCACCCTATGCACACGCCCGCCCAAACAAGAAGAACTCCGACGCTATCGCACCATGCTTGCAAGAATAAAGTTTTCGCCACCCATAGCGCGATGAAGAACACAAAAAGGACAGTGGATGCGGGAAAGGGGAAATTGCTGTGTTCCGAAAGGAGTGATGGCGCCCAGTGGCGACGAGGTCTGTCCTTTAACCTCGAGCCAGCTTATCGATCTTCGACCGAATGCCGTCTGAGAATCGATTGGAAGCTCCTTCGTCGATGACTTCGATGCAGTGCTGCAGGACAGGATATGCACGATCCAGACTCATCTGAGAGCCGTCACGTTTCGTCACGCATGGCACGCCTTCCCGCTTGGTCAGGTATCGTATGATGAGAGGATGATCGGCCGGTAGAGCATCGATCGCGAAGGAAGGGCCGGGCACAGATGGGAACATGCCATTATTGCGCGGCGAGGACTGTTCCTTGTGTGTGAGACTGTCGGTCCAAAGTACCAGGCCTGCGCGGTAGATGGCACCAGCCCACCAAGGAGGGCGAACGGTCCGTGGCATACTTCGAACAATACGCAGGATTTGGCCACAATGATAGATGGCTTCTTCAACATCATGGATGCATCGCTTGTGCGTCCAGACTAGTTGTTGGTAAGTGCCATCGAAATTCTCTCGACGAGCTAGTCGTTCAATTTCTGGGAAGTTGGTGGCAGCATTGAGGCTGATGAGATGGAAGACGACGAGATTCGTCTGCATCACTGCGCACATTGGGTTTGCGCGAAGGTATCGTTCGGCCAAGTCGAACCATCTTCCCAGAAGTGACTGGACTTCTTCGAGGCGATTACGTGTCGTTGACGCACTGACTGCACGAGGCTGGCTCTGGTTCCGACTCGAGCGCGATTCGGAGAAGCAAGTGAGGAGCTGACTGTACTGATGAACCAGTGCCTGGAGAGGATGCAGTAACAATCGAAGTTGTAGAGGTGTCATCTCAATGCCAAGCGGAATCATCTCATCGTCCAGGAAATGGCGAAACAGATCGCGTAAAGACAGCGGCCTAGCACCGGACCCCACGGAAGAGTATCCTCCTGAAAACTCATGCACTTGCTCGAAGATGGACGACCACTCTGCAGCACTCTTTGCTTGCCAAAGACGGTCAGCATCAGGCATGGGTACAGCAAACTCGGACACAGCAAAGAGCGGAGCGGTGTCATGGAATAATGCTAGATCCTGATCAACCATGATCCATGAATAGACTAGTCGACTCTTGGACTCGTTCGAGATCCATTCTTGCCATAACTGGTCTCGTGTTGAATGTTGGTTGATGTTGGACGATGTCGTGGCCTTATCCAGCATTCCCGAGTGTCGTAGCATGGCCAGATACATCCCACGTTGGCCCATCGCGATATCCATCTGCCACTTGTCGCCACTCCAGGCTGCCTGAACGATGAAGAGCAGGGCCGAGTGCAGTACGACAGGGTCAGCAGACATGATGATGTTTCGCTCTATGAGATCAAAGAGCGATATCCGACATGCTTCGGTCAGTCCGCCTGTCAATAGGCGTGCTTCCGTGGATTGTATGCTCATTGCGCCTTGAGCAATCATCATCAGGACTAGTAGGCTTGCTGCACGATCATTGTAGCAATGCAATAACTCGTTCGCGTCCAAGATTCCCTTTGATGTCAGCGGGAAATAGCGCTCAAAGCTGTTTGCGTATGATCGGAGAAAGTACTCCAGAACGCGCGCGGGTGGCAACAATACAAAATTTGAACCGTAGTAGGAGTTTGGTGTATGGTAGCCCGAATCGACACTTTGACGGTTGCCGCCCTCCCGGTGAATTTCGAGCGCCTTGTGGAGGAAGCTTTGCGTGATGGCCAACAATTTGTCGCGAGTACTTTCGTGAAGCTGCATTACTGTCAGCTGATCAGCCCCAGCCAAGTCGGTGTCATCCCAGGCAGGACTCCAGCTCGCCCAGCCCTCGCGATTCCGTAGAGTGTCCTCTAACCGCTCAAGGTTTCTCTTGGCCGTCCTGGGACAAGCCGAAGACGGCAAGATCGGCGTGCAACGAAACACTGACCAGGCATCTTGGGCCTGAATGATTTCGGGTAGCTCAGAGTTTATGTCTGAAGGAGGCGTGGAAGCTTGTGAATGTATCGAGCGAGATGTCCGCATGGATGTCATCGGTGGTCGCTGTTGTTGATATGCTGCAGCAGAGCTGGAAAGCTCGAGGTCGGCAAAAGTTCGTTCCATCTTGGGTGTCTCCAAAGGCGTTACCAGCGAAGCCATCGGGTCATCAACGGTCGGCAATATGCTCAACATTGCATCAGGATTTGATAGCATGTTTGCGTCGAATCCGATCTCCGTGTTCATGATCATGTGCGGTTGCACCAGTCCATCGTAGCCGATCGGCATTTGCATTTGACTCCAGTCTAACATGAAACGGGGGCTAGAATCGTCGTCAGAGCTATCCTTGCTCATAGCATTCGCGAACTCTGTATATCCCGACAATGGCGTCTGTTGCATAAACCCAGTCGTGTGTGCTTCGGGAGAGAACGAGCTTGGTGGTGTAGGCCTGGTGGAGGGCTGGTCTGGGTACTGTGTCCCAGCTGTGTCACTATTGTTGGCGGGCTGTGTGTCTTCTGCAATCGATGCCATCGTCGGCTTGGGACTGGTGTCCTTCGTGACCGCTTGTTGCACTTGCAGTGGCTGCTGCGGGCTATCTGCTGGTGCCGCCGGTGGACTCGGTTGCTGCTGCACTTCAGATGGCTGTGTGTTGTTCTCAGAGCCCGCCTGTTGTGCATTGAGAGGCACTGCTACAGCACCTTCTGCCGGCATGTTCGCACGAGCAGCATTCTTTGAGACCCTCCTCGTTGGCCGTAGTGTACACCTTAGGTTCCGGCCCGCACATCTTGAGCACGGGAATTTCTTATCGCATTTCGTTTTCGTCTTTGCACAATTGCTGCAGGCAATTGGTGTTCGTCCTGCTGACTTCGGTATCATACCACTCGCAGCTGGTATCTCATGTTGTCCAGTCTGATCCTTGCCGTGTACCGTGTAGTGTCGTTGTAGAAGATCCCTTGTCGAGGTCAGTCGTTGACATGAGAAGAAGCGTTGAGCATCATGCTGACCTTCTGGCGAATGACATATGACATGTGAAGCATTTGAACGGCTTTACGTTGGTGTCTAGATACTGTCAGTGGGACTTCTTCAGTAGCATGCTGCATCACATACGAGTAAGAATATGGCGTTCGAGATGCTCATCTCTTGTGAAAGACTGCCCGCAGTATGTACAGAACACCATTGTGCCGACTTGATGTGTGGTCCAACGCTGCTGTAGATCGAATGCGTCTCCACGAGCAGACAGAGAGGTTCGGGAAGATGCAAGAGCGATCAAGTCCAAACGAAAATCATCGGGCAGGTGGCCCAGTTATGACACAGCGCCAGCGAAAGGAATCAGCGGCAGTACTGTAATAGGACTCCAACGAAGAGGGCAGGTGTGGGGCGTAAGAAACAGGCTGGAGCCTCGTGCCTCAGTTGCAGATCCGTCTTTTCATGAGCGATAGATCCTGCGGCAGTTGATGCACGTCTGACATGAGCCCTGTTAGAGATATGGTTCAGCGCAGTCGCAGCTCGTCATTGATATCTTGGGCATTTCTGTTCCTAGCGAGGGCTTTGTAGTGCAAGGATTCAGCACGAGCAACCTGTCGGAGCATTTTGGCCAGTCGCAGATCGTCCAAGCCAGCACGCCAGCATCCATCGCAATCCACGGATATGCAGGAAGCACGTATCCAGCGGCAGGAAGTGTGCATACAGGCTGGCTCCCTGGCTCCAGGAGGCCTGCATCCTGTGCATGGGTTGTGTGGGTACCCCAGCAATGTACAAGGATAGTATCAGCCACCGAAGCCAGGGGAGGTGCCCCAGCTCCAGATAGCCGCGACCCGCAGCACTGCATAGACTCGAGTCCTTGGCAGACCAAGAATGGCTGCGTTGAACGCCTGAAGAGGTGGCTTGCAGCCGAGAACCCTGCCCGAATGTAGTAAACGCAGCTAGGGAACTTTTCTCGCCGCCGTATATCACATCGTGCTCAGGACCTCTAGGCGCCAGCACAGTCATTATGTCCCACACGCCGCGCTCGCACGGCATTCTGCACGAGGTCACTCGAGTTGTGAGACGCTGTGCACATGGCGAGACAATCGTGGAACGTCGCGTTCCCGACCCAACGCGGTGTCTTGATGCCACGCGGACCCGACTGAACGATAAAGCGTGCACTGCACGACCTCGCTAGCATGATTTGATACGTAGCCCATTCCTTGTGTTATTCTGGGTCCCGCGCTATGCTTATTGTTCACGGTGTCATCCTGTCAGCATAGGAGCCGGATGCGGATGCTGGTGTCGCAATGAATAGTGCTGAGAGTTCGCCTCCCGCTCGCATAAGGATGGAGTACGCCTAGCTGTGTACTTCTGGACCTGTGTACCTGTTCAGCAAGTCGTCGCCTTCCACGTCAGCACGCATATTGGAGTCCTCCTGTTCAATGAGTCTTCGGTAAGCCGGCAGTGCATTCAGCCCTGAGAAGACATCGTCAGCAATGGCGGCACAGAAGTGCCTCGACGCGTTGGAACGACAGCCCTGCCACGATATCGCTGCAGCCAACGCTATCACCGAACCGGAAGCGAGAAGCTATTTTCCGATTCCATAGGCGGTACGATTGGCACTTTGCATTAGCGTGCATGTCTGCCACATGTTCCGGCGGTCGCCAGCACTTCAAGATCTCGAGTGGTATGTCTGCACGAATCTGGACATGTTGACAAATGTCGATTGTACGAGATGCTTGCGATCGCGAGTTCTTAGGGTCATCTTGAGCTGTGCATGTGTGCTCCTGTAGTCTTCAAGACCGCCCAATAGCTGGCGCCGAGACATACGGCGAGTGATAAAATGGCTCGGATGCGATTGGACTGCTTCCACTCTACTTGTCTAGAGGCCTCGCCGCCTGCCCCAGCGCGAGTGGGCATGCTGACAGAAACATGCCCATTCCGTTGCCGTGATGGCAGGCACGGCATTTTTCGACCCGACTCGATGGCGTCAGCTCAGTATGTAGTGATCACAGGCATGCCGCAACCAGCGCACGGGCTCGTATACGGTGGATGTAGAGGACAGTCGAGCTTTTGCTGCACGGGAAGTCGACATTGGGTTTCGGTGGGCCTGGTGGGATGGCATGAAAAGGACATCTGCGATCCGCTCTACATCGTCCCGGACGAGGCCCCGGATGGCGCGAGGAATGCGGCGGGCACAGATTAGTGGGAGCGTGCGGAGCCCGTGTAGATTGCTGTTGATTCGGAGCCACAACGGTTCTCGTTCATGACGCAGACCATGTGTCTGGTTGCTCGGCAGCGCGCTCCTCGTGGAGAAGGATTATGTCAGTATGCTCAGTGCATTCTCGTACAGTGCGGCCCCGTGGAATCTCAGTGCAACGTCGCGCGCGGATGGTGTCAATCTGGCATGAAACAATGGCGGACGAGTCGGTGGGAAGAGGCAGGCGCTGGTCCAGGTTTCGCGTCCAAGGTTGTGTTGTTTCGTGTCTGTGAACCTGCCGACGCGCCGATGAACTTTCCGTCGGGCGGAACGGCAGGACCCACCTGCTGGAGACTTGGCATCAGCAAGATGGAGGAGGAGCACATCCAGACGTGAACCTGCACAACACAACTACAACCACAATCAGGCACACATGCAGTCAACAGTCGAGAAGCAGCAGCACGGCATCGTGGACGGGGAGCGATCGGCTTGCCGAATGCCCAACGCCATTTGATGCGCTGCATCGCAGAAACCCGAGCCCCCAATGCGCGCAACACGGACGTTGCCAATCGATGGCCAGATCTCGAATCGATGCGCATTGCTGACATGGTCGTGCAGTCTGCAGAGCCTTTGAGCAGGTGCTCAGGATTTCCTCGAGCGATAGGGCTGCCTCAACAAGACCAAATTCCCTACATGTGCAAATCTGCTAGGTCTTCCACATTTTGTCCCTGCATAGGAAGACGGAAGTTCAGAAGCGTGCATGGGACGTGCAGCGCACGAACCCGACTGTGGCTACTGCAAGACTGGAAGCTCCAAGTGAAGTCTGCGATGCACAATCTGGGCCAAGTCGTGACCGCTCTTCCTTCTCTCTGCCATAGGCCTCGGGGATGTAGGCTGTGCTTCGGGAGAAAGCAAGGCGCTCTTCCACGCGGGATCAACAACATATTGCATCTTCAGGGCGCTCAACGCCATTCGAGAGCAAACGCCATCCGAGAGCGTGTAAGCTTCAGAGCTGCTAGCCGAGTATTAGCCGGTACGGCACTGGAATTTGGCGAGCTGGACCATCGGCTGGCAATGCGCTGACCAGGCATTTCTCTCTCGCCGTCATCTCAGGCATTGGGATCCGCAAGCTGAACTCAGCTTACAATCACGCACGCTATCTCGTCGGTGTTGATGACACATGGGCACAATGCTGAGTCCGCTTCTCTCTCGCTTTGGCGAGAAAGCCCTATTCATCAGGAGCGGCACTGCCTGCTGGCGGTCCACCTTTTCTGCTCGCAGAGGCAATATGACGCACCGAGGCTGGCCGAAGGAAGCTGTGTTCTGCAGCTCTGTCGTTGCACCTCACCGGTCTCATCTCTACTGGAGTTTGATCGGACATTAGGTCAGATTTACATTGCAGCTTCTCTCCTACTCGAAAGCAGGATTCCAAGCCTGCGAAGACGACTGCTTGAATGGCTCGAGGAGTCTGAAGCGCAAGCTTCGCCCACTTCCGTTCGTGCGGGTGCCGCGTTCTCGCGCGCGCCAGATCAACAACATGGTATTTCTCCGCAGTCGCGTGTAGCTGACCTTGTCCAGTTCGTGTGGACGCGCCGTTCACCTACGCTAAACGCTGCAGCGAAACGCTGCAGATCGCGTTAGCTCTCTCGTATTCTACGTAGCTCGGAGCAAAAGCGTCAATCTCAACGAATCAATGCGGCGATGCGCGCGTTTTCGGGCCCTATCAGATGGTATCGAGGAACACGCATGCTTCGCGCGTTGTGGCGCACTCAGAGGCATGGCCAAGGACACTCTTGGTCTGTGAAGGATGTGCTCAGCTCGCCACATATTGCACGGCACTCGCTACTCCTTGAACTTATCCACTGCATTCTGGTCTCGCTAATTTTCCTTGCCAACCTGTCCCATTCGCTGACACGAGTCTCGTAACTGAAATGCTTGGCGACAGAGATCTACCTATCCGCCCATATTTCTTCGCCAAGTCGCAGTCGTGCAACAGACAACTTCTATGCCGCGTTGCTGCACAGGTTTGCTGCATATGAGCTCGTGCTCATCATGGCAACTTTGGATATGCTGTTGGCTAACGCGATACAACAGCTCGCAGTTGCACCATGCTGTTGGGAATCAATTGCCAGCATCCCTGTCTCGCGTGCTTAAGCTGAACTCGCTTAGCACAATTGCATTGGAGAACCTCCGGGTCGTCCTCCAGCTTGGCCAAGTCGGGGGGCGTGCTGCAAAGAGCAAGATGATGAGCGTCTATCTCCGTGCCAGCACAGCGAAGCGTCCACAATCGTGCATGGCATGGTGCTCGTAGGAATTCGAGCATAGTGGAGATCTTGTTACTTGATGTAAACGCCACTTAGCTCCAACTCGTCGAAACAGGGAAGCCGAGAGCGGTGGCATTACGAGCGGGCGAAGATCTGTCGACATCTATACCGTTCTGAGCTGGCAACATCCACATTCACGTGTTACCGCTTGGACGCCCAAGAGTCTCATCCTCCGGTTTGCAGGATAGTCAGCCCTACAGACAGGGTCCAGCCCAGCTATCGCTATCGCTAGGCAACTAGACGAGGGTCGAATACGGTAAATGGACGTTGACCGACTCTCAGCTGATCATATACCATGAAGCGACAACAGCGCCGATACTTGGGCAGCTGTGCTTTCCGTGGCGATTTGTACAGCTCGCCAATGCCAGTCCCCGGGATGTTGGCATCGGCGTGCACTGAGGGCACGAGAAGACAGTTCGCTATTCATTTCAGTCTGCTCATCGGGAGCATAGCCTCCGTTACTGTCAGCCTGGGAACGGCCATCACAGTGACTCCCAGGCTGCAATCCGCATGTGCGTTGATCAATCGACATGGTATTCATGAGTGGAGACCGACTCCTACCCACCCAACGTTGGCCAGCCTCGCCGAGATAGTGCGTGCTTACGAAAGTACAGGACCGACACTCTATGTGCGCATAAAACGACAGACTAACAGCCGTCTCGATTGTGGCAAGGACGAGCCTCGACGCAGCAATAACCAATGCGAGAAACGCTCTCATGTGCTTTCTGAGGGCATTCATGATCGAGGACAATCGTAGCAAAGCAAGTAATGATACATAGGAAAAGCAGTTTATAATACACAACTCAAGCGTACTTGCTGACTTCACTACGAAATTCTAAACTGCTACTTCCAATCGAGACGCTGCCAGCCCGCTCCTCATTAGTTCTGCCATATCTCCTTCTATCACATTGATAATCAACACCCCTTTGCGCTGCAAAGCCACACCGAAATACAACATCACCTGCCAAGAACGACCGGTGCCGAATTTCCAGACTCACCTATGAGCTATAGCCAGGAAATCCCAGTCCACGTCTTCACACACGATAATGATCGATTGCACAGGCTGAGACACAATCTTGGGATCAGTATTTTCCGAGGCTTGCACAATTTCACATTGCACATAACCAGTGCGGCCCTAATCCAGCCAAAATTCCGGCCCTCAGCCTCATCCGCTGTCACGAGCAAGAATAGGTGTCTTGTGCGGCCTAAAGGTGATTGGGAATCCTTCAATTGTCGATCAATTGCAAGTCCTACATGTGAAAGACATATGGAGAGGAGGAATTGTGTGACAGTGTCTTACTCGCTCCTGATGATTGCGACATGACGATAAAGGATGAGGTGCTGGATGCTTACATGGAGGTTTGGATTGATAGGGTTTCCTCCTTTCTAGACCCGAGACTCTGGATATTGCACAGCGTTTCTTACCAACAGCACGCGGGACCATGTTTTTGACTTATCTGCTGTGGACTTCAGAGATGAGCCAGTTGATGCTGTACGTTGGTTGTCCACGTGCTAGGTGATCACTAATTGTTGGAAGGGGGCGGGTCTAGGCAACGAGATGGAACTTGGCCTTTGATTGTGAGTTTCAACCTGAGTCCTTGTCTTTGCCGTTGTACAATGGGATACACGGAGATAAGGCTTGAAAGTGGTGAGAAGTGCGAGGGAGTTGTTGTGTTCGAGTGTAGACTGCGTCTGAAGATCTTTGATCATGCGCAGTCCTGTTGCAGAACGTGTGGAGGACACTGGAGCCGACGAACATGTGGAAACGGCTTCTGTTCCGCATGTTCTTCACAATCGGAACGAAGTCGGCGTGTGACCTAAGTGGTGCTGCGAGATCCAGACTTGAGACCTCTTCTCCAGGCTTACCCTGAACAACCTTTTGATGAAGTTGCACTCTTCACTTCCGGTATCGCTTGTGCCAATCTCGTGCTCATCGCCCTTGGCTATTTCATGCTGGCCAATGGCGAAGAAAGGCAGAAGTGGAATTCTGGAGCGTGCCAATGCCGACGAATCGAGCATGGGTAATGCTGCCTCCATGAGCAACCTCGCGGACAGTTGAAGTGAAGGAGGCTCAATCTCGTCGGTATTCTGATGTATTCGAACTGCCGACAAGATCACACATCACTCAAGCCACAGCAGTGATTCGGTGGTAAACATTCCTGTATCAACGAGGTCCAGGTGATCGTCAACCAGGATGATGTCGCAACGAAGTCAAAGTCAAATGGTGCCGATTGCCGAGAAGACGATCTCGGCAGGGACAGCCGTATACTGAACATGGAGTCCATGTCTATGATGGTTTGGAGAGGCTGTAACGAATATCGAGGATCGTGCCAGAACGATGTTAGAGACAGATGTCTAAATTGACTTCATGCCAAGCTGGACTATGAGACCAGCAATAATGCACTTTATCGTGAGGTCCCTGGACGTTCAATTTCGAGACCAGATACGTGAGCCAGGAATTGTGCTGAGTGCATAGATCTGCTCCTGGTCCCTCTCAACAGGCTCGACGGCTCCCGCTTTCTTTGCGCGCGACACTGGCAGCAGAGCGTGTTGCTTGCCTGTTGAGAGAAAGCGTCGTGGCTATCCTCTTCGGCCAAGGCTTCTAGAGGCAATTTCGTGGCAGCCAACTTTTGTTTGACAAGTGACATGCCTAATTCATGTCTCGATGAAGGCGAGAAGAACCATCAGCCCTCGGGATGAGATTCATACGTGCCTCAGGCACTGTATCTAGTGACTCTTGGTGTTCGTCGTTGGTAAGAAAGGACGGGAAGTCGGCTGCCACCGGGACAGTCGCCATTCCTGAAGCTCGATCACAGAGAAGCATTTCGCTACGGAACCTTAGCCAAGCCGGCGTCGAAGTGGCCGCGTGAATTCACATGCCTCAACACATGTGAATGTACGACAGCACGAATCGCGTTGGCCGGAAAGCCGACAATTCCAGCAATGCAACTCGGAAAGAAGTGCGTCACCACGTGCATTAGATCTCGTACCACCGAGCACGTTGATAGTAACGAAGATCCATGGTGAGGAGGGTCCCGTATATGGATGCAAGCACCTTGACAAGCGGCTGCCAACAGCCCGCTGCGCGCTGGGTTCGCCGTGTAATGAATCATGCTGAGAGTCGCTAATGCGTAGAAGCATGCAATAGTTGTTCGAGTGTTGCGCAAGAGCTAGTGGGTCTCGGAGGCTTTATGCGGCTACAATATAAAGTAGCCAGCTCTCTGGGATATCGTACTTCTGAGCAGTGCATTTCCCCCTGTGGATACGGGATGTGGGTTGAAACTGTAGAACATCGTTTAGCAGTACGAAGCAGCACGATCATCTGTTCCAGCTGTGCTTGTGCTGGCCGCACATGCGTGTCAAGAATTGATCCTACCTTCCTGTCGGAACATTGCTCCGCTCAGGTACATCGAGCGATGCTAGCAGTCGCGACCTCAGAGGGGACACAGGCAGTCTCGATGGACATCGAAGAAGAAGCTACTGTCGAATGCTACCACAGAGGCACACCTACGCGTGCTATGAATCAGCTCAGTGCCAATGCACTTCTCATGGGCAAGACCGTTGTTGTGATGTCCGTGATGATGCCCAGCGCGGACCCGAAAATACGAACGGACGGCGGGTTGCTCTGCTGGAAGCTCTTGTTACCTCCTGTTACACGCCAGATAGAGCACCCGGCATCACGTGCATCAGCGATGAAGCCGATCTGGCGTTGAGTCGAGTATGCACGAGGGCAACCAGATGTGGCCGTTGCACAACACCCGGAGCCCATGTGTGGCCCCACACGGTGCAGCGGCTGGGGAGCAGTGGCCGTGGCTCGGAAGTGAGGAGCGGGCCACGCAGAGTTTGTCAACACGTCGGCGGTTTTGTGGGTGGGCGGCATTCAGCGCGCGGCGGGTGAGGGCGGTGGGCAGACGAGGAATTGCAACGCTGCAGTGACGAGGAGAAGAGTCCAGTAGCAACGAGCAACAAGCGCGGCCGTTGCTCGTGGTTGGCGCGGGCACGGGACCCGCCACGTTTGGCTTGGCTTTCCCGCTCCCGCTTGCCGTCAAACCCGCGCTGTGGTTGACGCAGCAAGGACACACGCGGGAGGCTTTGTAATTACTCGACATGAACAATCTCCCCAGGTCCGTATGGTGACGACCACGACCGCCGCCCGCCGGGGTTTCCTGCGGTGGAGCAAGACACATGGCGATGCAACACCGCGGGTGGGCAGCGCGACGCACCAGACCAGAACCAGCCCAGCAGCAGCGGCGCCGGCAGGATCGTGTCAGCCACGTCGAGGATAGCAGCACCGTACCAACCACAAGATAACAGAGCAGCAAGCGAAGACGGATCACCAGCGCGCTGCAAGGACTCCCGCCGCAGCAGCACCACCGCAGCGGCAGCGGCAGCGACAACAGCAAGTGTGGCGTCGAGTGGTAAGTGGCAGCCCCGGCTGTGATCCCACCGCTGGGCACCCATGTCCGCTGCCAAATGCTGCTGCATCGTTTACACACAGACTCGCAGTGAGCCCTCGCTTCGGAATCGGCCCAGGTGCACGCCTCTCCCCAAGTATTACTCCATTAGGCATGCCAGCATTCCTCCACGGTGCGCAGACGACTCGCTTGGTACGGGCGTTGATGGAGAGCCGAACTTACGTGACTTCATTTTCTCCTGCAACCAACGCACCCTACCAATCCGCTCCCATCATCAAAGCCTAACAATAGCCTCACCGTCTGGCTTTTGCTGACCCTCTGCGCCGGGCATGCCATCCTGCTGCACCATGATCGCCTGCTCCGGCGGTGGGGGCTAAGCGCCACCATCCAGATGAGCGTTATCAACCATCTGTATTTGGCAGCCATGGATACCGCATGCCATCCGGCGCAGATCCACAATCGGATGCCCTTCCCTGTAGACATCGATTGACCAGGCATGCCAAACCACCCTTGCCTCTATCAGCAGAATTAAAGGTATACATACTGTTCGAGCCCTGCCCTTCACACGCCAGTTTTCCGGTACCAAACCATCTTTGTTGCTACGGACAGTCTAGCCATCTGCCGTTTCAACAGCTTTTCCTTGCCATCTCTTTCGTCACTATAGACTGTGCGTTGGTTGCTGGACTCTGTTTACTTTAATCGACAGCTCGCGCTCCGAACTCTCTCCAAAGCATCATCGCCATTCGTGTCTAGCCAGCACGACTGAGCATTTGCGGATTGATATCCAGTAATCGAAACAACGACCATCAACGACCATCTTCATCGACAAACGAAACGGAATACCCCTCCAAGCCACAATCGAATAACGAACATATCGACGAACAACATCAACAACGAACAAGATGTCGAACGTCCTCCTGTTTGGCGATCAGACCGCCGAGCAATATCCTCTCCTCCACAAAGTCACTCTACACCGCGACAATGTCCTTGTCAGCAACTTCGTGCAGCGATGTGCCCTCGCTCTGAGAGAGGAAACACGGGCACTGCCACGCAGCCAAAGAAATTCTATGCCAGACTTCCTGACCTTGACAAGCCTGGTCGAAGCCTACTATCAAAAGGGCGAGAAAGTGCCTATGCTGGAATCTGCGCTCGTTACAATAGCTCAGCTTGGACACTACATCGGATACTTCTCGGAGCACCCAGATGAGCTCCCAGCCACATCCGACACCCGCGTTCTCGGACTCTGCACTGGACTACTCGCTGCATCCGCCGTCATTTCTGCAAAGACTATCGATGAATTGGTGTCTCTCGGCGTGGACTTTGTTCGTATTGCTTTCCGCTCCGGAGCAGCAGTCGACAGCGTCCGCTCTGTGCTCGCTCAACCAGGCCAAGAGAAGACGCCTTGGTCTACGATCGTCACAGGCACCACCCAAGATGAGGCCAACAAGGCGTTGTCGGCTTTCCATGAAGAGAAGGCGATCCCACAATCCAATCAAGCCTACGTGAGCGCCGTCTCAGTCATGGCCATCACTGTCTCTGGACCTCCGACCACGCTAGAACGTTTCTTCAAGGAAGGTGCCTTGGCAGAGAACAATCGTGTCGCAATCCCTGTCTATGGTCCTTACCATGCTCAGCATCTCTTCAACGATGCTGACCTTGAAAGGATCTTGTTCGGCAATGTTGGACAGGAGCTGAAGAAGCGCGTTCCCTCCGCGCTCGTGCACTCTGCAGCTACAGGCAAGCCCATGGTCGCTGAGAACTCTTTCGAGCTCGCCAAACTTGCTCTGGGCGAAATGTTGCAGCACCCGGTCCGCTGGGACCACTTGCTGGAAGAGGTTGTTTCTCAAATGGCCGCCAGCAAGTTGCCTGCCAAGATCTACGCCCTCGGTGTCAGCAACATCTCGAACAGTCTCATCTCCGCTCTCAAGGCAGGTGGCAAGACTGATGTCTCCGTCATTGACCAATCTGCGTTCACAGAATCCACTGAATACAATGGACGCACCCAAAATGACAAGATTGCGATCGTGGGTATGGCTGGACGTTTCCCCAACTCCGCCAATCACGAAGCGCTTTGGGACCTGCTCATGAAGGGTCTCGATGTCCACCGCAAGATTCCCTCAGACCGTTTCGATGCCGATGCCCACTGCGATCCATCGGGCAAGGGCAAGAACAAGTCTCACACCCCGTTTGGATGCTTCATTGATGAGCCAGGTCTCTTCGACCCGCGATTCTTCAACATGTCGCCGCGTGAAGCCGCACAGACTGATCCTATGGGCCGTCTCGCCCTAGTTACTGCCTACGAGGCCCTCGAAATGTCTGGATACGTTGCGAACCGAACGCCATCGACCAAGCTCAACCGCATTGGTACCTTCTACGGCCAAACATCTGATGATTGGCGTGAGATCAATGCCGCAGAAAACGTGGACACCTACTTCATCACGGGTGGTGTGCGCGCTTTTGCACCAGGTCGTATCAACTACTATTTCAAATTCAGCGGACCTTCGTACTCTATCGACACTGCCTGTTCGTCCTCGCTCGCGGCTATCCAGCTCGCTTGTACATCTCTCTGGGCTGGAGATTGCGACACTGCTTGTGCTGGTGGTCTCAACGTCCTGACCAACCCCGACATTTTCTCTGGTCTCTCGAAGGGACAATTCTTGTCGAAGACCGGGTCTTGCAAGACGTACGACAACGATGCTGATGGGTACTGCCGTGGCGATGCTTGCGGAACTGTTATCCTGAAGCGCTACCAAGATGCGGTTGCAGACAAGGACAACATCCTCGGATGCATCCTCGGCGCTGCCACGAACCACTCCGCGGAGGCCGTCTCGATTACTCACCCACACGCTGGCGCACAAGAATTCCTGTACAAGCAGGTGCTTGCCAATGCTGGCGTTGACGCTCACGAGATCAGCTATGTCGAGATGCACGGCACTGGTACGCAAGCCGGTGACGGTATCGAAATGACTTCTGTCACGAACGTCTTTGCTCCTCGTCACCGCCAGCGTCGTCCTGACCAGCCAGTCAACCTCGGTGCCATCAAGGCCAACGTTGGCCACGCTGAGGCTGCTTCGGGTATCAACTCCCTCGTCAAGGTTCTGCTCATGATGAAGAACGATAAGATTCCAGCCAACGTCGGTATCAAGGGTGAGATGAACAAGACATTCCCTGCCGATTTGAAGGACCGCAACGTTCAGATCTCGCAAACCGCAGTCGATTGGCCACGAAAGAGCGCCGCGCCTCGCAAGGTATTCCTCAACAACTTCAGTGCCGCTGGTGGTAACACCGCCCTGCTGATCGAGGATGGACCCCTCCGCGAGGCACCGACTGTCGTCGACCCGCGTGGCACTCTGCCAATCACTGTCTCCGCCCGTTCTATCGGTTCTCTGAAGCGTAACTTGGAGAACTACCAGTACTTCATCAAGCAGAACCCGAGTACGACACTCACATCCTTCTCGTACACCACAACTGCTCGTCGCATCCAGCACAACTACCGCGTCGCGTTCTCGCTCGCCGACATTGGCAAAGTCATCGAATCTCTGCAGGGTCAGGTCAAGGAGACTTACAGCCCTGTCCCTATGGTGCCAACGAGAGTTTCCTTCTGCTTCACTGGCCAGGGCTCGCAATATACTGGACTTGGACAGAAGTTGTACCAAGACCTGAAGAGCTTCCGAGACGACATTGATCAGCTGGATCAGCTGGCCCGCATCCAAGGTCTGCCATCTTTCCTGGAGCTCCTAGATGGCACTGATGTTGCTACTCTATCTCCAGTCAAGGTGCAGCTCGGAATGGCCTGCATCCAAGTCGCACTCGCTCGCATGTGGGCCTCCTGGGGTATCACACCAGCTGCCGTGATCGGTCACAGTCTGGGTGAATACGCTGCTCTCCATGTTGCTGGTGTCATCTCGGCCTCTGACATGATCCTGTTGGTGGGACGTCGTGCCGAGCTTCTCGTCCGCGATTGCACCCCTCACACACATGGCATGCTCGCAGTCAAGGGTAGCGCGGACGCCATACGCACTGCACTAGGAACCAAGATGACTGAGATTGCTTGCATCAACGGTCCAGAAGAGACTGTCCTGTGCGGAAGTGGCGATGTCGTCGCTACCGCAAGCGAGATCCTCGCCCGCTGCGGCTTCAAGGCCACGAAGCTCAACGTGCCATTTGCATTCCACTCTGCACAGGTCGACCCCATTCTGGAGCAGTTCAAGAAGGTCGCCTCCGCTGTAACCTTCAACAAGCCTATTGTTCCTGTGCTGTCCCCCTTGGCAGGCGAGATCATTCGCGAAGAAGGCATCATCAACCCAGAGTACCTCGCCCGCCACGCTCGCGAGACTGTCAACTTCTGGTCTGCTCTCATCAGCGGCCAGAGCGCTAACGTTTTCGACGAGAAGACTGCTTGGCTCGAGATTGGTGCTCACCCAGTGTGCTCTGGCATGGTCAAGGCTTCCATTGGTGCTACCGTGGCCGCTCCATCGCTACGCCGTGGCGAGGACGCTTGGAAAACCATTTCCAACAGCGTCTGCCAGTTGTACACTGCAGGAGTCAGCATCAACTTTGATGAATTCCATCGCGAGTTCAACGATGCTCAGGAGCTTCTCACTCTGCCAACGTACTCATTCGACAACAAGAAGTATTGGCTCGACTACCACAACAACTGGACTCTCACCAAGGGTGAGGCTCCACAAGTCCGAGAGGTCATTCGCGAGAAGGAAGTCGCTGTTGCTGCAACTGTTGCGGAGGTACCAGTGAAGCGATTGTCTACTTCTTGCCAGAAAGTCATCAGCGAGGAGTTCAACAGCACCAGTGCCAAGGTCGTCATTCGATCGAGCCTGGCAGACCCCAAGCTTTACCCAGTGGTCTGTGGGCACATGGTCAACAACGCTGCTCTCTGCCCATCATCGCTGTATGCTGACATGGCTTTGACCGTTGGTGACTACATCTGGAAGGAGATGCGCCCAGGCACCGAAGCACCTGGCATCAACGTGTGCAACATGGAGGTTCCAAAGCCTTTGATCGCCCAGATCCCTCAACCTGCTCAAGGCCAGCACGTGGAAATGGAAGCCGTGGCCGACCTCGAAAAGGGCAGCTTGAAGGTCAACTTCCGCAGCGTACAGCCAGATGGCAAGAAGATCCAAGACCACGCTCACTGCATTGTGCGCTACGAAGACAAGGCTGCCTGGGCTGATGAGTGGTCTCGCTACAACTTCATGGTCAAGGCTCAGATTGACATGCTCACTCACAAGACCATGAACGGAGGTGCCCACAAGGTTCAGCGCGGAATGGCATACAAACTCTTCAAAGCACTGGTCAACTACGACTCCAAATACCGTGCCATGGCAGAGGTTGTCCTGGATGGTGCCAACACCGAGGCATCTGCTCAGCTGGACTTCCCCACCAAGCCGGACGATGGAGACTTCTACTGCCCTCCTTACCACATTGATGGCTCCTGCCACATCTCAGGCTTCATCGTCAACGCTTCCGACTTGCTCGACTCGGAGCAGAACGTCTACGTCTCACATGGCTGGGGCGCGATGAAGTTCAGCAAGCCGTTGACAGCTGGCATGCGCCTCCGCAACTACGTTCGCATGATCCCGCAGCCAAACAACATCAGCAAAGGAGACGTTTATATCCTTGAGGGCGACGAAATTGTCGCAGTCTGCGAAGGCATCAAGTTCCAGCAGATCCCCCGTCGTGTTCTGAACACCTTCTTGCCACCAAACAAGGGCTCTGCTGCCACTCAAGCTCCAGCATCCGCTGCGCCCAAGCCTGTCGCTCGTCCTGCAATGACAAGAGCACCCGCAGCCGCCTTAATTAGCCTTGCACCTGCTCCAGCAACCAAGGTAGCAGCTCCAGTTCCTGTCTCGGCACCAGCGCCAGCTCCACGTGCGGCCAAGCCCAAGAAGGTGGCTGCGCCCAAGAAGCTATCTGGTGGACTTGTGGACAAGATTATGCAAATCTTGGCCAAAGAAACCGAAGTGGACATCGCCGAATTGGTTGACGACGCTCATTTTGAGAATCTTGGTGTTGACTCCCTTCTATCGCTCACCATCTCTGCAATTTTCCGAGAGGAACTAGATCTAGAGATCAGCTCATCCCTCTTCACCGATTACCCAAGTGTAGGAGAGATGAAGAAGTACTTTGCCACGCTCGACACTTCGAGCGGCAGTGAGAGCGGTGGCAGTGTCAGTAGCAGTGCTCACGACGACGATGATGATTCCGACGACGAATCTATCTCTGCCACTGATGTGCCAACTCCTCTCGAAGACATCTCGACCCCAGCCTCTTCAGCTCCTTCGGTTGCGGGCAAGGCAGAGCCAGACTCACCAGCACGTGACACTCTGGCCGACGTTGGAGATGTTTCGCTCGCGCGCCATGTCGTCGCTCAGGAAATGGGAGTCGACATTGAGGAAATCACCGACGACGCCGATCTATCTGAGCTCGGCATGGACAGTCTAATGAGCTTGACGATTCTTGGTGAGCTTCGTGAGAAGACCAACATCGATCTGCCAAGCACATTTCTCTCGACCAACCCGACCATCAAGGATATCGAGAACGCTCTCGGTATGCGCCCCGCACCCAAAGTCGTAGCACGACCATCGGCGAAGACTTCAACGCAGACTGACATGAACGAGGTGTCTGCTAGGCTAGCCGCCATCAACAGAACCGATATCTCCCGCTACCCCGCTGCGACTTCCGTGCTCCTGCAAGGCAACGCAAAGACCGCCACCAAGAAGATCTTCTTCCTGCCAGATGGCTCCGGGTCTGCCACCAGCTACGTCAGCATCCCCAACCTCGGCTCAGATGTCGCTGCCTACGGACTCAACTGCCCATTTATGAAGAACCCTGACCAATGGGACTGCGGAATCGAAATCGCCTCGTTGATCTACCTCGCCGAGATCAAGCGTCGTCAGACCAAGGGACCTTACGTTATCGGCGGCTGGTCTGCAGGAGGTGTGATCGCATACGCAGTGGCGCAAGCACTTCTCGCAGCTGGTGAGAAGGTTGAGAAACTCTTGCTTCTCGACTCTCCTTGCCCCGTCAACCTTGATCCTCTTCCCACCCGCTTGCACGTATTCTTCAACGAGATCGGACTCCTCGGCACCGGTGACCCGACCAAGACACCAAAGTGGCTGCTTCCTCACTTCTCAGCTGCGATCAAATCGCTCTCCGCCTACGATCCTAAGCCTTCGCTTGGTGAACTTCCAACTTACGCCATCTGGTGCACAGATGGTGTTGCCGGCAACCCAGGTGACCCACGCCCACCGCCAGCTGAGGATGAGGATCCAGCTCCAATGAAGTGGCTGCTCAACCACCGCACCGACTTTGGTGACAATGGCTGGGCACAGCTCTGCACCGGACCTTTCAAGAACGGTGTCATGGGCGGCCACCACTTCAGCATGATGAAGGAGCCGCACGCAAAGGACCTTGGCAAGCTGATCCGCGAGGGACTCGACTGGAAGCCCTAGATGACGGAACGCTCGTACTCGCTTTGAGAAGCTCTATGGATACCTAGGGAACATGACTTGCCTTGGCCGGCAACGATCGTTTCGTGGAATTCATCACCTCCAAGCGAATTCGGCGTGCTACCGACACAACGCAAAATTGAACAATAATAGACGGATATAGAAGGATGCTCGGATTGCAAGTGTTTGTATATTTGACTGGCATAGCGAGAGCGGTGGCATTGGCGTGCAGCGTGCTTTTGGGTGGGATAATTGGTTAGATGCTAACATGAATACTACGGCTGACTATCTTCAAAGTCGTCGCTGCTGGAGATGGCGCGTTGGATGCGAAGAGCTGGCTACTTGAGTGTCTATATAGTCTATTGAAAGCAGTTGATGACAATTTGTGCCCTCTCTTCCTCACTTGATCATGTTCATTTCGCAGCACACTGACTTTCCTCTTCGCAAATTGATCGTCGTTGTTGCTCTTGTCAGGTACCCGAATGGATCTCCACTGTCACATACGAACGAAGAAGGCTTGTTCGCGGCGAATTATGTTTCATCATGATGATCACTGCATCATCGACGATTTAGCAGCCAAGCAAGGAGCTTCTTCCGGCAACAAGGTGCAGTCTCTCATGCACGTTGACGAGAACGTGCGGCCCGATGTGGTTTGACGCGCTTTTCTTGCCCTATCCGCTTCCCAAAATCCCACAATCCAATCGCTGTATCCCAAACACTGGCATCTCTCTCTCTCGTACTCACAAGCAGGGTTCATTGCGAGGCTTGAAGTACGTGAAATGAGCGCGACAATTGCTCGGGTCCCCGAAATCCTTCTCCGGAGTTGTTTCCAGTCGTATACCACCAATTGATGTGGGGACAGTATTGAAATACGAGCTCCACACCTCAAATCACGTTTCACTTTTGATTTCAGACGTTCCTGTCAGCTGCTCAATCAGACTCCAGAACAGCAGATGAAGTTGTGTTTCGATCGAACATTGAATGATGAACGACAGCGGGGTGGGTGGAAGTGGAGATGACTTGAGGTCGTTCATTTAGGCTGTAACTAAGCTATTTCGGGACATCCGGAAGCTAAATTTGAGCAAGCGGGAGCGGGAGATGGCGCCTTCTTCCGCTGGTGTGCTGTTTATTCGCGCGCAACTGCAATTCTGAAGAAGTGTGGCTGGTGCGTTCTGCAAAACGCTGTATGATTGTGGCTCACGTGCCTTTTCGCCTGGACGTGTCACGGGATAACGAACAACGGCGACCAAACAAATTTCCACAAATGGCGGAGGTTTCGAAGGCTGGGTGAGTAGGACTACTGATGACAAAGAACTTTTGAACGGAAGCTGATTTTGAGAATCTACAGCGCTGCCAGCAAAGATGCGCCAACTAACCCAAGAGGTATCCCATATGCGCCTTTCGTGGATCGAGTGGAAGACTATGTCTCATCAAGAGCCGACGTTGAAGGCGCGCTCAAGAGCTTCCAAGAGATGATTTCGTGAGCTACCCAGGCACTTCTTTCCTGGCTGCCATTTCTCAGAGGAACAAGACTAATCATGCCCCGTGTCACCGCTCAGAAAATACCAATTCATGGAAGCGAACAACCAACGACGGATTGTAGGCCTGAAAGACAAGATCCCTGATATCCAGAAAACACTCGAGACAGTACGGTTCTTGCAGCAGCGAAAGGTAGGTCTTTTCAGGCCCTCTCCCGCCACTCCAACACAAATCCATCTGCACTCATATCAAGACATGGAACGCCTCACCCGCTGACCACCACTTTCTTTCTCATCCTACAGGAAGACGCCGAGCCCCTCGAAGCCACTTTCGAGCTCAACGACACCTTATTCGCCAAAGCCAACATTCACAAGACGGATGAGGTCTATCTCTGGCTAGGCGTAAGTACCTCCATCGGCGTGAATCCTTACTATGCATGCACTCCAAGGAATAAGAGGAACCGACGAACGAATGACCCCTTCACCAACGTCCTGCCACTAACAATGATCCCTCATCCAGGCCAACGTCATGCTCTCCTACCCACTCTCCGAAGCCGAAAGCCTCCTAATCTCCAAACTCGAAACCGCACAACAGAGTCTCGCAAACTGTGAAGAAGATATAGATTTCTTGAGGGAACAGATTACGGTACGCCTTACCCCATCCCCAACAGTCTCCCTTGACTCACTGCCTTCTGGTCTGTATACTGATCAAGAATGGTGAAACTAGACAATGGAAGTCGCCACAGCACGCGTCTACAATTGGGACGTTGGCCAGAGGCGGAAAGAGAATCAAGGCGCTGGTGAGAAAGATGGGGATGACAATACGAAAGCAGCGGGTTGAGAGATTTTCTCAAGGTCTCAGGTATAAGTAGAGTAGACTTGGGCATACTCGCCGTAAGCGCAAACTATGGCCAGGAAAATCATACTCAAATGAGTCCGGGTGGTAGGTAGTATCAAAGCTGTCGGACCAACGAGAAGTGAGCAGCATAGAAGCGGCAGAAGCGTTACAATTGCCGCGACTTGTAGTCAACGATCAGCTTGCCACAATCCTTGAAAGGCAGGTGAAAATGTCAGAATCTTGGGATTTCACATCTTTTCTTTCGTATATTGGTATCATCGCAGTAGCAGTACTAGCCTCGATCCCATCCAATGCCGATCCAATAGAACCCTTTTTGGAGTGTTCCTCGCCATCATGACGACTTGTGCCTCTTCGCAGCTCCTGCGGAACATGATGCAACCGCCCCAACCTTCCGCCGCGCTGCACTTCTCACACGCGCTTTTCTTCAGCCCCTTCACATCATCGTACACTTCCCACGCTGCGCGCGCCTCGACCACGAGCCATGAAATCCATCTTTCGCAATGTCATCAGCAATGTGTATGACAGAAAAAGCCACTGAAACCACCTTACTTCGAAGACCCCCCGCAATGCAAGGACAAGACTCCTTGAAAAAGCTATGCCATCTGTTGTGCCGTATTCGACAACAGCGAAAGAGTCTGTCGATTCGTACTGGCAACTGAAAGCAAAGCTGTTCGAGACTCCACCCGAAATCAGCAAATTCAGACGTTAACGCTCAAAGCAAATAAGTTTTTCGATCAAAAAAGTAAAAGGTTGCCGCTCCAGGGGTATAATGAGCACTAATACAGATAGTCTCTTCATGACTGCAGAGAGCAGGACTTGAAAGACCATGGTCGTTGCCTAGTCGAGTTCAATGATCTCTTTCTTGACTCTCCCTTGGTTCTGATTGGGTCGCTGGCCATGCGTCGCCGGGACAGTCATCTGTCGAGCTGTGCTGTCCTGCCCCAGCCTCATTTGGGTTGGCGGCGGTCTTGCCTGGTTCCTCATCTGAGCTGGGGTGGGAGGCTTCTGTTGCGTCGGGGCCTGTGTCGTCGATGGATTCCGGTTCAGTGCAGGCTTCGTCTCAGGTAAGGATGTTTCTGACTTGTCCAGCTTCTCCACAGCATTATCAGGACCATTGGTTGAGCTGAGCATGAAGTCATCCAATCTCTGCAGCATTGCGCGGAGGCCCTTGGCGTTCGAAGTGAAGCCACCTCTATTGTTGCCCATCCAGCCCTCTGCGGTAGAGCCAGCGTCCTTGCTGAGATCAGTGAGGGCTGTTGTGAAATCTGCTGGCAGCTTAATGCCATCCCTGTCCCAGACTGTCACCGTATATGACACGGTCTTGTTGCGAGTGGTCTGTTGATTGTTCCAATGTAACACCATTTTGAATCTGCAAGGAGCGAGTGGCGCATGATAGACGAGTGAGTAGCTGAAGACATGATGCGAGTGTAGGGTCAACGTGCGCTGCGCCGAGTGTTTCAATTCCAGCTCCGAAATTGCCTCCAGAAAAGGCTGCGCTGCTGACATGGCGAATGCAAGGGAGAAGAATGGGTTGTCCGCCGCTCGGTTGTAGACCTCTTCCAAGTGCGTTCGAATTCGTTGATGAGGATTGCTCGAGGTGGGGCCCAACTTCAGCTTAGTACTTCCGCCCTTCTTTGTAAGTACCCCATTGTACTGCTGCGACGTGCCATAGTTGAAGGCCAGTTTGCTCAAGCCGACAGCCGTGCAAGTATACTGGAGATGCCGCGCTGCAGACAACGCTGAGTCAAGATCGCGACACCGTTTGAGTAGGCGCGCAATTTCCTTGATGTACGACTGCCCAAACTGCGCTCGAAGTGACAATGCCAAGCCGCCAGATGCGTTCATAGCAACATCTCCGTTTCGGCTCTGCGTAGTGGTGAGATAGTCCTTTAAATGCTTCAGTTGACTGGACTCCAAGGTCAAACGTATATCATGTCTTGACTCTTCACTACCATCATTGTCATCGAGAAGCCCCTCATACACGATGCGAATCCATTCCGTGATGGCGAGCGGTTTGTAGTGTGCAAGCTCGGGCTTCTTCAGGTCTTGTTGCGACATGCGGATGTAGACCACTGTTGTCGCACTCTCGTCACGTCTATCACCATCGAAAGTTAGCGAAGAAAGCCTTTCGAGGTGATATGGGATCTTATTTGCGCCAAGCTCTTGGACGAGCACTGCGAAAGATACCTCGGCCTCGCCCATGGTTTGAATGCGTGAGAGATCGGCTCGAGATATCGCAGATGTTGTGACATCGAGGGGTCGTGCGTCCACAATAGACTTGATGGTTCTGCCCTCTTCAACGGGTCTCGAATTGGTCTGCACCACCCACCACCTCTGACCAGCAAGACTGTAGGTAGTGCACAACGACCAACGCTCTCCCCAGGCTTCATTACATGCGAATATGTCATGACGAACAATGTCCGGTCCAAACAACGCCCGGAAGTTCGGCTGCGGACCAAAGCTACGGGGGTCAACAAGCTGCCACCGGGCAGATATTGCCACTCTGCGCACTTTATCTTGCACAGCGCGGCATAGCAGTTGCGCAATGCTGGCCGAATTATCCGTGGATGGGTCGCGGTTGAGGTTTCGCTGTGCCGTGGCAGCATCTCTGGAAGACAGTGATATCGTCACGAGGCCAGTGACTGGCTCGATGTTCACCGCTATAGGGTTGCGCAAGCCGGGGAGCGATAATGTGAGATTACATTCGTCGGCGCTGGAGTTTGAAGTGCTGAGCTGCGCGCGCACCTGTGACCGTGGCCCCGCGAGGGCTTGCAAACGATCGCTAATTGTAGAGAGCGACCACGATGCATGCTTAGCTGTGACTTGCGACAATATGGCATCCAGGTCGAGGTCGTCCCAGTCAACAAGAATCGCCTGGTCATGCACTTCTTGTCCCTGTCTGAACCACCGGACCGAGTGCTGCGATGTTGGCTTCCGTCTGGAGTGCTTGCCTCTTGATTTGCCTGTGCTGATGCCAAATTCGATCCAGCTCTTCTTGCCTGCTTGATCTTTCCAATACTGAATGGCCAGGACTCTTCGTTGAGTCTCAGTCACGAGACAGTCGAACCACTTCTCGCGGAAGAGCTGCACTGATTGCGACTTGAGGACATTGATCTTGTGCGTCAACACAAAGTTATGCAAGAAGTCATAGCATCCGAGTAGGCCTTTGGAACTGAGCGCTTCGTTCGTGTGGGCCTCCAGAGCGTTTCGCAAGACATCATCTGTCAACCCTGGAGCAGGCGTGAAACTGAAACGCAGATCGATCAGGTAGAATTGAGAGGAAGGGTCCTCATCAGCAACTGATAGGTCAACTTCGAACTCTCCAGGCACGCGAAAGGTGGCCCTTCCGTTTGCAATGGAAAAGTCGCGGAAATAGTGCGGTAAGTCCTCATGCAGATTGAGCCGGGTCGCAATAATCACGTTCATGTCCTGCAGGGTACTGGCGAGCTGCTTGGCAGTAAGCTTCGGAGGAGGAATGTAACCCAGGTCCGGCCATTTTGAGGGAGCTTTGCCGTTTGCCAATAGTTCCATTGCCCCTTCGATGTTCGGGTTGGGCATCTTTGCTCGAGCGACATCATGCTTGGTTATTCCAATGAAGCGCATGGCGTTCTCCTGAGCTGCGATCTGAGAATCAAACCAAGCTTTGAGATCTACCAGTTTGGCCATATCATGCTCGCTGCGCGCGAAGTCTGAAAGGATGAGAGCTTTGGTAAACCGGTCTCTCTGGTCACTGGCAAAGTCCATCAGAGCTTTCTTTCTGGCCAGACTCTCCTTGGAAGGGTCGAATGTCTGCGGTACAACTCCGTTCGAAGCCGCAGGCTGTGGAGGCGGCATATCGTTCATCTTGTTAAGTGTGGCGTTGAGGTCTCCAAAGCATTGCTGCGCAAGACGAGCTAGGAGAACGCCGAAGGGCTTGTTGTTCTCGGACGTGCGCCAGGATTGGTCCAATGGCGGAGGTGTAGAGGGCCTCGACACTGAAGTGCCTGCGCCATTCGAGTGTCCATTGGAAGTAGGTAGCGGCTCATTTTTGGCAGGCAGTCCATTCGGCAGAGAGCCACTTGAGACTCCATTGGTGTTGCCATTGGTATGAGCTGCTCCCTGCATCTGCGCGAGATCGCGCTTCTGCGAGACGTTCCCTGTTTGCGCCTGGCTTCTGTCTTTCTTGAGGTCTTGAGATCCAACTGCTCCTTGCTGATTCATCATCAGCCGGCCGGGCATGTCCTCCCCGCCTGTTGCGGCGCCAGCGCTGACTTCCAAATCGGTGCGCCTCACGCCAACTCCGCGCCTGTCACCACCTGAGGCCTCCGCTGCCCTCCCAGGGTCACCTGCAGTTGCGTGCGCTATGATGGCAATCTCCTCCTTCACTTCAGGTCATTGCTGAGTCGATAGTGCCGCCGCGCCGCAATCGGACAATCGTGATGGCAATGGGTTCGGACCCAGGAAGCAGTCCGGAATTGATGCTGGCAGAAAGGACGGGAAAGAGCGCGCGAATGGTAAGTTTGGCAATAGGTTCACAGTCGCGCCCGCTCGCAGTTGGTTGGGCGTGATGTCAGCGCAGTGGGTTAGATTGATCCGCGCGTGGCGTGAGCGCATGCACGAGCACCACGTGAGTTTCTGTTGATCGCGCGGTCGGTGGAGAGACGGTGAATGGCGCTGTCGTGGCGGCGGGGGTTGAAGGAGCGGCGAGGGCGAGTGCAATTGTTGTCTGGGAGTGTTGCGCTGGTCTGAGCGAGCATGCGCGGAAGCGGCAGCCGCGCGACGGGATGATCAGTGACGAAGGGCCGGGCCAGGGCAAGCGCGCCAAGCTTTGTGCATTTTGCCGACAAAGAGCGCCTCTTCCTTCGATGCACGAAGGACGAAGCGACTGCGATTGACCAGAACATGCTAGGAACTCCTTCCACTTTCACAGAGTCGCAGAGCGGACCGCCAGAAGAGCACACATACTATAGTGTCTATCTTCATGTCTAGATGCTGCTCTTACGCAGAGCCTAGCGTGCGCGCCCTCTTCTAGGGTTCGATGCAGGTTGCATTACCGAGCGCAACTACTGTACTCTCCCAGGCTAGGTACAAAGGTCCTATGAGGCCAGACGATGCTTTGTTCTTCGTCAATCGTACAGCTCCCTCGAGTCGGTGGCTGCATGACAAGCGGCGAGCTTCGACGCAGCTCTACTGCTGGCCTTCAGGCTTCACATCTCATCTGTGTAGCGTTGTGCAACACTATCGCCGCGGAGGCATACGCCTTCGACAGCAAACGTAATGATTTCTCTCAAACATGGCCGTATGGATATGCAGCTTGCTGAGGACAAGCCTGTTCGGCGCACCAAAAGCAGGCATCCCGTGGTCGCTCCCATCGTACGCAATCTCGAGCTAGCTTGGAGATCATGAGGCACATGGCCGGCGACCACACCATTCTTAGTCTCCTCATGTCTTATCGCGATACGCCCGCCTGCACCGCACGAGACGTGCTGATCCAGCCTGCTGATCCTCCTTCACCATTCCTCTCGTCCGCTCCGCTGCCTGTTGAGTGCCATAGGGGACTGCAACGATGCCTGCGGAGCACGTCCCGTCGCTGCTGGAGCACTGAGGAAAGAGCAGCCGACAAGCGATGGTGCCGGACCCGCGTCGCCCGCCGACCTTCCGACCCCACGCCTCACGCGTCGAACATCTGTACCATCAACAGCAACATCACACGCATTCGGGCAACGACTATTCTACCTTTGCAGAAGAGAACACATCGTCCCTCGACAAAGGCAAGCCGCCAGTCTCACGGCAGATCTCATTCCTATCGGAGTACGCCCACGACGCGGATGACGAGCGTTCAACCCCCTCGACCAGCTCCGAGCGGTCATCCTTTGACACCACAATGGGTCCCGGAGAGCCTGTCGACGCGCCCGAGCCTTCGTACCCCGGCGAAGATACCAGGCCGACTTCTAACAAGGAGTTGCTGGGCTTCTACACGTATTCGTTTGCCGCCGAAGTGTTCGTCGTCTGCGGTCTCGGCGCTTTCATCCCTATTACCCTAGAGGATCTCGCGCGCGCTTCTTCAACCGCAGTGCTTGCGCATGATCACAGCAAGTCATGCAAAGCTCAAGGTCTGGACAGACGGTCTTTGGTGGGCGCTACCAGTTCTCTATTCGCTCGAGCAAGCAATGACAAGGCTAAAGGCGCACAATGCGTCTTCAAGATCCTGGGAATGGAGGTGAACACAGCTTCTTTTGCTATGTACACCTTCTCTCTGTCAGTACTTCTCCAAGCATTCCTCGTGGTCACCATGTCTGGCGCAGCAGATCACGGCAAATATCGAAAGTCTCTCATGATCTCGTTCGCGGTAATCGGCGCAGTGGCGACCATGCTTTTCTTGCCCGTCACCCCAGGAGTATATTTGTTAGGCAGCATCTGGGCTATTATCGGGAATGTCTGCTTTGGAGCTTCATTTGTTCTGCTCAACTCGTTCTTGCCGCTGCTGGTCCGCTGGCATCCTTCAGTGCGACCAACGAGCAGGAGGCAGATAAATGAGCAGGACTGGGCGCACGAGCGCGAGGTGAGTCCTCTTTTTACAAACATTGTGTGCAGTGGCAGTTCGAAGCAGATGCAGGCGCGGTGCCGGCTGCTGATTTGCTCTTTAGTACAGCGAAGACAACTACCAGAGACCGGCGGACTCGTCCGAGATACTGGACTCCACTACATCGCTGCTCCCAACAGATGGACACACTGAGCCATACCCGCCTTCACAATCCACACCCTCGCCGCAAATGCAGCTTTCCACGAAGGTCTCGTCCTACGGCATTGGTATTGGCTACCTTGCAGCTGTGATCGTCCAGATTCTTTCGGTGTTTCTGCTCGCTTCAATGGGCGGCGACCTGTTCTCTCTCCGCTTGGTTCTGTTCATGATTGGCACCTGGTGGCTGTGCTTCACGATTCCAGCCGCATTCCTGATGCGACCAAGACCAGGCCCACCCCTTTCTAAGGAAGCAGCAGGCCGGTCATGGACAGGGTACATCACCTATTCCTGGAGGAATCTCTACAAAACTATGCTCCGAGCTCGGCGACTGAAAGACGTATTGCTGTTCTTAGCTGCTTGGTTCATGATTTCTGACGCCATCGCCACAGTATCTGGTACCGCCATCCTCTTCGCCAAAACCACGCTCGGCATGGAGTCGACAGCCCTCGCTATGATAAATGTCATTGTTACCATCTCTGGGATTTTTGGCGCCTTCACCTGGTCAAAAGTATCGCGCATGATGCAACTGAAACCGTCGCAGACCATCCTCACCTGCATCTGCCTCTTCGAAATCATTCCGCTGTACGGACTACTTGGTTACATCCCAGCCATCCAACGCTATGGCTCTTTTGGACTCCAGCAACAGTGGGAAATGTACCCGCTGGGAGCAGTCTATGGTCTTGTCCTCGGCGGCCTGAGTTCTTACTGCCGAAGTCTCTATGGCGAATTGATTCCGCCTGGGAGCGAAGCCGCGTTCTACGCACTCTACGCCATTACTGACAAAGGTAGTAGTGTCTTTGGCCCTGCCATAGTCGGCGCTATTACTGATGCTACTGGCGACATCCGCCCTGCTTTCTGGTTCTTAGCAGTTCTCATCGGTCTTCCGATACCATTAATGTTCCTGGTCAATGTGGAGCGTGGCAAGCAAGAAGGGGAGAAGCTGGCTCGCGAGACTCTTCCCGAAATCGATCCCATGCTGTTTGAGTCGACAGCAGCGGATTCGAGAAGTGTGGACGAGTAGGAGGGTCGGGTGCATCGATAGCCTGCGAGCGTGTATCCTACAACAAATTAATGTTCTTACAACCATCACCATGTTCTTCAATTGTCTCATTTCTTCGCGTGAAGATCATTCACGCTGACCATCCGTGCTTCCAGGTAGCCCGCATCGCAACCCAAGCCCGGCCAGAGAAATTCAGGCACACGACTTCCGCCAAGCCCCAGCCCACGCCAGGCATCCCACCGGCCCGCACTCCGTCCGCAAGCACACAAAAACTTCTCGCACTCCCTTTGCAAACCTTCTTCTTTTCTTCACTACATCAGTAGGTAACTACATGTTACTTAATCATGGCTTCGCTACGGCGACTTGCTGAGGGTTGTTTCTTGTTCTCGATGAACCTCCTTCCGTTCCCGGCCCTGTAGAGCAACGTTGCGTCCGTCTTTCCTACCAATCGCGTGGAGTCCATATTTTCACTTTGGATCGGGGTTGTGGGATGGCCGCTATATACCTTTTTTCTCTCTTTTTGAGCTTCGCTTCATCATGTTCACGGTTTGCAGGATTGCAGGCGGGATGAGATGGAGGTGATGGCGCTGGAGATGGAGATGGAGCTGGTCACTACTACTGCTTGCGCGCTGCAATTTTCTTCTCTACTTCAGATTGGCAGATGAGGGCCTTTCTTCTCTTGTCCTTCCTGCGTTCCTTCTGGCCTCTTCAGCTCATCACCTTTCGCATTTCCACCGCTGTCGCTATCGAGCTTGGTCGAGGATCCTGTGCGCTGAGCTTCTGCTTGCTGCTGGCCGACATCTTGGTGCGGGTTCTCGACGCCAGCTGTCTCGACGTCGGATGTCGTGTCGGACTTCAGCTGGTCTTTGTTGCCACGGCCTGCCACCACACCCGGATCCTCCGAGTACTGTTCACGGCCTTGAGCGGGTCTGGTATGAGCGAGTCGCGTCGAGGTGGATGGAAATACGCGATGGCTTGATGCGAAGCCTGCGATGTTGTCAGCGCAGGAGCATTGAAGGAGATTCGGACTTGCCGTACCACTTCGGCGGACACTTTGTGCTAGGAATCTGCTCGACATTTTGAAATTGTTTGTACTCTGAATACAGATACTCCTGAAGATGAACTGAATGGAAAGGGCATCGTGTTGCGCGTAGGCATGCGAATAGTACATCTTTCGCGTCATACATGCGATGATGCCCACTTTACATCATGATATGCCATCGCACTCCCTCACTTTGAGCACTGGTTGCTGTTCTCTGCAGTTACCATCAACCTACGTCTATGCTCATGGCTTGAAGTATCAGCTAGATATCGCCGACTCGATCAATCACTGAGGGTGCGATGAGGCCAGTATGAGATAGCAACAACCATGTTGACCCAGCACGATTTCCAAACCTGAGCACGAAAAGACGGCATTGCTGTTAACACTGAAATATTTGAATTTTTGGCAAGCTATTTAACTTGCATGCTTCTCTTCCTCCCTCAAAGGCTTAAATGCCATTTTATCTCTCGCACAATTCTCCAACCATCTCGTCGCTCTCACAAGTGGCATATCAACAAATCGATAGAACAAATGCGCAGTGCATAGCGAAAGCGCCAGCATGATCGTCCAACCCACCGCCAACCCGAAACACCACATGGGAAGCGTTTTATGCCCAAAGAACTTCCAGATCTTTGGCTGCATAGCGAATCCTATTGAGTGCAGTAAAGGTCCATGGCACAGATAGAATGCAAACGAGACTCTTCCGAGGTATTGTGGAATCGCGGAACTTAGGATATCCTGGATTGCAGGAAGCTGCTCGACTGACCAGAGGATAACGCTGGAGGCCATGGCGTGCCAAAAGAATTGTTTGTCCCAGTAGTTGGCTGGAACATAATATGCCATAGTTTTGAATCCAGGAGTCTTTCGAGCTTTGTTGTCAGGGAAAGAGAGCACGTATAGTGCTATGAAGAAGATGAGCCATTTCAGGCCGGTCGTAGACTCACAGCACGGCGACTCGTCTTCAGGATCGCTTTCGGTCGTTGGAAGCTCGGGACTCTCTTCCTGTTTTCGATGCGAGACAGCCTGATGAATATCAGCAACCAAGGCGCCTCCAGTAAAAGTCGCCACATCCCATCTGGCATAGCGCAAAGCAGCAGCTGTGACCACAAAGATCATTCCAAGTCTCCATCGTTGCTTGAGGCCGGCACCAGCCAATAACAAAATGAACAGCACCATCGAGCATCTGAACTCCGCGGGTATCGTCCAGGTATGCGGATCGTAATTCTCCCAGTGGAAATTCCAATCAAAAGGATTAGACCACCTCCACCACATAATACAGTAATCGGCCCACTGAGCATCCCAGCTCATCTTCCGCGGAGGGTGCTCTTCCGGCGTCCCTGTCAAGAGCGGCGTCTTCTGGAATTTGCGGCCTGCGTCAAAAGCTCCCCAATATGCAGTCACGCAGACCATGCCCGTGGTTATAGTCGCCGGCAAATACAAGCGAATCCAGCGCCTAACTGCAAGAGATGCCATTCGCGAGAAGGCTTTGTCGGCTTGCCTGTCTCTCATCGCCTTGAGAAAGCCATAGCTCAGGACATATCCGGAGACTGCGAAGAAAAGTGTCACCATAGCCCGTCCGCGGACTAAGAGACAGATAAATGGCCATTGATGGATGTAGATATTCCACTTGTCCGCTCCCCAGCCATGTTTCGAGGTGTCGGTGTATGGGTAGAGGAAGTGGAAATTGAACACGATCAGGCATGCTATGCCTCGAAGACCATCGTAGGAGGCGGTCCTTGAGACTGGCCGTGTTGGAGTTTTGGCATCTGTCGGCTGCGAATTGGATGACAATTGAAGGTAGTGTGAGGGCTTGATGATCCGCATCAGGTATTGTAGTGAACTTGCAATAACCGTGCTCCAGGTATGTTCAGTGTTTATTGTGTCTGATCCAGACTTTCTGTGAAGCATGAAGTTAGCAGAGTGCCTTCTCGGACATTGGCGGTTTCTACTTACTCGGTATCTGATGTAGTACATGGCCTCCAATCTACACCATTGAGACTAGAAGACGTCCGTGATCGCATTTTGTATGCGCTGTATTGAAGCGAAATAGTCAAGTAAGAGAAATGCGAAGGCGCCTGTCAAAGGCGCGCAGTGTTACAGAAATGCTCGAAAACGAATAGGGAGAAAGATCAGAAATCATGCGAGAGATAGTAGGACAAGGAATGTGGTAATGGGGATGGTGATACTCATGACAGCTAGAAGAGAGGGAGTCTTACGCATGATGGTAGAACAGATGTTGCAAACTGTCGGCCACGAGCGCACGCGGCTAAGCAGGGGACGAAGCTGATTTGTATGGGTTGTAGACTGGCAGCTTGCTCGGATCTCCAGTGTGATGCGGCTGGGGCACGCTTGGTTTGTTTCAACTGTTTCGTCTGTCTGTCTGGAGAGTCCTGGTAGCTATTCATCTTGTCGTGCTCTCAGCAGATCACTTGGCGTAGACAGCCTGGTGCATGGTAAGCAATCATGAGTTGGCAGAGACATTGGGGGCAGATCGTAACAAAGTTAACCTTGCGACCGACATTGCAGCGCGGGCCTTGTCGTCGGCCGATGTAGGAACTTGTCTTGTCCGTCAGCAGAAGGTGCACGGTGGAAGCCCGGCGGCCGGAATAACCTTCCAGGACCATGCTGGGTACTGTCGAGCTTGTTGCTTCACCCGGATAGGGGCAGCGCATCGTGAGGGCTGCGACTGTAGGTGGCTGTGCATGACATCTTGACAAGGAAACGGGGCAAAGTCCAGCATGTGGCCACGAACTGTATGATGGTATGCCAAGAAATGAGTCGTCAATGGTCATCCGCAACAGGGATCGTGTTCCGAAGCTCCTTCAGAAAGTTGAGAGGAGATTCATGCTGCAATATGCATCATCAGGTGCTTGTGATTCCCCAAATACTGGAGTAATGTAATCAGAGGCCACGCTTCGCTCGGCATGAAAAATGTTAGAATCACGTTGTGTGAACAGCATCTGCTTCCCTAGCATTTGAATGCGTTTGTCCAACTATCATCTCAATGCTTCCCCAAGCTCTTACTCGAAGCATCCAATACAGCTCGGCTGAACGTCGCGCTGAGCTTGCCCTCCTTCTCCATGGCTCTTTTCCTTTGCGCGGCAGTGATGCCAGCGCGATCTGTGACTGGAGCAGCATTCATGATGTTATCAAACTCATCGTCTTCACCTCCGATGTCCGACCCAGATTCGGCGTCAGAATCTTCAGGCAAATCTAGCTTTTTCGTTTCAGAAGGTCGTTGTATTCGCTCAGGTTCGAGCTTCTCCTCTTCGGTCGCGGAAGGCTTCGAGGGATTCGAGAACGGTTTCGATGCTAGGACTCTTCTTCGCAGCTCTGCCATCTCTTCCTCATCGTCGTCGTCTGAGGGCGGCAAACCATATGGATCACGTTCCTCTTCTTCGTCGTCACCATCTGTGTTACCATGAACCTGCGCCTTCTCTCCAGGCTTCGGCCCACCAAGCTGTATGCCACCCAAACTACTCGCGTCGCTGTCCTCATCCTCATCTCCACTATCCTCTTCACTCCCACCATCCGAATCATTCCCCACAATCGGCTGTCTCCGATTCATGTTGCCGCCCTTCCAAGCATCTTCCTTATTGTTCTCCCGATCCTCGCGATCTTCTCTCCACTCATTCTCGATCTTTGCCAACCAATCCTCTTCTGCCTTCTTCACACCCTCTTCATCCTTTGCTTCTGCGTATCTTTGCAACACCTCTTCGTTGATGTCCAGAAATGACTGCCCGTAACTGAATGTGGAGAGGATCTGCTCTGCCCAATCGAGATGACCGCAGATCGCGAATGTCGCAGCTAGCGCTTCGACGCAGTTCAGCCTCCATGGCTTACCATAGTTCGTCGGATTCGCCGCGATCAGGTAGGGCAACAGTCTGGGATTCGGTCCTCCAATTCTGCTGAATGGGACTTCTTCGATTCTATTCCAGCTTGCCTCAACCACGGCCGCACCGTACTGCTCTAGAATCTCACGATCGGAAGGATTGCATAACGTCTTTCCTTTGGGAGAGATGACGAGTCCTTGGTGCTTCTGGCCAACGTGCAGCTCACGCATCAGGCCAAGTCGCATGAGCCGTTTGCCGGAGCAGCGTTTCGCGTCGCAGTGATTGAGATCCCATGCTGCGGCTTTGTAGGGCGGCCGTTTGTGGGTGGTGCTGTCAGGGTTGTCGGGGTTCGTGTGCTGGGCGTATGTTTTGGGCCCGCCGCCGTGCTTGGACTTGGCGCCTTTGAAGTCTTTTTTGTGACGGACCATCGTGCGGATGGTTCACGAGACTGTGGGAAGTTCGAGCTGAGATTGTGGTAGTATCGATCGAAAATTTCGTTGGTTCACGCAGGAAGTGTGGCGAGTAGAGAGTTAGGTCAAAGAAAGAGTGTGGTGGTTCATGTGAAAGTGAGGGTCATATTTCTGGTCGGTGACTTCATCGGCGGGCGCTGCTTCGGCCCCTCCCGAAGTGAACCCTTAGCTGTTGGCTGTGCACACAACGTGGCTTGGAGTGTGTAACAAGGCAGATGCTGCTGAAACTTGTCAATAGAATTGCCTTTGCGCTGAAGCTCTGAAACTGCCAAAGTGTAGCTCGCGGCAACTCCTAGAGGCATTGCGCCTCTCCTCCGGCCAGTATGGAAGCTGCTTCCGCCCGCTACGCCGCCCGCGACCGCTTCGCATATCCCATGGAGCCCGCCGGGTCTCAGCTGCAGCGATACGTCCAGCAAGCCTGCTCACCCGAGAACTTCGAGCCCAATCTGGCCCTGTGCCTCGAGGTCGCCGATCTGATCAATGCAAAGAAGGGAGGAGCTCCGCGAGAAGCTGCCGTCGACATTGTTAAATACATCAATCACCGCAATCCCAATGTCTCCCTCCTGGCATTGTCGCTGCTGGACATCTGTGTCAAGAATTGCGGATACCCATTTCACCTTCAGATATCTACCAAGGAATTTCTCAATGAGCTCGTGCGCCGCTTTCCAGAGCGCCCGCCCATCCGCACCACACGCGTACAGAACAGGATCCTGGAGCTGATTGAGGAATGGAGGAGGACGATATGCGAGACGAGCAAATATAAGGAGGATCTAGGCTTCATACGGGACATGCACAGACTGCTGCACTACAAAGGCTACCAATTCCCGCAGATCAGTCGCGAGGATGCTGCGGTGCTCAATCCAAGCGACAATCTCAAGAGCGTGGAGGAGATGGAGGCGGAAGAGCAAGCGGCGCAGAGTGCAAAACTACAGGAGCTGATCCGGCGAGGAACACCACACGATCTGCAAGAAGCCAACAAGCTGATGAAGGTCATGGCGGGGTACGACACGCGGCACAAGACAGACTACAGGGCCAAAGCAGCGGAGGAGGTGGGCAAGATCCAGCAAAAGGCTAAGTTGCTGGAAGAGATGATGCAGGATGTCAAGCCTGGGGAGAAAATTCAAGAAGGAGATGTGTTCGAGGAGCTGGCGAATTCCTTGGCTAGCGCACACCCTAAGATCCAGAAGATGTGTGAGCAGGAAAGTGAGGATCATGAGGCAGTGGCCAAGCTGTTTGAGATCAACGACTCAATACACCGGACGATTGAGCGATATAAGCTGATCAAGAAGGGCGACGTGGAAGCCGCGAATGCCATTCCAAAGGGCACTTTGGGCGTCAGTGGCGCTGGTGTGAAGCAAGGCGGTGGAGGCGAGCTGTCTTTGATTGACTTTGGAGGGCCAGAAGATACTGCACCGGCCGAGCAGTCCAAAGCAGCCCAGCCATCTTCTGCACCGGCCGCACCTAAGCAAACAGGCAACGCTCTAGAGGACGATCTACTTGGACTGAACATGGGCGATGGCAACTATGGCTCAGGCGGAGGCATCTCTCTTGGTGGAGCACCGAATGGCAATGTCGACATCATGGCTCAGTTCAACCAGCCGCAAGCAGCCAACTCGATCTTCAACACTCAACAAAAAGCCGCTCCGCCGCAGGCTTCTCCTCCTCCTACTCAATCATCGAATTTCAACCTCTTCAGCTCTTTCCCATCCAATTCCCAGCCACCTTCAAAACCAGCGACACCAATACCCGCATCCCTGCAACAACACCAAGCGAAGAAGTCCGATCCATTCGCAGCTCTATCCACACCTCCACGGCAATCTTCTCCCTTTCAACAGACTCCCGCCAAAGCACCGGCACCCTCATCATCATCAGGTATTGACCTGTTGGGCATGGGAAGCAGCAACGGCACGTCAGCACCGGCCGCACCATCTCAGGACGACGAATGGGAATTCGCTTCCGCGCTGCCAGACCAATCCGCCGAGCTCACAGTCACCAACAGTTCCATCAAGACCGTCTTCGCCGTGTCCCGTACCAACGACACCGAGATCCTCATTCAAAGCCGAATATCGAATTCTACTGCACAGCCTGTCGCGGATCTGACATTTCAATTAGCTGTAACAAAGGTAAGCAGCGATTTCCCTATTTGTCACATTTCTGTCACTAATCTCCATGATCACTAGGGCCTAACGCTCAAGCTGGAGCCCCAATCTAGTCGCAACCTGGCACCAAACCAGCAGAACGGTATCACACAGACGATCCGCTTACAGGGTGCCGAGCGAGGGAAAGGAACGAGCGTCAAGATGCGATGGAGAGCAAGCTATTCTGTTGGTGGGCAGCAGAAGAACGAGCAGGGTGAGATAAATGGGCTGGGAGTGTCATAAGAGAAGTTGAAGAGGACAGATGGACAGGTAGATAGAGAAAATGCTGACTTGATGATCTATCTCTACCATTTGCATCAGCTGCTGTCACGACCAGTCTTCCATGCTGTTCGCATTGTTTCGAACGACAATCCTGAGACGCTTGGACTGTGTTGGGACGATGACGAGAAGAAAAGAGGAACTTTACGGAAGTTTACAGCAATGTGTTGAGGCCTTCCTCCATCGTACAACACAACTCAACAGTCTACCTCTAACTTTGATACCAGTCAATGGCGCAGACTGCCGTCGATACTATGTGCACTGCTATGGAACACCATTCAGAGATGCTTAAGCAGCATTAAGGGCCGACGAGATTGAAGGACTCACCTTGTTGGAGTGCATAAATCTTGGTGATCGTTTCATCCTCATTTATACACGATTTGATCGTTTTCTTCTGGTTCATGCTCCAGTTACTGTCAGAGCCTGCCGTCGATGCTATTGGCACTTCGACTGATTTTGGTTTCTGGGACCTCTGAACAGCATGGAGAAGTAATTAGAGGAGACTGAGAACTTGTACCTAGCCTCGCCAATTTCATCCACGATCTGATGACTGGCTTCTGAGCTTTGTATAAGCTGGCATCGTATACCGTCGTCGACGTTGTTTCCATCGTTAAGCCGTGTGGAAAGAAGAGGCATCGATGCCATGCATATCCGCCAGAATGAAATGGAGAACTTGAGTGAAGTGTCGGCATAACCCTTGCGATTTCGGCATCAACTTGATGATCCGTCTCCAACGCTGCCTAGATCTATGTCAGAGAGAACTCGCCATGATGGGAGCTTTGATGCATATCGGCAGTCTGAGAGGCTGGAGCGGCTAGTATATCTGCCAGGACGGAACGGGCGATGTGTGATAAGTTTATCGAATCGTTTGTAGATCCACAATATCCTGCGTCTGTCATTGCACGTCCGATATATCTCCAATGCTCAATCAAGCATTGAGAGGAGCTCTTTTTTGAATCTGGTGAGCGTTGAGGTGCATTGAAAGATTAGAAAGATTGAACGTTCGATGTGTCCGAGCCCACTTACTATAGAACATTAGTCATTATCCATCTACGACAACATAAGGCTTCTTCAGACCATGTCGTGCCTGTTGTCAGAAGTGGATTGATCTGTCAGCAGCATTGTTCTGGCACGAAATATCGAAGGAATCGAAGACCATCTTTGACATCAACACAACCATGCTTTATGACAGGGAATGGGAGATGTATACTGGTGGAAGCCCCGTGCTCACAGTAGTGAAATGAGGGAACAAGCCATGCCTCTTTATCACGCTGTTATGTGCTGATTATGTTCGAGACAACTTCCGGAGCATTGCCAGAATCGGTGTCACTAAAATGAAATCACTTGATCTAGCAAATTCGTCGAAGCTTGGCCAAAAGTTACGTCTTGTCTGGTTTCGCAACTGTTGTGCTCGGGACAGGTCATGCTCTGGAAGTGGTGACATTCGGACTGTTTGCATTGCCCTGAGCATGGGCATTTATCATCACGTTGGAACGGAGAGCTGAAGACTGAGTGAGAAAATTGGTGCGAAGCAAATCTTCAATACGATGTAGGGTTATCATTCATTTACGGCCGCCTATGCCATCTCTAAGCCATGCCACACCTGCTGTTTCCATACGTCTGCGTCCCCATGCGCGCTTTTGATGCCTCCTAATTTTGAGACATCAATGTGGCGTTGCACTGTACAATCAGTTCTACCCGTGCATTACCCACTCAGCCCTGAACCACTTGCCCGTACAACAGCTTTGCTCGCTCACCCATCTGCTTTGCACCTCGTACTCAATCCTCCGACCGCGTGCATTCGTGGTCTTCGCCCAATTCGTACTCCGCATGGCAGTGAACGCACTCGACGAGATACTATCCCGAGAAGGCCTCCTGCGCATGCGTAGCAGCGCCCACATCGCTCGTGTCTCCATGTCCAGAAGGCGCAGCTCCAGTGTTGATTGGGCTGAATGATTGAGCTTGCTGCGCTTGACTATCGGCAGAGTCATCGGCCTGCGTCATCTCAGGCTCTTGCTGCGCCTCTGATGGATCATCTTCAGGGCGCGCATGAGCATCGCGGGCTGGCACAGCCGTGGAAGCTCGCGCTACCACGTCGTCCAAATCGGGATTGGGAGACACACGCCAGTCAAATTCTTGGTTGAGGTCTGACGGCACGTGTGGCTCGGTATGAGGATGACGGTCGGCAATGGGATCGTTCGTGCGGCTCGTGGGCGCGAACGGGGGCTCGAAGCCATCGTGCTGGTTCGAAGGACGCAGGAGATGTTGCGGTACATCATCAGCCCGAGCTGTCGTTGCACCACGGAAGCCCGCGTCTCCACGACCTTGCCTCTCGATGCCCGGCAAGCGGGTGCCTGCTTGATAGCTCTGAGCATGCCAAGGCTGTTGGAGTGCAGGCTGCTGATTGTAGAGCGAGCCAGTGCTGCCAGTTTGCTGCTGTGAACCAGCAACCTCTGGCCAGTTTGAAGACATGGTGTGTGCAGAGGTGAAAGGGTCGTCTCGAGCACCAGTCGCAGCGTTGGAGGTCCAGTATGCGCCGCCCCGGATGCTCGGTACTGCAGGCGGGTTATAGGCAGGATCGCCAGGAATGTTCGAGAGCGCTGCCAACCCAGCCGCACGAGAAGGCGCCCGAGATGCAGCATCACTGCCGTCATGCGTGTCTGAGTTTGCGTAGCTCGAGCCGCGCCATGTCGGGGCTGATGACCCAGCAGGACGAATACCCGCATTGTGGTTGCCATACAAGCCTGAGCGAGGCAGAGGGCTGGGCTGGAAAGCGCCAGATGGATCACCGACCGTAGGTCTTGGCAAGGACGTTGCGCCATATTGACCGATAGCTGGTGGTTGGTTGTGGAAAACGTTCGAGTACGGCTGACTCGAAGGTGTCTGCGTGAGTGGGTTCTGCACTCGAGTGCCTTGCTGGTGAGGCGTTGGAGTATTTGGTACATTGAACGTACTTGTACTCGACATTCCTGGCTGTTGTGAAGCCGATGCCATTGATTCCGCTGCTCTGCGCCGCTCCACCTCTGCGCGCTGCACCGGGTTTAGGAAGTCAGGGTGCCCGTCGATTGGCATACGATTTTCGTAACCGTAGCTGGAGCCCCTAGCAGTCGGTCCGCCTTCGGGGTTGCTGAAATTGCTCATCCCTAGACGCTTCTGCTGGCTTTTCGTCAGGGGTGAGGCGGCCGGCCTCGTCGGAGTTGTGATTGGCAATGCGTGTGCCGCTTGAGGAGCTGCGGGCCCATTGTGCGGTGCAGCTGCTGCTGGTGCGGAAAGGGCACCAGATGATAGCCCTGGTGCTGCTCTACTCGAGACGTTGGTGGTCTCGTCGTCAGAGCTCTGGGAGACATTCGAGTAGGTCCTCTTCTTAGGCGCCATGATGTCGGTAATAAGAAGAAGAGAGGCGAGAGTGTGTTATATGTAGTCTAGTGCTGAGTGTGGAGCGTCGAAGTCGGCGGCCGAAACGTTGATGTGTGTATAGAAGAAGTCGAGGTTCGATCCAATGTTCGAATATAAGAGGTTTGTGCGATTGCTCGAGGGCTGCTGTTCACTGGTCCCACAATCACCCGCAATCGAAGCAAAGCCGGAAGTGAATAGCAAAGCTTGAATGTTTGCTACTTCTTGTTCACCATGGTCTGACGTATGCTCCCCTATTCTGAAGGGAAGCAAGCGACATAGATCCGCCATGAGATAATCACTCCAGGGCTTGGGGTGTACCAACGAAAGAGGGAGCTGCACTTCGCTGCTCGTGATGATCGAGACGTGTGCTTCTGAAGAGGCGAGTGAATGTTGAAGCCAGATTGGCGAAGCATGCCAAGATAGGATTGTTATGGGTGGCCTCTTTGCTCTGTACACCAATAGGTCTCCTAGAGTTTCTCCAAGCGGGCTGATGTCTAAGCCAAGCGAAGACCTGTCGATCAAGGTATGAAAACATGAGGTCAGGAAAATGTGCTTAGCACAGTATGTAAGCAGTAGTGAGCAGGCGAACCTGTCTGCTGGTGGATCTGAGCGCGCCGGCGTCCTGGATAAATACGATCTCGAATGTTTGCTCGCGCTCCTAAAGTCATTGCTCCCATGACTGTATGCTTTCTTTTCTGATGGCATTTTCACAAAGCAGTGGCTTTGTGTACGGTGGATGTCTCGAAACTTCGATACAAAACACGCGCCACTGACAACTAGAAGTCGGCAGCGCAGCTATATTTGACTCTTCGGTCTTCCCATGTGCCGCTGTAAGTTCTAGAGCCTGCCACGTATGACTCTGGCCGGCAAGCATATGCCAAATAAGGACGATAGAGGTCCAAGGTAGTGGCAAGAGTGCGACCCAATGTGCTTACAGGATACTCGATTGACTTGTTGTCCCGTGCGCCGGTGATTTGTTTTCCCTCGAAACATAAGGTATCCAAGCTATACTCTTCGCAGGCCACGACATAAAGAAGTTAGTGGAATCTTCCAAGGCTCGAGTCCAGCCGAACACTTTTGTGCAGCATGCATGGAGAGCGACACTGGTTGTCTGTTTGAGGGAATCGACTAAACGGCTACAATGCAGACACGTGCGTGCCTCGTGTTGGTCTCGTCTCGTATGCTGAGTCTTTGCCGACTATGTCGGTTGTGCCTGCGGATCCCTCTCAAGCTCCGAGTGATGACCGTGAAAAGCTCCTTTGAAAACACTTCGCCGGGGCAGAAGTGAAACTTCACATCCATACAAAGTCGACAGAACTATTTCGGGTCATGCGATATCTCACAATGGCCCGTCGAAGATCTGCAAATCGATATCACCAAGGATGTAGTCTTTCCAATTCTCCATTGCAGGGGTACCGTACAGCAATCGTGTCGCGTCGGGGTTCCTTCTATGCTTGACCAGCTTGCGAGGCGTCAAGAGATTGCGTCGACCGGCGAGCCACGTCTTTTCTAGATCAAGTTTGTACGGGCGCTCATCTTGACTGTGCAGGAAGTTATCGATTTGCACGCCATGCAGGTGCATGTTAACACCTCCCCATTTCGCCAATCGTCCCGAGTTGTGGAGCAGAACATTGTCGAGCAGAAGCAATTCTCGAAGTGTGCTGCGCACAGTGCTCAGAAAAGTTGTGATACCCTTCTCTGTAAACAACCATCCGCGCAATTCCAGTGACCTGAGTGCTGTGAAATGGACAGGGAATAGCGAGTTCGCGAGGAACAGCCCACCATTCCGAAGTACATCGTCAGTGTCGAAATATTCGACTCCCATAGTGGTCGCAAGCAGACCGCCGTCTTCGGCTATGAGTTCCAGAGACCCCAGTGTGGCCGAGCAAGCTTGTAATAACGGCCGTACAAAGCTCTTATCTTGACAGTAGTAGATAAATTCAGCAATTCTCTTTTCTGCTGTCCAGCCATGCCAGATATTCAAGGGCAGCTGTAAGGATCTGAGGCCAGCCAGCTTTTCAAAGGGGTCATCGTCACTGAGCAGAAGGTCGAAGTTCGTATCCAAGGGAACAGCAAGTCTGGAGTTGTAGTCATGATCATAACCCTTGTACATGTCCGAGTCCATGTCATATGGGTGATCGCTAATAGAGATGCTCTGTAAGGCCCCGTGAGAGCTATAGCAGCACATTTCGAGGAGGAAGAGAAAATCTGGCCAGGTAGATTCATTTTGAGTCTCCAAACCGCGAATGGTGGGCGCTAGCATCTTGCCGAATAGACGATAACGCAGATCGGCGAAATTTTCGCCTGCGCGGGCTAGATTGCGCCAATCTCCCATGCGTACGTGACGCAGTTTCGGCAGGCTGGAGAACAAGAACTCGAACAAAGTTTTGGGCAAGTCGCTTTCGTAAATATCGTTCTGGGTTTCGAATGCCATAGCATATTCGAAAAGACCTTGGTACAGGATGAAGGTTGGATCTCGCCTATGGGTTTTCGACTCTGGTGGCCCTGGGAACATATGCCTCTGGTGCTCGGGTGTGGCATCTTTCATGCGAAGCCACAGATCGCGATATGCTTCACTCCTGCCTGAAAGATCATGAGTAGAAAAAGCTTCGATTTGTTCGTGAACCAAATCTGTGTAGTTCGAAGGTTCGTCTGCTACATCAACATCGTAAAAGCTCGCGTCGTACAGAAGGGTAGTCACATGCTTGCTGAAGTAGGGATGCTCTGCAACATCGATCAAGCGCGCTATAGCCTCTGCGCGTGCCGCATAGACGACCTCCGTGATGAGAAAAGGCGAGCTATGCTCGCGGAAGTCGCGACAAACGAGCCGACAGCTTGCAATATCTGCGCGTTGGTCCAAGAAGGAGAATATCCTCGCAAGAAGCTCTACAGGGATGGTCGAGAATGGACAGAGTTCTACGATTCCCGAAGTGCTCGACATCTCCAGCATGCGTCCTTCGCTGCCTCGCCTCAATATGGAGATCTGATGGCGAGCGTCTGCAAGCTCCGCTTTGAGGCGATCAATTTCCAGCTCATGTTCAGATCGGTAACCATTGGCAACATTTTGTGCGGGCCGCAGAGCTGGGAGCTTGCGAGCGACGACCGATTTTGGAGCACACGTTGCGTGACGTTGAACGTGATCATCTGTCAGGCTCAGGAAGACCATGCGTTCCCGAAATCTCTCCACCATGTATGCATCCTCCAACGATTCCACCAATGCTCTGGCCGCGCTGATGGATTTGCAAACAAGGAATTTCTCAGTGAAATCGTACATTTGACCCTCCTCCTCATTGATAACGCTCCTGCTCCGGAAGAGGTCAACTTTCTCCAAATGATTGCCACCGAGGAATGCGACTGCGTTGTCCCAGCGTTTCTCTTCGAAGAATTGTGGTAGATGGCTGGAAGCTCTGAGTTGTTTCAGATTCGGGAAGCTACGCTGAAGCGTGAAGAGATCCTTGTAGCCATAAAGATCGTCGACTTGGACCGAGCTAACAGATTCAGCTTGACGGCGTGTGAGTACGCGGCCTGCGAACTGTTCAACCGCGTGGCAATTGGTGAAGTGAAACGTGTACTGCTTGTATGGGGTCTGCAAGGCTTCGGCGTATATCGTCCGACATACTTGGAGAAGCTTGAGGGGGAAAGTAGTACTCCCATGGAGTTTGGCCAAGCCACCCACTTTCGCAGGGCCGAACTGTTTCATTTGACTGGCCAAAACATCTTTGCACTCTTCACAATCTTCGCGGACATGACCAGAATCTCGCTGTGTTTGCACCCACTCCCCAAAATCGCATAAGGAGGTGTAATCGCCAGCTTCAAGGTCGCGGATCGGTCGCAGACATCTGGAATGCCTCTGCTCGTAATCGGCTCCGCCTACGTCGTTCGGGCAATGGCAACCAAAGTGGAACTGGCCGGATTCTGCAGACGCGTTGCACCTTTTACTCAGTGCATAATATCGATCCCAATCATCATATTGACAGATGGCGTACGTGTTCTTGCGGTACTCTCGTACTTTCTTGTTGCCGGGCCAATTTAGTGTCGTTAGACCGCTATGATAGGGGAGCCATCTGTCTGATGATTCACATTCGCGGGACAACACATGTATAAGGCCGCTGCCGAAGACATGAGAGTAGATAGTCTTGCGTATGGCTTGGGGTAGTCGGAAGAATGGCGCGGACAATTGAGGATCCGCGTTCTTGGAGTCGACAACCGCATCTTCTGGTCGTATGGCCGGTGGTCCCTTCATGCAGCGAAGTTCATCACGAAGGTATGGATAAGCCATGATTACACCGAGATGGCTTCTGTGAACAGGAATCACGGAGCCGGCCACCAGGGGCTTATCATTTGAGACGCGTGAAGTTAGACGCGCGCGCCTGCCAAGGATCACGGGCCTCGAGACGAGGAGCCCGAAGTCAATTCACGTCATCAGAAACTTGCACAAAATCTTGTGCTCGTTCACAAACACATCTTGCAGCGATGGCCGACTACGACAGCGATTCTTCAGGCGCAGACGACATTGAGACTAACGTGCTGCTCGGCTATGTCTCGAAGGAGTCTACAGTCGACGATTTCTCCCAACTTGGTGGACATCCGGTACGACAACCAGAATGAGACACATCCAAGTCGTTGGCTAAGAGTTGGATACAGATATGGCTAGATGGGAAGAGTGTCCCTGATGGGGCTCTCGCAAAGTGCAAAGTCTGCAATGGTCTTATGAATTTACTCCTTCAGCTCAACGCTGATCTGCCAGATCGATTTCCTGGCCACGAGCGGAGATTATATGTGTGGGCTTGCAGAAGAAAGGCATGTAGAAGGAAGGACGGCTCTGTCAGAGGGTTCAGGGCGACCAGACAGACCGCTGTCAAGGCAGTGTCTGCTACTGCTGGCACTACGAAGGAAGACAAATCAGCTCCCGCACCACAACCTGCCACGAATCTGGGCGACACACTATTTGGCGTCAAGTCAACGTCAAGTGCACAGGCGAACCCGTTTGCCGCACCTGGGAGCAGCAGCTCTGCAAACGCCAATCCATTCGCCTCAGCCTCATCGCTGGCCGCCAGACCACCCCAGAAGCCAGCAGAGCCCACGCCCTCAGAAAGCCTTCCTCAAACTTTCGCAGAAAAAGCCCGTCTAGCCTCACCAACAGAGGACGAGCTGACACAACCAGTCGGTCCCTCCCAACCCTGGCCCGAGATTTCCGCGTTTCCAGAACCTTACCCTACCTACTACATCGATGCCGACAAAGAGTACATCGATGCCACACCCGCCAACGACATTCCGCAGAACGTTCGCGTCGACAATGTTGAAGGCAGCAGCGCAGCTGGCGAGAAAGACATGAAAGATGCTTTCGAATCGAGCATGGACAAGACATTCCAGAAGTTTGCAGATCGCTTATCACAAAACCCCGAACAAGTTCTGCGGTACGAATACGATGGGCAGCCTTTGCTGTATAGCAAGAAGGATGCCGTGGGCAAGCTGTTAGACCCGAACCCTTCGCAAGGTAAAGACGCTAAGGTCAAAGTTGTAGGAGGGGCGAGTGGAGGCAAGATCCCAAGGTGCACGAATTGTGGAGCGGAAAGAGTGTTCGAGTTGCAATTGACGCCGCACGCTATCACGGAGCTTGAGGCTGAGGAATTGGGCCTGGATGGGATGGACTGGGGAACGATTCTGCTGGGAGCTTGCTCGAAAGACTGCCAGGCACGAGGGAAAAAGGAAGGCGAGGTTGGCTACGTTGAGGAATGGGTAGGGGTGCAATGGGAGGAGCTGGAAGTCAAAAAGGCTTGAGCATGAAGAGCACGGATGGGACAAAATTGAAGCTGTCGAAGTTCTATCTGCCCTTGACAAGGCGCCAATCGCCGTCGTCTACGATGCTGTTAGTGGGTAGCTCGCACTATCTTCGCCTTCTGCAGCAAGATTTCTCGATCGAGGGTAAGACCCCACTATCAAGGCTCTTGACACCGCCTCAAGCCGATTGGAATGACTGATGCGAGCTGAAGTATGCTGAATACTGCAACGCTTTGAGCATTGCTATGCAGAATATGGCAATAGGACTTATGATGTGCCTCGGACCGATTGATTGAGCAACGCTGAACTTGTCCTGCGAGCAATTCTAAGTATGTCTCGGAGGGTCTGTTGAGTGCGGTCCAGTCGCCTACAACTCGTTCCTGATTGCCATGTGCCCAAGAGGCTTTGGGCGGCAGCATAAGGTGCGGCACACCAGCCTACTAGCTTTTCTAGCCGTATGTCGTACTTCAGGCCTCATCGCCATCATCTTCATGCCATCAAATCATGCCAGACCTGATCACGGTCCGCTTTTAGTCATCCCAACCTGAACGCCGCGCTGCCCATGTCATAGTAGGGGTATCAAGCCCAGTCTCCACTCTCATCTATGCTGGCTGCTCATATGCCCTCTTGATCATCCTTGAGAACTGGTCAAATTTGACGGTCTCCCTCTGCACCACACTGCGTGCCTCGTTCTCCTTGTTCAGAGGCACCTTCACAGTGTTGCCCTCAATAGTCCAGCCACAGACCTCCTTGATGAAGCCCTCGAACTTGCCGCCAGAAATGTTCAGCCATGACTCCAACACGTCGCGGCCAACTTCTTGCATGCATTGTGAGACAACAACGGCGATTCTAACGCGCATGGTGTCTTCAAACCCGGCGACATCTGCGGTCAGGTCCGCGTAGGTGTCATCATCGGATAGTGTCTCCCAGAATTGCGAGTATTGTGCGTTGTTCAGTTGGCTGTGTAGGACGCCGAGATGTTGAACGATTTCGGCGAGGGATCCTGAAGCCGGGGGTCCTGATGTTGCCGTCTTTTGCAGAACGTGAGCTGGGAGAAGAGACAGACATAGGCTGTAATCTGGTGAGGGGAAAACGGTGAGGGCCTTGACGAGGATGTTGGTGATGGTCTCGTCGCGGGCGAGGTGCGGGTTGAATTGGTACCTAGAATCGGGAGCAGAATGTGTCAGTGGATGTTCGCATCCTATAATCTGATATCGCGCTCGAGTATCATGAAGAAGGAGGGAGAGGTGTTCAGTTAGAGCTAATATACATGCGCTTCAAGGCCTTTTTGGGGCTCAGGTAATAGGAAACGTGGAATGTTTATTCATCTTGTATCCATCTCCCTCCTCATCATAGGAAAGTGGTGTCCACTCACAGTTTTAGAAGCGCCAGATTCGCGTAGCTATCGTAGAGCTGATTTTCGCATTGTGAAGCAACGTAGTCCTGGAAAACGCCGGTCGTCTCTGGGTTGTAGCGGTCGAGGCCGTTCAAGATCGCGTCAATGTTCTCCGGTCGGTCCGGGTAGTAATCGAAGGCGACGCCCATGTTTGCGGATATGGTGAGGTCGAAATGTGTTCGGCGGGCGCGGTCACAGAAATGGAAGTTGAAATTCTGTGCCCGCAAAGTCGACGATCACGTGTTGAGTGCCTGGGGCATTAAGGCCATCTTTCCACCGCTCTCACACTTCGCTTCCAAGACTTTGATGTCGCGTGATGCCAAATGGAAGTGCACTCGCGAGCAAGTCTGCTTGGTCTACCAAGAGAGCTACGCGATGAGATTCTATCGCACGTTCTCATCGCTCCTGTCGAACTTTCCACCCTACACAAGTCATGGCACAACTACAAAGAAGGCGTCTCTGCCTATCCTCCTGCAATATGCAGAGTGAACAGGCAACTCCGTGAGGAGTCGCTTTCCAGGTTCTACTCCGGTAACACATTCATGGCTCAGATCTCTGCTGAAGGTCTCTACGATGCTTTTCATCGCTGGATTCACGGCGTTGGCAGAACTCAAGTGCAACATATCCGCCACCTCGAACTTCGCGGCTGGGTACAGATCCCGTTCGGCCATATGGTGCAGAAGAGATGGCTCGTAGCTCTGTTCGACTTGCGTTCGGGCACGATGAGGATCGGAGACGAAACAGTCTTGGCCAGCACTGCACAGCTCAGTCCCGTGAAGGAACTGGAATTCGCGTTTGCGGAACTCGTCCGAATGAGGAACGGCAAGCCATTTGGAGCACTAGAGCTGGAAGAACTGGTTGAAGGATTCCATGACCTCTGCATAGCATGCTGATCGAAGTCATCAGCTGCACGTCTGTTCGCAGGTACTGCAAGGGACGCTTCCGATCGCAAATGAAGTCCCATTGTCACCGGGTACATTACACGGTATCGCAGCAACGATCGAAGCGTGACTGCACTCGCGTCTGCAGGTCTACAATTTGAGAAGAAACGCTCGACGCCTGTATTCTAGATTCTACAGGAGTACGGCACAAAGCCGTTTCTGAACCCTCACAGACTCATTCAATCGGCCAGACGCATGATGCGGCGTAAGAAGAACGCCATCTCGATGCTACTAGCCCATTGTCGGGTCTACGAGATCATAATACATCATCTGGATCAATACCCAAGTTCAACAGCTTCTTCCGGGCTGAGATCTGATCCAATTCTGCCTGTACCAGCTTCTTGCGAGCTCTCGCCTCTTCATAATCCAACATGGCAAGCTTCATCTGCATCTCACGCTTCCTCATCCCAGTCTGCAACCCTGGTGCATCAACGATCTGCACTTGATCTGCAACTGTCGTCAAGGTCTGATCCGAACGATTCTCCCTCTGTAGCACTTCTGCCAGGCTGGCATTCGGCTCTGCATGCAGAGCCATTTCGACGTCAGCTGCATCACCTGAAGGAGACGTTCTGGCTCCTGTGACTGGACTTCCATTGCTGTCTGCACGAGCTCGGTCAGGGTTCGCAGCCGCACTTGGCTTGCTGACCGACCTGTTCAGCATATTGAAGGCCGCCGGGCGATCATCGAGCGACATTTCCCTTGTCCTGGTATTAAGATCTGGAGAAAGAGGTGCTGCACCTGGAACCACTTGTCTGTTGTTCACCATATTCATCGCAACCTTGACATCTGCTTTATACAATGCACGCCCACCACCATATCGAGCTACCTGCTGTTTGACAGCCTCGCGAAGGACTTGCGTTGCAAATCCTGGTCTGCCAGAAGTCTGCCACGAAAAGTTTCGCAGCGCTTCGAGCAACTCGGTCGACCAATCATTCGGCATCTTCGCAGTTCCTATAGCGGCACCATCTATCCAGCGCGGACGGATGTCATCCGGGACGACAGTTTCTACAGTGGCGTTCCATTCGGACTGCATCTCATCAATGAGATTTTGTCGTTGCTGTTTACCCTTGAGACTGAGCTTCTCAAACCTCCAACCCGAGTCACCCGGTCGGGGTCCTTCACTTCGTTTCTTTTTCTTCGCAGATGGTAGATCAGGTGAAGGTGCTTTCGCTTTCCGCTTGGCTGCACTGGTCGGCCTTGCACCAAGATCGATGTCACTTTCCAGGATGGGGAAGTCCGCACCAGTGTCGACATCGCTTTCCGGGATTGGGTAATCGACATCGTTTTCATGTTTTGATCTCGCTCGGGTTCGATGCGAGGGACCAGCAACGCCTTCCCAGTCGTCGTCGTATTCAACAGCTTCATCGGAATCGGAATCAAAGTCTGGATCCGCCTCTTCCTGCATTGCGTTGATCTTATCGACTCTTGCTTGATTCCGTTGCGTCTCTGTCTCGGTACGCGGCGTGGGGGCCACATCGGACGTGATATAAGGCAACTCGGGAGCATCTGGCTGTGCAGCATGGTCTCGCGAAATTTGCTTCACATGCTTTGGCCGGTAGTTCAATCTCGGAGAGCTCTGTGCGAAAGCCGGCACACCTTCATCGGGCTCGATCAGAGACTCGGTATCGTCTGACGAGATACTCTGAATCGAAGGCTGTTTTCTTAGTTGCTTCCTTGTAGGACTCACTATTGCAGTTGCTGCTTTGGCCTTGTCTGCCTCGACCGGAGCCTGCGCTTTCGCCTTCGGACTGGTACGCTGTGGTACGCCAAATGCTGGCACCACAACCCTTGACGGTGGACTCATGCGGCCAAAAGTTTGAGAGGTCGAATTGACTCCCTCAGCTATCTCCCCTTCCTCGGGACTACTGGCCTCCGAGTTCCCGATGAACAACGGAGAAGAGAGCGCAGACGTGCCACCGGTGGTCATCGGTGCTGTCGGTGGACGCTGCCGTTGCTCTTGGTCCGAGCCACGCCTATGATTCTCCTCGTCGCGTTCAATTTGCGTATGGGTCTGTAAATGCTCTGCGTCCAGCTGCGCGGCAAGCGCTCGTTCAAGTTCCTCGTCGTCACTATTGGACGTCCATCTCTCTTTGCGCTTTGCAGCTTCAGCGACCCACTGCCGATGCCTTTCTCTAGCTTCCTGCTCGTAATCTTCCTTGGATTGCACCTGTGTATCCGGCGTGCCTGGTTCTACCGATGGAGATGTGAAAAGCCTGCGCCACATAGAAGCCTGACTGTCCGGAATCGAAGCTGGAGTAGGGGCATCATTAACGACGACCGATGCTGCTTGAGCATGACTTGTTTTCGGAGCAAAGACCTGTTGTTTCGGCATGAATACCGATGCCATGCTAGTTGACTTGAGAGCTTTCTTGTGTGGCACAGTTTTCGCGCTGCCGCCCGCTAAGGTGAACTGCTTTGGCCTTCCATCAGGGTAGTAATAGCTGTTTCGTGGAGCCATAGAGCTCGCGCGAGGTATGTCTACCACCTAGTATACGTTTGAAGTCTTACTGATGGTACTATTGTGCTATACTATAGACCGAAACTAGTACTATTATCTAATAAAGTAGTTCCAAAGATTTAAAGTAATTCCAAAACTTATAGAAAAGGTACTAAAAGAAACAGCTTATGCAGCGGCTTTTATAGCTTTCCTGCAACCTAGCGTAGCTCGCTGACCGAGCTGCAGCCAATCGCATAAATGCCAAGATACACATCTCGGCTGACTCACAACATAGCGCGTAGAGATAAGAAGCTATTGGAAGAAGTTGCAGAAGTTTCCACTTCTTCGCCACGAAAGTTGCGTACTTTGTGTAACTCGAAAACAAGGCAGAGAAGTTCGCTCGGAAAAAGCTTGGGATTTCGAGAACTTCTCGGAGAAACGGAACTTGGAAGCGAGGTTGGCGAAGCTGAGCTAAGCTAGACTCAATTTTTGATAGAGATTTGATGGGGCGATTGATAGGGGCGAAGAAAGAGGATGTTTCACGTCTGTAAGATGGGATGAGAAGGGGAATGGGAGATATTAGGAGACACGTCCAGATACGATACGAAAACAAAAACTCAAAGCAACCTGAAAGTATCACCGCCTCGCTATGCAATATGCAATAAACCAGCAACACGACCTACACGCCTCTCACCCACAAGCCTCACCCCCCTCATGCTCATGATACCTCAAACACATCCCCCTCCCCATCCAAGGCTTACACCCACTCCCATCATGCTGCAACCCTCCCTCCATCCCCAACCCCTCCACACCCCCACCTCCATTCCGTCTCAAACACTCCCCACAAAAAGCCTTCTCACAACTACAACACTTATCCCCACTAACACCCGGCTTCAACAGCGTTCTACAACCCTCACAAGCCCTACTCGAACTCCAACTCCGAGGTCTCCAAGCCACAAGACTATGCCGTTCAATCGCTTCAGGACCCGGTCGTTTTAATTTCACGACTAATTCGCGGAGGAAACGAGGATGCCAGTCATCTTTGTGAGTTTCGAGAAGTTTGTCCGTTTTTTTGTAGGCGAAGAGGTCGAGGATTAGGGTTCGGAGGGGGGAGGAGTCGCGGATGTTGTCGTAGAGGATCCAGGTGTCGGAAGGGGTGGGGACGGAATTTGTGGATTCGGAGAGGCGGGCGATGGTGCTGAGGATGTGGTTGCTGAGAGGTGTGGTGAGGAGGCGGTCGCTGAGGGAGTAGAGGTCTAAGAGGAGGAAGTATTTGGGACTGCCGGCGTGGTTGCGGAGGTCGCCGTCTAGGTGGACGTCGTAGAGAGCTGGGTGGTGGTGTGAAAGGGCGTTGCTGGTGCCCAGGCGGACGATTTGGCCGCCGTGGTCTCGGATGTAGCCTGTACTGCGACCGAGAGTAGCATCGTGGCTGGCGGTTGGTTGGGTTGTTAGAGTTCCAGTGTAGAGCCACTGGAGGAACCACTCAAATGATTCGGGCTTTTCCTCTGGGAGACGCACTGTCTGCTCCATGCCTTCGGCGAAAGTGCTGTTGAGTGCTGCAGCGAAGAAGGGACTTGCTGATGTGAGCAGTTCTTTATGTACAAGGAACTGCGTCTGGGGTCGAGTCTTGTTGCCAGCTTCTCCAACGATGACCGTTGCTGTTCCAGTGAAATTGCGGAAGGATGTTCTTAGAAGTGGTCGCACTGGTGATCTACCTGCTCGCACTGTTCTTCGAGGCACAATCGGCGAGTCTTGTTCGCCTTGCCGAGTCGATGAAGATGTGTCACTCGGTACAGGAGAGGGTATCTCCGTCGGCGGTATGCCGACATGGTGAGTGGAGACTGACATGGGAGGTCCAAAATTGTTGGGAGGTGTGAGAGGCGCAGGAGGCAGTTGACGAAACCACACGGGTGTTTCTATTGAATCCAGATTGGTAGGTGCTTGGAGACTGTACGGAAGCAGACCTGAGTGGCGTCGCTGGTCTTGCGTGAGAGCTTCTTTGTCTCAAGGTGTGTGATTCAGTGCCCAGAGTTGATGCAATGCAAATTTGTCCTGCAAGTCAATAATTCACAGCAATAGGTGTGGGAAAGCGTCAAACGAGTGTTCGCAATACAGACGATGAAGGGTCACCTTGGGGTTAGTAGCTTTGCCAGAAGACAAACCTGCAAGCAGATATGCCCGTCGCACCAATGCAGATGCATCTTGAGTCTGCACTGCCGTCTCGTCTTTGTCGCATTCGGCCATGTGAGATCAAACAGACGCCCGTCGCATGCCGCATGCAGAACAAGTCAAGGCACGTCGCAAGCAGAACAATGCATTGAATCATCAACCACGCCTGCAATGCCGCTCGCCGCGAAACAAAGTGCAATAATGGAAGGAGAATACTCACCGTGCGTGGAACAATGTAAGAAGTGTTGGAAACTGCGTTGTTGACGATACCAAAAAGTTGCATTACGTGGTTTGCCTGCCGACGGGTGTTCGCAGCAAGCGAAAGCACCGATCCTGTGGAATGTGTGAGCGGCACGTGGCAACAGTCAAACCTCCACTTTTCTGCATTCCATAACCAATTTGGCTATTTTTCGAACGATCCCGCCGGAAATGCCGCTGCAAAAATACCTAACGCCGCTCCATGCTCATACGAAAAGCCGTAAAGTCGTGGCATTGGATGCGTAAAAGCCAGCCGCGTTCGTTCATGTCACTGAGACATTCGTGTTTCATCGCCTAAATTTCGCCGATCGCAAGTAGTAATCATGCGCCAGTGAAAGTGTCTTCGACAAGAAAGTGGTTGTTCGTGAGACACCATATTTGTGCCAGGTTCGCACAGCGCGCTTTAGGTTGCGAAGATTCTACCTCGGCATGATGGAGTTGGAGTTCTTGCTCGATTCTCCGAGGCGAGAGTACAGCATGTAGAGCGCCATTTGGTTGCACTCTTGTGTTCCAGTGATGGTGACGAGACGCTCGTTGTTGTTGTCTTGAGGCTCGTTGATCTTGATGACGCTGCCAGAAAGCTGCCTAATTTCATTGATCTTGGCACCGCCCTTTCCAATGATGGCACCGACCATGTCGTTGGGAATGAATATTTGCTGCGTAATGGGCTGGCCGGGGACCATGCCTTGCATCGGTTGTTGCGGTGGGCCGGCGTGCTGGGGGGCAGGAGCAGCATGGCCATATGGCTGAGGCTGGTGTGGATGTGGCCCAGCGCCAGCGTATGGCTGACGAGGAGAGCCAGCACCGTAGTGCACAGGAGCCACTGGTTGTTGTGGATAAGCTGGCTGGCCGTGCATGTGAGGAGGGCCATATGGTGCTGGTGGTCCGCGAGGTGGTGGTCCGTTGTGGCGGCGGTTGTGATCGGGATGTCCTACTTGTCCGCCGGCGTGCTGAGGAACATACGGGACGACTTGCATGCCGCCTGGGACAACACCCTGCGGTCCTCCATGGCGTCCAGCGTAGTTGGAAGCTGCTGGGCCGCCGAAGCGATCAGTCAGCTGCTCCACGAGAGTGCTGCCCACGTAGTAAGTAGCGATGTGCACGGCATCAGCAACGCCGAGTACGACGAGGGAGCGCTCAGTGGACAGTGGTAGGCATGACTCGGAAGCATTGAGACGTGCGCCCGATGCTTCTTGAATTTCGCGAATGCGCACACCCTGCTTGCCGATGATGGAGCCAATGAGGATGTGGGGGATCAGAAGGCGTAGAGGATAGGTCTTAGACTGCGGAGTGGAAGGCTCCTCGAGTGGCTCCTGGTTGAGGGTGCGGATGATGAGGCCAAAGGCCTTTGCGACGGCATCCACATGGCCGCTGACCGTAAGGACGCGCTCGACGGCACCACGTGTGTATTCGCTCACGGTGCATTTGGCACCAGCGAGCTTGCGAATCTGACTGACATTCTCACCGCCCTTACCAATGACGGTTGCGGCCTCAGCACTAGAAATGATGGCACGAACGTGCAGCCACTGCGACTCATCTTGCTGATGATATGGCTGCACCGCTTGAGGCGGAGCACGAGTGTCAACTTGGCCGTTGTGTTTCTGGTCCGGAGCCGCGGCAGTAGGAGCCGTGGATGAGCCATCAACCACAACGCCGTTGGTGGGTGCGTCGGGCACAACGGTGTCGCCCTGCTTGTCGGGAACGTCCGGCTTCACATCGGCGGCTGTATCGTCCTCTGCAGTGGGCTTCTGCTCCTCATCCTCAGCTTTGATGAGTGGTTCTTCCTGAGGAAGTGTCGACTGAGCCAGCTCTTCAGCATCTGCGTCGTCCTTGATGACCTTATCCAGAGCTGGGCGCTTGGCCTCTGGCTGATCTGTGGGTCCCGATGGCGATGATGGCTCTTCGAGCGGACGCTTTTGGGTGGCAACCGGGGTCTCTTGTGGTGCTTCGGCCATTGTGGACGGTGTGTTGCACAAGAAAATAACAGAGATTGGATATCGGTCAGAGCAATGCTCTTAGTATAGCTTTCTCTTGATTGATATGGCTGTCTGTCTTGCCTACGTACACTGCAGAGCTCGTGGTGGGAAGTGTGCGGCGCGGTGCAGTGTACTCGAAGCAATGGGTGGTGATTGTGGTGGTGAAGCGATATCTGAAGCGGTCAAGAGAATCGAGTGTGAAGCGGAGTATGACCGGACTTGTGCAGTGCTCGTGATCGCTGGGGCGCAGAAGAAAGGTCTGCAGTGCAGCAGCGGGGCTATGATGGCGCGCAGACGAAGGAGAAGAGCTGTGTCTTGGGTGGTGGGTGGTGGTGTTGATGCAGTCGAAGGAGTTGGTGACGCTGGAAAGACTAGCCGGCGGGCGGAGTTGGTGGTGGTGGAGGAGTTTTGGCTGTGGGAAGAGTGGGTTGGTGGCGGTGATGCGGAAAAGAGGTCGATCGTGGTTGGCAAGCTGCGGGAGTGTGCAGGGCTGCTTGCCGTACTTAGCCTTGGAAAGAAAGTCGCTCGTGTGAGGGTGGGCGATGAAGGAGAAAGTTCAAGTCGCAAACCTGAAGTCGCAGAAATGAGGGTGCCAAGCCAAGCTCCTTCCCCGGCTTGCAACTTGCGTCACGCTTTGGTGAACCTGAAACGCAGCGCCGTTTCCGATGTGCTGGAAGGTGCCATCACGCGTCAATATCGACAACTGCGAGTCGTGATCAACGGGACGAATTCACCTACGTACGCAACGTCGTTCATCGCTGTACTGGATGGCGGTGCTGTACTACGGCGGTGAGCGGAGGTCCGCGCGAGGCCGTACAGCTACACGTATCTCTTATGCCGGCTTGTGCTACATCAAAAATAGCTCCTTGCTGCCTGCCATAGAAGACATTGAAGCAGGGCAGCAAGGGCGTTTGTGCCTGACAATTGCATCGTCACCTGTAACTAACCCACTGACACTTGACTGATGATTGCTGACTCGCGAGCCGGTGCTTCTACAGCGTTGCCGGCTTAACCACAATCTCGTCAATCATTAGGGCAAGCCACTGAGACAAGATGCTCAAGTTTCGACTTGACCGAAGGATAGATTAACTACTGAAAAGCATGTGGGAGCCGGATCTGACCTCACTTTTCACTTTCTTGTCCACAGGGAAGCGCGTACGGGCTCGACTGGCACGTACAATCTCCTGCGAAGACACCATCTGCACACCAGTGACTCTCGTCCAAGCGCTAGCCATGACAGTCAAGCGGAAGCCCAGATATGGTGAAGTGAAGGCGAAATCGTTGAGATGCTGTGCACATTGTCTGCTTCATACAGAAGGAACGAAGTAAAGGCAGCAGCAAAGGTCCAACTGAAGACTGCAAGTGCCAACGTCTCTGCCTCACACCAATTGACAAACATCCGCGCCGCGCGGCCGACTTCATCACCTCTCGCTGTCAACTTTCCTCTGCTCCGTCCCACTCGCTGGTCACTGACGCCAACTTCAAACCAATAACACAACTCCGCTTCAGCACTACCAAGAGCCATGAATCCGCTCCATCAAGCTGTCGTGGAACCGGGAAGTACGTAAAGCTTTTGCCGTCTCGCACCTTCTGTGACTGACTCCCGGACAGACACGGTCCCGAGCGCTGCATCGACCGAGAAGCCAAAAGTGGGCTGGCTTCCTGGACCTATCGCCCGAACTACGCAACCGAATCTATGAGTATGCGTTGCTATCACCACCAGGCTCATTGCGGGTCCATTGTCTTCAGGACACCTGCAGACGAGCCTTCGACTCCCGCGATCCCTTGAGTCCCAACCTGCTCGCCACGTGCCGCCAAATACACCAGGAAGCAACAGGATTGCTCTATGGCGGAAACACTTTCCATCTCCGGTTCATGTTCATGCATGCCGCAATTGACACCTTCTTCAATGGCATTGGAGAGTCACGGAAGCTCATCCGCAGTATCGTTCTTGAAGGGCTTCGCCTTCCTACTGAAGAGTCATCATGGGCAGCTCTGCTGGCGCAGGCTTCGGGTTTGCGAAAGATTTGTGTGTTGATGAGAGACGTCGATTTGATGTTCGGTGGCTTCCAAGGCTTGGCTGCATGTGTTAGCGAACTGAACTTCACTCCACTGAAGCCTTACGAAGTCGTGAGCGTGCAGATGGACGAGCACTCATACTTGTTCAAAAGTGTCGATATGAATGGGGAATTTCAAGAGAAGCTTAAGAGATTCTGCTCTTGAGGATCAGCCTTTGCGTTTCGCAGAATGGTGGGGTTTGGCCTCCATGAGCTCGGAAAGCGAACATCTCAAAGTCCAATTGAACACGAACACTGTCGCGCTTCTTCTCTGCTGGAGCGGACTCGTGATGGGCGCACATGCTGGAGCAGAATCGACAGAAGCAGGGCTGAGGGGAACCAGCAAGTTATAAAATGGGTGCAGCAAGCATAATTTGGGGGGCTCGAGCTTATCCTCAAGCGCATATTGAATATGCAGAACATGGCGCTTCGGCTCATCCCACCCACTGCGATGAGCTCCAACAGAGGCGGAGCAGAGATCAACAGATACTCAAGCAAACCGTCGATAGAAGCCATTACGCATCTGCTAGGTCAGTACCACGATGCAGATTGATACTTACTTAATCACTTGCTCGAGTCCCTGAATAATACGAAGCTTTCCAGATCTCATCAATCTTGATACCACAATCTTTGGTTTCGCTTCTTCCCATTGCGTGCTACATAGGCCTCGAGTTTCAATTTCATCCTCTAGTCTTGCCACCGTAAATACCCCAAGTCCGCGATTGATAGCAAACTCATTTCCCACTTACTGCTTGTCCCTCAATTGACAATACTTGATTCTCTCTTTTCGGCTTCTTAAGTATTGTTGTTTGTCCGTTTAGACCACACCCATGGGCAAACTTATTCGACTATGCATAAGTCCGTTGCTCTCTGTCTGATCGTCTCCCGTCAACCTATGGTTCTCGAGCCGCCTATACACCTTTTGCTTCGATTCTATACACACCATGCCGTCGTCAACGATAGAGCCTGAGCTCCGTCACCGTCTTGGACAGCTTTCGACGAGCTTCAATCGTTCGCTACTGAAGGTATGTTCGTTAATATCGAGCCCCTTGATCGATCACGACCTTTGCAGCCTGCTATGCCGTTTCCCAAAGGACTTCCCGTCTCGAATAGGATACCCAGAGGCGTACCTGGTGTGCAACAGAGAGTCTCAAGCCATTCGTACAACGGTCTTCGTGCTCTTGTGTCATGAGGGGTCCTCATAGGAGCGCTCCATCTCGAGCTTTCCTGCTGCGCCTCGCGGCCTCGTCCCTGCTTCGAGCCCCTTTTCTGCATCTCCTGCTCCAGCAGCCCATCCTACACAATGCCCCTGTCCAGTGCTGGTTTCAACAAATGCTACCTTCACTGAGAACTGACATCTACAGATCTAGTGTCCTTCTGTGAATTCGTCTGCCTGTGCTGCCTTACCCGCTCTGAGTGGAGTCAAAATGGGTGAACAAGACGCCACAGCCACCACGGAATGTCTGGCGAGCTCTGCCTCTGCTCTGTTCCTCTGGAAAGACTCGGACGACCAACTGAGTCCGAAACAACAAATACAGACACCACATAGTTCGCCGCCGCCGGCTCGAGTATAGACGTTGGCGGCTTCTCGAATCAAGCAGCGAACATCGCCATGGTTTCGACACGCACTATGGCCTCGAGTGCCTCGACATCAGCCCCTCTCACACAGTAAGCACATGCACATTCTTATGGCAGACGGCGCCAGTACTGATCCCTTAGCCCTGCTGCCTCTCTGCCGGGTCTACCTCCCGAGCTGAGCTCCATGGTCCTCAAGCACGTCTTCCCCCGCACCGCGCCGTTGAAGGTGATCAAATTCGGGGACAAGTTCAGGATGTTGACGAGACAAGGACATGGGCTTCAACCAGGTCTTCTGGCACTGAGCAAGGGTTTCCTCTGGGAAGGTGCGCCATGGCTGTACGGTAGCAATACCATCAGCATCGCCACACAGCATGTTTCCGAGTTTCTCCAGTCTATTGGTGAAGCAAACAAGAAGCTGGTCCGGCAGCTCATGGTATCTCCCGACTCTCACTTGCCATGGGCGCTCCGAGAAATGGCACGTTGTCCAAAACTAGGAAACATCCAGTTGACGGCTGGTATTGTTGCACCAGAGCGATTGGTGTGCATGTTGCTCCCAGCAGCGATCAAGATGAGGAAGACGTACCAAAAGAATCTCATCGAGCGTCTGAGCTTCGTGCCAGACCCAAGCTATGCTCTAAGCGTTGCGCTCGATGATGAGGAATGGCAGGACGATATCGAAGAGGAAACCGAGACGTATGCCGAGAAGGTGTTGGAGGATTTGCGGGATCGCTTGGCGCGTAAGGGGTATTCGGTTGCGGGCTGAAGTGAAGTAAGTCAGAATCATGCAGCGCACATCGATGAAGAGTGCTGACCTGGATAGCGCTTTACAGGCTACCATTTCATCTGAGTACGAGACATGCGCGCTGCTGCATATACCTCAGCGATGCGAGCAGCCGGATCTTGCATTCGGAAATGCCGGATCGCCGGGTCCAGGAGAAGAGAGGATTTCTGTGAATCGCTTGTGATAATCTCTTGCAGCCTCAAACGGCTGATAGTTCCAGCGATCCAGCATACTTGCTGCAACTTCGTGCGGTAATGATCGGGTCGGACAGGAGTGTCTACGCAGAGCGTGGACAAAGGCAAGATCGGGCCTGGTGGATGTGGGCCAGGTCGCTGTGATGGATTTTGGGATGTGGCGAGAAGAGGCTTCTCACGACATTCATCCGTTCATTTCGTCTCATGGACGCAATGCGAAGGCGTCGACGTGAGACCTTGCCCAGGTCGGGTGGGTGTACTCCTTGTCGAATATCTAAATTCAGTGTAGCTCCGGCTGCGACAGAACAATCCCTCAAGCTCGTTTCTGGGGTTTTTCTGATTTTCCCAACTCATCCTTCCCCTTCAGACTCTTCGATATTGAGAACAACGTCGTCGGTCTCGAGGTTACGAGAATAGCACGTGTTCATCAAGGCTTGTTCGCTTGCTCGTGCCTGGGGTCCTTCGCCTTGTCAGTACACGACCGATCCCGAAACATCTCGCAGCCCGTCGTTTGATCGTAAGATGTCCGCAAACAGCGGTAATCTTGGCAAGTCAATTTCAAGTCTGAATCAGTCTTCACATCCAAAATTCGAGTGCGTCCGCAGCGGCAGGGCGCGTTTCAATGACCTGTCGCCTGAGCTACGCAACCGAACTTACGCTCTGGTCCTTCTCAACATCAGTACGGCGCCGATCAAACTCTACGCAGACACTCTGCACATTCTCGATTTGCAACCGGTTCACGAGGCCAAGGTGCGTAGCCGCAAGTCAAGCAATTTCGTGCCGAACATACTGGCAGCTGATCGTCATCACGAAGCCACTCCCATGCTGTACGGCGGCAGCTCGTTCGACCTCGGGGGCGTGGCCCACAAGTTCCTCACGGCCGTTGGGGGCCCCGCCAAATTCGTCAGGATCATAAGCTCACTGTGGATTGCAGGCCACGAGCTCGATGCAAATCTAAAGCTGCTGATGCCGGAGTCATGCCCCCAGCATCTCGTCCTGGGATCGCCTTGGGTGCCAGCAGACTTGGTCGATGTTTCGCTTGACTGGGCTACTGAGATGATAGAACGACGCACCGGTACCAACCTGCCTTTGCCAGTTGACATGCTCCACTTTGCATAGAGCATCAGTGTTCTTAGCTGGAGGCACCCGTCCGAGACGCCGCCAAACATGGAAGACTCGTCAAGAGCATGCTTCTTCACGCGATGGCAGAGCGCAAAGCTCAGCGCGGACAAGTGGTAGACTGTTCGAGGATGAACTGGCGGTTGAGCCGTGGTAGCACATACAGCTGAATCCCTTCGCCCAAGGCTCGTTCAGGAAAGAGTGGGTAGGAAGAAGGCGACAGCTAGACGCAAGCAGCCGGAGCTGGATTGAATGAAGACGTGGGATTCGGCTCGAGCTGGCCATCGCTGTCGGAGTTGTGCTCATGGAATACCAATATCTGGTCTCGTGATCACCTTTCTCTCTCGTCCTGTCCCAAGTCACTCCCTGTATCAGGTAGGCAAGCTGACGCCGAGAGTGTCTTGCTCTGCCGAACGGCGATCATAGTGGTTTTCGAGTTATGGGAGGCTGTCGGCTTCAGACCTGCAATCCAACGTAGCCACGGAGGCTTTGGTGCACATAAACCAAGCTGGAATGATTGCGTTCATTGTTGCTGTTCTGCGGGAGAACCGGTCTCATGAACTTGAAAACACCGTCTGTAAGCACCACGAGGCCAGTTCAGTTGTCATCACCGTGATGCATTATCCAGTGCCGATTGGAGTTGAGAGGTGAAGTCCAGCAAGCCCGATGCTCTTTGTTTAGTGCGACTTGGACGGTCTGGACTCCTCGGAGGGTTTGACTCATAAATTACTGACAATTGCCGATGCATTGATTCAGAGCCTGTTGTGCCTGCAAGGGACGTCTGAGGTCCAAGCAATTTCTCCAGGCATCCTGGTTCGTGACTGCCAAGCCAATTCCGACATCGCTTGCCTCGAGGGAAGTCGCAACTACTCCATCAGCACCCTGCATCGATAGGCCATTACCTGGCGTGGCAACATCCATCAGGGCTGTTGTCCTGTGCTATGGACACCGAGGAGCAGCGTACCCATCGAATGAATAAAAGCTCAGCACAGCTGGGCTACTAGACGAGACAGACATAGAGTTGACACACTAAGCACAGTACCAAGCGTGCAAGATCTTCAGCTCTAACGGTCGAAAGTACCCATCCCTACTGCCACGGCGAACCATGAGAGAATTTCTCACCTGTTCCGTCGACACCTATTCCTCATTGGCACTTAGATCCCGTTATTCCCGTTTCTTCCGTCTTCTCACGCCATCGGCACTTTCATGCAGAACATCCCACGAGCCCGGAACCAGGTTGCTCTCCCGCTTGGCACTGGACACGAACGACTAAGTTACTAACCTTGGCAGTCAAGTGACCGAACCTAGCATCCAGGCACCACCGCCATTAAGAAAGAAGCCGAAGTGCTGCTATATGGGATATTCGAATCCAGCAAAGCGGATGAACCTGCATTTCGAAGCACATTATATAACATGATGGCAAGAAGCAACTCTACGTTCTCCAGATCACCATTCAAAGCATTTCTTTCCTTCTCAGTTCTCTCTTCCCGGCGAAGACCCCAATTCCATTCCCCCAAAAACAAAAACAGAAGCATTTCGTTTGACACGAAAACATACCACATAATACCAACCACTCCTCGACCCAACCACTCAAAATGAAGTTCAGCATCATCGCCTGCTTCCTGGCTGCCACCGCCATGGCCATGCCAGCCGCCAACCCGTACGAAGTGGCCGACAACGACGTACGCAACCTTAGACTTTCCCTTGCTTCTCAAGATGCAATCTCTAACAGTCATCCTCAATAGATCATCCTCATCCAACGCGACCTCGAAGCCCGCGGCCTCGGCAGCCTGGTCAAACCCATCACAAAAGCCATCAAGAAGCTGAAGGGCGGCCCAAAGCGTCCAGCCGACATCGTCCCCGACCTCAAAGACCACTTCAAAGTCTCTCACGACGGATACGGAACGACTTATGTTGAGCGCTGGGGTACCAGAAAGAAGCCAGACGCGATTACAAACTAAGAAATTCAGTGGTTTTGGTTGCTAGGACTGGCATGGATGGGATGATGTGTATGAGTGTCACGTTTGTGGGATGCGAAATGTTTTCTTTTGTTTTGGGAGTTATAAAAACTATATTGGGACATGCGAGCGGGCTGGTCCTGCAAAGTATGTGGCGTTAAGTTTGGGAAGCAGAGAATTGAATTGTTTTGAAATGGTGCTCGCTCTCGTCTTTCCTACTTCGTTGCTACCTGCTTCCTCCCCCGTTCTTGTTCTGCATCTTCAGGATCGCAAATATGTGCTTCATGATAAAGGCGCCTTGCGACAATGCCATTGCTGCTTAGGCTTGCCTCCAACAGCTCCAATGATTGAGCAACTGGCGTTCTGAGCCTCTGTATTGACGATTCTCATCCGAATATCAGAGTGAGTGGTCTATAAGTCTGTGAAGGTCTGATCGTTTTTCTGTTGCCACATCCCTGGCAACTTTGTCCTGTAAGAGTTCTGTGAAACATGTACAATCATGAAGCTGCCTTGATAAGCAGTTTTTCGCATCCCGTCGTGATGACGTCCCTGCTTCTTGATCGACTGCTATGGCGATGCATAGCACAGAATTTCGACAGAGCCACTGCTTGTCGGCTGGGCCACGATGGCCTCAGCAGAACTTGAGTTCTTCCCTAGCACAACCTGTCTATACTTTCTCATCCTGGACTCGCAAATTTTGAATTCGCCCTCAATCTCTTGCCAATCTTGAAGAACAAGAACGGGAATGGCGTCATAGCCAACGCAATGAAAGCCAGCAAGGAACTTGCCCACTGGTATCCCAACTTCTCATACATTTGTACGCCGAATAATGGAAACCCAGCCGCGAAGGTCGACCGCGCAAAACTGTTCGCTGCCAGTGCGGAAGCAGCATAGAGTGGGTACGTCTCCACAAGAAATGTGAAGATACCGCTGAAGCAGAAAATGTTTCCCAGCCCGAAGAAAGCGGAGAACATAACCGGCACGATCCAGTGCACATGGCTATACGTCGTCCATCCGAAGCCGAACAGTGACAGAGGGACGATGACGGCTCCGAGAATGGTAGGTGGGAGGCGGAACTCCGGCTCGCTGACGCCGCTGTTCTGTGCAACGAGCCCAATGTAGCGTTTGCGCCAGAGGGGGTCGCACGAGACGCCTGCGATCATTCCGACGAAGATTCCGAGGAATGTGAGACCAGTCTGCCATTGATTGAAGTTATGGTTGTTTTGAAAGACGACGGCGAAGGCGCCAAAAAAGAGGTAGAGGATTCCGAGGAGAATGGCTGAGAGGAGGCAAAGGTTCAGACACATCGGCTCAAAGAAGAGGAGTTGGAAGGGGCGGATGCAGGACCAGAGAACTGTCTGTAGGACCGAGCGGTCCATGACTTCGATTGGCGCTTTCCATCGTTGGTCTCCAGTTTCTTTGCGAAGTTTTTGGGCTTTGCGCCGCAGGAGGACTGGAGCGTAGGTTTCAGGAACAAAAATTACGATGAGGATCCACTGTAGGCCGGCCCAGATGATGAGCACGTAGAAAGTCCAGCGCCAGTCTGCGAATTGATTGATGAAACCTCCAACCACTGGTCCGAGTTCTGGACCAACGAACGGACTGGCAGTGTAAATCATCATAGGCGCGCTAAGCTGGTCCTTGCGAAACATGTCGCCGACGGTGCCACCAGCAACACTCAGGAAGGCGCTTCCGGCAAGTCCATCCAAGAATCTGGCAACCAGCATGGTGGCAATGTTGGGTGCGACCGCGCAAGGAATAAGCCAGATCAGATACATGCCAAAGGCGCAGATGTAGATGATCCTCCTTCCATAGAACTCAGACAGGGGGCTGAGGAACATGGGTCCCAGGCCCAGACCACATACAAAGGTCGTCAAACCGACAGTTGCGCCGAGTCGCGACACGTGGAAATCGACCTCGAGTTGCCGATACGTGGAGGTATACATTGCGCTTGCGCATGTCACGCACAGTGAACTGGCAGAGACAATGGCAACGATGATCCATTTGCGCCATGTCGGTAGATTCTTGGGACTGTATGGGTCCGCATCTCCATCGAAGCGGACTTCGAAGTCCTTGTCGCCGCTTGGTGACCGTTCAGCTTCCTTTGCACTGTGCGCTGTTTCGTCATCGTCCTGGTGGAATGTGTATCCATCCTGCAAGTGGTAAGAGCGCTGGGACCGCGCTGAGGATCGGCTTCGTGCAAGTCTGAGAGGTGGCGCCAATGCTGAATTGGTGCTGGAAGCGTTCGTACGCTGTCGCGCGACGCTGCGTGAACTTCTGTCGTCGTCATCATCGAGTTGCGGTTCTTCGACCTGTTCAAATGGTCGACCTCGCATTGAGGCTTGCTCGATATCTTTTTCTGGATCCATGACTGAAGTGGCAATGTTCCATTGATCGTGGTGTGAGCTGTCTTATCAAGCGCACAATCGTGCCAGCGATGTTTGACGCGCTTGACTGACAAAGCGACCAACGTTCATGACGAACGGTAGATCAAAAGGAATTGGTACTCGCGCGTTACCTCAGATTGAGGATTAGAAATGCGGCATCGACATTACAAAAATCCGATAGCTCCACGGCATCGCGGCAGTTAGACGCAGGAAATCGCGGGCAGAGCGGCGCCTCTCCATTGGAAAACGTCAGAGGCTCGTGATTCGCGCTTGCGTGAGTGGAGAAGGCGATAGCGTCGTCCATTCCTCCCACTCCCACTACGTCTGCCGCACCGTCCGACCAATGCGCAATTGTCAGCAGTGAGCAATGTCATTTCATGTGGCATTGTGTCTCGTCGACGCAGCAGATGTTTCTGTCTTGTGAAGAGATGACGACGTGCCGGCCGAGATGTGAAGAAAGAGGCGGAGGCAGAAGGAGTGGGAAGTGATGTCAGCGCGTGCGACAAGGGTTCGCGTCTCTTCACGCGTGCACACTCCAGAACACTGGTGGCAACCTTCACACAACTACAAGCACATGCACATGCCCGCTATAGAGTCAGGCTCAACGAGATGCCTCTCGGCTTCGAGCGCCTGAATGAGCGCACCCAGCGTCCAAATGCCAACATCAACTTCATCAAGACGGTGTCCAAGGGAGCTGACAAGGCCGTCGCTGAAGAGTTCCTGGCCCGCATCGCAGCACAATGCTATCCTGTCATGAAGAAGCATTACATCACCGTCATGGCCCTCGAAGAATACCCTCCGAATCCTGAGTTCCTTGGTCGCAACTTCAATGCCGGCGAAGTCATTCAATTGGTGCTGAAGGACAAGCAAGGACGATGGCTGAGCTTCAAGTTCGTCCAGATGGTCATGATGCATGAGTTGGCGCATTGCAAGCAGATGAACCACAGCAAGTTCTTCTGGGGTGTTCGCAATGAGTACGCAAAGGAGATGGAAGGACTCTGGCAGAAGGGCTACGAAGGCGAAGGCATGTGGGGTCGTGGCCGAGGCCTGCAGAATGGCGCATTTGTAGACGCACAGCCTCCAGACAATACACAAATTCCCGAGCACCTTTGTGGTGGCACCTACAGACGCAGAGGGAGGAAGAGAAAGAGGGGTGCGCAGCAGGGGCAAGACGATGGCGAAAAGCTGAGCTATGCCGAGAGGCAGCAGAAGCGGATACAGAAGAAGCTCGGCAAGCATGGTGTCAGCATGAAGAGCGAGGTTCTCGGAGATGACGAGTTGACAAGAGGCGCTCTGGAGACGATGAATGGCGGCAAGCGAGGTGCGGGCAAGCCTAGAGTGGCCAACAGCAAGCGTGGCAGAGAACTGCGTGCGAATGCTGCTCTTGCGAGATTTGACGCTTTGAAGCAGCAAGCGCCGGAGAAGACACCGGAGCCCGTGGCCGATCTGGACAGCGAGACAGAATCCGAGTGGGAAGATGGATCAACGGGAGGCTCACGAGCCGACGCAATCGTGATCAAAGATGAGCATGGACGCGACATGGTCAAGGTATGCGGTGATGGCGAAGACGACGAGGAGGGAGCCGGCAAAGAAATTGATGAGCTTAGGATGCTCAGTCGTGGACCTGGGCGAGCTTCCAACAAGAAGGCACAGCCCAAGCCTGTCCAAACGCGAGACATACACGAAGATTCTGAAACGGAAAGCGAGGCCGAAGACAATTCTCTGATGGCCTCTACGAAGGGTTCTGCGGTCTTTAGTGGCAGTAATGCCAAAGCTCCAACGAGGCTTACCAATCGCCGTACTGTCAAGCCACCCGCACATAGTGATTCAGAGACTGAGGACGAGACTGAAGATGCGAACTCAAGCTCAGCCAGCAAGGTCGAGAGTAGTGCTGAACAGTCTTCGCACAAGGCTGGTGCAGCTAGCCTCCCAACTCCTGAGCTGCGTCAAAAACATTCCAAGACCGGTAACACATCGCAAGACCCCAACGACGTGCCGGTAACGGCAACGGCAACGGATCCTGCCATCGCAGATCCCGTGGATGCACTGATATGCCCGATATGCTCTCTGGAGAACGAACTCAATTCGCCTACATGTATTGCATGCGCTCACGTTCTGTGTCCTCGGCTGATGCCAAACAACTGGGCCTGCAAATCAGATACGTGCAAAGACAGCTTCTACATCAATGCTGGCGATGTCGGTCGCTGTGGCATCTGTGGTAGTGCAAAGCCTCAAATGTTGGCTAATGCGAAGGACCACAGACAGAATCGGACGGGGCCATCGCGACCGACTGGCCTGACCGGGGCTGACGTTTTGAGATGGGACTGAGTGACTGAGATGATATTGCAAACCAGCAAACTGTCGACGCATTCGCAATGGTAATTGAAGGACGACCTACGCCTTATGATTAATGAATATAGAGAGATACCCCGCCAGCGATGGATGTTGCAATGAATGTTGCAAACTTGCAATGGACACGAACGTCTTGCGAACCTTCTGAGATCTATGAACGAGACTCGCTGGTATTCTCACTCACCTCTACTACAGCCTTTGTTCTACAATTGGCGTTGAGACATGCTTGTTGCTGATGTCTTGTCACGTACCTGCCAAGAGTTCCAGCAAGATCCCTGCCAACTGACATCACATTGCGTTCCCACTTCATCTGCTCCATCACCACCATCACGAGATTCCGACGACAATCCGGTTTCTGTGGGACTTGGTAGCACCCTTGCTGCTGCATGAGGTAGGCTTTCTTTCACACTTCACCTGGTAAGTTCTTCACATTGCACGCCTTTCCTTCGCGAGAAGCTTCAGCTTTCAACATGGCAGCCTTTAATACGCCATGGTTCAACTCACAAGACCGGTCCTTCTTCAATTCTCTCAACAAGACCAAGATTGCGCATCTTGCGATATGCGCCGAAACAGAAGATTTCGATGAAGAAATTCTACAGGCTTGGATGGATGAAGGATTCCATTGCGCATATGTGCCTTTGCTGAAAGGCGGCGAGGACTTCATCAAGCGGCTGCATACTGTGGGAGATAATTTTGGAGTTAGTGAGCAGTATGCGATTGTAGGTATGGCAGAGTATTATCTTCGGAGCGCGACTAGTATTAACACTCCACAGCATATGGCACCGCAGCAAATCTCGCTCTTCAAGGTCACACAAAACCTAATCATCCCAAGCTGGTAGCCATCGTGGCATACTATCCCAACATAATCCCCTCCGTTCACACCAAATACCCAAACAGCATCCAAGTCCTCGTCCACCTAGCAGGCACAGAAATCTCCGTCGAAAAACACCACGAAGTCCTCGGCATCCAAGGCAAACGCAACTTCGTTAAAAAACGCATCGACCCCGGCATCGGCCTCGGCGAACGCCTCAACATCGCCTTCAAAACTTACACCTACACCGGCTGCGAACCCGGCTTCGCAGAATCTGATCTCGAAGAATACGACCCCATCGCAGCTCAACTAGCCTTCGAACGAAGCCTCAAAACAATCCGCAAAGGCTTCCGTATCGAACCCGATATCGAAGCTGTCCGCGACCATCACACCTCTTACCTCCAAACAAACAACACCTCCAAACTCCTCTCTCAAACCCGCGAAACAGCCCACGTCATCCACGCCCCAACCCTAACCGGCGGAATCGGCAGCCAAGATATTTCTGAATTCTATTCCGAATTTTTCGATCCTATACCCCTCCATCAAAACCCCTCCAACGATAAAAAATCCACCGCACCGGCAATAAAACTCCTCTCTCGTACAATCGGTACCTCTCGCATCGTTGACGAAATTTTCTTATCTTTCGCTCATACTTCTCCGATTACGTGGCTTTTACCTGGTGTTCCGCCCACGAATCGGAAGATTGAAATTGTGATCGTTTCGATTTTTCATGTGGTGGGGACGAAGTTGGAGTCGGAGCATGTTTATTGGGATCAGGCGAGTGTTTTGGTGCAGGCGGGGTTGTTGGATCCGAAGTTGGTGCCGGAGGGGATGAGGAGGAGGAAGGGTGGGAAGAAGAAGGGGAATGATGGTGCGGAAGGGAATGGAGATGCGGATGGGGGAGAGGGAATAGAGAGGTTGCCTGTTGTGGGTGCGGAAGCGGCGAGGGCGGTGAAGAGGGGGAGTTCGAGGTATGTTAATGAGTTGGTGCCGGATTGGTAGTTTTTGGTCATTTGGATGATAGGTGACGTCTTTGTAGCGTACGTTCTGGGCGTATAGCATCTGATATTTCACTAGATTAATCTTAATCACAACGAGTCATCAAAGTCTCGTAACGGGACACTTCTCCAACACTTCGTCCAATTCTGTCCATCCTTAAAAGGCCAGAGTGATCGGAAAGCTTCCCTTAGATTATCATCTTCAAGGTCAAAACATCCCCTCTCCATCGTATGCCATGCATCTATCCGTTCAGTTACGACCCCTCTCTGTCTCTCCCCTGGTGTCTTCCAATAGCACGCGTAAGGCATGCCTAGTACGTCCTCGCACAAATCGTCTAATTCGTCAGGGTATTGAAGCCCATCGAAATTCCACACGCGAAGCTCAAGTCGTCGAAAGGAAAAGGAGCCGGATGGTCGATGTCGGTTGATGTAATGAAAGACACTCGAAATCAAGTCGGCATCGACAGCATGATTGAGCAAAACATACGAGATCGGCGCTGGCTGATCATCCCGGGAATCGGTGAACGAATACTTCTCGTCAAATGCCTGCTCTTCACGTCCGGGCCTTGGGATGTAGTCCCGGCCGTGATGGCTACAGTTGAGGAGGAGCCGGACAGTCTCGAGGCGTGGAAATTTCTCGGCAATGGTACGATAAGTATGTCGCTCCAACTCGGAGCCAAGTGTTCGATGAATGGGAATAGAGAGTTCTTGTAGATTCAAGAAATGCAGATCTTGGATGCTGCTGCCGCCCAAGGCTTTCAGCCCCCAATCCTCACAATATGGCATAAGCGTGAGCTTCCGGAGATTGTGCCCATGGTTTGTGACGATTCTGTCCAAGATATTACGGCTCAGGGCTCCGGAGATTCTTAGAGTATGCAATACAGGCATTTTGCGGAACAATTTTGTAGCCAGGGTGTTCATTGTCGCAGCTTTTTGCTCGGGGTCTGTAGCGTTTGTGTTGCGGGGGAGGGGTTGGACTAGGGTCTTCAAAGAATTCAAACTGACATCTTCTGCCAGACATGCTACAAGGCTTGTGACAGCAAAGCCATGCAGTCTGAGGTCTGTCAAAGTATCGAAGTCGATCACTTCTGTCCAAGCTTTCAGATCGCGAAAGGACAAACCGCCTCGGGAGGACAACTCCAAGGCTTCGATACCTGTGCCTGGTACTTGGGTGGATCTCCTCGCTCCTAGTTCACTGCCGTGCCACTCTGGTTCCGGTCTGTTCATGGCACCCAAAATGTCCAGTCCAGCGGGCGATCTTCCTTGATTTATGCCCATTTTGCGAAGATTCGGAGCACAGCCTGAAATCCTACATCTCACAGCTTCGAGGGTGTAAGGATCAAGGCATTTGAAGCTGTTGAGCGTGATGCTGTGCAGACTTGGCGAGGTGATGAGTCGCACCTCGTATGGATTGAGGCTGATGTTGGTCGGAAGAGGTCTACCCATGAAACTGCGTAAAGCAAAAGTCCCCAACGACAGCTTGCAGTGTGCTTTGGACTCGATGGCAGTGAGTAAACAAGGTGCTAATTGGGGCGAGCAGCAATAGTCGACCTCGCTCAAGGCTGGGAGCCTTTCGATGAAGCGCGCGACTGGTGCCCACTCGATGTCATGTGTTTCTGTGACCATTTCCCCGTCCGCACGGTATTCCCACTTTCGCCAGTCGTAGAGGCCGTCCCCAAGTTCGTTTTCCATGGACCGCCATGGCAGTGGCTTCTCATATGGCAGTAGCGTGAGTTTCCGAACGTGACGAAAGGCTTCGTGTTTCTTCAGCAGTCTGGTTTGCCTTGCGACATTCCTGTGAAGAGCATCGGTGGTCGAGAGTGGAATCGATAAGGCAGCAAAGGTTACATGTAGCGTAGCTCGCCAACATGTCTTGCTTGCTAAAGCAAGTGAGCGTACATCACCCAGGCAGGTGGCTAGGTGCTGCAGTAGCTCTGTCGGCAGATTCTCCAGAAATGACGGCGCTCGTTGACCTTGTTGATGGTTGAAGGTGTCTGCCATTGTCTGACGCGACTCCAGGCAACAGCGTGGAGAAGCCGGGTGTTCTTTGGTGCCTAGTGCTTGTTGCTGTCGCAGTCGCTTGCTGCTATCGCAGTCGCTTGCATCCGGCAGGAGGGTGAATCAGTTCGATTGATTGTCAAGAGAAGAGGTCATCTGCCTTCTGACTCCTTCGGGGTATTCAGAGTAAGTTTCAGGAAGCAATGCAATGTTCAACGCGTTGGCGAACCGCATATTGCGGCGTGCAAATTGACGTGCAGCTTCCTCCTTGCACCCCAGACACTCTGTGGAGTGTGGGGCATCTTGCCCACCTACCCTTCCGCCGGACCAGGATACAAGGAAGGTGCTCGAATAATGGAGTGATTCTACGAACAGTCGTTTCATAGTTTTCAGCTCTAATCGGTCTCGGAAAGGATGTACCTCGAAACGACGAGAGCTTTGAAGATCTTCTAGATCACAGCCTTGAGCAACTTCCGCAGAATCACCCAAAGCACATGCAATAGCCGCTTTACATAGCCTTGCCGAGCGTCCAACAACTCTCCTGACTGATCCTTTTTACTTGCTCTGGCAGCACTCTATGCCTTCAAATCCGAGCTCAGCCGCCTCTCATCCCTCAGCTTGGTCAACAGCTCCATTGCCTTATCAACAGGGATCAGCTCGCCCATCTTCTGTGTGGACGGGTCATCACGATTCCGGATGTTGACCGTACGTGACTCCTTCTCTTGCGCACCGACCACGAAGATGAAATTGTATTGTGCCAGTTGTCCTGTGCGGATCTTCTTTTGCATCGTGTTACCCGTGATGTCAATATCGACGTGCATCTTTGCAGCACGGAACTCCTTTTGCAGCTCAATGACATAGTCATTTGCAGAGGGCATGACGGGAACGATCAAAATCTGTCGAGGTGAGAGCCAGAACGGCCACTTGCCGCCGAAGTGCTCTGTCAGGATACCAATGAAGCGCTCGAAGGAGCCGTAGATGGCGCGATGAATCATGACTGGACGGGCGCAGCCAGGAGTGAGCTCGCGACGGTATGATGCCTCAGGCTTCGCTGCCGTAGCAGCAGCTGCTGATACGTCTCCAGTCTCAGCAGTTGGGGCCGGACGGATTGGTAGTGTCTTCTCCTCTGGCTTTGCTGCCTCTGCCGGCTTCTCGCCGTTGGTCTCCGCCTTCGGCGCAGTGGCAGTCGCAACCTCGTCCGTACGGTACTCGAGATTGAACTGCTGGGGCAATTGGAAATCGAGCTGGATGGTAGCGCATTGGAACTCACGGCGGAGCGCATCGGAGATGGTGACATCGATTTTTGGGCCATAAAAGGCGCCATCGCCAGGGTTGAGCTCCCACTGGGTGCCGGTGTTTGCTTTGAACTCATCCAGTGCACTCGCCAATTGCGACTCAGCGCGCTGCCAGGTAGCCTCGTCACCAAGATGGTTCTCAGGCATGGTAGACAGCTTCATCTTGAACTTGAAGCCAAACAAACCATACACAGCAGTCATGAAGTCAAAGAGGGCTTTCACTTCTTGCTCGACTTGGCTCTCCATACAGAAAATGTGCGTGTCGTCTTGCTCGAAGCGTCGTACACGTGTAAGACCAGAAAGTGCGCCTGATGCTTCGTTTCGGTGCAGCACACCACAGTCAGCAATGCGCATTGGGAGTTCTCGGTAGCTTCGCTCGCGATGGCCGAAGAGAAGACAGTGTCCAGGACAGTTCATTGGTTTCAATGCCCATTGATCCTTCTCAACTTCGAAGGTGAACATGTCGTCTTGGTAGTGTTGCCAGTGACCAGATTGCTTCCACAGCGCGGAGTTGTACATGTTCGGTGAACCCACCTCCTGGTAGCCGCGTTTCCAGTACTCGTCACGGATGAACGAGTAAAGGGCATTCTTGATGATCATGCCGTGTGGGAGGAAGAAAGCTGAGCCAGGTGACATTTGGTGGAAGAAGAACAACTCCTGTTCTTGACCAATTTTGCGGTGGTCGCGCTTGGCAGCCTCCTCGAGGAAGTGCTTGTGCTCTTCAAGCGCCTACGACAGTCAGTAAAAGTGTTGATCCAAACGCATTCTGGAAGTCTCACCTTTTTGTCTGGGAACGAGACACCATAGATACGCTGCAGACTGTCGTTCTTCGCATCACCCAAGAAGTAACTGGCCGAGTTCTTCATCACCTCGAATGCCTTGATGCGTCCAGTATGCTGGACGTGGGGACCTCTGCACAAATCGATGAGTGGTCCGCATCGGTAGACAGTGGTGGAAGTGCCGTCTGGGATTTTGTCCTTGATGATGTGCTGCTTGTACTTGTTGTATGAGAACATTTCGAGCAAATCCTCCTTGCTCAAGGTAAGACGCTCAAAGGGCTGTTTCTCCTTGATCGCCTTCTCTGCAATCTGTTTCAGTGGCTTGTAGTCGGCTGCGGTGACGGCCGCTTGGTCTGGAAGTGCCATTTCGTAGTAGAAGCCATCTTCGACTGGAGGACCAATGCACAGCGAGCAACCGAATCTTCGTTCACAAGCCTCTCCCAGAATGTGCGCACTGCTGTGCCAGAAGACTTTCTTGCCCTCAGGATGATCGAAGTCGAGCAGTTCCAGTTTGCAGGACTTCTCCAATGGCCTGTCCAAATCCCACAGCTCTTCTCCATCTATGCGTGAGATGACGGTGCGCTCGAACAGACTCTTGCTGATATCGCGAGCGATCTGACCGGGCGTGGTCTCCCAGCTCGTGCCCTCCTTGGTGGTGCCATTGTCCAGAGTGATGGTGATCGGCTCGCGGGGCTGTTTCGCGATCCACGCATCTTGCTCAGCCTTTCGCTTGTCGAAGAGAGCATTGCGCGTGGCGAAGAAGTCTGGAGGAGGAGTGAGCTCGAGAGGTCGCGAGTCGCCGGCGTCGGCCTTTTTGTCCTTGCCCATGGTCGGTGGTGGTCTGGGAGCAGATCTAGGCGAGGGCTGGTGGTGTGAGCTGCACTTTCTCGATGCGTGGCTCGCAGTCCAGCATACGGCGGCGACGGGAAGTCTCGTTGGGCGTTGGATCGATCGACAGCAGCGGAGGAGTGTGGGAGCTCTCCGCGACAGCATACAGACGCAATGACTGTTCGCGGTGACTTCTGCTGCTGCTCTGACTCCCTGAACCACCAAGCGCAACACCACTCAAAAGATCGCCCGCAACCTGCATCGACAGCAAAGCTTGGCCCCGCGGATCGGCGAATCGCTCTTCCGACATTGACCTGAACAACCTCTTCGCCATCAACCTTCTCCCTGCACTGCTCCACGCATGCCCGATTCGCGGTGATGAAACAACACGCCGGTCGTCAGCTCGCCCTTTCGAGTGAGATTGCACGCAAGCGTCGATGCTAAGCTCTGGAGCTGCGGAGTGAGCAGCCATCATGCAGGAACACAGCTACTGAAGACTTCGATGCGCTCGACTGCACGATGTTCTCCACGGCATTGCTTTACAATCAACAACCCACCTAGTGCTATCGACCTAGGCAGAAGGCGTACAAACTAGCCCTACGGACGGGACCCCGAAAGTCACGAAGAAGAGAACTGCACGGAATCGGAAAAGCCAGCCTCTGCAGCATTCAGAGTTCACAATCCCATGAACTCCATCTCTCATGCTGGCCACATCCCTGTACATCTGCGCTCTCTAGACCACATATCGCAGGCAATTCTGCGTTGATTTGGCACCTCAAGTTGCCACAAGACTCTCACCGCGCCTGGAACGGGCCCAAAGTCTCGTCTGGTAAGACTTTACGCGCTCGTGGTTTGCGTGGCGGCCACGAGCGGTAGGTACATGTACATTTGAGCAAGGCTGTTGAGAACATACTTCGTGATGCTCCCTGGTAAAGGCTAGGGCTTCGTGATGTAGGTGGTCGGTTGGCTCGTTCCCCATTGCCTTGAACCCAAGAGGAGTGCAGTGCGCGCAATGCTGTGTGGCTCCCCCATCGGGGGATTTCATCAAGAACGAAGCTTTGCATCAAGCTCACCTGTGGTGCCTTTCCCAGTCTTTCTTCTACTCTTGATTACTGACTCACCCATCGCCTACATCGATGGCACCAAATGCGTTCGCGATGCTACCGCTGTATTTTGTCGCCGCGGTGGCAGCAGTGGCGATGGGGGTTGACCTGCAGCCGAACATTACATTCAATCAGGCCATGGGACTACTCGCTACGATGCCACCCTGCGGAGTAGGTGCCGGATCTATACCGTTGCAGCGCATACTGATGGGCCTTAGTCGAATTGTCTGCTCCAGAATATCCAACAGTCCGACTGTGCACTCCAAGATCTGAAGTGCGCCTGCAACAGCGCCAAACTCAACTATGACGCCCAGGTTTGCGTGCTCGGGCATTGCAGTATCAAACAAGCTCTCAGTGAGAACCTGCGCAAACATTGTCACCTACGATCGATATCTGATGGAAGCGATAGCCACGAAAAAGATCAGCACGAGGATATGCAACGAGCCCATTCGAAGCCGACAGTATACCGTACACTATGCCATCATTGGTTTCTCTCTGATGACTGGCGCATATGTTTTGCGCATGATACCAAAGATGCAGTTGGCATTCAACAAACGAAATCTGACACAACTCTGGTACACAACCTTTCACACCGAGTCTTGCCTACCGAACTGTTCGGTCGCTGACACTCGACGCTTGTACTAGGTGGGACGACATGGCCATCTCCTTCTCAATGTTGATGCAAATACCTGCCATTACGATTGCACTCCTCATCACGAAAGCTGGGCTGGGCAAAGACGTCTGGGAAATCCCATTCCCGAACATCACCTGGATACTGAAGCTCAACTATGTTGGCTCGATCATCTACACATCAACCTTGGGGTTCATCAAGATCTCTCTGCTCCTGACCTACCTCCGCGTCTTCCCGAGTCAAGGATTCCAACGCTGGGTCTACTTCTGGCTGGTTATTAACTTTTGCTTCGTCCTCGCGGTAGTTCTACTCTTTGCTACTGCTTGTCAGCCGACTTCGCATTACTGGTGAGTTGGCGTGATAGATTTTGTCCGGAATTGACATTCATGCTGACTGAGATACAGGCACAGATGGGATCTCGAACACAAAGGACACTGCGTAGACATCAATGCGGGAGCCTGGTCTGTCGCTGCGATAAACATGGCACTTGATTTCATCATCCTCTTCCTCCCAATGCGACAGTTGTGGGCCTTACAACTCAACAAACGGAAGAAATTCATGCTGTTCTTCATGTTCGGTCTCGGAGGCTTCGCGTCGATCGTCAGCATCTTGCGGCTGCACGGAATTCTCAAATACGCTCAATCGAAGAATTTAACATGGGACAGCGTGCCGACTTCGTACTGGTCAAGAATGGAGTAAGTACAGGCCGAATCTTGAAGCATTTTCCGAGTAGCTAACAGATTCCTTTTCCGTAGGGTACACGCAGCCTTCATCTGCGCATGCTTGCCCGCGATATACGTATACCTGGTAAGGTCATCTCCCAAAGCAGAAGGCAGTCACATGATAAGCTTCGCTGACGTGGCACGCTTTGTAGCGACGATTCTGGACGAAGACCGTGACAAGCGTTACTGGCAGTAGCAACAAGAACAGCAGAGACAAACCTATGTCGGACTGGATGGCATCCATTGATCGCCACGTGCGCGACAGGCATTGGAAGTTCAATAGTGTATCGCGAACAAGACTCCCTACTGTTGGCGAAAGCGAGGAGGAACTGCCAGAAATACCGAAAAAGTAGGCCTCCAACACAATCGTTAAGTAATCTCGATCGCAGACACCGGCTGACTTCGATCTCTTCTTGTAACGTAGGTACAGAAACGATTCAACCCAATCACCCTATGGGGAACGCGACGACGATCAAATAGAACAAATTACTGTCATTGGAGGGAAGCATGAACCGACTACGACTAAAGACTGGGCATGATTATCGTCGTTGATCGATGACTGCGGATGGGCAAGGGAAAGGAGGAGTTCTATTTTGCTTGAGGGCCGGGTGGAGCGTGGTCTTTGGGCGCACATCATTACTGTTGGGACATGAAATTGATCGATTATGACCTCGAGAAGCAATACACGTGTAATGTATAACGAGGACTGGTTCTACTGTAGAATACGAAGGACGAGGAGTTCCTTTCCAATAGTGTTGCTCCGGACTTAGACTCCTTCGATCGTGAAAGGGTCGACGTCTGCTGCTTATGCGCATGTCGATTGCCATGATCCCGCGGAAGGAATCGCAGAGCGCATTGAACCAATTAGCTCCTGCCATCTCGATATATCGTCGAGCAGGAAGGTATAGTGGAGACGAGGCACGCCAAGAACTTGTGCCTTGCACTTCCCTTCCTTTCACGCTTTCTGCATTTCACTTCACTGCCAACACTCATCAAAGGTCGCATCTCCCGTCTGTTTCTCATGCCTCACACAACGACCTGGTATGCGTCATTTGCGGCGTATCACGCATCAGAAAATGCCGCGGTTGCAATTCCACCTCTGAGCCTCTGAGGATAATGGCAGCATCTGACATCCGTCCGCGGCAGGAGTACAGACATAAGCCATATGCAATCGAGCAGCTTCGGATGGACGTGTCCTGGCGCATTGAGCAAAAGCACAGGACTCTTGATATAGGAAGCGCACTGGATCAGTTGGTGTATACTGCCGCACGCCACCTCACACGCTCGCACGCGTCGCTGGACCAACAACGCTGCACAGCCTGCACCATGTGCAGCTCATCATCATCAAAAGAAGAATACCACAAATACGGAAAAAGGATCCAGCTGAACGGCAGATCGTGACGAGACGTCGTCTTCGCGGCGCCCCCTCCACATTTGTCGCGTGTTTCTCCACGATCTCATTCCTTCTTGAAAGCTTAATAATGACGAAAGTGTCGTAGCTCGCCCGCGTTGCGATGGCCGAATGGTTCGCGCTACGCCATACAAAAAGCATGAAGAGCCACTATTGCCGGACTCCAATTAGCTCGTCAATCGTGATCGGGAGCTCGTGATGTTCGGAAAGAATACAAATAGCCAGGCCACAAGGCTGACAATAGAGAAAGACCAGTGTGGTTGTTGTCAAGCTCCATGGTATCTTTGACAAGTACAGTACGTACAAGAGACAAGCTTTGAGATTGTGAAGAAAAGCGCCTGCGCGATTCGTGGATCTGGCATATGTCTTAAGTACCTCGATCAGAGGGATCACAAGAGCCGGAGCTGCTCACATCTGTGACATGGTCACTTTGTTGCTGCAGGACCAATAGCACCGGGCCAACGGGGCTCGAGACAAATGCCAAGGCAGCTGGGCCAGACTCTCGATGGCTGCTCATCTATAACGGCAACCACCTACATCACTAACCGCAAGCTAGTGCTCTAGCTATGTCCTCGGTAGCGCCAACGGCACGAAAGATGACTTCTCTCGTGGAAGCCCAATTTCCCTAGATTCCCAGGACTCATCTTGTACCTTGAGGCTCTTCTTCCTACCGTTGCACTGGTTGGATTGGGAACCTTTCCGTCGTCGAGAGGGAGAAGTAGACATTGGGCAACGTCAGTCATTATTCAGTAGCTTGAAGGACATCATCAAAGCCAGCCACCATGTCGGACGCGAAAGATCTCGAGAGAGGCCCTGCTGCCCCCTGACCTTGACGTGGACTACGCCAAACATCACGAGGACACCAACGGCAACGGAGGAAGCGATGTTGCTAGTCTGCGTCGAGTGTAAGTCAACAATCAGTCCTTGACGCGCTTTTTCAAAACCGCGTGGGAGACGACGCGTCGTTCAATAAAGAGACATTGGAAAACATCACTGACAATTTCCTTCATCAGCCTCACAAGCAAATCTATCACAGACGAACAATTCGAACGTCTTTTCCTGTCTCCACGCAATGTGAAGGCCTCGCCTCTCAAGGGCTTTGCCAATCCTACTCCTCTCGCCATTATGGGTTTCTCCGTTGGCCTAACACCTCTGTCGGCAGCTTTGTTGGGCTGGCGAGGAGCAGGTGGAGCAGCACAGTCTAGCGTGGGAGCAACCCTGTGGTTTGGCGGTTTCTTGTTGATTCTGGCTGGATTGGGAGAATTCATCTTGTAAGTTGCAATTCTCCAAGCACTCGGGTGCCTGTAACGAAGGCTTCGGAGCGACGCAGGAGTTCGAAGAACGACATGACTGACACCTTGGCCAGGGGCAATACTTTCCCCTTCCTCGTCTTTATGGGCTACGGTGCCCATTTCTTGACATTCGGAACGACCTTCATCCCATACTTCAATGCCGTCTCCGCCTACACCTCAGGCAACCCGTATATTGGAGAGATGAACCAGCAGCAAACTGCCGCATTTGCCAATAGTTACGGTGAGTCCTTCATCGAATCCTCCTTGCAGCCCCTCCACAATCGTAGACTTGCTCGAGACATGTACATCCTGACTCATTGATAACAGGCTTCTACCCGCTCTCCCTCGGCATCCTATCCTTCATCTTCCTCCTCTGCTCCCTCCGAACCAACTTGATATTCTTCCTCATCTTCGTCGCTGCCACCTGCGGTTTCGGCTTCGCGACTGCCTCGTTCTTCTACGCTGGAATCGGAGCCATGGCACAGTCGAGCCAGTTCCTCGTTGCAACGGGTGCTGCTTTCTGGGCTGCGGCTATGTTGGGTTGGTATCTGTTGTTGTCGATTATGATCGAGACTATGGAGTTGCCACTCCCGGCTTTGCCTGTTGTGGATTTGAGCAATCGCATCAAGGCTAAGAAGCCAAAGGCAGAGAAGGGAGTTTAGAGGAAGATATGAAGGGCTGTGTGGTCAGAGACCAAAAGAGAAGGATGATCAGTGTGAGATGATGAGATTGTAAAGAATGAATGAGATGCATTGTATATAGTAATGTCGAACAGTTCTACCTACTGCTTTCCAGACTTCAATGTCCGCTGAGTTACCACGAGGCGACACAGTCGACATTGGTCTTCTCTGCTCCTCCGTCCATATCCACTTATGCGATCGAATTAGGTCTTCGATTTATCCATTCACAACCTGATGAGTACTGTGTTGCCCTCCGTGTTTCAGCAATTGGCAAAAAGCAATACAACAAATAGCAACGACGAGCTACCTCTTTTACATACCCCATTGCATTCCATTCCAATCCATCCCTCACTTTAAGATCGAAAACCAAGGCCAGTAGAAGAGAATCAGATCCTTCCTCTTAAGAGACTGGAAGTGAAGGCTAAATCACGGAAAGAAAAATCGAAGACAAATAGTCATCTGGGAAGCAGCAGTAAAGACCTAGTCGTCCCTACTCATTTTTTGTGTTTTGTATCTTCTGTCCACCAAACAAAACCAGAAAAAAAAAAACCTACAGAAATAAAATAACTAAGTAGAATTTCCCGACTCACTCCTTGCTCGCTCGCTCGAATGAATGAATGAACTCAACTCAACTCAACGCGAGAGCTCGTGGAAGTCAATGATGTGAGCGACGGAAGCAAAAAGGGAAAGAAAATCAAGAAAGACGAAGGCTAGAGTTGAACCCAAGTGACCGCATATTCGTTGACAAACTCCGAATGTGCCTGTTGAAGTAGAAACGAAACCAGAAGAAAAAAAAAAGGGTAGTCTTGTTTCCCTCATACACTTTGCTTCCTTATTCATTCTCCGTTTGTCACTCACTGCCATGCAACTGATGCTCTCATACAATTCAGTAGGACTTTGCTGCCCATGCCGATAGAAGTGTTGCAGTCCATCGATCCATACACATGACATACGACACAGCCAAAGACCACCCCAATGCCAACCACCTGTCAACACTTCGCTCGCGCAAAAAGGACAAAAAGCAGCAAGATCCCAAGCCATGGCAAATAAACAAGAGGGCGACAGAAAAGGTTAATCAAAAAAGAGTAATTTTGCTCGCTGTTTTTGCATCGAAAAAAGTTCTATGATGATTGAGAGTGAGTCGCCTCCATTCCATTTCAAGAAAAGTCGTTGAAAATAAAACCACAGTAGTTATTGAGTATTGGCTCCCCATTCCCTTCCGTTTCCCATTTGTCCCAAGCTATTCTTAATCCCGTCCGTTGATCGAGAGTTCAGTCACACACACACAGTCAGAGAGAGGTAAAGAGGTAAGGAGGTCAAGAGAGAGTCTTATAGAGTCATCAAAAAGGTACATGACAAGGTCTTTTGCCACTGCCGCCGACGCTGAGGACACTCGCTCGCTTTTGCTTCTTCTTCGACAGCCTTTTGCGCTGTGGTGATGAGCGGCGAGGGGTGTCCTGTTCGGTGGCGGATGCGGTGTTGTTGGTAGTAGTGTTGGGTATTGTCGAAGGTGACGTCTCGGATGGCGACTAGCTCGAATCCGGGTTGGCCACTCGCAATATCCTCCTTGAGTAATCTTGGTTGTCTGCCAGACTGCCGCAGCTGTTCTTGCGTGCGCCTGCCTCGGGGTCCAACCTCGTGTCACTCATGTGGCTGTAGCCAGTGCTGGGTGGTTTGCGTTCGTTGGCGCCACGCATGAAATCGCTAACTGCAGTGCGCTGCCTGTACTCTTCTTCTGCCTCCTTTCGCTTCTTTTGTCGGATCCAGTAGAGCAGACCACCCACGGCGGCTGCCAGTCCAACGACACCCACTACGACACCGGCTGCGATACCAGCAGTATTGGAGCCTCCACCGCCGCCGCCGCTTGACGAGCTGCTCGAGCTGGCACCGTCTGAGGATGATGGTGCGACAGTGACGACGACAGTCTTGCCAGGTGAGATGTTCGTGACGAGGGATGGAGTTGCTTCGGTGCTCGAGCCTCCTTTACTTGAGCTGCTTGAGCCTCCGCCTTCTTTGGGTACAGTGGTGCCATCGGTGAGATAAACAGAAAAGAAACCATCACCACCGCCTGCGAAATGTTAGTCTTTGCCTGTCACACGTCCCTGGTCATACGTACAGCTGTCTTGGCCGTAGCCAGTACATGGCGTATCACACTTCGAGTCCTCCACTTTATCGCTGTCTGCTGGGATTTCGCTACCACACCAGCAGTCGTTGCCGTTTGTGGTGGCCATGGCGCCCGAATTCTGGTTGGAACATTGTTCACTACAATATCCAGAGGACTGGTATGTGTATGTGCCAACACTCTCCATGTTGGCTGCTGAGCTGTAACATCCTTGATACACTGCGCTCGCGCGCTTTTCCAACTTTGCTTCGGGAGCAGGCTGTGCTATTTGTGCCATGGCGGATAGTGTGAGTAGTGAAAGGAGAGTCCATGTTCGAGTGGCTCGTGCGGTGCGCGAGAGGGAAGGCATGGTGGCGGTAGTCGGTAATTATTACGGAAGCGAGGTCTGAAAACCTGCTCTGTTGAAAGTCAGTACTGGAGGTTGTCACGATGGTGCGGCTCGTGTGAATGAGGGCAGAGGTGTGGGTATGGCGGAGGTACAAGGGTATTTCGAGGGGCGGTGGGTGGCAGTGGTGAATCGCACCTTTGTTTGCGGCTGCCAGCAGCGCAAGCGTGACTCGCTATAGGATGGGGGTGGGAAAGAAAGGCGATGGAAGATGACGCCTTTCGCCCTTTCAGTCGTCTTTCGTGGCCGTCGTCGTCAGAGTCGTGTCGGTCGGAGCGCGGTACTCCCTCAGGCCGTGATCATGCCACGCGGGCGAGGATGGGAGCAGGTGTGTCGGCGGTCGACAGGGCGTTTCGAGGGCGATGCGCGGTGTCGCTTGCTGGAGCAAGTGAGGCCAATGGATGCGGTGGTGCCGGATGGGGGCGTGACCCGGACGAGTGGAATGCGGCGGGATTTCGCGTTGCACGTCGTGTAAGTGAGCGAGCGATGCAGAGCAGCAGGCGTCCAGCAGTCCCTTTTCCCTCGTCGTTGCGGTACTCGTCGGCCGTTGCAGTGCTCGGCGGCGCGGTGGTGGTCGAGTGGCTGCGCGGCGGTCGGGCGTGCGAGGAGGTCGTTTGGTGCTGGCAACGCCGACTCAACGCACGCAAATGGGGGAACGACGGGACAGCGCACGGAGTCGGAGACGGTCGTGGGCAATGGGGGAGTGTGGTGTGGTGGTGTGAATGTGATGGTATGAAAGAGCGTGGTGTGGTAGAACGAGTGTGAGCGAAAGAGTCGACGCCGGGCACGCTGGTCGCTCGACGGGGCAGGCGCTAGTGGTGTGTGTGTGTGTGAGAGGGTGGACGTGTGTGCGCGTGTGGTCGAGATGGAGGAGAGCAGGCACAGGCACAGAAACGACCGACACCACAGCGCAGAGGCAGAGCAGAAGCAGAGCCAGCCGGCCACGGTTCTGCGAGGCTACTGCAGGCACCACGCGCTTGGCACTGCTGGCCCCTATCGTATCGACCGTGGATCGCTGTGGCTCTCATTGGCCCACGCGCGCACACGTCGGGGATGGGCCTCGCTGCGAGCCTCAACGCCTGTCTACTGGGGTGCGATGCGCTGCTTGTCCACAATACAGCACACTGTCACAGATGATTACGCGTGTCCTGGACCCATCCCGGCCGACGATGAACTCACTCTCGCCCATCCGTGCTAAAATTGTCTCAACCTGCCGGATACACTCTCACACTCGACATCGGCACGCAGCACCACCACCACCATCGCCCGTCGATATACTCGCTTCCCCAGGCGCGGAAGCTGATCCCATCTTCCACTTTCTGCAGAGAGCGACAGAGCCTCGCCTCGTCGCCCAGCGCTTCCACGTAACAGCCTCAACGCTTCGTGTCAGCCTCCCACGTCCCGTGACCGGCGACGGCGGTTTCAGAGTCGCCGTCCGCAATCGGGCAAAACGACCGCCAGACGCCCGTCACTGTTGCTGAAACATCAGAACGCCATTTCACCGAGGGCGCACACAGCAGCTGCACATGCTGCAGCAGGATCAACAGTCTCTTCGCTGCTGCTGCCATTCTGCCCCGTTCTGTGGTTGATGAGAGCGCCGTTCCTGCAGAAGGAGCTGCAAGTACCAAAGTACCGATCGCTCTTGCGCGTCTCGCCGTGTCCGTGCTGTGGATTTCGCCCGTGTTTCTCCGTGTCTCTGCCCTCCAGCTTCACCAGCACGGCAACCGCGATGGACCGCCTTCCGCTGCCCTCAGTCATTGCCTGTCATTCGACGCGCGCACAACTGCGAAGATTTTCCCGTACTTACTCCATGCAATCGCGCTGCAAAAACTCATGCCAACGGCATGGGGACTCGCTCCACAATAACTGACCAGGAATCTTTCTCTGCAGATTCTCGACTGTGTTCTCGACTCCCAATTCCTGGAGTCCTTCCCCTGGTTCTACAAATGACCGTTGACGTGCCCATTGTGCATCAACATTTTGACTGCTCCTCAGCCTCTCAGGAGAGCATCTCTCCACCGGCTCAGCCAGAGCCTCATCCATGCAATTGCATTCGTGTCACCTCTGCTATCCACGGCTTTCCTCTCGTGAGACAATTCTCGGCCCAACTGCTTGGCTGCATTGATTCGCGTCTCTCTCGCTCATGCCCGACCATGACTACAGACAACTCATCTGCAATGCATCGAAATGTCGAACCGCTTCAATCGGCTTTTGTTGTCAGCATCGTCAGGCTTCAAAATTATCAGCTCGATGCGGCGACATTTGTCCGACATGGCGTAAGGCATCACAAAATCGAAGCTATACGAGCGAAACAAGATCACTTGCCAGGGTGCTTGAGGATCTTGTCTCTCCATTCCTTGCATGGGCAGACATTCATATCGAAGCCAACCACCGGTCTTGACGTTGCGAGGACTACAGTACCTGTGAGAATGAGCAAGTGCACGACTGGAGTCAATATCTACACCGGATCTGCGCCAGAAGTTGCCGTGGCTGGCCTCAAGTCGAAGGAAGATCCAACAGCTCTCTCCACACACCACGCCTCACCATCGTTCTGCGTATCATGTATAGTCAGGTCGGTGAGACGCTCCGAATATATGAACCCAAGCCGGAAAAGAGCGCCGTGGGAGCGCAAGTGTTCCATCGTCCTGGCAACCAAGATGAAATCTGCGAAAAGGATGAAACGCTACAAGGCACTCCCACAAGCGTGGCGCAGATTGCCTTGGGCAGCGCTCTGAACAATACTACTGACGCTCTACAGATGAATCGAGAGTTCACATAGACATCTGCGCTCTGGTTGTGGCCGCGCAAGCAGGACCCTTTCACTCAACAGCCGTCGACAGAGCTTTCGATAACGTCCATTACGAAGCGTAAAGATTCCAATGCAGCTCCCAGAAGCTCTCCGAGCACGACAAAGCAATGCCTTCCTGCTTGGTCGACATCGCTGGAACGTCAGTCAAGCGCTATCAGCAAGAATCAGTTTGTTTTGATGCGAGGAACGCGTTGATGGTTGTTCACATGTTCAACAGCCTCTTGAAGGCAAGATGGTCCTGCTAAAGCCAAGCACTTGTCACCAACACAGTACGGTGAACTGACTCCACTCAGATCACAACACTGACGATACTGGCCCCTCTTTTTGGCAAAGGAGAAGACACCTTACTTTCACGTTCTCTGAAATAATACCACGACTGGACTGCGGCACTTCTCTCCTTTTGTAGGCTTCGCGAGCATGCAAATTCGAGAGAAGAGCTGGTCCATAATCGAAGTGTCACCGGCACACACCAGGTCTTCTGTTTCTTTGGCGGGGCAGTGTTGTTGTCTGCGGAGCTTTGCGCTGCGGCGGCGGAGTCGAACAGGTTGTGGTCGACCATGGTCGAGCGAGGTACGTCGGGAATCTTGTCGTGGCCTTTGCTGCTTGGAATTCAATGTGGTCTGGGACAGTAAAATACCTTTTATGGCAGCGCCAAAGGCCTTCGAGTTGGTGGAATGGTGCTCACATGCCTACAGCACGCTTTCATATTCTGTCTCCAGAGCTGCTGTTTCCTTACCTTCCATTCAAGGTTCGCATCGGTTGGCGCGGCCTTCCACCTTCCTCGCGAGATTCAAGGACCTTCTTGATGCGCGTAAGAAGGTCAGCGCGAAGTTAAGCGGCGCCGGTCGCTCGATCTTCTGTTTCTTTGGCGGGGCAGTGTCAATGTCTGCGCCCTTGCCACGAGCCACGAGCCACGCTGTGCAGCACTGGCCGGCCGTGGTCGAGCGAGGTACGTCGGGAATCTTGTCGTGGCCTTTGCGGGTTGAGGTTGTCAACGAATGCAGCCAGAAAACTGGCAGGCCTTCACTTGCGCAGCTCTGTTTGATGCCGCTGTTGCTGCTCGGCAGCGAGCGCCCAGCGCTTGGCCGTGTCCGTTCATGGTAGCCTTGAGATGCGAAGTTCAACGCTGGGTGGGCACTTTTTGCTTGCCTTCTGCAGCCCATTGGGGTTGTGTTTCTTCGCCTGCGGCTGCATCTCTCGCTCTCTATCCAATTGTTTCAATAGCGTACTGGGCCAAAGGCTTCTACGTTGGTACAGATATCCTTCGTGTTTCGGATAGCGAGCATACATTTGCTATAGCCCTCTGGCACCAGCTCTTAACTGATATATCCCCCTTCGTTGAGCCGGTAGGCTTGGTAATGCTATGAGCATTCGAAGCGTTCGAGTGAAGCCGGGTGAACAGTGCTTACCTTTCCACAACACGATAACAGCGTCACCGACTGACTGACCCAGTCATCGTGGGAGGCTTTCATAGCGGTTTGTGGTGATGTATGTGTGTCGTCCCACCGTGCCATCACTTGCCGGATAGTTCGTCTGGTAGTCGAGCATCGAGTGCCAGACACCACGAGCACTCCAACTGACGAACTCGACGGTCTTCTTCGCGAATGAAAGTGACATGCGCAGCACATTTTGCCATGTTGAGATCCCTCGCTCTGCTTCGTGGGCGGCTGTCTGCGCTTCGATATACGCCACTACCGCTTCGTCGCGCGAGCTGTTGATGCTCCGTCTCTGATGAACTCGACGAGTTGTCTGGTTGTTCATTCTTATACCACGTAGCTTGGAGTAACCTCAACCAATGGAGGACGTTGATAGCATGGCAACACTGAATGTGAACGAATATTACCGCGTTGTGCGCTTAAGGCAGCTGAGAGGCCGTGAATCAGGGGAGAGTCTGGTTCGCCAGCACGATCGATCCATCGCTCGTCGCATCCGGATCTCTCGAAACCCAGCAAAGACGCAGAATCATTGGCATGCAGGAGCTCAGGCTTGCAGAGACATCAGGCCTCCGCACTCTCTTCCGAGCGAGCTTCGGGCTCCCAAAGCCTATAGATGTCAGTATCCAGATACACGAGAAGTTACTGCTCAACATCAAATTCTGTGCCTGGGGACACGTCCGGACCAAAGACTTGGAGAAGTGAGAATGCCTTGGCCTGGCAATCTCCAACACTCAGCCAGATTTGGTTCACTGGCTAGGCTGGAGGGGTTGTGCCTTGAGGGACTCTACCTGTGGAGAAGGATGTGAGTCCGTTCACCGTTTTGAGGAGGTAGGTAGACTGCAGACCAGCTGCAGACAGGATGGCTTTGTGGTGTTTTGTGTGCTGGAGAATGGAATCCTGCTGTCGGGGATGGAATTCGCTTGATTATCAAAGGTAGGTGTGGACATCCCGAATATATTTCCAGCTCGACAATAGCACATCGAAATGCTGTTTTGATGGGTGGAGAGATTGCAGACCAGCTGCAGACAGGTTGGCTTTGTGGTGTTTTGTGTGCTGGAGAGTGGATCCATGAGGCGCCAGGACCTGGTTTCTAGGGGTGGGAGATGCTATCTCAATTGGCGACAGCGAGGGCCATTCAACTTCAAGGAACGAAATAGATCGGGATTCTCTGAATGACGAATTGTTTTGATTCAGCCAGCTTCTTCCGTGCCGGTCACAGTGACTAATATGTGGAAGTGGAGCGACGAGCCCACCATAGAGACGTAAAGGAGTTAGCGTTGTGTATGTACCGCAAAACTCGATCGTGTGGAGGCCCCCAGCCCTTCTCTCTGTTCCATGTGAAGCCGTCCATAGTCCGCCCCATTGATACCAAAAGGCACAAGCGCGCGGCCGCGTGCAGAGATTCGATTGCGAACGAGCAAATTCTAGGCGCTTTTGTCCTTGTCCTTGTCCTTGCGCTCGAACGGAGGAAACTGCGTCTTCGCAAACTTTCTGATTCTGCCACTCTCCCTCTGCTCCCTAATGGCGCGCAGAATCAGTCTCCAGAACTCCTCCTCCCTATAGCTTCCCCTGATGCTCTGCGCCTTCTGCTTCTTCTTCGCCATGGTGTTTGTGGTTGCGGCTGCGTTGAACTGGTTAGGAAATGCGAGCTACCAGCGCAGAGTTCGGGGGCGCCGAGAAACGTACTCTGGTTTGATTGCTCGTTCTGGTCCTTTTGTTCTGCGACTTTGCTGTACGTGCGCTTGCGAGAGACCATGACCGTGCTGTGTCCGGTCGTGACGGTGTGTGTGCGCAAGTGTGGTGGGTTGGTCGTTGTGAGAAGGGCGGTGCTGCTTTAGCTAAGGCACGAATCCAGCAGCACAACCTTATTCAGGGCACCCTCAAGGCCTCCTTCAGCACACCTAGAGAACCACAACATACGTGCAGCACTGTGTTGACAAGCATTGTCCTCTCAACTCATCCTTGAGCACCGCAGAGCGTCGAACAGTACCGAACGAACCCGCGAGCACAACGAAGCTTCCGTCAGCCGATCCACGAGTACCAACTAGCCATTGACCCGATCCCACCACGGACAGCAGTCTGCTAGCACTGCTCATGAGAGATGCAGCGGGTCATTGGGGATTGACAGTCGAAAGAGCCAGCGTGGATGTGGTCTGGAGGACGAGGATACTCGCTGGAGACCTACAGTAAAGAAACTCCGCGACATCGCAACGAGCCCACCAGGCTTCCCGATCTGACCGGCATCACTGCGTACAGATCAGCCAGCCGCTTTGGAGGCACTCATTGTCTGGAAGCCCGCGCCGCGCACTTTGGGGCGTGCCAACTTTTAAAGAATCAGCCCTCGGCTGGGCGTTGGCCGGGAACCCACCCATTCGGATTCCGAACACCAACAAGCAGTGAGCAGCTCCAGCGTAAATGATTTACTTGAAGTAGTGTCGATACGTGCGATGTGACAGATCAGTCGCGCCATAAACCGCAGACCGCCGTTACGCAGGAGGCTCTGAACCTCAAGCACCGTCCCATGAAGAGCGAACCACGGATCCATGTGCATGCGAGTGCTACCGCACAATACTCAAGCCCGAGACCTTTTCCGAGATGCGAGAAAGGTATGTCAAGGCTGTCCACTCCTCGGAATGAGCTACCCTCTTTGAAGCAACGTTCAGCACGAGCCGACCAGCAAAGGTGAGCCGCCTGCCAGCTTCAGAAGCCTGTGAGGTGTCGCCAGAAACTTCAAAAGCAGAAAGAAGTCGCAGACAGCAATCCATCACGATGATTGCAGGACCATCGGACAACGCAGTAATTGCATCCGCCTGGACAAGACTTAGCCTCTCGAATGCAAGTTTCGGGGCTCATATACCGTGAGCAATGCGTTCCACGCAACACCTGTGGCACTTGGGTCGGCATTACGCGGATCAGCTGTCTCTCAGCCTGTGCCAGCAGTGCGCTGTCCACTTTGCTTGCTTGCGCGGCTTCTTGAACAAGATGTGCCACCTGCCAGACGGTTCAGCGTCTAGGCATAGGTAAGTGTACAGGGCCTCATCTTTTCGTATTTTCCAATATGTCTTGTCCTCATATTCGTGGGCAGCGTATATGTTCTTTCATGTTTCTTTTCCTTCACCTCTTACGAACTCACCGCATCTTCTCCGCAAGTCATGTCGACGATTTGTGTATGTACTTGCGGTGATAAAGTAAGAAGGCTGCGATGAGGGCATTCATTGCATATATGACGCCGCATTGAATTATCCAGCTTTCCAAGCGCTTAGCAAGAAGTTCTCTAAGCCACTCCTGGCCTTTTTAATGCCAATGATAGGGCAATGCACTGCCGTGCTGCTGGAAGGCAGATAGTGCTTTGCGCGGAGCTCTGGCGTAGGCGATGGTATACTCACAACTGCCAGTACCCTCCTCCATCATCGCAGGATTGTCATCGACGAGCTTCGTATTTTTGCCCACTTACGCTCTCAGTATCATAGCTTGAGGCTGGACGCTCGGGTATACGGCCATGCTGCGGCTTATTGCAGGCATCTTCTATCCTCGCTTTGCTGGAACAATATTGCCAAGCGACACCCCCGCGGAGCGGTGTGGATGATCATGCCATGTTCAGCAGCCATACCAGGACCTCAGGCACGTGTGAAGGATCCTGCTGTCGCTGTATCCCATGCGAGTTATTCCATGGCTAGCTCTGTCCTCCTACAGTGTGCCGGATCGTCGCTCTTGCCGGATACCTCAAGGTCCATCGTGCGCCGCATCTTCAGCAGTACGCATCCTACGTCAAGTGGATGATGTGACGTTGCCGATGCCCGTTCTGAGTCCTCCTTTGCAGGACGTCCCGCGATGTGGTATCGCGTGTGGTGCCATTCCGACCATGGATCGGACATGTCGTGGTCCCGAAGTGCCTAGCACGACAAGAAGGACCAGCACGTCCGCTCACAACCCAGGTCGACATTGCGGTCCTACTGATGATGTAGTGCGGACGAGCAGCTATCGATTGTTGCGCTTTGGGCGTGCTCGCTGACTGAAGGTGAATACATGGCTGGATCGGAGGAAGGTGTGCTACGGTTAGTTCAGCCCGGTGGCATAGTCTCTACGGTGGGCATGAGGATGCTCCGAGGAGGATGGGAGGCTCTTCATGGAAGCGAAAGCGCCACTGGCGATCCTAAGGGCTGCATCATAGCGTTGTTGAGGGCATAGAAGGCAAGGCAAGAGAGGAAGTCAGAATTGGCAAGCGGGCTCTTCCGGCTTGAGCTTCTTTGGACTGCAAGCACAATCACCACATCTCTCCACTGCATCAACATCATCCTCAGCGCCTTCTCTTCCACATGTCACCGGTCCCCCGAGTCCATTGTTTGACCGAGTCCACGGCTTGTCAGTGATGGCCCACGTAGGCAGAGCAGGCGAGACGCGAGCAGCGCCGCAAGGCGCGACTCTCATCGCTGCACGGCTAAGTACACCCACGTCTCTCCACTCTCAGCTTATTTTGCACCGCGGCACCATTCTCCTCACGACGGCGCTCTCCTTGACTAATCCTTGGGCCTCAATCTCACAGCTGTAGGCTTGACTCACGGCACAGCACTAACAGCAACAGAAGGCCAACACTCTATCGCGAGCGCCCGATGCCCGAGGCCTGAGCACAGCGAGCGACCAAATGCTGAATGAGATGGCGCACGAGGAAAAGACAGTCTGACGGCAGGCGGTATACTATATGAATGGGTACAGTGTATCATGCGACAGCGTCCCGCCCGGGCATGAGGTTCTAGGATCCTGCAGTCCTCATTTCGATTGCCCCAGCAGGTCTCTCGCTAGCCGAAGGAGGGTGCTGAGACTACTGGATTTCTTCTTGACAAGGGTTGGCTGATCGGATCACTTCTTGACCTGCAATGCTTCGGGCATGCCTCTGCTGGCACAAGTCAGCACAGGACACCCCTATGGCTCTGACGACCAGCTGGAACAATCCCGCCAACAGTTTCCATATCCGTTGCTACCCTTCTTATACACCTGACAGAGAGATCGGGCACAGATGGCTCCGTCTCTGACCTCGCGTCAAACTCATATCGCGACTATACCCTCATCCGATACCTCGAGCTGTCAGTATTCGGCAGAGCCATCCTGACAGAAGCACAAGCTTTCTCCATGGTCGAGCACCACAACATCCACACATCTTCACCACATTTGGTCCCCTTCTCGCGCGCTACTCGGCAGAGACTGTCGTCCGGACGGCTCAATTGTCTCATCGCTCAGGCTTCAATATGCCACTACACCTCCATGACCTTCCATGCCTCGGTCGTTCAGCATGCCGCAGAGACGAGCTGAAAGACAATGTATGTGCCTTCACGGAAAGCACAACATCACTACCATCCCGTCGTTATCCTCGATGCCTCTAAGCTGAGAGTTCTATGGAGCAAAACCGGCAATGCTGCTATTCTCCGGGTTCGGACTCCAAGCCAGGTTCATCCCGTCTGCCTTCCTGTCAGCAGTCAGCCAGCTCCATTTTCTGAGATACACAAGGGCCCATTGGCTATCTCCGAAGCTTCATCTGCCTGCAAGCCGATCCAGCAGACCACGCATTACATATCCTCCAGGTCGGATGTCCGGAGACAGGAGACATTCTGCGTGTCTCCAGGTCCAGCAGGGACGCTATTTCAGCTCTTCAGTATATTTGATGCCACCAAGCGCCATGACCTGCCAGAGGCAAGGAATGAACGTGCTACATTCTCCGTCTCTAAGATCAAGCCTAGGCCCAATCAACTTTCCCCGGCAGTGCCTCAGAGCAGCTATCCATTCTGGAGCTACTGCAGGCTCAGCGGCCTTTCTCAGCTCTCAGGACTAGCACGATGGACGCTTCAGATTGACCCCCGTTGGCTCTCAGCTCAGCAACATTCTAGAGTTATGGCAGACTCGCTGCCTATCTCTGCTGGCCCAACTCGGTGCATTCCGATACGTTGCAACGCTCGCTGCCTCTGAACCGGGCAGTTTTACAGAGCCACGAGAGCCACGCTGTCTGTTTCCGACGATCTGTCTTGAGCTATCATCGGTCCATCGTTACGTTCATTAGCTCCCAACCCAACATTATTGCAGAGATATGGAGGGCATGCTGGCTATCTCCGGAGGTCCGTACGGCTGCATTTCTGGTTCATACCTCCCCATGATGGCTCTTACTCGGATGGTATTGCAGAGATACTGGAGACATGATGCTTGCCTCCGCAGGTCCGTCTAAAACCATGACCGCACTATGCTACAACTGGATGCCTCGCAAATGGACAGGATCTCAGAGACAAATGAGACACACTACCTGTCTCTCAATATTGGTCTGGAGTATCTCTGGGCCGTTCTCATATTGGATGGCTCTCAACCGGAGAGCACCGCGGAGGCATTGGGAACACATCGCCTTCTCCAACGATCCGTATGGACGCATTTCCACGCCATCTTACCACTGAGTGGCTCTCAACTGAATAGCATTTCAGAGCCACAGGAGACAATTCGCCTGCCTCCAGTGGTTCGTATGGAGCCATATCTGCACCGTTTTGACATTGAATGGCTCTCAACCGGACAATATCGCAGAGAGACCAGATGCATGCTGTCCATCTCCGGTGGTTCGTTTGAGTGCATTTCAGGCCCATTTCTACATTCAATGCCTCCTAGCCGGACAATATTGCGGAGATACTGGAGGCTACTGGGGTTCTCCGGCGGGTCACTTGGCTGCATTTTCTCACCATATTGACATTGAATGGCTTTGAAAGGCTCAAACCTGCAGAGATACTAGAGGCTTGCTGCGTATCTCCGGTGCTCCGTTGGCCTGCCCTTCCGCACCGTTTTGACATTGGGTGCCTGACAGCTGGACGATATCGCCCAGACACTGGACGCCTAATGCGTGTCTCCGTCGGTCCAATTGGCTGCATATCCACACCATTTTGACATTGAGTGCCTCACAGCTGGACGATATTGCAGAGATACTGGAGGCTGGCGCGTCCCTCCGATGATCGTTGGGGTTGCATATCCGCCCTATCTTGATACCAGGTGCCTCACAGCCGGACGATATTGCAGAGATACTGAAGGTTGGTGCGTTTCTCCGATGGTCCATTCGGCTGCATATCCGCACTATTTCGATACCAGGTGCCTCGCAGCTCGACGATATTGCAGAGATACTGGAGGCCGGTGGGTCTCTCCAATGGTCCACTGGGCTGCATATCCGCACTATTTTGACACCAGTTGCCTCACTATTGAAAAATATTGCAGAGATACTGAGTGTCTGCTGCATGTCTCGAGTAGTCCATTAGGCCGCTTATCCACCCCATCTTGACACTGAGTGCCTCACAGCTGGACGATGCTGCGGAGATATTGGAGGCCTGACGCATGTCTCCGGCGGTCTATTAGGCTCATATCCGCACGATCTTGATATTGGATGCCTCTCAAATCGGAAATATCACAGAGATGTTGCCAGAACTTCCGTTTCTCCGACCACAGGCACAGACACGACTGCGCAGCGTTTCCATATTCAATGGCTCTGTGCAGCAATTCACGACAGAAGCAACGGGCATTTATGCGCAGAAAGACAAGGCAGGAGCGCAACTGAACAGCTGCTCACATCAAGCCATCGCACCTTCAGTTGCTATAAAGTGACGGCCACGTGGGTTCACTATCGCAATCTAAGGGCATACACATGAGGGCACAAGGAAGGGGCACAAATGGACGGGACTTCAGTTCAGTGCATTCAGGTCATTGCTATGTGAGGAAGAACGGCCACGTGGGCTCACTTTTTGTCACGTGCGAGCGGCATTACTCCTCCTCTGCCTCCTCAGTCTCCTCGGTCTCTGGAAGGAACGTCAGCATTTGTACTCAGTATTGGGCTCAGATGACACTCACTCTTGGTGGCAGTGACCTTCTTCTTGGTGGCACGTGGCTTCTTTGCCTTCACTTCGGCCTCCTCAGTCTCGCCGGACTTGCGCTTGGTGGTCTTGGATGGGCCGGCAGTGAGGTCGTTGCCGTCAGTCTTGGCGCCGGCCTTGTCGAGCTTCTTGTGTATGTTGCGGACCGACACCCTCATGCTGTCAACTGAGGCGGCGCCGAACTCGGTGGTGGCCTTCTCCCAGTTGATGGCGCTCTGTGAGGGGAGTGCGTCAGTCAGCTTGCTCAGTGAGGAGGCAGTGAGGGAAGGGCGGCGACTTACGTTGTCGGCGGCGGTACTGAGTGCGACGGCCAAGAGGCGGTCCTTCTCTGCCTCAGTGAGGACTTCGCGGGCGATGCTGCTGTTGTAGAGAGGCATGGTGTGATGTGTTGTTGGTGGTACTGTTGTGTGTGGATGGAAGTGGATGGTGGTTGGTGGTGGGTGGTGGTGGTGGTGGTTGGTGTGTGTGGAAGAAAGAGAAAGGAAAAGGTGCGGAAGGAAAGAGAAAGCCGACGAAGGGAAAGGCGGGGCCTGAGGCGCAGCTCCGCCATTGTGAGGCTCATGCCTGGCTGCCTTCAGTTTGTGATTGTTTGGCGAGGCAAAACTGAAGGCCGGGTTGCCGGGCAGCCAGGGAAGGGGCGGTGGGTCCCGCCCCTATGGCTTCACTTGAGCCTGCTCTGGCTCTATCTCGAGGAGCGTACGTTCTGGGGGTCAATCGACGAGCAGCTGGGCAGAGCGATGGCCTAGCGGACAGAGCGAATCAGGTGCTCAAGCATGCAGCAGATGTTGGGGAGTTGCTCACGGTCAAACAACCCGAACGACGGTGAGATACACCACACTGGAAACCGGCCAGTCTCCGGCTCCCTCATCAGCTCTCCTGACGGTCAGACGGCAAGCAGCGCGGCTGGTAAGTGGGCATGGCGATAGAGATCGGGGCGCGCTTGGAACCACGGTCAGTGTGTGGAAGAACAACGCAGACGGCGAAAGCATACACCACCTTGTCTTGCCGCGGTCCTCACGGCTCATCCACCATTGACTCTGCTTCAGTGAACACGTCCTTGGCCCACAGAGCGGCAAGAGCACTGCGAACTGCGGAGCAACTGCTATTGGAGTAAGAAAACCATCAGATTCAATACCACACAACTCAGACCGGCTGATCTACCACTCCTTCTGCTTCAGCGAGCACACTCTCAGCCCGCAGAGCTCCAGAAGCCCAGTCGACTTCGCGGCGACTGCTGGTAGAGTGAGACGACCATTGGGCTCGATACAGCACAGGCCGAAGCGGCTGTCCCACCAAGCCTTCTGCTTCAGCGAACACAGCGCCGGCCTACGAAGCGCCAGAAGACCAACTCAATCCATAGCGACTGCTATTGGAGCGAGACGACAATCAGGGCCAATACATAAGAACCCCGATCGGACATTCTACGAACCCTTCTACTTCAGCAAACACAATCCCATCTCACACAGCACCCAGAGACCCATCGAGTCCGCAATGACTGTTATTCGAGCAAACAATCTTCGGATCGCAAGAACAGATCTCGCCGATCTCTCAGCCATGGCGGAGGACAAACAGCCAGGAGCACCGGGGTTGGACGGGCGGTCAATACAAGGGCAGCGAGTAGCACAGGAAGAATATCTTGAGTTGCGCATGGAGCATAGAAGATTATCAGGGGAATGAGCGGCGCGATAGGCGAGGACACCGTGCAGCAGGCAAGATTATACACGCGTAGGGAAGGATCCGAAGAGTGCTAGCGACGGACCTCAGCAAAGAGCCTGCATATTAGAGGCACAGTAATTACTCTACGCAAGGGACACACATCTACGAGCGCACACCTTCGCTAGCACAGTAGAGGCACACATGCGAACGTTAGTCGAGCCACAGGTTACTGAGGCGGCTCCTCAAAAGACACCAGCTCCATAAAATCCTACAGATTCTACTGAGACAAAAGACCTCCCGTCCTCATGCTTTCTTTGCTCGCTCGCTCTCATGCCTCATATGCACCGCTCTACCCTAGGATCATCCGTACAAAGAAGTAAATTTCTTCTGTCCATGACCGCCATCACTCCGAATAGAAAGTAAAAGAAAACAATGCGAAACTCTTCTCATGATATTTACACAACGAAGGAGAGACAAAAGTTAGTCCCGATGGCCCATCCATACAGTGTAGCCGCAAATCTCCCGCAATGAGGAAAAGATTATTGGGATCGTGAAGGAAGGAGAAGCATACTGTGCTTTTTGACCTTTCATCCTCTTCCGTCTTCTTTCAAACGCTTTCCTTCATTGATCCATATGCAAATACGCTCTTCTTCCGGCCCCCGGGGAGGGGAATGAGGGAGCGACTTCTCAGCCATCGTTTCGAGCTGACTCGACGTACCACTCAACTCCTCCTCTAATAACTTTGAGGAGACGAACTACCTCGCAAACACCTTCACAACGCCATCGCCACCAGCGCTAACCACGAGTCTTCCATCTTGGCTCCAACAGACATCACAGACGCCTTCGCCGCGCATGGCTCGATGACTTGTAATGTCTTGTGTGCAAATCCTCTTTTCCAGAGACCAGAATCGAATCGAGGCATCGTGGCCTGCGGAAACAGCTTCTCGGCCGTCCTTGCTAAGGGAGAGGGCGGAGATGGCGGCCGGGTGGGCTAGCATAGTGTACGTACATTGACCTGCAAAGGAGTGTCGTTAGCAAAGAGCCCCAATGAGGATTTGGGAGATGAACTTACCACTGTTGGCATCGAAGAATCGCACGAAACGATCCTCATGCCCTGTGATCACCACGCCTTCGAGGCCCTCTCTTCCACCCGTAGCGCCAGCGCCGACCTCTTCGGAGTCCAGACCGCGAGTCGCAGCATCAAGTATGCCGCCACTGTGTTGCTCCAGGCCAGCGCTGGTGGCTACAACAGCATTAATGCTAGTATCCGGTGTGCCATCGTATGTTTCACCCGATGCCATGCCGATGACTTCTTCGCCAGTCCGCGTGTCGAAGATGAGCACTGACGAATCAGTGTAACTGACAACGAACGTCTCTCCAGAAGGCGAAAGCGGACAAATGCTTGTAGGGCTGGCCTTGATGTCTCCAGCTCGCTCGATCGAATGTACGAGAGTGTAGCTGAAGGGAGTCGTACTCGCCACGCTCGGCTGGGGACTTGTGGGGTAGTTGCTGCCGCTCGTCACACTGTGTCTTCTCGAGCCACCAACACCTCTTCGAGATCCAGTAGCAGGTGAAGCAGATTGAGGCGGAGCACTGACCGCCCACACCTTTACCGTGCCATCGGCAGATCCAGAAACGAGCAGTAGCCGGTCAGGCCCGCCAAAGTTGCTAGATTGTGGTCCAAAAACAACGCCGACGGAAGCTGGCAGAACGCAGACGGCCCAGACCGCGTCTGTGTGCCCTTCAAGTGTGGCCTTGGGGTCGACTCTCCCTCGCTCCCAGACGCGAATCGTGGCATCTTGCCCACCGGAGAACACCCAGCCTTCGCCATTCGCCCGTCCTCCAGTGCTGAAACCTGTGCTGGCTGGGGGCGCGGTAAGGGAGGTGACAATTCCCTCGTGACCTCTGTGAGTAAAGATGGCCTGTATGTCTAGATCCGGGTTATTGTTCCCGGGATTATAATTTTGATAAGTGGCAGGCACAATCCACCGCTTTATTGTGCCATCATCACCGGCAGTGCAAAGTTCCGGCTCTGAAGGACTGCCGCCGCCGCTGAAGATTACACTACGCACAACGTCCAGGTGACCTCGAAGCGCGAACTTGACTTTGAACTGTGTCGGATCGCTTTCTATCGCTGCAGCTGCATCATCTGTTTGATTCTTGCCTTGAGAACTTCGTCTTCGGCTCATGCTTGACGAGCCTGAGCTTTTCCGTCGACCATGGAGTCCTGTCCGCGGAGGTGATTTCGCCGTCGCCTGAGAGTGACTTGCCGCGCTAGGAAATAAGTCCGTATCTGGCCTTCGAGGTGGTGGAACGTCTGGGGGTGGTGCATCCAATGGCGGCGGCGGCTCCTCATCAAAAGTCCATCCCTCGGCATCAGACTGTTGTCTGCCCGGCCGCTGCGGCTGTGGAAGGTGTGATTCGGGTTGCCGCACTTCTCGTCCTTCTCTATCAAATGTATGCGTGATGTTCTCGACTTGCTCTTCATATTGTACAGGTGGTTGCGGCGCCTGCTGCTGCACGCTTTCGGCAGGCTGCTGGTTCGAATATTCGGGGTATCTTAGCCCGCGGCTATCAGGTCGTTGTGCTGCGGATTGCGGTAAACTGTTTGGCACCGGAGGAGGTTGATGGTTCGGTATTTGTTGCTGCTGGGGCAGGACCTGACCGGCGCCCCGTCCATTGCGGTATCCTTGCTGTCGCGCTTGGTCGCCATATTGCATTTCATATATATCCTGCATGGGATGCGGTGCATCGGGGAGGCCAGTAATGTTGCCATTTGGAAGTATTTGCGGCGGCGGAGGGTGTTGCGGAGGTGTGAGCAAATATTGTATCTCTTTCATGCAGTTTTTGAGATATTTTGTTGTCTGGTCGAGATATTCTTCGCGGGCCTTCTCGCTGGTGTCGTGCAGCTCGGTCGTCTCGAGGAAGGAGTTGTGCGCGGCTAAGCTGGCTGGTCCAAATGTCAGCATGTCGTTCATCGGTCCTCTCAATGCACTGAGAAACCTACGCTTGTCTTGCTTTTCACCATTCTTGCTGTCCTCCTTCTTGACCTTCTGCGCATCCTCCTGCGCAGATTTCTCTTCCGTTGACTCTGTTGTCCCGTTGGGCGCTTGTTTCCTTGCCCGCTCGTTTTTCAACGCCTTCTCCAGCATGCGCACTTGACGTTCCAATTGCTCATTGATTCGCTTGGCCTGCCTGACCTCTCCCTCCTGCTTCGCGATCTTGGCCTTCATCTCGGCCCTTTCGATGTCCCAGGCATTGCGCGCTCGCTCGTGACTGTGCCATTCGATCTGCAGGAAGCGCATTACACCTGTACCACTCAGATCAGTATATGAACTCCTCCGGCTGGCCTGCAAGCTAGCCTGTTTCCTGATACTAACCCTGCAACGTGTATTCAGTGCCCTGTGGGCCATGGTGTTCCGGACCTCCTCCGCCATTCCCAAGCCCGCCTTGCTGCTGATATGCCATCGCAGCTGGCGGCTTGTGCTACACCGTCCCTATCGCAGTGACGTCCGTGGAGTTTGCAATGTTTCCCACCACATTGAGACCGGCGTTTCGGGAAAGGAGCGGTAACTAGGCACGTTGCGTGCTGGTTGGCGCCGTGACTCGGTCAGGCTTTCGAAGCGCCTATCTTGCACGCTCGACGCGGAGAAATGATGGATTCCAATATCGGGTGGGTACAACGAGGCGGCGGCGTCAAGAAGGTGGAGAGGACAGCTCGTCTGCAACTGAGCACGCGCGCGTGGTGAAGACTGCCTCCTACAGCAGCTTCGGAGCTAGCCGCCCGGGCGCTAGCTATGACCTCTCCTTGCCCTTGGCGCCACATTCTGGTGTAGCGGCAACGGACTCAAGTGCGAACATCTTCCTCGTGACTATTGCGTTCGCATATCTACACAAACAACCTCTCGCCGAGTACAAAGTACAGGCGTCGCAATTGACGTATGCATCAGCATGATGACACTGCGATGTACTGATGAAACTGTGTAGCGTGGCCCTCGGTACTCGTCGCTCACCCGCACCGAAGGAGTCAACTTCCCCCTTGCTCTCAGTGAGCTTGCAACCGGATGGGCCATCGTGGGCAGACAGGTTCTACGGATGAATGAATTCAATTAACAGAGCTAAGTCCTGGGCCTCGATTCTGCACACCTGCTCAAAAGATCACTATGTCGCATACAGCTTCTACAACACGCAGGACGCATCTACACCTCCACTGTCAGTGAAGTTCAAGTCAGAATGCAAGACCACTGAGGTCCATCCTGAGCCGACTAATGCTGATCTGTATCGATGAGTACCATTACTATGACAGCCGCACAGAAGAGTACCAGAGCGTCGCATCGGAAGGTCGACGTGAGCATGCAGACTTGATCTTGCGCAACCTCGTGTAGACAAAACCTGCTCAGGTTGGCGCAACATGCATCACCTACGACGAGAAAGCTTGCACTCATGCCTTCGAGATCTTTCGTTGCTCACAAGGAGAGCCGCCACCAGGCCTAGATCTCGTCTGCAGCTGCATCGGGCGAGCTATGCGAACGCGAATCTGTTAAGAAGGAGATTTCGATCATCTCGAACTTCACATCGCTGATTGATGCAAGCCCTGTTGTAATATGCTCTGCTGGAGCAAGGCATGAGTCTCGATCGTATGGACTCGCCAGCAGAGGCCAGGAGTTCCTGCTCGCCCAAAAATAACGATCAACAGGTTGTCTGATATTCGTGGGGTCTGCCTGTTTCAACCTCTTGTGTGCTCCGACCACACTCGACTGACTCGAACGCGTTCAGCCCCCAGGCTTCCACTCTTGGTTGTTGGGGACACATGGGAAAGAGCTCTTCCTCGGCCGGCAGAAGTACACGCATAGCATGCTGATGCCGGCCGTGCTTGATTATGATCTCTCTGAGACGGTGGATCAGTGGAGACAGTCCACTTCCATCATAGCAGCTGTGCCACGACTCGCTCGACGGGGTTGTTGGCCGCTCCTCCGTGAAGAGAGCGGCGATGCTCAAAGTCGATGATCCTGGAACAGATTGGGGTATTGCTCGGAGAGGTGGTCGTGATAGACTGGGACCCGCAGACCAGTTTGCGAATTCAAACGCTGCTTGGTGTGGTTGTTTCCTGGCCAAGCTCGTCGATGTGATCGAAAGTGTAGTTTCGAGACACGTCAAGCCGGAGACCGTGCTGTCTCGTGTTTTATGTTTGCAGGAACGTGCTAGTGTGCCTGTATCAGAGTGAGAGAACAAAAGTAACGGAGAACCTACGTGTCCGACCCGAAATGCTCATGGTTGTACTTGATGTGATGTGATCTAGCATTGCCGAAAGCCTCGCTGCTCGAGTCGCGTTCTTCGGCTGTTGCGCCGGACAGATGGAGCCCTACATTCACGAACACGGACAGATCCAGGTGCGGCGTTCGTCCAATCTGGTGCTTGAATTGAAGGGTCGATGCATCAATGGTGAGATTCAAGCTGCTGGTGATCAATTTGTCGTCAGCGCACGCTACAGACGGTACACCGAAAACTGGCCAATATCGTCGACGCAGTATGAGTCTGCTGTATGCGATCTGAACACCGTCCCTGTACGCGTAGTGTCTTGCACTGAAGCGACTTGACGAATTCAATCGCAGGGTCAGTGTATGTTTCTCCTCAGGCACCGTCGGACTCTGCTTCCGCTATCAAGGAGATGCTCGGTATGTTGTACTGCGCGTGTAATTCTCGTTCAATGCGGCAACGGCATCCTGGTCGCAACGCGAACTCTATCCATCTAATTGCCAGGATGACCAGGGCGCGGTTTGCGCCAGGAAGTCATAGAAACAAGCTGCCCCAACGTTATTGCATGTGAATGGCGCGATGAAGTCGTACGTGAAAGTGGAGATTCTGTAAAGAAAGTATTTACAGGGTCGACGCCTGGTCGAAGTCCGAAGGTGCATCTCGATGAGTGTTCAGAAAGTCGGCTCTTATGTTCTTAGTTCGTGCATCACTGGGAATGCTGTCGCTGATTCATTAGCCTCGGTTTGTTGGGTGCGAGAGGACTGGCACTTCTTTGCAAAGCTTCATCGGCGGCTTCTTGCACTGCCAGCCACATTGTGCTATGCTTCACCTTGAAAGTTGTCTTCGATAACCATGGTTGTACAGCTCCACATCATTCCGTTGAGATTGTTGACACGACTTGAGGTGTTATAGACGGCAATAGACGAGCAAGGGCAGATAACAGCTCGAGCCGGATGTGGTTTGCCATGCAGCGCATTGATCTTCCGGAAAAGCCTTGGGTTCATCCGATTGTGGAAGACACATCAAAGCGCAATCACTGTGCAGACATGGGCAGTGTGCGAGCAGTGACACTGAGACGCATTCGCGCCCAAAGGACCTGCCGGCTTGCCGGCGATACAATTTCGGTATACCGTTCGATCGGGTCATGTCCGAGACTGCGACTGCCCTGCAAGATGGATGACGAAGAGCCCTATGCCTCGTAAAGATGGCATCAGATGGCGTGTCTGGGCGTAGGTAGAACCAGCTTTGGACTCTGTACGGAGCTTAGGAAATCTTCTTGCGCAAGATGTGCGTTGGATCCGCGTCATTTACTGCCCATCCAAGATGTCTAGGTAGGTAGGTGCTGCTGTACAGCCACAATTTGCGCCTGTGTCGTGTTTCAGGGTTTTCTCCGAAAGTGATCAAACAAGCGCCGGAAGCTGTTTCGTAGTAGCACGAGCATCGTGTGGCAAAGGCTGCGCTTCTCCTTTGGGCTGGACTTGCGTTGATCAACTCTTTGAAGACACTGACAGGGTTCTTTGTGCGATGGGTTCAGTGGTGACTGGAATCTTGATCACATCGCCGCTAGTCTGCTCACGGACGAGGATGTGGTTCTACTGGTCGTGATCGTACGCAATTCATGGCGCTGGGCGACCTGATCCTGCACATGAGTAGTGCTGACTCGCATGATCACCGTGGTGACGGGGTGTCCACTCAGCCAAAGCTCGGGCATAGTGGCATTCTTTGGCAATAGCACATATCAGAAAAGGGATGCCTGGCCGGAACGAAGGCCGATGGCGTCCGCGATGTTGTTGTACACCGGGCTTATGTGTGTTTGCAAGATGATGGCGGAGAGCGTTGTTGGCGATGAAATGCAGAGGCCCCACGTCACTGCACAGCAGTTCCGCGAGCCACGGCCGGGCCGCTTGCAACCAGAGACATTGCTCTTGACCAGGACACACTCCCTCAGCAGGGCAGTAGTCTCGCGCGCTATAGCAGCTCGAGCTCAACAAATGTCGTTGCGAGTCGCGGGGCATAGTCAGCATTAACGTGGGGTGCGCAGCAGAGTGGTTGATGATGAAACAGATCGCTTCGGCTGCCGACGCTGCCCTTGCAGGCGTACCTGTATGATCGACGCCGTTATGCAGAGCAGCAGAGCAGCGCAGTGTAGGCAGCACACGAGCAGCTCTGATGGCGGAGTCTGCCAGGCACGCGTGCGGTGCTGGCGGCGCTCGACGCATCCGCGAGGGCGCGCTGCTCATTTACCAGGGCGTAGCGCCCAAGACAGGGCAGCGGATGCATGGTGGTCGCACAGAACCCAGTTGTCAGCGCCACGCGATCTGTGCGATGTTGGCGGATGATGTATCGACTCGTGGGCTTCTCGAGCAGGCAGAGAAGGCGGGTCCGCTGCAGGTCTCGACTTGCTCCGGCCCATCACGCTGCCCGCGAATGCGCAACCATCCCTTGTTGGCAGCGCCGGGAGACGGGCGGGCATCCGGAGCCGGGGCGGGCGGGCAGAGTGGCAGCGAGTGAATAGTGCAGCATAATTTCGGAGGATCGCGCGCCGTGCAGATGAACTGGAAGCGTAGGTTGACTGGCGCTCCATCACAGGAGGAGGACAGGCTGGCAACGACGTGTCTGGCCGGGGACGTGCTGCAGCGCGCTGCTGGGGACGGCGCATCGAGGGTTGGCTGGCTGGGGTGCGCGCGCAAAGCAAGGCCGGACGGCGGCTAATGCGATCGAGTCAAGCACACGCTGCACAGCCAGAGCGAAAGTGGGTGGGTGTGCGCATGGGCCCGCTGTCCGTGTGCGCTGTTTCAGAGGCAGCCGCTGCCGGCCAGTTTTCTGAAACAGCGCAGTCCTTCACTACTACCTCCTCGTCTCACGCTACTGCTCTATTCCAACGACACGCTTCACTTCACCTCTCCCCCAAAACACGCCTGTTTGCGCTCGCTGAGGCCGGTCCTCGCACTCTCCATCCTCGCCCGCGACTAGAGCTGCTGCTCGTCTGCTACATTCGTTCCTCCACCGCTCCGCCGCGCCTCCCGCTGCCTCCCTGCCTTCGCGCGCATCCGAACAACCGCGCAGCGAACTGGTGTCGTTGCCCGCTGGTTTCGTCCCCCCGAACGGCAGATCAAACACGCAGCATCCGAGCTCGTTTGGGATATACGCTCCCAGCGCCCTCTTGCGCTTTTGCACGCCTGTCCTCGCCCGGCGCTGCGACAGGCTCCCGTTTCACCGCCATGTATCCTCAGCACCATCCCGCCATGCCACCGCCGCAGCAGGCGCGGTCGGTGGCCCCAGAGACCTTCCTGCTCGACCAAGAAGCGCAGTCCAGCCTCCCGCAAGACTCAGTCGTGGCTCTGCAACAAGTCGACAACCGTACGTCTCCAGCCTGCCGCCAATGGATGCACTCCAGACCGCATTGACTGACGCGTGTGTAGTGAAATACTTTCTCATCTCCGCCCCAGTGGACTGGAGTCAAGACCAGTACATTCGACGATTCTTGCTACCTACCGGCGAATATGTCTCCTGCGTGCTATGGTGCGTCTGCAATGCCGCGAGCCGTGAGCTGCTGCTGCGACCGCCCTGTACTAACCCACCTCCAGGAACAATCTCTTCCACATCTCGGGCACTGACATCGTTCGCTGCCTATCTTTCCGCTTTCAGGCGTTTGGACGACCTGTCAAGAATACGAAGAAATTTGAGGAGGGCATCTTTTCCGATCTGCGAAATTTGAAATCTGGCACAGATGCCTCTCTCGAAGAGCCAAAGAGTCCATTCCTCGACTTCCTTTACAAGAACAACTGCATCAGGACGCAGAAGAAGCAAAAAGTGTTCTACTGGTACAGCGTCCCGCACGACCGTCTGTTCCTCGATGCTTTGGAGCGCGATCTGAAGCGAGAGAAGATGGGCCAGGAAGCTACCACAGTGGCTGTCAGCGAGCCAGCCCTGTCATTCGAGTTCGACGCGTCCGTCTCGCTGTTTGAGCAGCTCACGAAGGCGCAGCAGAACAACCAGTCAACATACAACGCGCAACCACCATCAATGCCACCATCGCATTCGACATCGCCAGTTCTGCGTGCAACCGATTCTATGCCACCGCCGAACATGATTCCTCAGCAACAATTACCGCCCACTTCGATGCCAGCGCAAATGTCACACCAGCCAGATATGCAGTCGGAGCAGATGTCGCACATGCCAGGGTACGGCCAGATGGCGATGCCGCCCATGCCGTCACAGATACAAAAGACACGAGAACAGTCAATGGGTCCAGTTTTCGATCGAAATGGAGTACCAATTTCGCAAGCTGGACAGAGACATAGCTCAATGCCAGCTTATATGGAATACTCGCCCGCCCCTTCATTCGTCTCGTCACATTTCGAGGACTACAGCCAACGTGGTCTGTCCTTTGAGCCACTCACCCCGCCGCAGCATTCGGTGGGCATGCCTTCTGAGCCAACATACATCGCCAATGAGGATACTGGCTTGTATGCAGCGATTCCGGAAGTCGGCCTCCAACAGCCGTTCAATCCGCTCATGTCGGTACCACCGAACCTCTCTGGTGCGCACTACCCCTCCATGAACCGCCAATACCAGCCACAACAGGTATACTCCGTCCTGGAAGGGTCTCCCACCTACAAACAGCGACGCCGACGATCGAGTCTGACAAACAGTACAGTAACAGGTGTGACCACTACAGCATCCTCGTCCGGACATACGCACGCACATTCCGTCCATCGTCCAAGTGATCTGCGCCGATCTATGTCGACCTCAGTCCAGCCACAAGCTATTCCGGAAGGGCAAGAAATGTCGTACAATGATTCGCCTACAAGCATGCATACCACACAGCATCCCGGTTCCATGATGGGCGAGCACAGAGAGCTCATGAATCTGTCCCGTCACAGCACGCCATCGCACGCGGTGGAAGGAGCTCATGATGAGCAGCGCGCACATCGACAGATGAGCCATGTCCACAATGAGGATTACTCCAACTACAACCACAGTCCTAGTCAAGATTACCGGGCTCACCCTTCAATGCAACACCATGCTGTGCAGCGCACAGCGAATGGTGTCTTCCGCCGAGCACGGTCCGCCACCCTGAGCGAGATGACCCCTTATTGTCAGAAGAGCCATTCGTGCCCGATCCCAATGTGTGGACGCCTCTTCAAACGCTTAGAACACCTGAAGCGCCACGTCCGCACACACACCCAGGAACGACCTTATCTGTGCCCTTTGTGCAACAAGGCGTTCTCTAGATCGGACAACCTTGCGCAGCATCGTCGCACACACGAGACTAGCGCTGATGGTTCCGCCCCATCTGAAGAGGAAATGGAGGAAGAGCGTGATGCACTGCAAGACGCACACGATGAGCCAGACCCAATCGACGAGGCGTCCTACCAAGCGATCGCCATGACCACTGGCACGGAGTTGCCAGGCATGCCGACCCACGTCGATATGGGAATGGTTGCTCACAACGACATGGCCCCTCCACCTATGGTCACAACTGGTGCTGACTACCACCACTAAGAGGCGGCAATCACAGAGGCACTTTGCAAAGCGTACGGCGCTGTTCGATTCTGGCAGCATTCTTAACGAACTTTTGACACGGCAACAACTTTTACTACTGTGGTTTTTCCATTCAAAAAACTAGACCAAAGCTCCGCACTGCAGTTGAGAGGCTGCTTGAGGCGCCGCAGCTTGAGCGCTCGCGCCACGAATGTATGATGAAAGAAGAAGTCTTTACGGTCGACAACCACTTTTTTTCTCTTTTGAAATAACCTTTTTCGCCTATTTCTTTTCACGTCTTCGCACTTTTGAGAAGGCGCTGGGGAAATTGCAGATTTTATTTTGCCTCTTGGTCATCGGTGGCGCTTCATTCGTGTGTGTTTCGAGCGTGGCGAAGGTCTGGGGTCATTGGCACAGGCAGGCAGGCAACTGGGATACACTTTTGTGCGATTTGTTTGTTGGGCACTGGCACAGACTCTTTGGCATGATGGATCCACGGTATTTGGAAAAGCTTCATTGCTGTTGACAGCAGTTGCTACAATCTTGTCATAGTTGTTTGGTGCGCTACATAACAGCATTTATTTGCATGAATGTCCAACAATCTACAATGCTGTGCACGCATATCCGTCTCGAATCAATTTGCCCAGCAAGTTCCCGGCACCGTTCTTCACAAAAGCTGCAAGCGTACCCGGCCTACAACCTCGTACGCACACACCACGGATCCATGGTGGCATCATGCCATCACACACTTCTTCGCTCCTTCCCAGAGTCTACCTCCTCGCACGTGACTGAATCCTTTCATGATCGGCTATATGTGACGCCACAGAATTAGCTCTTAACATGAAACATGATCAAGGTGTTTCAACCTCCTCATTAGTTCGTTCGCGCCCACTTCTCCTGATGAGGCTGCATCAGGCCATCACTTGCCGTGCGAGCCCTCTCTGACCAAAAGGCGTTTCGAGGTCCGGCCGAGAGGGAGAGACGGCGATTAAGATGCTGCTAAGTATGGATGGCGTTGTTCGCTTTGCTAGCCTCTTATCAATTATAACTCACGGAGTCCTTGTCCCACTATTTGTTCAGCTTGCCTTGTTCTACGCATTGTTCCGCGGCCGTCGTATTCGCCTGCTATGGCTTCCGTCTCCGCGTTCGCGTGGCGTACGCATGGACATGAGGCTACTGTACTGTATGTGTGCGAGGCGCGAGGGAAGGAAAGGGAAGAAACGGCAGTTTCCTGCTTAATTCGCTTCTGCTATCATGCATTAAGCTGTGTCGTGCGCAGTAGTTCGATTCGACCTTCTGTGCATGACTCCTGTGGTTGTTGTGGCGTGCGATGCATGCATGTGCAGAATCGATCATGCCGGGTCGATTTTCTTGTTTCGCTTCCTTTGTTGTCATCGTGCAAATGGGAACTGGCGGATCAGTCATCGAAGTGCAAGGAAGTGTGAGCTAGCTTAAGCGATGTCTTGTTGAGGAGAGACTTTCTTTTTCGCCACTTGTGTGACGTTCGGGACTTGGTTGTCAGCCTGATTGCGGGACTTTTCTGCTCCTTGTATGTGGAGACTGCCAGGGAAGACTGGCTGAGCTGGTTGTACTGGACAGCTCTGTGTCCGTATCGATTATAGAATGGTGTGCTAATATTATCGATCGTGATGGTGGACACCAGTACCCATCCCCAGGATGGTAAAGCAGCGGGCTTAGTCGATGGCATCGGCTAGCATGATTCCCGGCGTCAGTACATGCTGCTATTGTCGGCTTCCTGGAGGTCGAGGCCTTCTTCCGGGAAGATCATCGCGTGTTTCACATTCGGTGTTGTCCCCGATCGTGCAGAAACCCGCATGCTGCATGCTACGGCTCATGCTATCTGCCGATAATAGGGGCAGCGCTGCCCACGTGCGTTAGTGTAGATGGTGGCAGTTGTGCTCCAGACATCCAGTCCCAGCTTTTCTGCGGAGACCACTAGGATCCGCACTGATCAGGTCCCGGGACGACATGTGAGCCTCTTTCAATCGACGCAGCGCCTGGACATTCTCACTGCTTTCTCAAGTTGATGGTGTTGGTCATTGCTGTATCGACTCTGCCATGCCTCGACCTTCTTATTGAGAGATGATTAGGTTGTTGTCAAAATGTCACCCCTTGTGCCCGACTCGCTCACATGGTCGAGCGTGATCGACCTGCAAAAAATGTCAGCTTGCCCTATCTCTCCCTGTACGATCGCAAAATACCGCTTTCAGCTGTCACGCTGATCTTTCACTGTGCCGGCTGACCCCATAATGCACTCCAAGAGCGACACCAAGGACTATACCCACGACCGCCAGGCCGACTATGACGGCGAGCAGCCATGAAGCGTTGCTCCTAGTCATCGTCGCCTCGTCCCGCGCGCGTTCCAGATCCTGATCTTGAGAAGCCGCGTAGAAGGCACTGCTGGGCTGCAGACCGAAAGGAGCCTCGGGAATTCGCTCCAGCGAGCTGAAAAACTGATTCTTCAGCACCGGACGAATAGCATCGGGATCTCTGGTATCAGAAGCCATTGTGCAAGCAGACGAATCTGCTCATCTGGAAAAAGTGCGCTTGGACACACAATTATATGCCAGAGCTGAGCCAGCGCATCGAGAAAGTCGTTTCTACCCGTCCGCCATTCACGAGCACTGACGTTTTGCGTAGCACAAGGGCTGAATAGCTTCTCGGTTGGGTGGGACAGTTTATCGTTCCGGAAAGCCACGTACCGGGGGCAAGCGCAGCAATCGCACTGTGATCATGTTGTCGAGCCACGTGAAAGTCAGGCATAAACACGAGGTCAGCACGAGAATGCCGATCATGGCGTTCGATAAAGCAGTTCGTGGCCTTCCCTTACGAGGAAGACATCGCACCACCCCTACCGCACGTCACTGGTGGCAGTGGCAGATAGCGAAGACCCCATAGGCTATGGCTGGACCAGCCTTCGATCCGATGTGACGTGTGAGGCCTTTTGTTGGAGCATCAGGATTAGTTACAATTTGGCGACCTGAGAATCCACACAGACAACTATGTGGCGATCATGCGCCTCGAGGTGTTGCAGAGCTCGCGTTTGCGACGAGCCTCTCATTCCAGGTCATCCAGCTGAGTCACGAATATCTGTCAGCGCATCTCAATCCGAGTGTGATAGTCCGGTCGACTTGGAAGTGTGTGTTGAAAGAACATGTCGGACGCTATGCGGATCATCAATGGGGGGTCAGCATTTGAAGACGTGGTCGGCTTTCATAGTTTGAATTGCAGAGGTCCGTCGAATGCGGCAGACAGAACCACTCGATCCTATAAGTGTCAGTTCTCCTTTGCTTCTGGAAAGGAGTGAAGTTATGTCCTGTCCCATGAAATGTAAATGTGCTGTTGACCTTCTATATTGACTGCGTGTCCGACACAGTGAAGCTTGATGTGCACACAGCAGCAGTCTCATACGGTCGCTGAGATTGAGAGCGCATGTCGGCACTGTATGTGAGACGCGTGTGGTTGTGTTGGGAAAGAGGTCGCTGGGGTCTGCGCCTTACGTGATCATGGTGCCAAGGCCGCTAAGCTCTATGCAGCACTAGCGTGCACGAAGTCGAATATTCCCAGCAGCAACACCACCACCTCTCACTTTTCGCTCCTTAGTTGCACGACGCATACATCGCCCAACGACCGATACAATGGCACCAAAGGCAGCAATCAAGGGCAGTAAGTGGTATACGAGAGGCACTGAGCGCGATCGCGACACTGCGCGATCGCAAAAGCACCTCGAAATTGCGTTCCGTCGATAGTCAGAGAACTGACAATATTTCGCAGAGTCCAGCAAGCCATCTGCAAAGGCTTCGGCCGCCGCAAAGGCTACGCTGCGCGGAGTAAGCATCTCCAAATCACCTTGAGGCGTGTCAGAGCTCCCATCATCTGACGGCTTGTTTTCACAACAGGTCAACTCGCACAAGGTCACCAAAGTCCGAAAGAGCACCACCTTCCACCAGCCAAAGACCCTCACGCTCTCGCGTGCGCCAAAATACCCACGCCGATCGATCCCACGCCAGCCTCGCCTCGATGCCGGCAAGGTCATCATCCACCCTCTCAACACTGAGAGCGCGATGAAGAAGATCGAGGAGAACAACACCCTCGTCTTCATTGTGGACGTCAAGGCCAACAAGAGGCAAATCAAGGAGGCTCTTAAGAAGCTTTACGACGTGGATACCGTCAAGATCAACACCATGATCCGGTAGGTTGCTATGCGCGCCCATGGATGAGATAGGAGCCATGCGCTAACGAGTGAACAGACCAGACGGCTCCAAGAAGGCTTTCGCCCGCCTGACCGCTGATGTCGACGCCCTCGACATTGCTGCCACCAAGCTTGCCATCGTCTAAGCTGGTGTAAAATCAAAAGCGATGCTTGCATTCGGCACTGGCGTTTGAGCAGAGCTCTTGGAAACGAGCAGAACGGTATCGGCGTTCATTTGAGATGACCTGGTTCGGGGAATATCGAGGAAAGCCAATGCGCTTCCCTCTGGAAGAGCGTAGTATACAGCTACTGTACAAGCGCCATGCGATCAAGCTTTCGCACCACCATATATGAGTTCATGATACCCATTTGCTGTTCATGTCCTGTCTTCATCTTCCGCATCCTCTTAGTGTGTTTATTATGCCTCAAGCCGCTGCCATGCGACTCTGGATCTCGCATCCATGGCGCATCTATTGCGCTCTATACATGTTGTACAATCCATCTTTCATTCGTGCCCCACAGCTCATCATCGAGGGCCTCCCCTGTAATAGTGGATGCAGTGTTTCCAATCGTGCGGGTCTTTATCGTTGCATTTTCTGAATGTGCTCTACGACCGCCTGGCTGGCGTCCATGAATCTGTCAACGCAGTTGCGCATGCAAGGCTCTTCATATCGGTCCAGCCCGCCTTGTGAGATTTTGGACGTGATGCATTTCTTGAAACAACGATCTAGCGCAAGTCAGATATGCATATCACGCGAATGCGCGAAGCGAAAGAAGTACCTGTCAGGTCGTGCACCATGTTCTGGATGTTTGCCTTTTGGCTCTCGCCCTGGATAAACTGGTGCAGGTCCTTCTTATCCTTGTCGGACAGGTTGTTGGCCAAATCGGGGTTGATGGAGAGGTTGTCCATGGTGGATCGTGTGTTGTGTATCGGTGAGAGCTGATGAACAACAATGGTCGACACGGGGAGCTCTGCGCCATCCGGTCACGACAAGAGTCTGCAAGCGCGTGGACCCTGTCGTCGGTGTTGCGCATGGGCCAATCCCGGCTTGGAGAAGGTGCGGGACTTCAAAACTTCCATTCACTCTCAACGACATCTCAATCCACCAACCTGTCCCCTCAACTCGCCGCTTCGCGCAGCTGCACCGATCGGCACACCGTCACTCGTTGGTCCAACTGCTCCGCCCAACGTCATGTCGCGAGATATCAATAACAGCAAGGCCCAGCCGCCTGCGCCGTAAGTTTTCTCTTCTGTTGACACCAAACCTTGCACACACCGCAAACACCTCGCCCGCCGCGCTGCTCGACACCGCCCCACCACTCGCTCGCACCGCACCACCCACCATACTGACACCATGGATACCAGAACGCCGCAGAATACCCCCGCCAACAATGCCCCTATCTCATCGCACGCTCAGGCACCCAACCTTACGAGCCTGAAGGAAGGTACGCTGCAGCAAGCTTTTCACAGTCGCCACCGGGCACAGAGTCTGATTTTGTTCGTGTGTAGAGGACCTTGACCGCGCAGCAGCCGCATCCATCTTCGCTCAGAACCCTCGTCTGGTCTCGATGATGCAGAACAAGCTGTCTGGCCTGATTGGCAAGTCGAGTGGGTACGTCGAGTCACTGCCAGCGCCAGTGCGAAGACGTGTCGCTGGTCTCAAGGGCGTGCAGAAAGAGCACTCCAAGCTTGAGGCGCAGTTCCAGGAGGAGGTTCTCGAGCTCGAGAAGAAGTTCTTCGCCAAGTTTACCCCACTGTACGAGAAGCGTGCGAAGATCATCAACGGCGAGGCCGAGCCCACTGATGCCGAAGTCGAGGCCGGCGAGGAAGACGACGAGGAAGATGAAGAGGCGGAAGAAGCCAAGGCAGAGGCAGACAAGAACGCTCAGGGTGCAGATGCTGCAAAGGGTATCCCAGAGTTCTGGCTGAGCTCGATGAAGAACTCATCGCTTGCCGAGACCATTACCGACCGCGACGAGGAAGCACTCAAGTTCCTCACTGACATCCGCATGGAGTACCTCGATCGCCCTGGCTTCCGCTTGATCTTCGAGTTCTCCGAGAACCCATTCTTCAGCAACAAGACCTTGTCCAAGACATACTACTATCAAGAAGAGAACGGCTACGGTGGTGATTTCATCTACGACCATGCCGAGGGCGACAAGATCGACTGGAAGGCCGGTCAGGACTTGACGGTCAAGGTAGAGAGCAAGAAGCAGAGGAACAAGAGTAAGCGCCACGCAATCCGCGGCATTACTGAGGCCAAGCTGACCATATGACGCAGACACCAAGCAGACCCGCATTGTCAAGAAGACGATTCCAACACCATCATTCTTCGACTTCTTCAACCCCGCAGTGCCTCCGGCTGACGATGACGAGGAGATCGACGACGACATCGAAGCCAAGCTTGAGCTCGACTACCAGCTCGGCGAGGACATCAAGGAGAAGCTTATCCCACGTGCGATTGACTGGTTCACTGGTGAGGCTCTTCAATTCGAGCAAGGCTTCGATGACTTCGACGAGGACGACTTCGAAGACGAGGACGATGAGGATGAGGACGAGGATGACCGCGACGAGGATGATGAGGACGAGGACGAAGATGAGGTATGATGGCATGTCGACTCAAAGACCTCGAAACCACAAGTACTAACATGACTGTAGGAGGAGGGTGGCAAGCCAAAGCAGGAGGCTGCTGAGTGCAAACAGAGCTAAATGATTAGACCCTGATATGCACTGAGCGTGCGTCTCAATGGCGCCGGCAGTCATGAGATACCCTCGACTTGCATCACATCACACTGGAAGTGCTCCAATCTGGCATCAGACTCGATAGCGATAGATCTCCTCATTCGGGCGGCGGCGGCGGCTACTTGTACAGTTTTGCACCGACACACGTGGAGATCTACCTCCCCTTACGCCGCCATGACGAGAAACCAACCATCACGTTCCTTATGAATTTGTCCACGTTGACAAGACACCGCGCACACAAACCTCCTTTGCATCGACAGGCGTTTAATCTGATTAGCAGTCTCTTTGCTTTTCTTGTTGCTTCTTGCGCGCCTCCACCGACCATCACCGATACCACCACCGAACGACAAATCACCAAAATATATCTTAATCAACAACACACACCAACAAACCTCTGCGAAACAGTGGCAGTGGCGCCTGACCGTATGCTATGAATGACGACGACCTCTTTTGATCAGAGTTTGAAGTGAACTGGGAAGACGGCGTAACTGGCGGTGGAACTTTCAACGGAATTGCAGGGAAGCGAATGGGCGCACAAATGAGAATCGAGTCCTGAAGTCTGTCTGCGATGCTTCTCCTGACGACGACCATTGTTGCTACTGCTACTGCTGTTTTCTGTCGAGTATGCAGGTGTTCCAAGTGGAGAAAGGAGAAGAAAGGGCAGGTAGATAGCGTCCGGCTCGGGTTTCTGAAATTTGCATGTTTTCATACTCTGCTCAAAAGTTTCTTGCGTATCTATTGTGATTTACGCAATCATGTGTGAAATATGCGTCTCGCGATGTACTTCCTAGTCATTTGCGCCATTTGTCCCGCCCGCTATCGCCTTGATGGGTATGTATGATCGTGAATGCATTTGATACAAGAATCTTGCGTTTGTGCCAGTTGTAAATCAATGCTAATGCTCACGTGTGCTGCAAGAGAACACATCCTGATGAGTCTTCCCTCGGAGAAGCACTTTGGCCGTGACTAATGTTTCCAAGAGGAAGGCTGAAATCGGGCAAGTCGAATGCATGCCATTACTCCTCTTCGAAGAAGATCGCAGTGATGCTCCAGCGGTGCTGTTGAATGAAATTTTCCACCTTCGAGATGGGGGTCAGAATTGCTCAAGTCTCTGGCTTCAACTCGACGTGAAAGTTGTTCATGCCCGGTCCATCTCGGACTTTGAGCTTCTTGAAGTTCTGCTCACGCGGAGGAGCTGGCTTGTCGCGTAGCTGCCAGAGGTAGTAGACTAGCTTGGAGCTTGTCTTGCGCTCGAGCAGGGCATAGCCCAGAGAAGCCATGATGAGAGTGAGACGTTCGTCGTTGAAGTACCTGCTGTTGAGCACACATGAAGCCGGCAGGACGAGGAAGAGGGTCGAGCGGTAGTTCGTCAGAGAAGTAGGGAGGGCGCTCTCGTCTGTTGCAGTTATCGTTCGAATGGGTGATGAGGAGAAAGTCTCTGACGATGCCTCTGAGGACATTCCATCGGAGTCGTCCTCTACCTGCCGCTGCCGCAGGAATTCGGTCGTCCGCCGCAACATTTCTCCTCTCTCTGCAGCCGAAGGTACGAAGTTCAACACCAGACTCAGCGAGATCACATCGAATTTCTCCTCGTCAGCTTCCAATGAGGTGCTAGAAGGCAGCGGTCTCTGCATGAAATCCTGCTGCAAGATACCCGGTGCCTGAGAATTGAGATCGATCCGAGTGATCTCGAAACATCCAGACTTCGAACACGCGTTCTTGGTACTCAGAGCTCCGACCTCAAGCATCTTGAACTTTGGACGCAGCTCACTGAGATCGCGCTTCACGGAGTCGAGCCACTTCATCAAGACCAGAGAGGAATCCCCGCCACGGTCGGCAGACTGGCCTTGGATTGAAGCGGCTTGGTAGGCTTTAATTCCGCCGAGAGCATGGAGCTGAGATTCAATGATGGTTGCTAATGTGGTGTTCTTCTTGGCTTTGGCGGCTGCGAGGTCTTTTTGAAGTTGGTGGAAAGTAACGATGGTCTTCTGGGTGGCTTTGGAGGACATCTTCTTCTGGTTGGTTTTCTTGGCGAGGGGTGGGCGGCCGGCCTTGAGGATTGCCTCGCGCTTCTGCTTGTTGCGTTGGATGGCCATGGCTGTGACTCAGGCGCTGTTGTCTATCTGCGTGTGCTTGGAACACGAGTTTGGTGGGTTTGAATCTCTTTGAGCTTGTTGGGGTCTCCTCTCGCGACGAGTGTAAGTTACGTCAAGGGTAGTCGTATATCAGTAAGATATGACAGGTGCACGACCACATGCAAGAGCTGCTGCCTGCGGAAGTCATGTTGAAGAGTGGGTCATTGCTATTTCTTCACTTGAAGTCGTCAAGTGAAGAAGGTGTCCTGGTTGCAAGTAAGGCCAGAAAATTGGCAGCTGTGATATGTGCTAAGAACTACGCAGCCGGTATGCACACTTCATCATACTTTCCTCCACTTGCACTCCATACCTCAACCCGTATTTGAACAATGCACCACCATCGTCACAGATCATCAAATCGGACAAAATCACATCGTGCACATCCATGATGCTTTTCGATTTGCTTGTGCTACGCACCGGAAGAGGCTGGTGCTACGGCTGCCGCCTCTTGGCCCTGCGCCGAGAAGTCTTGAATAGCTTCGAGCCTATAAGGATCATCGAGGCTCAATATTTAGAATGCATCCATTTGGCATCGCGCCATCCTCAGGAAGCATGAGATGATGTAGGGACGTCAGAGGCTCAGAATGAAGATAAGTCTGTCTTCTTGCTCGGCTCGAGTTTTCGTTGTTCACAATTTATTCGTACGCTTTGCAAGATGAAGCTCTCCGTGCTGCTGACGGTGCTTAGCGCGGCCTTTGGGCAAGCTCAATACGATGGCGATGTCGTAGCATATTGGCAAGTTGCAGTTTCTTCTGGGATCAGATTGGCCAGCTAATTGAATGTAGGGTTGATCAATCATCTTCCCTGGCGAATAACAGTCTGATCGGAGGTCTTCAATCTCCTCCCTCTGGCTGGTTTACTGCCATCGTGCACGCCTCAGTCTACGTCGCAGCTTTGCAAAGTCGTGATGAAGAGCTAGCATTCCAGCAACTGGCTGTCAGTCATGCAGCTCACAATGCATTGACATGGACTTTCCACGGCACACGCAACTTCGCCAACATTTATGATAAGATGTCAAATATCACTGCTCGGATCGGCATCAATCACACAAGTGATGATTACAGAAGAGCTGCAGAAATCGGCCAGGCTGCTGCTCTCAGAGTGACCACAGCACGACAAGGCGATCTTCTCGATAACTTCGTTCAGTATGTCTATGGACCAGAGGAACCAGGTGTCTATCAACGCACTCCAGGAGGTCTCACGGCTCCTGACACACCTCAAGCCCGCTATCTTCGTACCTTCGGCGGCATTGGCAACATCACACGCTTTCGTGCCCCTCCACCACCAGCAATCGACTCCGAAGAATACGAAGGCATCCTCAACTACGTCAAAGCCCAAGGCGAACAAAACTCCACCGAGCGCACAGAATACAACACCGAAACCGCCTACTTCTGGCGTGAATCCTCTCCCATCATCTGGAGTAGATTCGCCTACAACGTTCTCGCAAACAGATACGCCACCGACGTTCTCAGCTCAGCTAAATTCGCAGCACAACTCAATTACGCCTTGGCGAACGCCGCGATCGCCGGCTGGGATTCCAAATCTTTCTATAATGCTTGGAGGCCTGTGACTGCTATTCGTCGAACAGATGTTTGGTTGCCAAGTGGTAATAATGTTTCGGATCCGGAATGGACGCCTCTGCTGAGTCCTACGCCAAATCACCAGGAGTATACTTCCACGCATGCGTGTTTTGGGGCTGCTGCGGCGGCTGTGATCAAGGCGTGGAATAATGGGTCTGATACGATCGATACGCTGCTTAGTACGAATGCTACTGGGCGTGGAGTGATTCAGAGGCGATACACAAGTTTGCAGCAGGCTGTGAAGGATAATGGAGATAGTCGAATCTTTGGGGGCGTAAGTTTTGCTTCAAAGTGTTTGTTGGCTACAGGACGGCGTGCTGACTCACTTCTAGATCCATTTCCAGTTCGCGTCAGACGTCGGATCTGTTGTCGGAAACGATGTCGGAGAGGCTACATTGAAAGTGTTTGATGACAGGTGGTGGGAGTTCTAAATTGAGGACAAGAAACGAGCATGATAACGAAGTCGCCGGTCATGGCGCATTTTCACAAGCTACAGCAGCTACACTGTACTACGAAGCGACATCTTGCATGTCAGTCCATGCTGTCTGCATTCGCATTTTATCCCAAAAGTGGTCTCCAAAACGCCTGCGCTATGCTGTTGCCCCAGTCTATGTGCACAGGCCCAAAATGCAGAGTCATCAGTTCATCCGTGGTAGGTATCATGGCATTCGCAAATCGTTCATCGCATTACACCCCTCATTTCTTCTTTCGCAGTGTGTTGCCTTGACCCTCGAAATTCTGCTTCTTGCTCTGCTCTTCTTCGCTCTGCTGCCCGTCCTTGTTCGGCACCGGCTTGATCTCGTAGCCAAAGAAGAGCTTGTTGGGTGGGAGACGAAGTGGTTGCGGTCCGTTGCGGTGCTTCGTGGATCTCGGGGCCATGCCCGGAATCGCGACTCCGCCTCCAGCGTTCGAAATCGGCGTGCTTGTTCCCGGGGTCGACGCAGGTGTCGCTGCTGTGCCTTTGCCCTTCTTCGCGACCAATCTCTGCCCCGCACCACTGAAATGTGAGCTCGCCTTCTCGTGGCCCTTTGCTGCTTGATCTGAATCTGGCTTGATGGCGTTGTAGTTGATCGCTTGCGCCATGCTGCCTTGCACATGCATGCCTCCGCCCATTTGTCCCATCTTCGAGTTGATGCTGTGTGGCGTGCTCGTTCCGCTGAGCTTTGGCTCTTCATATCCGATAGGTGGCGCGAAGTCGACCTCCAAATCCGTCTCTTGTACACTGATTGCGGTCTTGTCATTCTCTGGCTTCACCTCCAATACTGCGATTTCGTAGACAGTGTCGTTGTAGCTGAAAGTGAAGACGTCGCCTTTGCTCATACAGCTGAAGCCACGGAATGCCTGTTCTAGCACGGCTTTCGGGTCGGAGATGTCGAGGAAGTTGATGGATTGTGGTTGAAGCTTGATGAAGCGTCCAGGCGGCAGACTCGTGCTCTTGGTCTGAATCAGGTCGCCCGGCTCCAGCATGAGTGTCTGCATCATCCAGAAGGGAAGATAGCATCGACCCTCTTCCGCTGTGAACTCGAGTACACCAGCATGTGTTTTTGTCTCTTTTGAGCCGTTGATCAGCTCGAAGAGCATAGGATATTCGATGTGGAGTTGCGTGAGTTTGTCGAGAGCTGAGGCTGGTAGGAACATTTTGCCGCCGTGGTTGGCGGCGTCGCGCTCAGGACCAGGCATCATGGCGATAGGATAGCAGCGGTAGTATTCGTCGAAGCGGCGAGGGCGCCCGCCAACGCCACGGCCCATGACGCCGGCGCGGTACATTGCGAGGGGATCGTTGTTGTCGTAATAGTACGACATGTCTGTTGTGCGAGGGAGTGTATGCAGGACAGGCTGCTGACGAGCGGGTTTGCTGCGGTTTTATCGCAGGCAAAGCTTTTGGGGTTGAGGTCTGGAGGAGAAAGACTTTGTAGGTTAAGTACAAAGGTAAAGGGCTACGAGGCTTTGAGGACAGAAGAAAGCCTTAGTCAGGCATACAAAGGTGAATAGGTACGGAAGCTCGCGACTGGCGCGTGAAGTGACCGCATGTGAGAGACTCGAGCTCGGAGCTATGACGGACATCTCTTCTCTTGGCATCCTGATCAAGCGCCGACGACCGCTTTTTCGACCTCCCTTTGCCAACACGAAAGCCGCTCCTTCAACCAGTCCACCTTCGGCTTGGACGACGACGACTGCGAGACTGTTCTTCCCATTCATCGTAAAGCAGATGATGGCCATTACACGCTTGATGTGCCCCTCCTTGTGGGCACCGCACAAGCACTTGCGGAGCACCGCCTTTTGAGGCGGCATCTTGCCTCGGACAAGTGGCTCGCTGCTGTCACACGCTCGTCGTCGCGGCCTCTGGATACCGTGCGATAGACTCGTGATCAAGGCGGGTGTGCGTCACGTCCACTGCATGCTCTATCAAGGACAGCATCTTGCTCACCAGAGTGGTCTGGAACACCTGGACCAGAGCACGAAGTACTGCAATCACGTCAATGTTCGCCCAGACAGCTACTGTTTCCTATACTTGCAAAGGCTATCGAGACTCGCCACAGCTATCCGGCTTCTTCCACAGTATCGTGGGTCTCTGCATTCAGGATACGACTTGCCCCGTGGCTCGTAAGTTCTCCGCAGATGTGGATCTCAAGGCCAGCTAATTTGCGTTCTGTCACAGAGTCAAGCCCTATGCGACAGAGTCAAGCAGACGCCAAAACTCCATCACACACATGCAATCAACTGTGTTGTTGGTATGTAGTGGATTTGTCACAGCGCTGGAGAATTGATCATTACGATTTAGTTCGCTGGAGTCTGGCCGTACGGCATACCACTCGCGTTCGCCAAACAACCTCTAGAAGGAACATGGCCGCCTGCATTACCTGTTTTCGCCTTCAAGCCCAGTGAGCGTGATCAGATTCCACTATCTACAGTGCGCAACAACGCCATGGAACACCCTTGCATGTGCTCGAAATTCGACTCTGCCAAGCTCTAACTTAGTAGGCTAAAACAAACACTACTTGCCACAGCTACAACAGATACCCTGCATACCTATCTAAACGGTGAGAGACGTTGCCAGTTGGTCCCTGTCACAGCGTGCCTATTGCAGCAAGATAGGAGGAAACTGTTCGGTCCTTAATGCAACCGCTCTCACACTTGCCTAGCCGAAGCGCGACATGTGTGGCAACAGCAGCATACATATACATTGTGACTGACCCCATTGCATTGCACTCCATCCAGCACAAACCCATTCTACACTACAGACTTCCGCTCGCTTCATTCCAGATTCATCACGACATAGTACGCATCCTACACCACAATCAAGGACTATACTGAAAGACCGAATCAACCATGCGCGGCCCCGTCTTCGCTCTCTGTGGCTTTCTAGCCTTTGCGTTCGCTGCCCCTCAGCCACAGGGCAACAACGCCAACGCTGCACACAGTGGCAACAACATGAACGGCAACAACGGCGGCTCCTCTGGAAACAATGACGCCCTAGCTGCCAAGCCGCAGCAGTGCGCTGGTCCAAATGGTCAACCATGCATGGACAACGCCGCAGCCCAACGAGTCGCCGAGAATTTCCGCACCCTGATCACCAACTACTCCAATGAATCCGCCGCAGCTTTCCTCTCGCCAGACTTCGTCGACTACTCCGATGGCGTCAACTTTCTGATCAATAAAGGCTGCCCACAGGGACCAGAAATCCTCGGCCAACCAACTTTCACATCCCTTGAAGACTTCCAGGCTGGTCAAGGCTCTCAGGCGAACATTCCTTTCACGATTCTCAACGTCTGGCACAACTGCGACTCCGTCACCATGCGGTGGATGACACCAGAGCCGGCAACAAATGTGCAGCCACCTCAGCCTGTCACTGGTATTGTCGTCATGGAAGTCTGTCAAAATGGCGGCCAGGAGCCATGGATCATCAGCACTGTCTACTCGGAGTTCAACTCTGGCGCCTGGCTTTACAGCTTGGGAGAATTCCAGCCACAGTGCTCAAATTAGATATCGTTCGCTGGTCACTAGAGACGGAAAGTGGCAGTTACACCTTGCTAAAGACGCGACGACTTTGAATGTCGACAAAACAGGAGCATGATGCGATGGGATGCAGCGAGCTTTTGGGAACAGAGGTTGCGGTTTCACACGAGAAATGGTTGATAGGATTGATAATAGCTAGGGAAGACAATGCAGAATGCTATCGTGAACAGACTGCAAGCTTTCCTCTGAGTTTGGACCCTCTCTGTCTGCGACACTGGGTGACGTCTTGGCGTTTCCGTCAAGGTGAAGTTGACTTTTGTGACAGGGATCATTCTGGAATCTGGCTGATCGACACAAAACACAGGTGGGGCAGAAGACTTTCTGCTGCTGTCTCATTTCGATTGGCTTTGTCGGTCGACTATTTTCGACAAGGCTTCACACTCGTACAGTCTGGCTGCATTGTTCGGGGACGTGCGGACGGGTGTCTGCAGTGCTCACAGACATGCGTATGCGCCTTCCCGCTTCTCACGGCCTTCTCAGTCTCTGCATTATGTCACAGTGTCCTCAAAATGCTTCGCCACTGCACGCAAGTGAGACGTCAGCTAGTTCGAGACAAGAAAACGCAGCAACAAAGCAGAGCGAACAGAGTGTGCAAGTATGTTGCAATACTCATGGCTCGTTGACAGCATACTCTCTTTGATTTTCAAGCAATCAGTCTCTACCCGAGACTCCTGCATGGCGCCAAAGCATGCAAATCTCGAGAAGATCCAAGATCCGTGGCTCTTGGGTCAAGACATCTACTAGACATGGCGTGCATGGCAAAGCCGTGCTCTGAGAATGGTTCTATCAGCGGCGATATTTAAGGGTTGCTTCTCACGTCTGATGTTGTTGTTCATACAATGCAACAAGAGCAAGTTCAACAGCGTCACCAGACCTCAAGCACACCAACTACCACCTACTCGCAAAAGCACGCTGCTCAGAAGCAAATCAAAAGCTGCTCACGCCGACTTCCTCAAAACACAAGTCTCATCATCAGCAAAATGCTTCCAATCCTCCCAATTCTCGCAACAATTCTGCAAGCCATTCTCTCCACCGCCATCATCTCCATCCTTGCAACCGTCAAATTCCTTGTCGGATTCTTCATGTCAAGCTTCACCACTGGCCTGACGCTCCTCTTGCTCAACAAACTTCTACCACGCGGCCAAGAGTACAATGCCAAATTTGGAGCCAGCAAAGAAGCCGCCAACAAGCTCAAATTCTGCATCGAAACGCTCCGACTTCTTTTCGGGAGCATTTTCTTGATGAACATGTTTGCTGTATGGGTCCGTGGTGATGCATTCGGTGGGAGTCCGGTCGAAATTGCAGTCGGGAGAAGTGTGAAGTTCGTGGTGATGGTATGTTTTGGTTCAGTGGTGCTGGCTGCATTGTGGAGATTGTTTGCGATTCGTGCTGTGGAAGACAGGCAGCAGGTCGGAAAGCAAGTGGTGGAAGGGGCTGAGATAGACGAGGAAGCAAGTGAGCATCATATGGATGGCTCGGATCATGGAGAGTCTGTCCATGACGGTGAGGTCGGACAAGAGCTTGAGATTCAGAAAGAGGAACTTACAAATGAGGGCAGATAAGGACATCGACTTCGCTCGCTGAGGAAGGGGGATCTGTGCGCGTCAAGATTGGGGATGATTTACGAAATGCTGTTCGGGCTTTGTAAGGCATGGAGATGTTATGATTCGTACCTAGCTTTCAAACTGGATTTGAGAGAGGCATCATGCCGGGGATGGATATGAGGCGTTGGGCGTACTGTAATATAAGTGTGGAATTGGACAATATTGACATGTTGAATTTTCACTGTTGCACTTGACATAGCAGTCATGACTGGTGCAATCGGGCCTTGCCCCTCACAAGAGTTTCGAGTACTTCCCCGCTTGCATACGTGAAGTCCTCTCGCTGAAGCAGAAATGGCGCCCAAGATGTTGTTGAAGCAGTCCATTGTCACAGTGCTCACTGAGCATCAAGTTTACATGGGGCTACGAATGGAAAGATGCGAAAGTCATTGTTCAGCAATTCAATTCAATGCGTTGAGTCTATCCTATCGTCGTCTACCTTGAAAAGGCATGCTGCAGAGGGAACCCGAATTCATTCATCAACCTCTTGCGCCAAATCTCAAATCAGAAACAAAATGACGCGCCTAGTCCATTCTCATTTGCCCGACGTGGCGCTTGTGCCCCTTTCCGTGTTGTCCGCGCTTAGCCTTCCTCCTCATGATCTGTCCGTTGACACAGTGTGTGCCTGGCGCGACAGCCTGGGGAATGGCGCAACCTTCGATGTCACAGATGCCGAAGTGCTCGGCATCTACGCAGACCATGGCGCCAGGGGTGGAGCATTGGACTTCGCCTTCGAGACACTTGCCGGAGCTGACTGTCGGAGCGGGTACGGCTGGAGCTGGTGTCGCTGGCGGGGGTGCTTGAGTCGAAGAAGCGGGTGCTTGAGGTGCAGGAGACTCAGGAGATGGTACTGGTACTGGTGCAACGAATGGTGATGGCGAAGCTTGAGAGCTGCCGGAGCCTCCTGCAGCGCACCCAGGTCCTGTAGGTACAGCGAGTGGGTATGTTCCGCCCTCGGTCTTCGTTGTGACGTACTTGCCTGGGTTTGGAAATTTGACGTTAAAGTTCTCGGTCGTTGGGCATTCTCCAATTCCGGCTTGATTGGCGACGAAGAGTTGTGGGAAGCTTTCGACTTCTGATCCGTCTCCTCCAGTGAATTCGACGTTTGCACAGTTCATGTACATCTCGCGGTTTCCGACGTTGTTGAACCATGTCCAGGCCATGATGGCGTGTCCATCCTTGACACCTTTGGGAACCGTGAATGGGAACTCGTTTACACAAGCGGTATCCGTGCTTCCCTCAGTACATTCGACGGCGTTTGCCAGATTGCCAGCGGCATCGGTCGGACAGCCTCCCTCGATCGAGTAGATCACGTGCCAGTTGGCCGGATCCTTTTGCTTCGCCGGATCTGTTTCGTACGTGATGGAGAGCTGACAGGAACCTCCTCCGTGTACAGCGGTGTTCGCGCCGCCACCGAGGTTGAAGGCCAGCTTCTGGGTGGATCCTGCCTCCATCTTCTGACCTCCCGAAGCTGGGAGCACTGCACCTTGGCAGGGGAATTGTACGCCTGACGGGTCAAGCGGGGATTTCGAGTCGGTTCCTTCAATTGGTTGAGGCGAAAGAATGAACATGTGTGCTCGAGATGTGGCGAGCGTTGCAGCAAGAGCTGCGAGGAATTGTGTTGCGAGCATGGTGTCGGTCTGTTGTTGTGTTGCTCGAGCGTGTTTTGCGAAGTTGCGTTTGGTTTAAGTGGCGGACTGGAGTGCGAAGAAGTGCCAGTTTTGTATGTTGCGAGCGTAAAGATGCGCCAGTGAATGTGCCAGAAACTGTCCTGAATGCTTTTCTAGTCAAGAACAATAGTATTGTCGAGCCCTGTCACTATTGTGCCAGATTTTCAGGTCTTGCAGTTACTGTCTTTAGGCAGCTGTGCGCTTGGCGCTGGCAAAAGTGATTCTGCGTTGTGCAATGCACAACACGAATTTTGTTGGGCTATCCAGTCAGTTCTTTCTGCCGAGACAACGTTCTGTCAAACACGTGAGCTGGGTCTGGGAGAGTGCGTTTATGAGGTCTTTGAAAGATGAACAAAGAAGTTCAACCGAATGCGGCTGTCAATGCCCCCGAGACAACACGCCGCTGGCAGAGCGCTCTCGAGTGCAACAACTTCATCTCGAGACAAATCAGCAGCAGCTTGGTCGCGTAACAAGTCGAAGTGACGGGCGCTGTCATCGTTCGCGCGTGTCGAATGAAGTTCAGCTGTAGGCTGTAGCATCAGCAATCTGTCTGGCAAGAAAAACAAAGAGCTCCAAACTGATGTCCCGCAATCGCACGGCATCGCTTTACCAGAGATAGCCCATTGTCTTGAAGCTGCCAGCCAGGTCACTGGCAGTCGGCAGCACATCCAAGGCCACTCCTTGTCCCAGACCATGCACCAGTCTTTACCAAGCTCCTAGACAAGTCGCTTTTCGGTAGTTCGACCATGTGGAGGGAGCCGAGTCATTGTTGCGGTCCCTTTGAAGCTCGTCGGGAACCGCAATTCTCCTCGATGAGATTGAAATCCATTCCCTTGTTGGAGCTTTGCACTGCCTCCGCTACTGAGCCTCCGGGCCTTCAAAACGGCATCTTTCAACACAATCGCGCGCGCAGTCTGTCGCGTGTCGAAGCTCGAGACACTGTGCGGTGCTCGTGTGAGGCCTGGAAACTGATCACCATCTGAACTGTTCATGGACTCGGCGTAGCGCGTGCTGCATCTTCATGCCGTCCGCGCTTCACACACAATTAATGAGTCGACGTCGTGTCGCTGTGTCGCGCACCAGATGCGAGTCCGTGAACGGACGATGATGTTGGCAACTTGGCAACGCGCGTTGTACACGTTCTCAAGCTCAATGTCTTGGCGTGAGCTTCACTTCACGTCAGCTGCTTCTGCTTTACGTTGGTGCACTCGCAATCGGCTACACAGGTTCAATTCATATCGTTTCCACCCACAATTTCTACTCATCCGACAGGACGAGCCACCGCATTCGCTATGCCAATCTGGTCGACGCTGATGAGTTGCGTCAAGGCGCGCAACTCGATGTCGTGTCCGGTACTTTCTACTCCCAAAGCTCTCGGTCGGCTACTCGACACAGCCGTTACTATGCAGTGAATTGCTCCTTCAAGAAGCTTCGCGTCCACGTAGAATGATCAAGACGATGACCAAACCCGGCTGCTTCTGCAGTGCATGGAAGGCCTGGCGTTGTCCATGGTTCTACATTCAGCTCACGATGAGATACTCACCTGGGCCGACAAAGGCCAGCCCAAGAACACTATGGGCACTTAGCTTGTCACGGATCAACATTCGCAGTAGGTTCGGATGTGTAACTGATCATACTTCTATCAACGTCTACATGATAATTCACTCGCGTGCAGAATCAGAATAGTAGCAAAGCCTGCTCTTTGTGGCGCAGGCACAAGCAAACGCCATCTTGATATACCTATGTATCACGAGATGAAAGAGTGTCTCCTCTCCAACACCGAACTTGGCTGTGGCACTGCCTGCCAGTCAAAGCAGCTCTGGAACACCTCGACCCACAGCTCATCACGAACACGCTTTCATAAGCCCACAACTTTCACTTTCACAATCAGTAACTCTCGATTGCCCACTATGGTCACGACACTGCACGACTTGGGTATTTCAATCAATGAGTGGGAAGATAACCGCTTGATGCGGGGGTTCCCAAATTCCTTGACCATCACTCAGTCCTTCAAGGCCCGGTTGGTGCCAGACCAAGTCGAAGTTCCGATACCCTCTGGATGCCTGTGCCAGCTCAAAGCCATCGATGAGTCCTCTGATGGAGTACCACGGATGGTCCGACTGGACATTTTCAATAATGCCGAATACCGGGTGTTTGCGAGTAAACTGGAAGAATGTGCAGCTCCAGATTGGTTCGCTGTATCGCAAATTCGATCTGGAAATGGTCATCTATTAAGCTCTCGCTCATTCGCCCGGTCCAACGCAAAGGACGAGCCTGTGCCTACAGTTCCCACTGACTCTGATCCACAGGCTACTCAAGTTCGAGTTCTGAATCGAGCCATTCACGTGGTACTCATGGATGGCAGTATTTCAATAATGACACCTGGCACGACTGTGGATATATGCGAGTCAAGTCGCGTGGAAGGTTGTCGAATTCTTGCCCAGTGTTTTGATACACGTACTGATCCGACTAGGGTTCTGCATACTTCGCACGGAAGACGATCGGATAGCACCAATATGGCGTTCTCATCTCAAGGGGATCTCACAGTGGAAGATTGAGGGCGAAAAACCCTCTGCAGAGCCTGAACCCCCTCAGAACTTCACTTCATCTCACAAGGAGAAGCATCGACTGTATGTTGTCTGTCATAAAACCTATGGAATGGGTCATCAAGGACACCTCTTCCCACTTGAGGAAGGCGCCAAGGTGTTACTTACAGCGACGTGCAACAGATGTAAGTCATTCGATGTTGAATCTCTTGCGGCGTTGAGATGAAGTGCACAGATGCTAACACAGACCAAGTCGGCTATTTTCGCGATACTTCGGGCAACATCTTTGTCCTGACAGATGACCAAATAGAGGACTCTCTTCTTGGCATGCCTGTCTCAGAGCTTCCCCTGCTCGCTGTCCCGCCCGCTGAACTACCTTCATTGTTCAAACGGTGGCTCGAGCAGGCAACACATCGCCGCCACAATGACCGTGTAAGTCCAGGTACGACGATGATGTCCGATGTCGTTGGTACCAACCTCAGCCGCGACCAAATTGCCAACTTACCCAAGAATCACGAAGGCTTCCCATTGCCACCTTCGGGCTTCGTTCCACCACTTGGAGGCTGCGACGTGCTGGCCACTCAGTTCGGGTACTATGACTTTGCATCAACGGCAGACCAAGACGCCGCCCATGCTCTTGGCCTGGAAGCGGCTGGCAGTGTAGTCTGGGCTCTTCACTATGGCATAAGTGGAGTAACAGACATCAGATTGATATGGGTCCCGGGCACTTTGGAAGGGACTCAGGCGCCGTTTGGAGCATGTAATGCACATGTGATGATAACCATCATCAACTTTATGCGATTGTGGCATTTTGGCAAAGGCTCAGTACCTCCCGACGAGCTGCCAATTTTCACCGGTCTGGACGAATTCTGGCACGAGCGTGAGGGTGCTAATGTGAGTATGCTACATAGCCTGCGTAGCGACTACCCACCCGCCAGGCCACTCCTCAGTGAGATCGACATCGAGCGCCAGATGTACGATCGGCAAGGCTATCTCTCTCGTGCGCGCCGGCGAGCTACTCCTTTGCGCAATTTCCGCACAAATCCAGAGTCCAAGGCAGGCGATCTGCAGCAAGAAATCTTACGGGCTTCTGACAGATCCTGGCAATTCAGACAACCTCTTGAGCGGCCTCCTATCGACCCCTCGGCTCCAGAACACGAGAGGACATCAACCCACCCTTATTTTCTGCACACAAGTTATCATGAGCTGCTGCCCGATGTGCTCTATCTCTTCGAGAAGACTCCAGATCGCAAAGCAGGCGTTGCTTTGCGAAAGAAGGTTTTCAGGAGGGGAAATGAGTGCATTGCAGCCCTGGATCTCAAGTTGCCTCTTCTCAACGCCTACGGCGAAACAAAGTCCACGATCGTCAGAACGTACGGCGACAATACGGCTGAGGTACTTCTTAGAGACATCCCTTTCGCTCCCGCCCGCATTGCCAGCAACGAGTGGGCCCCACACATGGGCGCCATTTATACGTTGGGCATTGGTCGAATTGGCTGGAAAGAAATGGTCGCACGAATGCCGTACATCACACGCACAAACAGTACCTGGTATACGAACAATTGGACTGAAGCATGTCGTCGGTATCGACTTATTCCAGACAAGATTCTCGAGTACAAAGATAGCCCAATGCCGCCGCAGTTCAAGGCAAACAACACTTTGCGGGGCATAGCCCCGGGCGTGGTTGACCCGACAGTTGCCTATGGCAGGCCTGTTCAAGATGTGGCAGGCAATTGGCATGGCTCAAACAAGGTCGAATTCGCAATTGACGACACTGATGAGAAATCGCCTGTGGAGAAGTTCGCGAATGCCGTGGGCGGGAGATCCGGTCGTGAGAACAGAATAAAAAAAGCTCGCCAGGAAAGGATTGCATGGCAGACGGAATGGTCGCACAGTACTCCAGAAGAAGCCGACGAAGGTAACGGGGGCGAAGAAAAGGAGCAGCGCTGATACTCGCACGACACACATTGATCGAGTCGGGAACAAGTAGCAGCTGAGTACGGTGAAAAAGAGAGCGAGGAAAACCTTCGCATAGGTGTGCATACTGGGAACGGTCGCGTCTATGGCGACCCTCTCGAGAGTGACCGACTTGCGAAAAGTGTCCAGTGCAAGATTGTGAACATTACATGCTAGGCCAATTCTAGCTCACCGCCTCCTGTGGGGAGTGGTCAGAGGCCCAAATAGAGCACAACGCAACAGAAATATCATCGCTGACTACTGCTCACATTTCAGATGTTCTTCAATTCCTCGCTGATTACATTGCTTCATCACCCTTGGCCACTCTGTTTTTCTTCACATGATCAGGAACCACTTGCGGCGCAGACTCATGCCCGCTCAGTGCCCTCTGTCTTCCAAGATCCTGCGGTCCACCATACCGACCCTCCGCCACAGCTTGCTCATCCCGCGCAGGCTTCTTCGTACCGCCCACCACCGCGATCGTCGAACTCGAAGCAGCCCGGTATCCATGTTGCGGTCGCACATCGCCAGGTCCAAAACCAAAGTACTCATCCCAAGCCTTCTCGTCCCCATCAAACACGGGAGGAAAAGGAGAAGTCTTCGCAAGAACATGGGCCGGCTTGACCTGCGGAGCAGACTCATGTCCACTGTTCGTGCGCTTCCTGCCGCCGAGATGGATGCTCTGAGGTCCGTTGAGGCCGTGGATCTCAGGTTCCTTGTTCTTCACGTTCCCGGCTTGCTCTTCAGCCTTCTTTTCCTCCTCCCTCCTCTCCCAAAGCGTGAATTTCCCGACATCCCTGCCAACAACCCTCGACGCTGGAGTCCCTGGTCCGGACATCAGAATGCTGCCCAGACTGGTTCTTAGCTGACTCATTTCCTTGGTCAGGACGTCGATTCTGAGTCCTAAGCTGTCCATCTTGATGTCCAAGGCGTCAACCTTCTCCTCGAGAAGCGAGACTCTCTCACTCAACTTTGTCAAAGATCGATCGTGCTGGTTCAGTCCATCGAAAGCTTCACTCAGGCGCTCGATGTCCTCAGGAGTGTTGGTGGCAGATCGCATGCTGGCGTCTTCGATATGCTGCATTGCTGGAATCGAAGGCGAAGTATGATCCTGCGTGGCGACTTTCTTCTTGGTCAACAGAGGCTTGCTTGCGGGATCGAATGCGGTTGATTGACGACGCGATGCTTCTTGAGCTTCTTTGGTAGGAAACGTGTGATGAGTGGGAAACATTTTTGGCGAGTTTCGATGCGAGAATATAAGCAATTCGGACAGGTCTGAGAAATGCATTCACAGCGGTGATATACATGAACTGTTCGCATTGCTTGCTGTACCGTGGTGGCCACGATCTGTGTAGCATATTGATCGTGTTGTTTGCCGAGCTGGCTTCACGGATGATATGGCAAACATGCTAGAGTTGTTGTAGCTGTGTTCCATACTGATCTCTGCGCCCATATCAGCGGAGAACACATGTCGTTTTCGCTGCGCAGCGGCAGGGCATATTTCTTGCCCGCAGGATGCCACCTCTCACTTGTCAGCTTTGCCCACCTTCTCCAATACCGCTCGTACAGCCTCAAGCGTCCTCTTCGCCTCCTCTCGTTCCTTCTGATCCTCCACTCTGAGGTCTGCTCTTCCTCCATCCCTCACCAGCCTCAACATCCTCCCTTCCACATCAGCCAAGACTCTCCTCGCATCTTCTCTCACCGTGCCAGCAAATACTTCTCTTTCCTTCCCGTATTTGCTCTGCAATCTCCGCAATGCCCAGACAAGCCCAAAAGCCGCAATAGCACCACTCTCATAGAGTGCAACACCTCCGCTCGCAACCCACAGCCAAGCAGCGAGTGCGCTGGACCCACCCATTGTAGACAGGGACGCAAGCATGAGGCGCTGGGCCTTTGCGTGCAAATTCGGAACCATCTCATGAAGGATCTGTTCGCGTGCGAGATTAATCGTCTGCGGCCAAGGAGGATTGAAGAGCGCATTGAGACCAGTCTCTTCTCGGATTTTGGAGAGGAGAGGAGGCAGTTGCATCAACTCTGCTACCGTCTCCGGCCGGCCATCTTTCAGAATGCCCTGCTGCACGCCATCGTAGTCCGCCATTTCTTTTTCCGTGCGTTCGTCAAGAAGAGTCTTGCCGCTTGTCGCAGTGGTCACTGCCTCAGAAGACTTATCTTCGTCTTCGATCGGCTGAGATATTCCACGAAGTTGATTTTCTGTAGCAACACCAGCTTCCAGAAGTCGGCCTGAGAGGAAAGCCAGGTTTTGTTCTGCCTCGACAAGCCAGCCTCGCCGAAGGACATCTGAAGCGGAGATTGATACTTCATCGATTCTCCAGAACAGCCGCCACCATACGGTGCGCTTCCAAGCAGGTCCCAGGAAAGCCGTCGACAAGTTGGTCTGCAGGTCATGATGCGCATCTTTCGACCAAGTCGCCACAGCTTCTTGAAGGTCGCCTCGTTTCGAGCTCGGGACAGATTGTGCTTCGTAAACTTCCAGAGCACTGCCGTCTGCTGCTTGGACAGCAGTTTCCGTTCTGTGAAGCAGCGAATCCAGCAAATCTCGGACAGCAGGCTTCAGATAATCGTCTCCCTCGCCAGTCTTCGAGCTATTCGATAGCCAGGTTGCCACAGTGCCCACCTTACTCGCCTGCCATTCCCTGCTGAACACAGCTCCATTGGCTCTGTTCTCTCTGAACAGTGCAAGAGCATGTTCCGCCAAACCGATGTCCACGACATTCCCATCTTGGCCACCCATCTCTGTGGTACCGTCTGTTCTCAAAGGCAAGGAAACCGCACTCTGTATCATTCCGTTCTGCTCCAGTCCCCTTGGCATCCTGCCCAACTCCACGGCCCCGCTCACACCTTCAGCGACAACAATCGTCTTGTGCACAGGATACCTCACAAACCCCACTCTTCCTCCCGCCCCGGGAATTGTCAGCGCAGGTACCAACAAACTATCCTCCCACTCGCGTAGCCTCTCCTCCTCCGGGACACCATCCTGCGAAGCAGACTTTGCAGCATTCAACCCCGTAATCAAAATCTCCATTCCAGCTTTTCTCAGCAGCGGACTTGAGACCCTCAGCTCCCTCCCTCTACCTGTGTTTCCGCCTCCACTAACACCCACATCTTCCACCTCTTCTCCATATCTCACTAATAACGTCCCCGTCCCATCACCCTCCAAGATTTGTTTCTCCCAGCTTTCCACTCCATCACTCAACGCGTCTGCCAACAGAACTCTTACCAACCTCCTTGCAGCCTTCTCACCCTTCTCTCCCAAGCCGAGGAAAGCAATGCGTATCACAGGATCCTCTGACTCAAGAGATCGAAGAGCGAGTTGCAGGCGCGCAAGATCGATGTAGCTTGATGTTGAGGACTTCTCTAGTTGTTGAAGGGCTTGGTAGAGAGGCTTGAGGGATTCGGGTATGGATGTGGGGGCATTGATCGCTGTGGAGGAGGCGAGCGAAGCATAGGAACGTGAAGCCTGAGGGAGGCTTTTAGGCTGGCGGAGTCTCTGTCTGTAGGTTCCATTGGTAGTAAATGGTTTTTGAGTCTTGATCGTGAGAGAACGTGTCGCTGCCGCCGTTCGGGAGTGGTTGGGGCGCTGCGATTGGCGTTGTTGAAGTTGCTGCGGTCGCGTGCGATTTGTGAAGAGACACGATGGACAGATGTATCCTTCAGCGTCCACGGCGCGTGCAACGCGCGTGGAAAGCGTCGTGCGAGGAGGCATTAGATGTGATGTATAAGAACAAGGTCAACGGGAAAGCTGCATTGGAAGCTGCATCGAAAGCTGGGATGGAGCTTCACTTTGCGCCGCTACACCTGCCAAATTGGGCACGCTATTGATGAGCTGGGACGGGAAAGTATGGCAAATTGATTATGACAGTGATGTTGATACAGTGTCTTGTACAATGTTCCATGCCGCTGATCCAGCTACTGGTTCTGTTCGTCCCAAGTGCCACAGCTCCCTCACTCTGACTGTGAGCATCTATCTGAATAGCTTTCTCCCTCCCATCCGACTAGCCGCAACATCCCGGTTCTCCATCCCGTACAAACTTATGCCCGTGAAGCCCACTGTCCCACCATTTCTAGCTTTCTTATATCTCCGAAGCGCTTCTCGGAAATGGTCTGGCTGGAGAGGTCCGCGATCACATTCTTCAACAGCCCGCGATAGTCCCCAAGCGCCCGGCTGAACGTTGGCGAAGTCATCTGGAAGCTCGTCTTCATCCGCGTCGTCCTTCTTCTTGTGCTTCTCTGGTGTGCTCATAGCTTCGGTCGTTTGCGTCCCGTTCGGCAGACCGTTGGGCTGAGAAGCGGACGGAGTAGCCTCTGGTATGTCGGCCACCTTGCTAGTGGGCGAGGTCGGTTCCTTCTTAAGTCCCCTGCTCGCCTCAACATCCATCTCATCGTCTTCAGCCTTTGCCTTCTCCGGCGCACTCGAAGCCTGCCTCTCTTCGTCATGCGCCGCCTTATCAGATTCCTCCAATTCCTCCCTCCCAGTCATCAACTTCAGCCTCTTATACGCCTGCTGCGGTTCTCCATCTGGCCTCAAAGGCTGCACCGCCATCCACTCAGCCTGCACCTCCCTCGCGCTCTCAATCAACATGCCCGCAAACATCTTCGTATAAGCGCCCACCACCGTCACCACATTCTGCGGCACACTCTGACTCAGCGTCGCGTTGACCAACCTCCTCACATCCGCCGTCCGCAGCTTCACCTTATTATACGTATCATACCTCTCTTGATGTTCCGTCGGCACCGCCTCTCGGAACAAATACCTCCGCTGATTATCGCGATCCAGTTCCGCAGGATCCATCGTGAAAGCTTCGCCTCGCGCTCCCAGACCATCGTTATCTTCATGATCATCGTCTGAGTCTTCTGCGTCCGGTTGTGAACCTCCACCAGTGACGACCGAAGGCGCACCAGCCGTACTTCTCGCGCCCTTCTTTCGCCCATCTTCCCCACCAATTAACGAAACGCTTCCTTTGCGTGAGTTAAGACCTTTCATGCCCGGTCTTCCACGCGTCCGCTTCTCCCCACGTTTGCGCTTCAGACTTCCATCAGCGGGACCACTAATCGCGCTGTTGATTTCCGAGTCGAGATCGCCATCGTCGAGATCATCCTCGCCGGGGGAGAAGCGGAGATGCTTTTCGTCTTCTGCTGTAGGCGGGAAGGAGGTCTGACGTAGAGGGTGAGCGGAGCCTGTCGAGGGTGCTAGCGACGGTTTGCGCGACTTCGGGAGCGCGAGGGAAAGGCCGCCTGGTCTCTTCTGAGAAGCTGGTGCTGACGAGGACCCGGGCGGCGAGCGCGCGCTGTGCGGTGGTGAGGCCATGATTGCGGGACGGCCTTGTCAGAGAAGTTGTCGCAAGTTCCAGAGGTGGGAGGTACAGCTCGAACGAGGCAAGTGGCGCGGCTTGGCACATGTGATTGTGGAGACGAGCCGCGAAGTGAACTTGGTGAATGCTTTCATGTTGAAAACGATCTCTGGTAGCACGCAATGACAAGATCTTCAGAACGTGCTCGTGCAAGTCGATTCTCGAAAGTTCCAGGTCATGTCGGGTATGATACAAATACTACAAAATATGGCGCAGCACATCAACACGTCCATCATCAGTTATATCCATTCTTGTCTCTGCCCTCAAGAACCCAAACCAGGCCACGCAACGAACTTGTATTGCGCCCCTCCCTTGCGGAGAGATTTCCGGTCACAAAGCTCTTCAGCTGTCGTTGTATGTCCCTGTCACCGGTCCCAACTTCTCGAATATGTACGAGCCATCAAAGGCCTAGTATCTTCAAGTCAGCACCTCAATACTATTGAGCAGCTGCTGGTGGTTCGCGAATAGGTAGTGTGGTACCGTTACCATTGAGCGTCGGCGTTGCAGTACCACTGCCAGCCTTTTGCTTCAGGGTGAGTGGGAATGGATAGTCCTCAGGCTCCTCCTACAGATTTGGTCAGTAAAACTTCATGTAAACATCGTTCATGTGCACAACTCACCTCTTCCGGCAGCTTCCACGCAATGTAGTCTTCTGTGCTGAGACCTTCTCGACCCTCTTGTATCGAGGCAAAGTCACCAGGCGTCATCATGCCGCTGCGGTCCCGAGGACTGCCTGGCGCCGACAGTGGTCGAGTGATCTTGATGCTCTCTGTACCATCGAAGAATCCTGGCTCGTCCTCGCCCTCTGCAAAGCTGTCTGGGTATGCTCGTCTTAGCGCAAGCTGTCTTGCCTTGACATATTCCATGCCCATTCTCTTCCAGTCGAGCAGATCGCTGAGGCGTTCTGTTCGGTTTCGCTGGTTGATGCGTTGTCGCTTGCTCTTCTTCGTGAACTCGTACATGAATTCTGTGAGCTGGTTCACGCTGTCGTCGACACCCTTCATTCTGCGGTCCACGATATAGATACCGTAATCTGCGGCGTTCTCGATGAGCTCTTCCATGTAGCAACCAAATCCAGACAGGTTCGTTGTGATCGACGGCACGCCCATGACTGTACACTCGGCTGGCGTGTAACCCCACGGCTCGTAGTATGAGCTGAAAATACCCATATGTGTGCCTCGGACGAAATCGTCGTAGTCCATCGGCAGAACTGGGTTTCCGGAGCTCAAGAACTCGGGGTGGAAGACAACCTTGACGCGATCGGAGGGGTGGTTGAAGAGCTGGCAGCGGCGCATCTGGTTAAGGATGGGGTCTTCGCTGTCGTTGACCAAGTTGTGTGTAACGATCGGTGGAAGTGTGTGGCGCTTCATGGCGAACAATCTCCTGCGAAGCATGATCTTGTCTTGCGCACTGAGCAGGTCTTTCTCGTCTGGCGGATCTTGACCATCTTGCCAGGCGATCGACTTCTCGAAAAGCTTCTTGCCAATCTCTTTCTCAATGTGTCCAAGAGTATCCTTCAGTGACTTGACGACTGCTTGACCCTTTAGAGCTTCAACAGCGAGGGACTGTGTCTGTGCTGGGAAGATCATGAACGCCACCACAGTCATGTCTGATCCAGCGGCCTTCATGCGGTGGTTGAGACGAGCCAGAGATTCGATGAACATGTCAACACCTTTGTTTCTGTACTCGTATCGTCCAGCAGTGAAGAAGTAGAGGGTCTTGTCGGGATCGAAATCGTTGTGTCCATAGAAATGGCCGCGGACAAAGTCTGTAATGCGATCCTTGTTGGTTTGGTGCAAATTCTGGAATTCGTGGGTAGCGGAGAACTTCTTGACGTTGAGACCATTTGGCAGGACGCCGTCAGGCTTTCGCTTCAGCAGATGCTCACTCTCGTAAGCAGTGATATGGCTGACGGTGGTGAAGACATCTGCCGAATGGGCAGCACCGCGTTCTATGCAGTATCGGTGGTAGATACCACGCTTTCCGGCCTCGGCGTCAACGTCGAAGTACTGCAAGTTGTTGTAGAAATCGACAGAGCCAGCGCAGAGGTAGCGGCCGAGGAGCGTTGCGTGAGTGGTGAAGATGGTCGTTACGTCGATCTTGCGCTTCTTGCACAGAGGAAGTGCGACACCTGCAAGCCACTCGTGGAATTGTGCGATGACGGCACGTTCCTTCTCGTGGAAGACGTACTATTGGAGATTAGTCTGTGCCTGGTTGTGCCACTGTGGCAGAATAGCGAGGGACCGCAACTCACCTCGCCCAAGAACCAGGCAATCAAGTAACCAAATACAATTGCCTCGTTCGTTTCGTGGTCATCTGGAGGACTGGGAATACCAGCAGTCGACCAGAGATCACCCTTCCACTCATCGAGCTTGTAGTATCCGGTACCGGTATCGAAGAGCAGCACTCGAGGAGCGCCGTCAATCAACCACCTTCCGTACATGGTCTTGATGCCTCTCTCATTCATGTTCTTGATCGTAGCGATCAGTGCTGGATCCCTCGGCTCGATCTCTTCCACCTCGACGGCGGCGGATGCGCGGTTCAGCGGCCCAAGCAGTGTGTAGCTCGAGCCATATTCTGCGGTTGTGACTTGTGCTTTCGATTTGAGCACACTGTAGATACCGCCGACGCGGTTGGCGACCTCAGTGGCCACTTCGAAAAGCACATGGTTGTGCACGTCTCGGCGGGGTTGGTCGCCCATATTGCGGATGTGGTGTGAGGGCGGTTTTTGGTAAAGACTGGACGCAACTCGTGGCCTCGGGAGTTTTGGAGGCAGGTGTCACTGTGGAGAGAAATGTATCAGTGGATCGTTCTGGAGATCGTGTGGTGCACGCAAGTGAGTGTGATATGAGACAAGTCGGAAGCTATGAATGCGGAGAGTGGAGCGACATCATTGGGGAAGCTGCATCGGGACGAATTGAAACTCACCTTTGTGTGTTCCGGTCGGTTCCACTACTGCTCAAATTCTTTCCACGATGGTTGTTCCTCCTGCAAATGTATCACCAAGGGAGGGAGAGGTGTGTAGAGGAAGTGGAAATTGTTAAAGAGGGAAGTAGTGTAATGGTGAGTAGCCGAGAGGCTGGTGCGAATTGGTCCGAGCAAGCAGCACAAGCTCGAGCCCTGCTGCTGGACAAGCGAGAGATGGTGGAGAAACTGACGTCGGTCTGGAGGCAAATACTGACGAAACAGCTGCGCATCAATGGTGTCGGTGAAGATGCACTGCTGCTCAGTATATAATCTCATCCGCGGCGCTCGACCCCAGCGCCGACGCAGCATGGAACAGGCGACATTGCACGCGCGGGTCTCTCAGCAACACGGCCAGGTTGGGCAGGCTTGGCTCGTTGTTGAGGCGATCTGCCTTCAACGACCAGGCCACGAGAAAAATGGAGTCTGAGCTCAGCACAGCTCTCTCCACGCGCCCCTCCGCATCCAGCTGCATCTCCAAAGTCTAGCCGCAAGCCGGCCTCGAACGCCGACGCAGTCGGTCCTTCTTGCGCCATACCACCGCCCGGCAAACCTGTCGTCTGTCACGCGCACAGCGCCACCCGTATAGCTCGACTTCCGCAGTGCTGCACTTGTCCCGGCGGGGTTGTACAGTATGCACAATGGCCATACCGTCGCACCGGCGGGAGCATCGTCGAGACGTCAGACTGCCCATGCCGGTCGTCGGATCTCCGATCCCTGCATCGACGAGCGCTGGCGGCCGTTTGAGCGCCCAACAATTCACTGAACTGCTCGACCATGGACCAACGCGCACATGTCTCGGCCACTAATCAACCGCAGCACCACTAGCAAATCCTCCTCCACCACCCTTCTGGTCGTGATATCGGCCATACGAGTGAGCAGTCTGCGATCAGATGGAGATTGCGTTGGAACCGGCGTTACAACTGCCAAACGGCCAACTTGTCAAATTCTATTTCCATGCCGATTACCGTCCCTGCTCACATATATCTGGGCTACGCGCTCCGTGAACCCAAGAAGCTCGATGTGTGCTCGTATTTCCTTGCCCTCAGCCGCATGTCCAAATTCCACTGGCCTTCTGGTACCTGCCTCCATCAAGCACGCCGGTCGAAATGCAAGTCTCTTCCTTCCCATTGGGAACTGGGATCTGACGTCTCTGCCCTCCGCTCACGACCTCGCAATTCTTCGACCCAGTGAAGAGAGTCAAAGTGCAGATACCGTGGTCGACCTGTCCAATGCTGATTGTGCTGTGCGTCAATGGCGTGCAGTACATGGACTGACAAGTATGGCACGTCAGCGAAGTCTTCAGCAACCGGGAAAATTCTGCATACCTTGATTACACCTTCGCCTGTACGTATCCCGCAGCCATCCAGATCGGTGATCGTATCAGTCGAGACGGAGCCAATCTTCGTGCCAGGAGTGAAGCTCTTCCCAGAGAAGAAGCCCAGAGTGGTGTTTTGCGCGAATGGTTGAGGGTAGGTGCCTGGGTTACCGGTGGTGATTTGAGGTAGTGCAAGAGCGCTTGCCGAAGCAGCGAGGCATACTGCAGTAGCGACGAGGTACAGCATATTGTTTATGCTGCCAGTAGGTCAATCTGTATGCTGTGTAGGTGTGTGTGTGTCGATGTTTCAAGCGTTGCAGATGCTTCGTCGAGATTGAGCTGGTGGAGAGGTGGAAGATTCATGTGAATGGAAGTACTTACCCTTATACCAGGCAATGACAAGACAATCAGCAAGGACAAGAACGACTGAGCACGACTCAGCCACCAAAGTGAAGTCATTGCAGCTACACTCAGTTGACCACTATGGTAGGAGCAGAGGTTGGCGATATGACTCTGCCATGCTACATTAGCAGCCACGAGACACCCTCATGGCACCTCTTTCCAAGCTTATTCACGAACCGGAAAGTCCGGCACAGAAGATATATTCAAGCCTCTTGAACGCTGCCACCGACCGACATGAGAAATCAAGATATTCCCCGATAGCAAACAAGCACAGCAGCGACTACTGGTTCTCCAAACTTACACAACAAAGCACCAAAATGGCAACGATAGCACACTAACGTGGCAGCGACGGGTGACATTGCGCCTGAGCGAGCACGTAATTGCTCGCTGAAGTGCAGACTCGGAATCTTTGCGTAGCACAGCAGTTGCGGTGTCCCGCTGGACTCCTGCGCTGCACACTCGCGCGCAACTCCAGAAGCTTGGCATGCCTTTTGCTTGCAACACCAGGTGCAAAAGTCGAATTTGACGGGGTATGATTGTGGTTAAATATGGAAGACTTCATGAGGATTTCATTGCCTCTCCTTCATATCTTACAGTTCCGAGCCCCACACGCTGCCATAGCTACTCACGCACCTCCCTCCCACACCGCGCGCAGGAGATCTTCTCAGCATCATCTCTCTTCCAGTTCATCATGACTTGTGTCCCTCTAGAAGGTCTCGGAAGATGCGAATCCATCGCTCGTTGACGTTCTCGACTTTCTAAGGCTTCGTATCTTTTGAGGCGACTCGTGGATAAGCTTGTCACGATGAAGTAAGATACCGCCACGATCAACAGCCCGAGGATGGAGGAGAAGAGGAAGCTGTCTGCCGTCGTTGTTGTTGGAGGAGACATGATCGCGTCTCTGTGCGCGCAAGAAGCAGAAGAGTGGAGCGAAAGACAAGGAAGGGACACATGGCTTCCAAGATCTACAATCGTGAATACAGGCATACAAATATTTGCCTCATAGAATGGCTCAAAAAACTACACAAATACCAGTTCTAACTATACATCCCAAAAGCAAACCATTCCGCCACTTCTACGCCTATACCTCCTCACGGCTTCCAATCCACCCTCCTCGCCCTACAAGGCATCCCCTCCCTCGGCTTCGCCGCCCCAATCAACACCTGATACAACTCCTCCCCACCAACATCATGCACCTTCCCCTTCCTAAAACTCTCATCTCTCGCATAAAACGTCCCATCTTTCCCCACAGTCTCCAACCCCTCCTTATCCAAACAAACATCGAACTCAAAAGTCCTACAAGTCATCGCCAAAATAATCCTCGCCTCCAGCAACGCCAAATTCTGCCCCAAACAATTCCTATAACCCATTTCGAAAGCTCGAAATGATCCTTCAGGGATGTTGTGCGAGTTGGAAGGGAGGAAACGTTCGGGTTTGAATTCGTCGACATCGGGACCCCAGATGTTTTCGTTGTGGCCGAGACCGTGGTGGACGAGCCAGATCATCCAGCCTTCTGTGGAGAACTTTTCGCCTGTTCTGGGGTCTGTGAGGAAGAGTCCCTTTTCGCCCATGCGAGGTGCGGAAGCGGCGGGGAAGAGACGGAGAGTTTCTTTGATGACACAGAGGGTGTATTCGAGTTTGTGGAGGATGTTGGGGTCGGATTGGATTTTAGAGGCGGTTTGGTGGGCGGGGCCGAGGATATCTTCGTGTTCGCGACGGATGCGTTCGAGGACTCGAGGATTTTTGCGGAGCAGGTGGAAGACGTAGCAGATCGTGGAGGAGGTTGTGTCGTGGCCTGCGAAGAGGAAGATGCGGATTTGAGTGATGGCTCCTTCGCGGAAGGCGGCGTCCATGATCGGGTGGTCGTTGCTTGTGGCGACTGCGTTAGGGTCCTCATTTTCTAGATCTTCCTCGCCGGTGAGGTAGCTGTCGAGGGCGAGATCGATGATGGTACGTTTGCGGGCCTTCTTTTCTTTGGCTGGAGTTTCTTTGGTTGCGAAGCGCTCGTCAAGGACTTTGCCGATATATCGGTGCATCACGCGGTTGTTTCTCCATCGTCGGTAGATACCATATGGCCTCCACATGGCGAATGGGTTGAAGGTCTCATTCGGCAGCAAGTTGATCTGCTCTCGCAGAGCGTCGATACATTCATTGTTCCCTCGCTGCATATTGAACCTGACGTCCAGTACGACCTTTCCAATAACATCGACAGTCAGGCGCGTGGTCTCTTCTTCGAGGCGGAACACTTCATTCTTCTTCGCATGTTCTGTGAGTTTGTCGACGTAAATCAGAGCGTCGTCAACGATTCCTGGTGCGAGAGTGATAAGGTGCTGTGTGCTGAAGCCTGGACGAAGTTAGGTATGGAGCATGATGGAAGATGAGCTCGTGCACGCACCTGGGTTGAACATGCTCCGCCACTTCTTCCACAAAGCCCCATTGGCAGACACCATATCGTCTTTCCCCACCAAGTGCTCCAGGAAATCCGGCAATGAGGAATGCTTCGGCGTATTGTACTCTGTCGAGAATTGTTGACTTATCGCAGGATCCATTACTGTAATCATTGGATCGGACACCGGCCAAAAGTCAAGAGCGAACCAATTGCCCAAGTTGTGCTTCTTCCTAATGAAGTGGGCATATGCTTGGCACCGTCAGCAAGACATCTCGACAAATACAAGTTCCATCAAATACCCACTATGAGGATGGACACGATTGGGAAGCTGCGAGGCTATCTCGCCAACGGTCTTGAGATCGCCGAAGATCCATGAGGCCGGTGCTCCAGGCTGGAGGTGGCACAATTAGCGAAGCATGTACAGAGCCTCTGCTTCAACTGCACTTACGAATTGAAACCGCCTCTTTCGGATCCTATATCCTTTGACAAGAAAACGCACGACATAGCTGGCCAGAAAGATAAGGAGCGCTCCTTGCACCACTTTGGACTTCAGTATCTCCAACATCTTGACGTTCGATGTCAAGACAAACACAGACGGACTTCGAAGGCAACGGCCAGAACTCAGCTAAAGAAGAAGTGTGAGACCTTAGGGCAGACGTGCCCTATCCACGGCTTTGGTGTCCAGAGTTTTATAATCTGTTGGCCAGTGCGATGAAATCATGCAAGAATCCTTCAGGAATTAACGTCTCGAAAATGATGCGGAGCATTAGCTGTTGGACCTTCATGTCGTTCATCGGATGAGATGTCGGTGGGCTACACGTCGGGTTTGTTGATTGTGCATTGCTGCGTCTTGACCGTTCGAATGGTGACACTAGGTGCCAGCATTGTCTCTCGTAGACCGGTGCGAGAAGGCGCACCCGCATAATCCCTGCTCTTGCGGCAGCGCGCGCACAGGGATCGGCATCGCGGTTTCGAAAACCCGTCTGATGAGGATCAAGAGCGGCCAAGAGTTGCCCAACAAGGTCAAGATACCACTAGGCGCCATCAGATATTGTGTTGCATCCTGCCGTGAATGCTTCAAATCCTGCTGCGTGTGACAGGCAGGCGGAGCTGAATGCCGAGCTCTTTCCCGCGTCAGGAGCGCAGCACGCGCGCAGGTAGGTGCGGTCACAACAAGGTAGGACCAAAGGAAAGCTTCGATGGGGTTCTGAAGATCCCGTTGCCGTGCAGAAATTGGTCAGACTTATGTGAGTGAGCATAATCAGATGTCAGGAAGCGGAAGAGAAGAAACCCGATAGTAGGCTTATGGTCAGCTGAACGTGGAAGAACCTTGACGATGACGAATCGGAGACCACGGAAACAATAGTGAGACGAGCAATTACGAAACATGAGTGTACTGGTATATTCACTGGCTCTGGCCTACTACTGAGTAGACGACTGAGCTTAGTCGATATCAACCATTGAGCCTGCTCTATGGACAATGTCGCGGCAGCTACTTCCAATAGTCGGGTATCATTAATTATGCAACATCAACGTCGGTCAATGCTTCGTCTCGTTCGTAGCCGCTCCTGAAAAAATGCATGCCCTCATCATCTAAAAGACAGATCCCTTGCGCTCAACATCAGAAGTGATCTCAGTATCGAGCTTTCCGCCCTCCTTGAGACCCATCTGGCTGGCGAAGGTGGTCGTTGGTCGCCACTTGGAAGAGGTACGAGGAGTAGTCTCGGCCATCATCTGGTCAACCTGCTCAAGCGACAGACCCTTGGTCTCTGGCACCAAGAAGTACGAGTAGACGAAAGCGCAAGTGCAGAGTCCACCCCAGACGAAGAAGACACTCGACTTGAGATCGCCCTCGTCAGTGTTGACCATGTAAGGGGTAATGACGGCGATGATGGTGTTCCAGAGCCAGTTGCTGGCGGTGGACAGAGCGACACCACGAGAGCGGATTGGCAGAGGGAAGATCTCGCCGATGAGAATCCAGGCACCAGGTCCCCAGGTCGATGCGAAGAAGAAGATGAAGATGGCGATGAACGCAATCTGCGCATTGACGGCTGGGACGTTGAGAGCACGAGTGACTGGGTCTGGTCCTCCGGCTGGGTCTGGAATCTCATAGGTCTTGTTGAATCCGACAGTGACACCAATGATGGCGACGAGGAACTGGCAAATCAACATGCCGAAGGCACCCCAGACGAGCAGTGGACGACGACCGAACTTCTCGACCGTGTAGAAGGAGATCGGAGTAGAGCAGACGTTGACCAAGGTGAAGATCAGCGAGATCAAGAAGGTGTTGGAGATGGCGCCAGTCGAGCTCAAGAATGGGGTCGAGTAGTAGAAGATGAAGTTGACACCGGTCCACTGTTGCATCATCTGGAGAGAGGTACCAAGAATGGTCTTGCGCAGGTTGGAGTTGGACTGGAAGACGGAGCCCTTGAAGCAGTTGGCCCAGCCATTGGCCCAGTTGCCAGCAGGAATGATGGAGCGCTCGTATTCCTCGTTGGCGACGATCTCAGCCAACTCAGCCTCGATGTACTCGCTGTCACCTGGCTGTCCTCGCAGACGAGCGAGGGCAGATCGGGCTTGCTCGACACGGCCGCGCTTGACGAAGTATCGTGGGGAGTCTGGAAGGAACAGAAGGCCACCGCCAAGGATGACACCCCAGGCGAACTGGATGCCGATTGGAATGCGGTACTCGCTCTGGTCGGTGCGGTTGCGGACGGCGTAGTTGACGCAGGATGCGAGAAGAAGACCGATGGTGATGCAGAATTGGTAGCCGGCGACGAGAGCACCACGGACTTTCTTTGGGCAGATCTCGGACATGTACAGGATGACAATGGCGGACTCGAATCCGACACCGATACCTGCAATGAGACGACCAGCGACAATGACACCGAGAGCGTCACCGCCGACACCAGTGATCATCTGGATGATAACTCCTGAAATTGAAGTCAGTACTGTACTCACGGGGTGATCAATTCGAGCCCAGACATACCGACAATGTAGATCAAGCAGCCAATGATGACGGTCCACTTTCGGCCGATGAAGTCTGCGACATCACCGGCGATGATGGCGCCAAAGAAAGTACCAGCGGAGAGGATAGAAGTGACGAGAGACAGGTGGCTACCGGAGAGCGCATCATTGCCTGGACCCTCGATGAGTTCGACGAAGACGCTCGAGGCAGTGACACCGTTGATGTAACCCGAGTCGTAACCGAAGAAGATACCACCGAAGGAGGCGAAGGCGCAGATGAGGTAGGCCTTGAAGGTCACCGGCGCCTCAATGCGATTGACATCGCTGGTCGCAGCGAGCGCGCCACCCGGCATGGTTGCGGGCGGTCTGTTGGATGATGAGGTTTGTGTTTCCCGAACCCGATGCTAGGTACTCGAGGTCGGATGCGCGAGGCGAAGGTGGGTGATGAGGTTGTTGTTCGCGGTCGGTGTCGAGTTGAGGAGGTGAGCACGCGATGGAGAAACAATGGCGAGTGCGGACCAGGGAGCTGTCTTTTAAGAAAGAGACGCAGGCGCAACTGGTGGCTTTCACACGGTGGCACGTGCAAGCATGTGCACGGGCCCGCAGTAGTTAGTGGTGAAGGAAATTATGGCCCTACACTATGCTAGTGGGGGCGCGTCCAGAACCCCAGCAACCTCTCCAGCTTTGCTGCCATGTGGCCAATCGTCTGCTCCCGCCGCGGCTTAGCGTTCTGTGCGTTCTTCTTTCAGCACGGCCAGCCCGCTCATGACCACTCTATTCGGGCCCAGCTTGAAGACCGCACTACTCGCCGCCTCGCCCAATCCGCCGCTCGCCCACCAGAAGAACACACGCGACTGTGGTCGAGACGCGATCAGCATTGTCGAGGACTTGACCCTCGATTCCCGGCTGCAGCTCTTCAACGTCGCGGCATCGTCCAGCGACCGTTCTGGAATGCCACTGCTTTTTGCACGCACCGCAACCATCGACATTCCACAACGTCTTGCGTTGCCCGGAGGACTTGTCGCCGCTTGCTGCCGCGGTTCGGCCTCGCAGCCGTTCTCAGCCTAGGCGAGCCCGGGGGCCCTTTGTCGGGACGTTGCACGGCTTTGTCGCGTCTGATTTTGGCATCAAAGGATCTGCGGCGCGGTCACCAGCTACAATGCGCGCACTCTGCGGCACATGACACTCATCACGAAGGTGTGACGATGCTGCAAGAAGCTCTGCAAGCTGTTTGCTGCGAATGTGAGGGGACGCCGAATCATGGAGCACCAATGCGCCGAGCCGGGAGCGGGCTCTGGAAGCTTGTTAAGGGTCTCAGACACGTCTGGTCGAAACCTTCGGATCGAGGCTGAAATCTGCAATGTCTAACTTGCGTCGTACTGACCAATACCTTGGTCCGCCACGGTTCTACACGCCAGCCTGACTCCCTGTCTCATCAATGCGGCGACGCACTCTTGCAGTGGTAGTGGTGGCAGGCAGCGCTCGGGACAGCTGGGCGCATCGCCGCACTGTCTTACCCGGACTTCGCGCTCGCTTCGGCTGCGTCTCGCGGCTCATGAACCGAAGCCCTCCATGCACTCCACTTCATGCACTGCGACGGTAGCAGATCGTACCATCCGCGAGGTCAATAATACTGCTCCAGCGATTCGAGGCCCAATTCCCCCTTTGAGCTCAACGGCCGGGGCAATGTAGCATGCGGCGCACATGCGACTACTGTATTGATTCCTTGAGGATGCTGAGGCCTGCAAACTTTTGCCAACACTATATGCTAGCTCGGCGCGACACGAAGCGCCACACCCACGTGAAAAGTCGTGCCTCTCACAAGCGTGCTGCGTGCGAATGTTCGAAATCGAACGCCTATACTGTACCAAACTGTAGTAGCGTGCCTTCCCCGCGATTTCCTGGGTTTGCATCTTGCGACCTGGCTGTTCACCGAACTTCTGCTGATCACGTCCAGAACAGAGGAGAGAGAAGATCGTCCAAAGCGGGCAAGCAGATTATTGACCAGCACGTCGGAATTCATTGCTGTACGTCTTCGCTTCCTGATTCATGCCGCAGAGATCCACTGTGGGCAACGTGGACATTTCTTGGGGACTCCGCTTGGTCACTCCACTCGTTGCTTGAGGCGCTGCGGGTTATCGGTCCGTTTTTGCACTCGACGAACAGCCGCCATGTCCAGACGCGTCGGCAAGAGATGAACGACCACCTTAGCTTCGCGATGACCACGCCTCGACCGGCTCACGGCCTCCAGCACTTACAAAGCAAACAGACTACTGCCGTTTAGCAAGGTACGTGCGTGTCTACTGTTCGGCTCAGCAAGTCGGCATCTCGTCCAACTGGAACGAGGCCCGCCAACCCGGCTGGGATCGCAAGTAACATAGTATTGTGCATACGATGTAGTGAGAGCGCACACAGCACTGTGTCAACTCGAAGACAATCATCATATGCCAGGAGCAGCTGCTCGCGTGTGCACGATCGTTCGGGCTAATGCAGAATTTTCAAGAGAGGCTTGCCAAGATTGCTTCCTCGCTGCCGAAGATAGTGCTAAGCCTTCGTCTGTCCTTGCCTGGGACCATGGTGTGAGGTTGAGAACAAGGCTACGACAGCCTTTTTCGGATTGCAAATTGTTACGTATGCGTACACTCCGCGGGTGCCATGCCCAACTGAGCAATAACCCGGCGACGTGGGCTCACAAAGGTTCAAGCCTCATCCCTAGCTCTATTCCATTGACAGCATTCGTCGAAGGTTACAGTTTTCCCACCGAAGATGTCGAGGGCGCTCCCAATTGTCAAATCAACCTTACCATTGCTGAGGCGCTCAACCAACTCGAGGTCTGCGATGTTCCGGCCACCGCCAGCATACGTAACGGGTATGGAGCAGATCTCTGCAAGGTACTCGACCAGCTTTTCGTCGATGCCGGCTTGCAAGCCTTCGGCATCGGCCGCATGAATTAGAAATTCGCTACAGTAGGGCTCCAGCAGTGAGATGTTGTCTGCATAGTACCACGTGTCAGCCCTGTCTAGTGTTTACCGCGCTGCCGGCACGCTCGCTATAGCGCGCACAGGTGAGTAAGAATGATCTGACATACCCCGGTTGATTTCAAATTCTGTAATGGTTTGCCATCGGTCCATGGCCACTCTCCAGCCTTGACCGACACGGCGGCAACTGAGGTCGATCACGAGCTTTTCCTTGTCGCCCCCGAGGGCTTGGAGCACAGACTGTAGTCGGTCTAGAGCGAAAGAGCCTGAAGGAAACAAAAATGAAGTGATGATGACCTACTGCGGAAGGTCAGCACGTGCGCATCCAATACTGGGAAATAGTCCTCTTCGTACCCTTTCTGCGCCTGCATCTATCCACTGCTTCGCGTTCGTGTCTTTGATGCCGCCTCCGACTTGCAAGCCGCTAGGCCACGCCTGGAGAGCTTCACGTGCTGCCTCGTCGTTGCCGGGACCCAGCATAATGACATGGCCGCCGCGAAGATTATGCTTCTTGTACAAGTCCGCGTAGTATGCTGAGGGATGCTCAGAGGTGAAGTTGGTCTTCAGGTCTGCATTATTGGTCGACAACGTGCCACCCACGATCTGCTTGACAGACCCTGCATGCAAGTCTATACATGGCCGAAAACGCGTCATGTTTTCGAGACGGCAGAGGTGGATTTCGTTGGTTGTCGTTGCACTGTAGAAACGACTGAACGTTGAGCTCGTGAGGAAGGAGCAAAAAGCTTGGCAGTTTTTCCCGGCCTCGCTTTCTCCGCTTCCCGCGACCGACCGACCGTCTTCGACGAACGTTAGCACATCGCAATTTACGCACCGAGATGGCGGTAACACTGGGCAAGAGAAAGCGACCCGCTGAACAAAAGCGTACAAGATCAGTCAAGCAAGAACGCGAACCCGATGAAGATGATGCGACGACTCGAGAAATGCTGAAGAAGGCTTTCGAGGCGAAATTTGCGCCTCTCGAAGTCCAGCCAATTGAGAGCTCCACAGCAGCAGACAGCGATGATCAAAATGAAGATGACAGCGATGCCGAATCTGATTGGAGTGGCCTCACCGGCAAAGATGAAGAAGAACGCGTCGAAGTGATAGAGCACGCTGTACCGACAATCGACTCCATCTTCGATGGCTCTGCCAAGAAATATCTATCTTCGAAGCCGCCGACGCTAGGAGACGACGACGAGTCGACCATGAAGCAAGCATCGAAGTCGACCAAATCCAAGACGGGAGATCATGAAGAAGATGGATCGGAGGCCACAAATCTCAAACATGACTTGGCCTTGCAACGTCTGCTGAAAGAATCACATCTTCTTGACGCATCCTCATTCTCATCATCCACAGCACCAGAAGGCAAATCCCGTGTCAAAGCGCTTGACATGCGGCTCCAAGATCTCGGTGCCAAGACTTCGGCTCTGCAGCAAGATAAAATGCCTATGCATATTCGGAGGGGCATTAGTGGCAAAGCCGCGAGTCGAGAAGCGAGTAGGCGGAAAGAAGCGGCTGAGAATGGCGTGATTCTGGAGAAGGCGAGGATGAACGCTCCCAAAGCCCAACAGAAGCGGAGGGAGAGAGGTGTAGGAGGTGTTGGAATTGGAAGGATGAGTGGCAGTACACTGAAGTTGAGTGATAGGGATGTGAGAAGTATCGAGGGCAGAAAGAGCTCTGGTACGGGAAGAAGAGGTGGGAAGAGGCGATGAGCTCCTCAAGCAGCAGTGTCGAATTGAGCAGCGCACCAAAGGTCCCTCAGCTGGATGCGATGAGCCTTGACTAGAGCCAGCTCTTCACAAATATCGACCAATTCTCTCTGGCGAACGGACCAGTAATACATCAGTGCCTCCCACAATGGTCTTGCTTCGCAGCGGCGACTGGGTTTCGCCGATCTGGATGCGCTGGAATCGTTCAACCCCAACAAAGACAACTGAGCTGAGCGAGTCTGCCAGGAAAGCGTGTGATGGGCGTTCGCTCTGCAGTCGACTGCGTGTGCATATTGCGAACAAATACGCACACTCGACTCCCCAAGGTCCAACATTCTCGGCACATCGATGGAGAATTGACTTCATGCACAGAGCTGCCGCATGCTAGGGGCTCACTGCAGCTTGGGCACTCTTGTGTCTTGTGCGCAGTATTTGCTGATGTCAGGCATAAGATCAGGCACATGGGCGATGCGCCAAGCACAGGAAGAACTTCTACCGAAGTACCAGCGTGACACAGGAGGTAACATTTTCCGCGACAGAAAATGCTTCATGGAGCGCAACAATGGGAAATATGAACGCACTTAACAAACGCCAAGTGTTTCTCATCTACCCAAAGCACGAGAAGTTGTAGAACGGCGCTATGTTTTCTATATTGTGGCCTGGCGTGCCTGGATGCCGGACGACAGTGCCAAGCATTGCTGTAGCACGTTTCAGCTAGATGGTTTGATCCGCCTGGACTACGCTCGTTCTCAGGTTGACAGCGACCAATTTCGGTGTCTGTCATGGCCGGAACATGTGGTCTGGATCATTGAAAAGAAACGAATGTCCTCGATCAGGTAAGTCTTGCATACAGCAGTCTTACCCAAGTCTTTCATTTCTCTTATCATTTTACGAAAATGGCATTGCGTGCCGCCACACTCTTTACTTCTGCAGCTGCGCTGGTCGCCGCAGCAGACCCAACATTGAAGCTCAAGACTTAGTATGTATGATGCGCGTGCGTTGAGGTTTGACGTGAATGCTCATGCTCAACTAGTATCGATTCTCTCAAGCTTGAAGGCGACTTCGACCCTGTCATCGAAGCGTACTGGACCGGCCTCGCCCATCACCGCAGAAGTCCCTTCGCTGTGTCACCGGATGGCAAAACGGGATATCTCGCCTACCTGAGCAGCAGCGGTAGTGGTGTGCAAGTTCAACATGTTGATCTGACGACCTTCGCTGGAACCGGTTCGTCTGTCACCATCGACAATGTCAAGGAAGCTGGTGGACTTGTCGGACACAATGATGGATTCGCCCTTCTTGGTAACGAGCCGCTTGCAAACAACGTCCAGAATGCACCACCAGACGGGACCCCAGTTCCAGCTATCTACAGGTATACCAACGGCGAGCAGACTTTCAAGACCTTCGTCGCTGGACCAGGTGTTCACGAGCGAGATGGACTTTCCATGTCTCCAGATATGAACGGAGACCTGGTCTGGTCGGAGGAGGCGCAGCTTTACGGTGCCTACTTTGTGATCACGAACTACGAAGGCGACGCTACAGGCCACTTCGGCGACAGCATCCAATATGTCAACTCCAATGGTACGCTCGAAGTTATCGAAGGAGCGTCCAGCTCATGGGGCTGCTCTCACAACACCGGTATCGCGTTCGAAGCCGCCGATGAAGCTCCATTCGCCAGCATCTGCGCTGAGGACCAAGGCGCCATCTGGCTCAACACCAAGGGCCAAGGAATGTCCACCATCGGCACCAAGATCTCCAACGAGAAAGTCATCAACGGCGCATGCAATGAGGCCATGGGTGGCATGTCTGGCTCGTACTCCTCCCTCGCTCGCTTCATCAACAGCACCTCGTACGCCTTCACTTGGGTCTCCCGTGGCGCAGTTGAGCTCGTCGCCAACGAATGGATGGGCGATGGCTACACCTCCGCCAAGAACCGCACCAACGGGCGCCGTGTTGCTATCTCCGTCTTGTCGGACAAGTTGACCACCCCAGCAGCCTCCTCTGAGGTTGGTGCCGTCGGAGACTCCCAGGTCAATTGGATCACACCTGAAATTGGCCCTGATCGCAGCAACGCGCATGTCGCAGCTTTCGACTCTGAATACGCGCTTGTGACTTGGGAACAAATTGATTCTCCTTTCTGCGAGTTTGAAGCAATGGGCTGCCGAGGCACTTTCTCCGGCACATACTTCCAGTTGGTGAACAGCAAAGGCGAGGCAATTGGCGAGCCACTCAAGGATATGGACACCTACGTCGCAGGAGACATGGTCACCATGGCTGATGGACGAATCTGCTGGCCGTATGTCAGCATGACCTGGTTGTTGCATGAGCAGTCTGTGAGACAGACTGAGATGATCAGGAACGCGACGAGCGTGAGCTTTGCGTGTATGAGTCTGGTGTAAGGCGACAGTCATGGCGATGAGGAGGAAGCAGGGTTCTTGTCAGACCTCAAGGCTCAGACAATCAAATTCGTGCGTTCACAGCATATCGACAGTCGCCGATTAGCTCAACGAGTTATGGCCGTTGCAAATCATGGTCGTATCTGTCGTATTCAATAAGATTGACGAAGGTCACAGTCCGCAACTTCCCCTTGGGCAGAGAGGGCCTTTTCTAATTGCGATGTAGAATCTGACCAGCACATGTGAGCACCGCACAAATTGCTCTGCCGGAGACTAGTTTCAGATCTACTAGAAGAGAAAGGTTCGTTTGTCCTTGCCCAGTGCCTCAAGGTGGAAGGTGGTCCAGTCTTCCGTCCCAGCTCGCAAGAGCAAGCCTTGGTGTGAGGCCTCAGGCAGCACTTCGGTGGGGAAGTCGCTTTTGCTCAATCAAAAGCCCTACCTGCTATCCCATCGCTTCACTCACACCACAAGCTATTGGCCTTCGCCGTTTCTATCCTTTTGTCGGGCCTGATAATCAGTCTTACTACTGTGTCTCTCAGCAAGCAAGCACTTCTGTATCCGATCATGCAAAGGTCCAACCGATCATCCGGCGCAACAAGGCAGCACGGAGACCCGCAAGATGTGTACTCGCCCTCTAGTGTGATGATGCGGCCGCTGGTGTATGCTCGTAAGTTCACTAAACCTGGTCAGCTCAAGCGCTTCCAATCTCGAATCCCAACACTGCTATGGCCAGCTGGATCCAATGCAATAGTCGGCCAAGACACCTCTCAGCTGTCTGGTCGGGAGTCGAATATATGGATCTCAAGAGGTAGCCCTTACCGATGGAGTCCGCTCTCAACCACTTTCATAACTTTAGCATCGTGATCTCGCTCGTTCGACAAAGATGCTCAGACTTTCCATCTTCCTACTCAGCGCCTTGGCGCTTCATGAGACTGATGCACAGTTTCCTCGTCAGCCTGGCCGCGTAACAGAATATGCAGCAGTCAGCATTCTCGATACACCCTGCGAAACGGAGTTTCACCCTCTCCAGCCCGACATAGCTTGGGTAGAGCTTATCGCCGGAAACGCGTTATTGCGAGTCAACGTCACCAGCGGCGAGGAGACACGCTTCCCTCTACAGAATCCTCTAGGCTTGCCCAGTGGGATGGAATTCATGCAAGATGGATGCCTCTGGTTCTCTGAGGTCGCTGGCAACAGCATGGTTCGACTGAACCCAGTCGATGGAAGCATGACAACCTTTCCCTTCCCATGGAGTGGCGTCGGTCTTCTCGACAATCTCCCAGTTGGCCCTCGAGTTACCATCGACGTCTCGGGAAATCGCGACTCCTGTGCCTACTTCACTGCCGCCGCCCTCAACGCCATTGGATGTATCGACATCTTTACCTATGAATACGAGTTGTATCTTATCCCGACGCCGCTGTCTGTGCCAGCAGTGATTCAACCTGGCCCGACTGCCGATACAATGGTGTTTGCGGAACTGGTCGGCAACAAAATCGGTGTTCTGAACATCGTGACGAAGCAAATCACGGAATTCGAGGTGCCCACTCCTGCGTCGCTCGTCCAGGCTCTGACGACGGGCCCTGATGGCTTGGTGTATTATTCGGGTAATATTGGAGGTCAAATTGGTTCTCTCAACATCCATACTGGCGAGTTCCGAGAAATTTTTATAGCCGACATCAGAGCTGCCGGAAAGTCAACTGTCATTCAGCCAGATGGCACATCAGGATTGATTTCAGACCTGCTTGGAGAAAGTATCGGTTCATCAGCACTGACAGCTATTCCAGGACCTCTTCGTTTCGGGGCCGACGGGAAACTCTACTTTGTCGAAGGAAACCTGGTGTTCTTGGGCAACCGAATTGGCGCATACGACTTTGCGACGGGTGAGCTGATGGAGTATGTCACGCCAACGAGTGCAAGTGGACCTTGCGATCTGAACAATCAAATACCTGGGACCATCTTCTTTGCAGAATTCACGGGAGGAAAGTTGGGCCGCCTGGATTATTGAGGAGCATGGAATTCAGTCAAAGTCAATTACTGCAGCTTATTGAACACACTATTGCAACTGCAAAGCGATGCTACATGGCGTCACGTTCAAAATCTCCGAATACAGAGCGCGCAACATGAGAGCATCGTCGTCCATTTCGCGAGTTCGTCTTGCAAACATCCCGCCAAGGCGCACAGCGCAGCAGCTCACTTGACAGACGCAACACTAGGTTTCCTAGCAGTACACGATGTAAGCCGACTGCGAACAGCAATGCCACAAAGCCTACACCTTCGGTGCGCGGCTGAATGGCTACAGAACAATAAGCACAACACTATCATTAATCATGTTGCTATTCTAGAACTCAAAAACGTCGGGCTAAATATGGAACCACGACAAATCGCAAGACATGACGAGAAACTGCACTCTCGCTTCTTGATGATCTATCACTCGGAACTGCGCGATGTTAGCCCTAAACCCTACGCCAAAAACTCTCGTTGAACGTCGAACATCGAACGTATACGTTTTCACGAAGGATTTCGTCAGCATCGCTAGCTTCTCGTATCTCTTCTAATCTGGATCGTAAGTGTTGGCTTCCAAAAGTTTAACTTTCACAGACCCATGTTGCGTCGCGAAAAAACACAAGAGACTGAGGTCTCGAACAGGTCTCGAGCGGAGACTTGCAGCTTCTCGTCGTGCTTTGCTGAAAAGGTTGGTTGCAGGTCAGTCCGACGATTCCGGATTCGAGAATAGTTTTACTTCTCGTGATGTAAAAATCAAAGGCGTCAGGAATAAAGGTCTTGCGATGCTGCTGCTAATTCAACCATACAGTACAACAACATTCCATCGAAGCAGGTACAGCTATGTTTGTTATCAGTCCAACCAACTTGGCTCTCCTCGTTACGCTTGCGAGCCATGCCCTCGCTACTCTCAAAGGACATTCGTTCTCCTTGATGCCTCTGGGTGACAGCATCACGGTAAGGCAGATCGATAATAGCTCAAGACGCAAGCTGACTTTGTGCTCGAACAGTGGGGAACAGGCAGTTCAGACGGGAATGGATATCGCGGCAACTTGCTATGGGCACTTGGGAAATATGGAGCTCGTGTCGATTTCGTCGGATCACAGCACAATGGTAAAATGAACGACAACGACAACGAAGGCTACCCGGGTCGGTGGATCCATGATATCCAAGGATTTGCCGAAACAGCCCATTCGCACGGATACAATCCTAAAGTCATTCTGCTTCACGCAGGAACGAACGACTGCCAACAAAATCCCGTCAGCGGCGATGACTTGCGCACGAGGTTGGAGACGCTCACTAGACGTCTCACCACCTTGTGGCCACAGGCGACTGTCATTGTGGCCTCAATCATTGCAAGTACTGACGGTAACGTCAATGCCAATGTACAGAAACTGAATGCTCAAATTCCAGGTGGGTAACTAGAACACAGGTCAAGACTAGACTATGTTCCAAGCTGATCGAAAACTCGCAGGTATGGTTCAGCGCCTCGCTGGGCAGGGCATGAGGGTTGCACATGCAGACATGTCGAAAGCTCTTACACCTGCGGACATGTCTGATAAGCTCCACCCAAATGACAATGGTTACGTCAAGATGTCACACGTGTGGCTGAAGGCACTGAATGACAATTCCGGCAAAGGATGGTATTGAGCTTGCTTAGAGTCCCTGTGTAACAGCGCTGGTGCTTTAGTGCACACGAATGGTGTAGACGACAGATGATGAATGATGAATGATGAGTATCTATATACCTGCTCACGCCACTCCCCAGCCTTATGGTACGGCCGTCTACTCTGGCCACCACGCTAAGGGCTAGAATCCTGGGCATCGTGCTACGCTCTGCTGTACTGGAGCTGTGGTAACGTCTTCTCATTTAACCACATGTAGCCATCGTCACGCTGGTCAACGACCACCACTACTCGGAGACTTGTCCAGTCCACGACTGCAGACACAGTGGACCTTTCTTCTACAAGCATTTGCACGGCCCATCAGGGTTTGTAACATCGAAGCGAGAAAGGTCGAAACTTTCCCATAAGCATGGAACGAGTCAGTGCATGCCGAAAGACCCGTTTGAGCTGCATTGCAGGATGCATCCTACGATAGTGTGCTTAGCCGTGATACAGATTGCCATAATGCTCCTGCAGGGCAATGCAAGCGGCCGGACAACGTCACACCGCTCTGTGATCTAATTCTGGAATGGTTTGATCATTTTCGCCGCGAACTCCAAGAAGCGATCCACCTCCACCATCAGATGGCCTTGACAGTTCTCTCAAACTTCGGGATCTCCTTTCTGAACGCCTCTGGATCATCTCGTGCCCCATCCTTCCAGTATTCATACTCCATCCAGGCATCCTGTAGTAAGTAGAGCATAGGTTAGCAAATTTCCTTTAAGAAAATCATTCGCCTTCAAGGAAGAAAGAGCAAAGCTCACCTCAGGCATTTGCTCCTCCATCGCAGCAATCCAATTTCCCAACGCAGGAGCAAGTGGTATCACGCCCGTTTCCAAAACATACTGATCCCACATCTTGATCATCTTTTCCAGTCTCTCTGGATCATGTTCCGCCAGATCATTCACTTCCCCAGGATCTTTCTTCAGATTGTACATTTGCCATTTCTCGGGTCCTTTCGGTTTCGGAATGAAGACAATTTTCCAGTCGCCGCAACGGACGGCTGCTCGACCGCAGGTCTCCCAGCCGTTGATGAAATCTGCGGGATGAATCGAAGGAGCTGTGCCGTTCAAGTAGGGCACCATACTTTTTCCGCGCATGTAGACGATCTCACGGCCCTGGTAAGTTGGCGCAGGGTGAGAGATTCCAGCCATGTCGAGTATCGTAGGAGTGAGGTCCATGATTGTGCTGAAGGTCGAGGAGATGCTGGCTTGTTCGGCGCTGATATGTGATCCAGACGATGAGATTTCGACTTGTCCTTGGGTGATACTATCGCCGTCGGCGCGAACGTGAAAGTTGGTGGGGAATTTTGCGAGAAGTGGAACACGAACGCCACCTTCGGTTGTGAAAGCTTTGTAGAGTCTACTTGGGGCTGTTGCGGCTTGTGCCCAGCGAGGGCCATACCAGATGAAGCTATTACCACGTCCGAGATTTTCGAGCGAATTGTCGTAGTATTTCGACAAGTGGCCGAGCATTGTGCTTTGTACGATTGGATATGCTTCGTACGCTGCTCCTTCTGCTCCGTTGTCAGACATGAAGCAGACGAATGTATTGTCAAGCTCGCCCGTTTCTTCGAGATAATCGACGACTTTTCCGACATTGTGATCGATGGCTTCTACCATCGCTGCAAACACTTCCATAGCTTTGCACGATTTCGCTCTTTGCTCTGGCGTCAAGTCTTTCCACTCTTTAACTTCATCTGCGACCACCGGATGTGGAACAACGTCCTCGGGGCATAGTCCCATCTGCTTCATCCTCTGTAAGCGCTTCTCCCGAAGCACATCTGGTCCCTCGTCATAGACGCCCCTGTAATGTGCAATGAATTCGTCGGGAGCTTGCAACGGCCAGTGCGGCGCAGTGAAAGGATAGTACGCAAAGAACGGCCGTCCATCTTTCTGATCATGACGATCTTTTAAATACTGAAGCATTTTGTCTCCATAACCGTTACTGCTGTACCATCCTTCGGGAAGTTTACGAACATATTCGCCATCCTCAGCATGCAAAGCGATGTACGACATCGTCATGAATTCTGGAATCTTATCTGGACCTTGGAGCTCCGGCTCGAAGGCGTAGTGATTTGAACATGCTGGTAGATGTGCAAAGCTTCTCTCAAAACCTCGTTTGTGCGGAAATCGTTCGGGGATCAGCCCAAGGTGCCATTTTCCAGCCATCAGAGTCAGATATCCTGCATCGCGGAGAATCTCAGGCAGGGCGACCACACGATCATTCAGATAGCCTGCGTAGCCTGGCATGCCTCGTTGAGGAGCAGTGCTCCAATACTTGATCTCACCCTCGGAGGGTGCATTTTGGTCAGATCTGTTCGTCCATTCGATCAGATTTCCGAGTCCCGCAATGCTTTGACCATGTCAGCTTCTTGCCAGCACACTAGGTGATGTACACTTTACTGATGATCAGTGCCAGTCATGAGCATAGCTCGGCTCGGAGAGCACGCGGCAGCTGCGTGAAAATCTGTGAAGCGCAAGCCATTGCTGGCGAGCTTGTCAAGATTTGGTGTACGGATCTCTCCCCCAAAACAACTTAGATCACTGAAGCCCAGATCGTCTGCAACGATAACCAAGAAGTTGGGTCGTTTGCCTTTTGTAGCCATAGCCTTCGTACTATAATCTGCTTGGCAAGATGTTCGTTGGAATGGCAGAGGGATTGGTAGAGCGCGGATGATCTGATTACCGGACAAGCGTCAAGCAATGCAGCATCACGATTGTGAAATCCAGCTTTTGCCTTGCGTCTGGTGGAGTCAATACAGCTGTTATGTGCCCCGCAACATGCCTGTGGTCCTGCAGCGATCTGCACTCAGTTGCTGATGATTTTGACAGACAAATGTCAGCGACAGGAAAGCTCCTTTACTGGACAGCTATGATTTGGATACTTTGCCTGAGTGCGGCGTCGAGTACCGCCATTAACAGATTAGATTCGGATAGTGGTAACGTAGCACGTCACATTCCTGCTGTAGAGAGGATTTTCTTGGCAGGTTGTGGCTGGTAGACTACCAATGGATGTTCCATTCATCTCCAACTCAGATTAGAGATCGTGCTCAGAAGGCCCGGATTAGACGTATTGATCTATGCCCATGATCTAAAAACTTATCAGCATATGTGCTGTACACGGCCAGGTGCAGAGCGAATAGCCGGCATAGCCTTCAAGCTACCACACTTCCATCACCGTCAGGACAAGCCCTTCAGTGAGACCACTTCCCGCCGCGTCTCGAGAGGCACTTGAGCCAACACAGAAAGCTCAAGATGCCACACCGCCCCCAGCACTCATTTTGCACTTCCTCGGATGCCGACCGGCAGCCGCCCTCC